AGTTATAGGTGTGCAGTTATAGGTGTGCAGTTATAGGCGTTATAGGCGTTACAGGCGTAGCGCCGTACCGCAATAGGCGGGTGGGCAATAATATAGGATGTATTGACTTACGCAATATACGGCGCTATAGGCACTAAATGGAAGTGGTTAGCGCCGCACTAAATAGGTTTAGTTTTTGTGCGAAATAAGGATGCTATTGTGCGAAATACGGGCTGCCGTGGCTGCTCCCGATTGACTGCAAACAGCCATGTACTGCAGTGCCAGTGACCGAGGCAGAGGGAACTTGAACTGGGCGGAGCCCTGCCAATGAGAGCTGCCAGCGTGTCAGGGGTGCTTCAGCCTATGACGAGGGGCTTGTCACACTCGCAACTTGAGCAAACACTCCAAAACTTCCCCGCTACCTTTCACCCTCCTCAGTCAAAACTGTCCAATCTCGGTTGTCTCACAATTGAGATGGCTCGTCGGATTATCGTTTCCCCGCCGTTCAATGCAAAAAAGAGGGTCTTTCCACGTGACTCGATTTGTGCAACAGGCTGAGGCATCAAGGTGCTATCACAACACGATGGCCTGGTAAGCCCTACCTGAGCATACGAGCGTACAGCGTGCCAGGGAGATAGCGCCGTCATACTTCAAGCTTGCATGACATTGCAGTGGACACGCCGGTCTTTCTCTTCCATCACTGTCGGTTCCAATGTCTTTCGCGGCTCTAGGTGGCCCTGAGTCGTCTGAAGCAGACACGGTCTGTAACGATCTTCGAAGCGGCAGAGACGATCTTGTGAGGGGACAAGCAGCCGCTGCGCAGGAGCCTTTCGAAGAGAGTCTTGGGTGAGTGGCTTGAGAAAAGCGATGTCAGTCTGGCGGTCCAGGTTGGCCGGCCTTCGTGGAGAGGCATCAGTTGTTAAGCGTCCGCCAGGAGGCGGCCCGTATAGCAGTACCATGATATGGAATCACCACTGCAGATGTCTCCGCCACAGCAGCACAGGTAGGGCAGTCACCGCTCGAGGACTCGTTCTCGAGGACTCGTTCGTAGCGTACCATAAGTCCCTCCCTGTAAAGTCCGACACAAGTATCTGACCCTCCCGAGTGTGTGCTACCGGTAAAAACCATTCCTTCCTCTTCGAGCACAGAAAGCACGAAATCCCGTTCCCAGCTCAAGTTGCAGAATGGATGGTGACAGTAATAAGTTCGTCTGTGCTGGTGATAGGACCGTTCATCCAACTGCATCGGGCACTGCAATATGAATCCAATTCCTCAGACAAAATCCAAGGTAAGCTGCCAGTGTATCATTATATTCAAATAGGATCATCCGCCTCCTCTGCCCTCCTGAGCCTGCGATGTTCTTCACTTGACCGAGCCCTAAGCTGTCCAGCCGCAGCGGCACCTGTGTCATCCAGCTCGACTTCAAGATTCCTACCTCTCTCCGGCTCGCCACCGCTCAGGTCCGGTAACAACAACTCCTCAGCCTCATCGCCGGACGTTCTGGGAGTTGAGACGGGAATACCGCCCGGGACACCAACGGCAGCGGGTTTCTGTTCCTCCCTCCTCCCAATGACCACATTTCCCGCGGCCAAAAGAGCCGCACCGCCCCAGAACATCCCATTCAGCTTCTCATTGAAGACCATCCACCCGAGGATGGCGGTGATCATGAAATTCGCACTGACGTTCACAATGCTGACGCGCGTCGTGCTGTCGGAGCGTGTTAATGCTGCGGTGAAGAGCGCCCACATGGCTGCATTGAATGCCAGATTGAGCAGGAAGAAGGTGCCGCGCACCAGAAACTCGACAACGCCATTCGTAGGCGATAGCGAGAAGAGGGTCGCGATGTGCGAGGAGAGTGTGGATGTTAAGGCTGTCGTTGTTCTGTGCGCATCAAGAGCAATCAGCTTTCGCTCCGTAGGTAGTCGAAGCGAAGTAGGTATTAGATTACTTTCAGGCGCAAACTTACAACTTTGCAAAAACTCCATTGAATGCTGCGCATGCACCGCTTGACACTGCCAGCACCACCCAGACAGGCTGGCGGCGGAGCGCAGATACAATGCTTGACTTGTCCATGTCACGGTCGTTGACTGTGGCTACCGCTGCAGCCACGGGGTTCTCGTGCCGTTCGTTCTCGATGCCAGTATTCGAAAGGTCGGAAGATGTGCCCTGACCACGCTTTCCACGTGCTGACCTTCGCCGTGGCTGGGACATGTCGAGGCTGGGGACACAGGTCTTGTAGTACTACGTCGGAGGATTATGCCAGTGGGCCATCAGAATAGCACCAACGAACCCGAGAGGCTACGCTTTGTGGAGCAGGCGGGTTCGGTGGTTGGCTTGAGCTCCGACTACTTTCTACATTGTACAGGTCGTTGCACAGGAATGTGCTTTTCCCGCAGCAGCTCTCCGGTACAGGTATGAACGATGTAATAAATATCATAACAATACTGCATACTAGTCAAAAACGCTGGGCAGGTATTCGACAGCCAGTGACACGTCCTTGAAGATATCACAGATAAGGTGTCCTGCTGGGGTTCGAGATATACAATCATTTGTCGAAGGGACACTCGAGCAGAACACATATGATCGATGGGAAAACGAAACTACTGGGAGCATCTTTCATTCAAATATTTCCCTTCCCGCAAATACTCCCAACGCCTCGTGAGATAGTCCCAATATTTCAGAATGACACCCTCATTTTACCTTCCCAGATGCTGTTGTTGTCCCAGGCCGAGGCTTAACATTGTTGCCGGTGTTGTCTTCCATCTTCTGCTTCCCTTTGGCTTCGTTGCCGTTGGTCGTCTCTTGCATGGGCGTCTGCTTGCTTAACGAACCCTCCTCGAAGCCTAGCGCCTTGACGATCCCCAAGCCTTTCGTTCTACCCTCACGGAAGAGGATGCGCTCGCCGACCGTGAGAAATTCTGGCCGCTGCACAAAGCGGAACGCCACAGTGGCGCGGTCGCCGGTGCGGATATACTCACGGTCGATCTCGAGGATGGCACAGGTCTGGCTGACGGGGCCGACATGTAGCATCGCCTGATACTTGGGTCGAATGGTCGTTGCATGTGAAAGGATGAGGACTTCTGCCACAAAGTCTCTGTAGACTTTGGGAGGCGTCTCAAGCTTGGGCAGGACCACCATGCCTTTGCGCACATCTTTCCGTCGGATCCTCTTGAGCGCGAACGAGGCCGACTGACCCGCGGAACACAAGGGAACCTGTATCCGCTTGCGCTCGATCGACCGGATACTGGTTGTCTGGAACTGGCCGAGAGAATCTGGACCTACCAGTACGGTATCTCCCGCGTGGATGACGCCGGACCGGACCACTCCGGAGACCACGGTGCCCACAAAGGGGACGGAAAATGTGTCGTTGACGTGAAATTCAAACGGTGCTTCACTATCGTAATGGCCATGATGAGGGAGGATATTGAGGAACGTTCGAACCAGATCCAAGCTTTCACCGGTGACATTCGAGACCTGAAAGATGGGACATATTCGCTGGGAGACAAACTGCGTCGCGGTGAGGACCGTATCTTCGTGGTTCTTGATGAAGATTGGAATCTTGCGAGCGCCCGGCGATTTGAGTATCCTCGTCAACTGCGTTATCGTTTCCTGGAGAATGTGCGGAGGACAAATATCAATCTTGGTGATGACCACCATAACAGGGACATTCAACGCAAGAGCAATACCCAGATGTTCCTTGGACATTCCGATCAAGCCATTGTTCGCTGCTACCATCAGGAGACAGTAATTGGGCGCCGAAGAGAGCAAACCGAAGACGGTAGTCCGCAGATACTTCTCGTGGCCTGCCAGATCAGTAAACGTGATGACCTTGGCTGACCGAGTGCCGATTTCGCCCCAGGTCAACTTGCGGCCTGGGATGTTGGAGATCACCACGTCGCCCTGAGTGTCAAAGCCCATGATCTCCATCCCGACAGACGACGTCCGCCCGGACTCAATCTCGTGCTTGTGGCGAAATAAGTTCACTCGAGCTCTGCCTCGGCCGTCGTCCAGGTTTCCCTTGACCAGCACGCCCAGCATGGTCGACTTGCCCGCGTCCACATTGCCTACCACCGCAATTCGAGTCTCAATCACCTCTTTGGCAGTCGAAGGTGTCTGACGGATAAGAAGCTTGCCGTGACTCGCCTGGTCCTTGACGTTCTTGCTGTGTGCTTCTTGCGGACCCCCAACATTGTAGGTAAGGAGCACCCGGACAGCGGCTTTAACCAGCGCGGCCGCCTCGATGATTCTCTGCAGCGCGATGTCCCACTGCTCTTTGCTGAAGCCCATGGATTCGCCGCTATCCTCAAGGCCCAAGTCGAACAATGTCTCTCCATGACCTTCATCTATCCTCGATTGGACGACGCCGGCCAACTGCTGCAGAGTGGCGGTCGCATCCTCTGACGTATCAAGTAGCCAGTCCTTCAATTTCGGCTGGCTCGGACCCTCCGAAAGGCCTAATTGATCGAGAATCTCAAGCTCGGCGTGGTCTTCGGTCAGAGACGAGGGTGCGCCGGTAGAATAGCCACTGTCGCTGGCAACGGACCCGGCATGCTTGGTACGCTGCTTTGCCTGCTGTTTCTCGACATAGTCGGCGAAGTCGGAGAGAGCCTATGTGGCCACGGTTAGATGTGTGTATGTTTTGCGGGAACGACCGCTGTAGCTGCTTACAAGCTCTCCCTTGCGACGCTCATGGAGCGTTTGTTTTATGCGGCTGCCCATGGCGCTGCTAAGGTGTTGATGTTGGCTTTGGGTGTATATACGGTCGGTTGGGATAGATTCGCCCCCGCGCTCACTGCGGTATTCGAAGGATCATTTTCGGAGAGAGCAAGGAAGTGATCGGGATTCTCTATGAGCGGTGCATATTTTGAACGTTCAGATGAGCACCAGAATAACAGATCGCACGGAGTGCCAGTGGTCAATCTATAATGCCACTGTTAGAGTCATTGACTGCCCAACGCGGGGTGTCATCAGACTCGAGCGAGCGCCTGCGATCGACTGACTCAACCCCTGGGAGACTGACTCCTAAGGATCCCCACCGCCACCATCGCAGTCCGCCTTATGGGAGCCTGACCGTTCAATCCAAGCTGGCCACCGGGACCTCTCTGCCACCAACCATTTGCACAACCGCACAGTGTGTAGTTGTAGTACTAGTATGGGCTTGAAAGGCTCCCTAAGGTATCTAGCGTTGCAGTGCTTCAATGCTTCAACCGACTCGGAGCCCTTGACAAACGTGTTTCCTTCGTCCCCATGTATATAGTCTCGCTCTGCAAAAATGGCCCCATGGGTCCGCTCATTCATTCTGTCGCATTTCAAGACTCATAGATCACGGCGGAGTGCCTTATTTGTGTCCGCTAATACGCTGCGACATCTCTTGCTTGACTCATTCACCGTGCAGTCTGCCTTGCCAGTCTCTTGCTTTCGCTGCCGAATGCAGGATCTCCCGCAGTGTGCCCTTCGAATAGACGCGCTGCGATAATGACCTTTGCTTTTTATTTCAGCGTTGGAGGTAGATCTCGATATTTGTGACAGTGTGCTGCGACGTGCTTTTAGGATCCTGGCTGAGGTGAAATTAGGACTACGGAATCGCCTGGTCGAAGTTAGACTTGCACCGGACACGGTTGAAGGAGAACCTGCCTCGCACGAATAACATGTCTGATTGTTTCTTAGTGGTCTGCTGCCGTCAGATATCGTTCTTGTGCCGCTGGGCGAGAGCCTGACCTTGACCGTTTCCTCTCCTTCGTCGTCTTCCTCAATGGTGTAGATGGTCTCTTCGACCTCTCCGAGAACAAGGTTGCAATGACTGTCATATGCCTATGCGACCGTCATTATGATTGCTGCATCGACTAGGACTCCCCGTGCATACATGTAATCTTCCTTTGAGTTCGCGGTCACCTCGTAATCGGACGAAGACAATTTCGTCGAGCGACAATCGGACAAGGTCGAGGGGTTCGGAGACCGCGGCAGCTGCCTCGTCTGCGGTATCAGCCATGTCGTCTGAATGAGGACGCGGTCGGCGTGTAGAGAAGGTGACGGTGTCGAGCCTTGAACAACCACTGCAATCCTCCGAGATTATTACCTGGTCTTTGGTTGAGCCGGGGTGCAAGCCTCCCGCCTGCGCATTCGGGGAGTTTGAGCTTGGCGCGGCTGGAAAAAAGACTGGCACTGGCAGCTGCTCCTTTGGGCTGCGAACTTCACAACTGCCAATGCACCAACATCGCGTGCCCTAGATATCACCTCTCTCCGTTAAGGACGGTCAACCGGTATCTTGGGCCGTATATATGCAAGGCTCCGTGCCTCTTTCGAGGTTCGTCAATGGCGTCTTGCAGCCATCCTCCAGCAAGATACCTCACATAACCATCCATATCCTACGACGACAACCTCGTCCATTGACCCGTTGCCAACCACGATGGCCAGTGTCTGTTGTCCACGGACAGACTCGACACCAGTCTGCAGCCGCTTACATCGGTGATGTGTCCTTCCAAATACCCGACCACAACGTGCGGGACGAGAGGTTGCCGGACAACCAGGTTGCTGAAGTTCAGGACGCTTCTGTGATTGAGCCGAAAACTGCTACAACTGCGAAGCAAAGCGCGGCGAAACTGGTGACCATGGAGCAATTGTTGGAGGAGAACAATCCCGATCGGATCCTCTTGGGACTCGTCACCAACTCTATTGGCGATGTCTTCGTTGCAACCGCCGACGACGAGACTTTTACTCGAGCTATATGCGCATTGGATCCCGACTACTTCATCGTGCCCTACCGAAACCTTCATCGCTATGTAAAGCCGACCCTGGAAACCGAACCGCGCTTCCGCATCGTGAAGTCGCTAGAGGAGCGCATTTCGACCTTCATCAATATTCTCGATACGCTCGTCACCCTTCGACAAGAAAGGGGCTACGCCATTCCGTTAGATATTTACCGGCATCTACTACGGTGTGCGGCGGCTGGAGGCCATGGCAACATGGCGCGGAACGTTTTTCGCAAGCTCATACCAGAGAAGAACCTAGTTCCTGACTTGGAATGCTACAATTACTTTATGGAGGCATTGGATTGGAATGAAGCCTACGGCAGGTACGAAAGGTACCATTTGAGGGTGACACCATACAGTCTGGGCCGTCGCTCGAGCAGTCGCCGACGCACTGGATTCACGGGACATGGTGTGGCAACACCCAGCAACCCGGATAACGAACAGTCTATTCGGTTGGAAGTGCTGAGGACTTTTAACGAGCTCATTCGACAAGGCTTGAAAGGTAATGAAGCCACCTTCTGCAATTTGATGGTCGCTATGGGCCGCGAAGGGGACATTGCCAGTGTCAAGAGTGTGCTCAAGTCTGTGTGGAACGTGGACGTGGACGCCCTCGAGAGGTACGACGAAGAGGAGTTAGAGAGCCCAACGTTCTACGAAGAGGGCTCACCCCTCCGCCCGACCGACCGGCTTCTGTTCACTGTAGTGCACATCTTTGCAACCAACAACCAAATCAGCGTGGCGGGTATGTTGCTTGACTATCTCTCGCGAAACTACAACCTCACGATTCCGGAGGACCTTTGGACCTACCTGTTGGAGTGGACGTTTGTTTTGTCATGTCAATCACAGCAATGGAGAGTTCGAGCAGGTTTTGGAATTGGTCGTGTGTCATTCCAGGCCGTTGAATCATTATACGAAGTGTTCCACAGCGAACCCTACAGCATCAAGCCCAAGATTATAGACCTGATCTTCCGGGCCAAGATGTGGACACGACGACATGTCCTGGACCGGGCTGTGGAAGATATTCGCGAATGCATACGTCTGCTGGATGAAGAGCGCACACACCTCTCATCCTTGTACGACCAAATGCGGAAGCACCTGCAAACCAGGTTCGACGATATTTTCGAAGATGGCGTGGCATCCGCTGAATTTCTCAAGCTGAAGAGAGAGTTCTTGTTCGCGTCGCTGCAACTGGACTGCCATCTTCAACTGGTCATCGTTGCAGTCCGAAATACCTTCAAGGAGAAGGATTGGCCAGGGTCAAGGCGGCAGGTGGAGTGGCCATATCGGCTGCTGCCCAAATTGGTGGAGGAATGGTCGGATTATCTACCAGACATCATCCCATACTATACGCCCACGGGTCATGTGCGGCTATATGGGCATGAACACCGGCGCAACGCAATCATCTCTGCCAACACAGCTCAAACGACAAAGACCGGGTCGATGCGGATCATGTTCGACACCTACAGCCCTGCGCGGTTACGCCATGCTGCGGACTACGTACGGCGGGGTCCCAAGGGTCTCGCGGCATTTGATGAAGAAGTCGACGAGAAGGAAGACGAAGTTAGCGACTGGGTTCTCAAAAGTGAAGAAGGGGGCCGTCAAGAACGGGTGGCCAAGCGGCGCTATGGACACCTCAACTATCCCTCGGGTGACTGGCGGATAGAGGAGTGGAAACCTTGGTCCAAAAAGCTTGGTCCATACCGGTAGATTTCGTTCCGTCGTCACACGTTTCTGGCGGCATGGGAGAGCATCCTCTACAGGGTTTGCTGACCACAGTGAGAGGACTGTAACATCAATTTTTTGTACTAAGTACATACAATACTTGGGACTATCTTAGACATTGGCATATTTGCCCTTTCCTGAATGAAAAAAGATTCTCCAGCTTGCTCGCTTGCTTTTTTCATGCACAAGACAAGACTTTTTTTGGGCATTGCCCACATATGTAACAAGATTGAGTGAATAGATGCAGGAATCCAGGATTTTGCAGTGTTTTTCTTTCATATTGGAATGACCTTTTCTGAGCGCAAATCGTTGACGTACATGTATCGGCCGAGGGCGATCCAGCCCCAGCGGAACCAGACCATTTGACTCTGGTGTCCATCGGTCATGGCCTCCCTTGCCTTCCAGTAGCGTTTCAGGTCATTGACAAAGACCACCCTATCGGCACCTTCGCGGGTTCCCGCGCCTCGAGTGCCCTTGACATTGGCAAACATGGTGCCGTACACGCCGGCCAGTAAGGTGGGGATGGTGTCGAGAACGAAACCGTATTTACGCAATATATTGATCGAGGGCAGCGTATACAGGGTCACGGGGCAGGCGTAGCCGCTGTGACCTTTCATGATCTGTTTGATGAACAGCGTTGCACCATGGTATAAAGACTTGTGGTTCGGATGGCCTGAGATGCCGTGTTTGTCGAATGTGATGAGGACGTCGATTGAGGCCTGGGGGCCTGTAGTTTGACTTTGCGGTAATTGTTTTTGGGTGTCTTGTTGTTGTTGTTGTTTCGAGGACTTGGACTTGTTTCCTGTGCTACGTCTCTTATCTTTTTCTTTGTCCTGCTGTGGTTCCTCCGATGTTTGGGTGGTGTTCAAGTGCGGTGCAAAAGCGCTGGCCAGGACACGCGCGACCTCCTCCGGTTTCCAGTCCTGGTCCATTCCATCTTTGAAGCGTTCGTCGTCGAGAACAAACACGTCTTCGCGCCGGCGCACCCCCAATGTCACCGCGGCCTTTTCCAACTCTTGCCGGCGTGTCTCGCCGATTCCTTCGCTGTTGCCTGTGCTCATGCAGAGGATCTTCAGGTGGTTTTGGAGGGCCGGGTCCGTCAGCGCCTGTAGCGTCGGGCTGAAGAACATGGATTCATCGTCCGGGTGCGCTATCAGTAGGATGATGCGCTTGTTGCGCAGGAACCCTGGGACCGGAGGCGTGCTGTGGGCCGTGACGTGCCATAGCGCGAACAGTAGGACCGGCGCGAGGATCAGAGTCACCACCGTCGCTGATGGCATGGTGTGCGTTTCTTCAGTTCAATGCTGCGCCGCGCTCGCTCGTCGTAGGATGTTGTTGTTGTGGTGGTGGTAGTATATAATCGTAGTACTAATGTCGTCGCTGCCAATGGTCCCGAGCAAGGTGCGCTGCAAGAGTAATAAATGCATCGGCATCTAACACGTATCACCATGGTTGAACTTGAACCTCAATTCTGGTGTTTTTGCAGAGCCTCAGCTGCAGTGGTCGTGGAGACTTTCAAAAACATGGCCGGTGGACGTGGGATGCTGCAGTGCAACACTGCAGTAGTAGTAAGTAGTGTTGTTCCAAAAAAGTCACATTGCCAGATGGACATGCATGAACCCGTTCAATTGGAGTTGGAGGTTCGGACCAAAAGCGTAAAGGTGGCCCGATCTGCCCTGCCAGTGGCATGTCAAGCGATGTTTCAAGTTCATGGGGCTCGCTTTCGGGGAATTTTAAGTTATATCTTATTTAATTCCCATGCCTTTGCCCCTGGTGAACGGCACTCCTGACGAGCCTCTCAGGCTTGGTGTAAGAGTCCCCCTCGCCATCGGCCATGCAACCGACCCTGTGCTGTGTCCGATCTCCAAAATGTTGCAGGCCAGCTTGTTGTCTCTGCAGCATGTATGACACGAAATGAATACAAATTTGTACCATTGTCAGACTTGGTCACGTGGGACGCCGAAATGCAGAACACATGAAAGCAACACTTATTATCGTACAGTTTGGTAGGGCTCTACGACGTAAATATCAGTAGGTGGTGCTGTTAGTCACCGGAGATCCCCATACGAGCATAATTACAGCCAGTAACTAGTGAGGTAGTCTGCCTGAGCTTGGACATATCAGACCGAACGGAGCCGTCTCAACGGCAAGGTACCTAGCCGGTCTCAGTAGAAGGACCTTTTGTGCCTCACTTGGCTTTCCGGAGTGGTTAGACCTGGGGAAGTCGATAGTGCCGTGAGTGGCTGCAGTGCGCAGGGGCAAATGCTGAGAAACCTGGGGAGAGCCGAAGACGAAACACCTGGCAGGATGACACAGAAAAGACTCACACGTAATCAAGGCCTTCTTTGGAGGCAGCAGACTTGAAAGTGAAGATTCTTGTCAGCAAAATATCATTATATGCTAACTGTCAAGAGAGACCAACCGAGCAATGCAGTCCCTTCGCCGAACGCCACCGCGTCAAGCCATGATTCAGGTCGGTAATGATCATAACGGATCGAGCTGTATCAGCCGAAGTGATACAGCCGACCTAGGACGCCAAATGTAGCATCCCGAGTTTCCGCATTCGCGAATCCAGCGTCAATCGTATCGTGGCAATAAATTGGGCCATCTCGCCCAGATTCGAGGGCATCAGTCTTCAATATCGGTACCGTGTCGAGTAATCTTTCGGGGAAACCACCAGACCCCTTCCCTTCTTTGCGCCCTTGTATATCGTTTCGATGATATCAATCAGCTCTTGTTTGTCTTCCAGGACCCAGTTCAATTTGTTGTTGTTGCCCGTGCCAAAATCACACATCATATGCTTGTTGCGGAAGAAGAACATAAGCGTGACGGGATCGTACAGTTCGTACATTTGTTTGAAATCGGGGACCTGATCGATGTCGCAGACGTAGATGACGGCAAAATTCTTCACTCGATCGGCTATTTTGTAGAGGACTTCGTCCATGCGCATGCAGTCGGGATCCCAATCGCGGCCGAAGCGAATAACAACGAGCCGCTCATCTTCCGAGAGGATTGCTTGGTCAACGTGCCAGGCCGTGACTAGGTGAGGAATTACCACGGAACCCATGTTTGCGGGAGTGTAGATGGAGGTGTGAATGCGGAATTTGAAGAGAGAGGTATATAGGAGGGTGAGGGTTACAATAATGAGAAGACGATAAAAGCCATCATGGAACCCGGAGAAGATGAGAGAACTTGAACATGAGGTCAACGGCGTGGCCAGTCGTTAGCCCGTTGACTAGCACTCTCCGGGACTAGCTTCATGGCTATTAAGCCGTAGTGTGGAGCGCTTAGTGGACTGCAGGCTGCAGCCGGTGCCGGCATCGTCTCTGACTGCTGTAGCATCGACGCTAAGATATAAGATAAGAGACAATCGACAATTTTCATCCGCCCCGCGAGAAATTTCGTGGAGGCACAACACATCTGTAACTGCTATGACTGCAATCCGCCAGTTCTGTGTTTAGTATCCTCATTCCGTCCTCCTGCTCAGACGCAAGATTGAAACGCGACCTCAGTCTTCACAATGGCTTCCGTGGCCACCGATTCCTCCGCCTCCGCCGCGACCGTGGCGGCTCTGCGCAAAGATCTGACCTCGGAAACTGTCCCGCTTGCTCGTCGGTTCCGAGCCCTCTTTTCTCTCAAACACCTAGCTTCGCAATCTCCGGGGCCTCAGGCGACAGCAGCTATAGAGGCCATAGCGGCAGCATTTACCTCGCCATCTGCCCTGCTTAAACATGAGTTGGCCTACTGTCTGGGGCAAACCAAGAATCTGGTGGCGGTCCCCTTCCTGAGGGCTGTTCTCGAGGACAAAGCAGAAGACGCTATGTGTAGGCACGAAGCAGCCGAGGCATTAGGGGCGTTGGGAGATTTGGGAAGTCTGGATATACTGCAGCAACTTAAAGACGACGAACAGGAGCCCGTCGTGGTGAGGGAGACCTGCGAAATTGCTGTTGACCGCATCCAATGGGAACACTCAGAGACCAAGAGATCTGAAGCCTTGAAACCGAGCGACTTCGCGTCTATCGATCCTGCTCCTCCCATGCCGCTCTCCTCAGAGACTCCTTCCATCCCGGCACTACAGAAAGCCCTCCTTGACACTTCGTTGCCGCTATTCCAACGCTATAGAGCCATGTTTGCTCTCCGAGACCTCGCGTCTCCTCCCGACCGCCCGACCGCAGAAGCAGCCGTCCATGCGCTAGCATCTGGCTTTGCTGACCCTTCGGCACTTTTTAGACACGAAGTAGCATTCGTTTTCGGCCAGCTCTCACATCCTGCATCGATACCCGCGTTACAATCGGTCTTAGAAAACCAAAAGGAGGAAAGTATGGTTCGACACGAGGCCGCTGAGGCGCTGGGAAGCCTGGGAGAAGAGCCTGGGGTTGAAGATATGCTGAAGAAATTTCTCGACGATCCTGAGCAAGTCGTCCGCGACAGCGTTATTGTTGCTCTTGACATGGCCGAGTATGAGAAGAATGGCGAGATGGAATACGCCACCGTTCCTGCCCCGGTAGCCGCATAGTTGGATAGGTGTATTTCTCAAATAGCGCATATGGAAGGCGTTCAAGCGTTTATCTAAGCCACGTTGTTGATTTCAGTTGTTTTGGACATCCTTGAACCCGCACTCGCATCTATAAAAGACAGTTGTGCCTTCATCGGCACTCCGCAACTGCTTCGTATGGTAGAACATTTCGGATCGGTGACAATTGGGACAGTCTCGGGCGATAACAGCTTCCACTTGTAAGTCTTCTGCATTGATGGCCTGCACTTCGGAGTGCTTGGCTCTCAGGGCCGAAGGAAATGCGCTGGGTCTGGAATGGGACGTGATGACTTTGGAAGAGGTATCTTTGGTATACTGGAAGCAGTCCTCGCACTTGACCATATCATCTTTGTGTTGTCCCGGAACTATACGTGGAAGAAGGGAGCCGCAAGCATCGCAGAAGAGAAGACTGCCAATGGCGACCATCGTAGCGGTGTTGGCGTGAAGTTGTCGAGAATGCGTATCGTTGTGTAAAAATTCTGGTTGCGCAGAGAAAGGCACGAAGACGGAGTTTAACGGTGCAGGCGCAGGTCACGGTGCAGGCCGGTGGCACCTGCCGCCAGAATGCAGTTTGGTCCCTGACAGGAGCAACCCCCAAAGCAGTTAGCGTCTAGGCCATCCCGCAATCCATCCGCCTCCATTGATCGGATCATCAAATATATTGATTGTGATTATTGCGACCGCAGCCTGCTACTTTCGCTTTTCCTCTCACATCACGTTCGTGGCACTCTACGATCTTCTCCGTCGAGGCTGAGGCCGGGGCAAACATGTGGTCGGTGCTTTCGGCGTTGGGAGGAGGGTTTTCGTTTCAAGGCCATCTCATAGACTAACGCCGAATCGTCCATCCGCAATCCAACTCAATGTTATCTGTCGGGGCGGTACCAGATCCTGCGAAGATGGCCGCAAAGGCAAGGGTCGAGGTCGTCATCCCACGACAACCTCGAGATGGAACCAACCGCAGACAGTTGTCTGTAGATGAAGCCTTGCAGTACACGCCTATGACTACGTCCATTCTGCCCTCACATGGTACGTTTCGCTGTTCCTTTCCGCGAGTGTTGCTGAGGTATCAGATCGTATATCCATCCCACAGATAGGCCCTCCAGGCCATATACGCCTTACCACTCCGGCCGAGCGCCAGGCCGCATACCGCAATGAACACTATACCCAGCAGACAAGAGAACGTCTTGCAACGTTGTTGGACCCGAACCACCTTTCGGAAATGTATGATTCCTCATGCGCTCGTGACAAGTGTAGATTCTGACAAGACCCAGAAAGTTCAAACGCTCCGCTGTCCCAACGGAGACTCCGGTCAAGTCCAACTTAAACCCCATACAGGAACTGGTTTTGAGGTTGACCGACGTCGAATACACCCATCCTTCTTCAGTCTCCCGTCATTCTCATGTCAAAAAGGAGAGCCCCGACAAGGCTGTACCCAGATCAAGTCAGGCTTCAGTGATCGTGGAGATCCCGCAGCCTCCTCCATCCTTTCGGCGGAATGAGTACGTTGCCATGCCTGATTCTCCCAAAAGACGGAAGTTGGCCGAATCAGAGAGTAACGACAAGCTTGCTTTGGCACTTGCTTCCAAGAAAGAAAAAGATGATCAACTCCTGGCGAATCTTGAAAACCAACTTGTGGAAATCTTCGAGGCTCAAGATCGGCTGGCTCCTGACACATCCGCCGCAACCACTGGCTTCAACAATACTATATTCGATGTCCCGGACGAAGAAGATGAAGCTGAGCCACGTCTCACAATCGCTACTCATGAGAAATTGCAGGGTATACTGAGCAAGGTGGTTGCCTCTGGCCGCTTAGCAGACGCCTCCACGGAGTACATCCAACGTCTCCAGCAACTCTGCGAACCTGCTATTGAGGCAGCGCAGACCGTGAACTTGAGAGTCCCATCGAATGCATCCCCAGAAGACTTGGGCATATGGCTGGCAAAGATTCATAAAGCAGAAAGCGGAGCGGCTGCGGCGTGCACCTTGATTTATACCGTTCTGGGCGCAGCTCAAAACACGGACCTCGTCAATTTGGAAGTACTTCAGTGGTTTCCGAACGTCCTAGTGAATGTTTTCGAGAATTGCCTGATACCAGTGATCGAAGCTAGGCCAGATGGACCCGAGAGCGGAGTGTTCGAGATGGCAATAGCACACAGCGATTCGCTTAGAAAACTCATGGACGTTGGTCGACGGCTCCTGGAACTTGTTGCGACAGTTTGCGTTCAGGTGAAAGGAGCTGGCTCGACCGTTAACGCAACAGAGTTTCTTGCTTCAAAGCTCATATTTGTGCAGAATGCCCCTACTGATAAAGCCGCGGCCTTGGGCGCTCAAACCTACGAGCGGATGCGGAAACAAGCGATGGCCGTCCTCGCAAAATTGTACGCAGCATTTCCTGGCGAAAGAGCTGCGATTCTGGATGAGGTCTTGACGTCCCTGGATAAACTACCGTCCAACAGTCGCAGTGCGAGGCAGTACAAGCTGGGGAGCGGCAAGAGCATTCAACTTGTATCTGCACTCTTCATGCAGCTTGTCCAGACCCCTGCCATGCAGACTGGAAAGAACACATCCCCGAAAAGGCGACGACAACGGCGGAACCTGTCGCAAGAACTGCTCGAATCGGATGATGCGGACTCGGCGAGTGATAATGAAATGGATCATATGGCCGTTTCTGAAGAAAACGAGCCTGACCCCGTGTCCAAGTTGGCCCACACAGCGGATGCGCTTTTCGATGATGCTTTTAAGAGCGCCCAGCAAATTGTGGGATGGATGGTCGATAAAGCCTCAAAGGTCACCAAGACTGGTGATTCGCCTTACCGCAACATTCTTGATCTGTTCGTGGAGGACCTAACAGTAGTGTTACCGTCGACAGACTGGCCTGCCTCGGAATTGCTCCTTACCGTCCTGGCTTTGCGGATGATCACGCTCGCCAAGACGGATAAGGCTGCTTCTACCAAGAATATGGCGCTGGAGTCTCTGGGAGTCATGGGTTCTGCGATTTCCGAACTTCGGGAAACTGCGAGAAACCTTCTGTCCTCCATCTTACGGGACAGTGAATCAAGTTCTTCCAAAATCGGTCAGGAGTTGTCACACTTGGTTCGGGATCGATCTCATTTCTTCCTCCAGAATGATGAACTTATTGCACCGGGAGGCCCATTTGCTATTGTCCACTCGTATCTAATGTCCAAACGTGGGGAGAGCCTCAGGACGAAATCTGCAAAGGCATATTTCCTGGTCCAGTATGCAACTTTGATTGCTCGGACATTACATGGGCCACAGAATGATGACCAGGAACCTTCACTAGAAAAGCGCCTGTCAACCACTGTCACAAGGATACTCCAGCAGCTGGCCGAACCAGACGAAATTCATCCATCGATCGAGGAAGATATTGCCGTTACGAATCAAGAAGCGCAGCTAGCGTATCTGCTCAGTGTGCTGAACATGCGTTTCTGCCGGAGATTCCAGGATATCGCAAAGACACTGGCCTCTTCGCTTTCTAGTGATCAAGCGCAGGTCAGAAGTCGCAGCTTGAAGAGCGTTGTGACTATCTTGGAGACGGATTCAAGCCTCCTTGACTGGGATCCCAGCATAGCAGATGACGTCTTCAAATGTGCTTCAGATGATTCATCATTGGTTCGGGATTCCGCGCTTTCTTTAATTGCCAGATTCATCTTGCCCAGACAAGGGCTGGAAGAGAAGGCCTTCAGACGACTTTTGAAATGCGCAGGGGATGCCAATATAGGCGTGCAGAAACGAGCCATGGGCCATTTGAAAGACATCTATCTGAAGGAGTCGCGGCAAAACATGAAAGTGACCATTGCCATCGAATTTCTGCGAAGGACCGCAGATCAGGAAGAATCTGTGGCCGAACTGGCAAGAAAAACGTTGGCAGATATCTGGTTCGCTCCAAATCTCGCCATTCTCGCAAACGCTGATGAGACTGCCCAGGCGGCAGTCGCTGTTGAAAACTTCAAAGCACAAATTGTCGCTTGTATCAACAGCGATACTGCTGCAATGGCACCTCTCCTCAAGGACTTTCTGGTGTGGAAGCTCAAAGATTCGAAGCAGGCCGAACAAGTACACGAGCTCTGCGCACGAATTGTCAAGAAACTCTTGGATACGGCCAATGGCTCTGAAGCAGGTCCCGCTGATTTGACAACATTGGTAGCATTCGCAGAAGCTAGGCCGCAGACTGTGGTACCATCTGATCTGGCCAGTCTGAAAAGCTACTTGAAGGATTTATCCAAGTCAGACAACATCCTGAAGTTCAAGTCCGTTGTGGCAATATTCCGGTCCGTGCTCCCGCACTTGTCAAAAACGCAGGAGCCGCTGCTACAGGAAGTTCAGCTGGATCTCATGAAAGCTGCCAAAAACCTTGCCCGTCGACAGGAATTGGAGGAAGTGATGTCTTGTCTGCGTAGTATCGACGGCGTGCTGCACAATACCGGCAGGATTGTCGCATTTGCCAAGTCCATCATGCAGAATGTGATACAGCCCAGAATCGCGCCGCAGCTCAAGGAGCAGTTGATCAAAGCAAATCAAACGAAGGAACTCCAAGCACGAGAGAACAAGGTCAGAGAACAATCTCTCCGATTGGCCGGCACAGTGGCAAAGCACATTGATCTGGAAAACTTTCGAAAGACGTTTCAAGCTGACTTTCCCAGCTTCAAAGCTGGGCCAGTCGCAGGGTTCATCGCTGACAGCATTCTCCCATTTACTTTCAAGGGACCCAACGTCGAGTTGCGCCTCAAAGCCTTGGAGAGTTTGGGCTTGGTCTGCCAAGCCTGGCCAGGACAGTTAAATAAACAGCACATCCGCGAAACATTCTTCCAGATATTGGATGGGACTTCTTCGACCACGCTGCAAGAGAACGATCTCCTGAAAATGCAGCTCATAGTCCTCGGGATATTCGACGAGCTGTATGCAAACCGTGTCAGCACAAGAACCGAGCCGAACCAAACCGAAGGCGCGGTCGAAGCCCAGGCCTTGAAGAACATCGGTGGGGATAGCAAGACCAGAGAGGATGATAGTGCCATATCGACAATCACCAACCCTCTGGTAGATCGGCTACTCCGAATTGTCATGTCAGAAGCGGGCGAAAAGGCACTACTGGCAGCTCAGACGCTTGCGAGCATCGACCACCAGGGGATGACACATCCGAAGCAGAGCACAGCAGCCTTCGTCGCGTTGGAGACGAATCCGGATCTTCGGATTGCTAATGTGGCCAGAATTGCTCATGGACACCTTCATCAGCAGCATGAATCAGTATGTGAACGTGAATACATCCATGCGGTCTTCGAGGCATTCCGGTACCAGAAGGAAGTTTTCAAGGACCCTCGTGGGGCAACGGTTCCGGGGTTCAAAGCCAAACTTTCCCCAGCTTTTTCCATCATCAACACCAGTGGGTCCAAATACGTCAAGAAATTTCTCAGCAATTTGATTTCCAAGCTCAATACCGAATACTCTAAATTATCCATTAATGACGAAGAGATCCCAGAGCACGTCCTTTTCGTGCTGTTCGTCACGCAAAATCTCGCCTTCTTCGAATATAAGAAAATGGACGAACTCCTGCATGCCGTGCTGCAGTTGGAATTGGTATTTGGCAAAACCGGCGGTGAGACGGCGCAAGCAATCGAGAGTCACATTCGCCCCATCGTCCACGAGCCAGCGGACACCGGCGAGACCAGCGAGGTGATGCAAGATGGTCAGATGGATGCTGAAACGTCAGTTGACCCTCTAACTCTGAGACGAATGGCCGCAGCTGCGTGTGCTATAACACTCATTTCAGAGGCAAGAAACTATCTGAAGCGACAATACGGACTCTCGAGAGATATCAAGATGGCAATGCAGCACAATAAGCAGACTAAGGAGTCAGTCAAGGAACCGGTCAAAGTGCATGGTATCACTGGAGACAAGTACTGGAACAGCAGCAACGCCGTGTTAGAGTCTTTGGCCAGCAGAGAAATGATGATTGCACGATGCCGAGAATTCGTTAATCTCGTGGCTGTGGACGATGAAGTGAAGATCGCCGAAGAGGAAGGGGAAGCGTATCCAGTCAACAGCATGGTCGCTCAACCCAGTACGAATGGCGTTCGGGGGCGAAAACGGAAGAGTACCGATGGGTCGATGGGAGGTACACCCAAGCGGCCTCGTGGTCGACCAAAGAACAGCGCAAAGCGACGCTCGTCAAGCGTATCATCTATGGACGGCCCCGAAGGTGAGTTTGCAGGGTGAGTGCAGACTAACAGCTCAAGGCGTGGAAAACATATCTAGATTTTGATGTGGTGAATTCTTTTAATGATTGAAAGACATGGATGGGGAAAAGGCATGAATTTGGGCGGCATCTTCGAGGAAGTGGGTGTTTACGGACATCGCGGATGCTGTTTCACATGAATCATTATGATACCCCATACAGTTTGGAAGTGGCGGCTGCGGACGGCTAGAGATGCAACCGCGGCATATTAGTACGGAAGATATGCAATTAAATCACGTACGACCTAGAGAGGAGTAGTAGTTGGTGTGTTTCCCGCGATATAACATAATGCCGTGTATCTGGGTAAGTAGGGCCATCATGATCGTAGTGTAGCAAGGTAATAATAATGCCAGCGATAGCATCCATGGATACGTTGTGTACAGCCTTGCGGAACTCAGCCTTGCAGGGATCGAACAGGAACAGGATCCGAGGCCGGAGCTCGGAGAAAAGAGGCGCCGTTGCCGGTGCCCGTTGCGGTGAAAATGATCTTCGAATCTCCCGATGCCGATGACGTTGTACGTCGTAACTGACTGAACGTTGATGCAACACGCGAAAAAGCTCGCCTTCCATCTCCTTCACCGTGACTTTTTTTTGTGCTTTGAGTTCTGTTGCCGCCCCTACGTACTCAGTGACGCGACTTGCAGCTTCTCTGCTTTCTCGCAGTTCAAGTTAAGCATGAGGTAGACTTCCTACGACTCTCTCCTCGACAATATGGAGGCTCTTCTCCCTCGATTGACCCGGCCTGCCCGATACCCTATCCGGGTACATCAGCTTCCTCGATACGGCAAGCCTTCGCATTCGTTTCAATGCGCTTTTCAAGCATTCCCACGGTCTACGAAGCCTTTGTCGACGCTGTCACAGCATTCCAAAACCGCGTTTAGAGCTCCGCGGTTTGTTGCTACTCAGATCCCGGCGCGCTTCGTTCGGCGAGCGGCTCCCGGTACTCTGCGACTGATCTCGACGAAAGAACTGCCCAACGATCGTGGTCCTATTGCACGTTTCTTCTACCGCTTATTTGCTTACACTGGAATATTCATCATCGGCTGCGGTGCCCTGGTTGTGGCATTCTTTATCTACGATGCCTCGACGTACAAAGAAACACCCGAGGCAGTAGGCGACGTCCCCGTGTCGGAGGCGGCCCTTTCCCCGAGAAGAGGAGGTCCCAAGAATCTGCCTATCGCCGAAATTCTGGTCGACGATGAGGACAGTGAGGAGATGCGAGAGCAAAAGCACAAGCCAAAACTGGTCATCTTGGGTACCGGTTGGGGCAGCGTCGCCATGCTCAAAGAATTGAACCCCGGCGACTACCATGTCACCGTGGTTTCGCCGGAGAACTACTTTCTCTTCACTCCCATGCTGCCCTCTGCCACGGTCGGTACTCTGGAATTGCGGTCCCTCGTCGAACCCGTCCGCCGTATAGTCAACCGATTGCGAGGCCACTTTCTCAGGGCTAGGGCTGTTGACGTCGAGTTTTCTGAGAAGTTGGTCGAAGTGGCTGAAATCGACGCCAATGGGCAAGAGCGGCATTTCTATCTTCCCTACGACAAATTAGTCATCGGTGTAGGATCCACTACGAATCCTCACGGCGTAAAAGGCTTGGAGAATTGCAACTTCCTCAAGACTATTGAAGATGCTCGCTTAATCAAGAATAAGATCCTGCAGAACCTGGAACTGGCTTGTCTCCCTACCACTAACGACGAGGAAAGACGGAGACTGCTCTCTTTTGTCATTAGCGGCGGTGGTCCCACGGGTGTTGAGTTCGCAGCAGAACTCTACGACATGCTGAACGAGGATCTTTTGAAATCATTCCCCAAGATTCTGCGCAACGAGATTTCGGTCCATGTCATTCAATCCAGGGGACATATCCTCAACACTTATGACGAGGCTTTGTCCATCTACGCCGAGAAGCGGTTCGAACGTGACCACGTGGAGGTTCTGACCAACTCTCGAGTCAAGGAGGTCAAGCCGGACAGGATCATATTCAGCCAGATGGAAGATGGAAAAGCCGTGACAAAGGAGCTTCCTATGGGGTTCTGTCTATGGTCCACCGGTGTTGCACAGACCGACCTGAGCAAAAAGATTGCCCAAAAGCTGGGGGATTTCCAGAATAATCGCCATGCCCTGGAGACCGACAGTCACCTAAGGCTAATCGGAGCGCCTCTTGGAGACGTGTACGCCATTGGAGATTGCGCCACGGTACAAAACAATATTGCCGACCACCTGACGACATTCCTCCGCGGTATCGCCTTTGAAAAAGGCAAAGACCCTGACAAGGTGCAGATTACATTCCAAGATTGGCGCGGTCTGGCCCACAAGGTTCGCAAGCGGTTTCCGCAGGCTGCAGGCCACTTGAAGCGTCTTGACCGACTGTTCGAGGAGTACGACAAGGACAAATCCGGTACATTGGATTTCGGCGAGCTCCACGAGCTGCTTGTTCAAATCGACAGCAAACTGACCTCTCTACCTGCAACGGCGCAGAGAGCCAATCAGCAAGGTCAATACCTGGGACGCAAGTTCAACAAGATTGCCGCGGCGATCCCCGGGTTCCGGGCCAACGAAGTTGACTTCGGCGATCTAGATGAGGCCGTTTACAAGGCTTTTGAGTACCGTCACATGGGCAGTCTGGCGTATATTGGCAATGCGGCGATTTTTGATTTTGGAGGTTTGAACTTTAGCGGTGGCTTGCTGGCTGTGTATCTTTGGCGAAGTATTTACTTTGCCGAGAGCGTTAGTTTCAGGACGAGACTGCTCTTGGCCATGGATTGGAGTAAACGAGCTCTGTTTGGAAGAGGTGAGGCTCCCTTTCTGCAACATGATTATATACTGCTATCAGTTTCAATTGCTAACTCCGCTCCAGATCTCGTGAGTTTTTAAATCTCCTCCGTCACCTTGCACGCATGTTTCAGCGGGTCTCAAAGAAGACGTGCGACTATAGACATGTCCAACATTCCAATAACACTCCAGCGAAACGCTTCGTTTCATCTAGAGGCCGTATCGAAGGTTTACCCGGGCTGTGAGGCAAGATCTCCGTCCGCTTGGGTCAAAGAATTGAGAAATGCTGTTCAGAGGAATTCACATACGAGTGTACGGAACGTGCGTGCATAAAACCTGGGGTTGTCGAGTAGAAATCTGGTCGACGTTTACTGGGGCCGTCCATGGTTGTGGCGTGACCGCTGCGCAGAGCCAGGAAACCTTTTCTGAGGGCACAGATCGTGCTTTTACGATTTTGTTGAAAATGACCTAAAGCTTGTCCTATTATGTTATCTCCCGTCGTTTTGACATGTTTGACTTCCTTACTCCAAGTTTATTAGTGCTGTATATAGCGATTTAAAATGCCGTGCGTTGACTTTGGACGTGGTTGCAGAGGTTAGATATTATAAAGTAGATATACATATAATAAAAAGTATAGACTAGCGCGCTGCTCCTTAAGACAAAAGATAAAATATTCCTCTGTCCTCGGACACTTGGCATCAAGTGTTTGTATATATTCCCTACCTTATATTCTTGATGCCATGCTATGTGATGCTATCTAATTAATACTGCTGAGCATCACGCCTGCTGCAAAGCACTGGCAGCCAGTGCTGGCGTGCACTTGTCGGTTATCCTCCCTCGTCTCGCAAATGAAGTGCTCAGGGGGCTCATTCCTGATGAAAGTAGAATATATGTACATACCACTCCTAGACTATGGTAATACCAGCCGCAGTAAAGTGCTGCACCAACGAGGTCCCTAAGGTACCAGTAGGTAGGTACATAGACACATAACTACTTTTGACCAACATCTTCTCATCTCCAACACGTGGCACTCACAGACCCGACTGAGTATTGTGTACATATCCAATGCAAAACGCGTGGCGCGGTGTACCCCGGGGTACTGTCTAAACCAACTATAACTACCTATTTCAAGATTTTCCCACGAAGGGCGTCCAGTCCAGTCCATTAAATTCACTCGTCCTTGTCTTTATCCTCTGCCGCGGCGTTGGCGTCGGCGATCTTAAAGATCGGTCTCTGCGACTCCCACGCGAAAATTGCGTCCGCATCACAAGTCTGCTGTATTTCACGAGCGATTGAATCAATCAGAGAGGACAATTCGGTGTCTGTCTCTGTGGTAGAGGCAGAGGCTCCGCTCCACGTGGAACCATTATGTCCGCTGTTGTTGCGGTTGCGTAGCAGCGCTCGAGCAATGGACAGCCACTCACGCACAGCGACGCGGGTGATGAGCGTGTCGGTCCCGTTGGTGGTGGTGGTAATGGTCTCGCCGCCACTGGCAAGTCCAGAGGCAGCAATATGAACAATCCCTAAAATCTTCTTCCTCGCAGAAGCCCGACACACAGGGGCAAAAAAGAAGGAAAATAGCCTTGTGAAAACGTGTGCGCGGCGATAAAGGTCCATGTCCGTCTGGGTGCGGAGCGAATTGGCCAACAGGTCCAAAAGCCGATCGATCTCGAGTGATTGGGCGTTCACGCCGCCGACGTGATCTGTATCGTCGCTTTCGGGCTCGGCGAGAAACGTCGTCGATAACCAATACGGTAGTAGGGACTGGATGGTCCAGCTGGGCGAGCGGAGGAGGAATTTGTTGGTTTTGCGGTAGAATGGGGATGATGGGTCTGCGATGACTGGGAGGATTTGGATTGCTAGTTCGGCGATGATTGATGGTGGCGGAGCGGTTGACAATGGTGATGTCGTTGAAGAATTGGTTGTTTGCCTATTCTTGTTGTTGCTATTGGTGTTGCTGCTGCTACTGTAGACACGTACAGTCTCGTAGACTTCGCCCAACAGGAGGTAGAGCTGGGTCTTTTCGGCGAATGTGGATTGCTCTACTTCGTGCATGACGGTATGGAGCGTGTGGAAGGCCTGCAGCCGGATCTCGGCGTCGGGACTGATCAGGCAGCGGAGAAGGTTGGCTAATCGGCCAGATTTGATTTCGGATTCGAAGTCTGGTTTCGTCCAGCGGTCGAGACCTTGGAGACTGCTCGGGATAGGCGGTTGTGGATCGAAGACTGTGTCTAGGTCGACGGCGTGTCCGGTTGGATCTGATGGCTTTCCTGTGCCTATATCACTTGCACCGTCTCCGTCGATGCTTTCGGACCTTGCTGTCTCTTTTTGATTGTCGGAAGGCTCTTGTGATGGCAGTTCGACAGGTTTCTTGCGTTGCTTCTCCAATGCCTTGACTAACGCTGCTTTCGCCTTTTCATCTCCATCTGCTTCAACCTTCATCTCCTCTTGAAGATGGCTCAAGACGCGCCAGTTCTCGTCTGCGGCGTCTAGAGCGGAGAAGAACCTAGCCGTCCATTCGGCAATGTTCTTCGTGGCCTTTTTATCCCCCTTCTTCACCACGAACGGCCATTGTTCCGCCATGCAACAGGCTATCAAACTCAATCCTTTTGAGTCCGACAGCATTTGTTGCATCTGCTCGAGACGGTCCAAGTACTTGACAGGTCGCTGCATCGTGCGAGTCATGCAGTTGTCTAGAAACTGGTACGTCTCGAGCTCGGCCTGCCACTTCTTTGTCGGCGTAAGGCTGGCCACAAGAGCCTGGAACGAGCCCGTGTCAGGGTTTAATATCCCTTTGTCGCTCAGAATTGTTCGAATAACAGATAGCGATTGCTTAGCGACAATATTTGCAGGATGCTGAACACTATATTTGAGCAGCTGCACAATCAGCGAGACTGCGTCCGAAGCTGTCTTGGAAAACCACTTGGTAGCCAGGGAGACGTTTGCAATTTGTACGAGATGCTGGAGCTGCTCGTCGAGGATACTTCTTGTGTCCTCTTCGAGGGTGTCTGATTCGAGTCTTCGAAGCGTCTTGCCCAAGGTGGGCCCAATGTCGAACTTTGACGCCGCGGTTGTTTCCGGCAAGACCTTGTGATAGGTGGCCAGGCATTCGAGGATCGACGTGCGCACTTGCTCATTATCCTGGTCGAGACTCTGGAGTGCAGTGACGAGATCCTGCATCGGCGGGACACGGTCTATGAAGAGGTTCAGCAGCCTAGTCGAGGCTTGGGACCACTGTGTTGTACTGGGGTGTGCGTCGTCGAAAATATCCAAGACAGAGGCAAGCTTGTCCATGGCGACTGTAAGTACCCTTGCCGCGGAGATGGTAATAATGTCGTCCTTTGTTTGCAGACATTTCGTTAGAGTGCTTCGGTCTAACGGCCGCGGGAGTATGCTTTCAATGGCAATCGACAGAGGTGGAGGTGTCAGTGCAAAGCCTCCAGGCCAACCACAATGTAACGGCACGGAGAGCTGAACGACAGAGAACAGAAAAGCGAATTGGCCTCGCCACAAGGGGTCATCCCCAGGCGGGACGACGAACTTTGGCTTTCTCGTGAAATAGTCTGCCACAAGCTCGGGAGCCGCCTTGAAGATGGAGATGATCAGGTTCGCCTGCAGACTATCGCTCTCTGGTTTGAGTCCCTGGATAAAGATTGACAGGGTTCCATTCTTCACCGGCACCTTTTGCGTGTAGTCGTCGGAATAGTAAGGAGAGTCAAACCCCAAATCTACCATATTCCCATCTTGCGGGAGAATATCGGGGTTGCTCCCAGGAGGATACCAGCCCGTTTGGCGAAGCAATGGCCCCTTCGTTGTGGTGCACACTTGTATTAACAGGTGCTGTAGAGCGTCACGGACGCTTGATGAACCCCCGTCCACTTCGGCCGTGTCAGCAGACGTATCCGAATAATCGTAAAGCTTGGCCAAAGCCGACAGAAATCCGGAATTGAAACAGCGGCCTTTGATCTGTTTCGACAGACTTTCATCGTCCAAGACAAATTTCTCCAGAACCTTAAGAGTCTGGATAACGACGTCTGCACATTCGCGGGGAAGGGTCCGCACAGCCGAGTATAGAGTCTTCCCATGGGTGATCAGCTCGGTTTTCGACTCAGTGTCCAGATACTTCAGGTTGGCTAGCAGGAAGTCCAGCGCTGCTCGGTGTACGGTTGACGCTGTGCTCTCTGCGCCCTCGGCAGGTGTCTGGGCGAAGAATCCGTCAAGCCGTCTGTAGAGATAATCTCGGCGGCCAAAGACGTTGCCGGCAAGTGCACCGCCATCGAAGCTGATGACCTCAGTCAAAAGCTGCAGACATGCTATCGTTATGCGCCCCTTGGAGCGAGGCAACGACAGGGACTTGTCGAAGATTCGCAACTGATCCCGCTTTAATAAGCTGTGGCACAGAGAAAGGCCAAACTCCCGAAATTCAAGGCGGCTGGAAATCGTCCTGAAGAATTGTGAAAGCGCAGCGGGCACAGCCCATAGAATGGCTTCATCATTGGACTGGCTCGCAGAGGACCAGACGGAGAGAAGATCTGGAAAATCGACCTGCTCGTGGGTCTCGGAGGACTGCTGGTCGCAGTATTCTTTCAGGATCTTGAATTGGTGCTCCTTGATCGCTGTATTTTGGTTTTCCGCGATACTGGACACGAAGGTCTTGAATTGGTTGATTGCTAACTCTGTTAGGACTCCGGGGCTTCTTCCAATGGATGCCGGTATAGGGCCTACCTGCTACGACTCGAGGCGAAGGACTTTGGGAGAATTGGAGGAGCCATTGTAGTTCACCGGCGCTGCTGGGCAAGGCCAACGTTTCTGGAGCGCCGCTGTCCACTTTTCTCCTCTTCCTCGACCGCTCTTCGTCCATTGTGATGGAGGGTTCTCCTGATTTACCTCCAGTATCCCTTGAGAATGTATATAGCCTGGACAAAGACGGTGATGATTGTGAAACCTTTACACTCTGCCAAACAAAATCTCGAGCGGGTCTTGACATGGAGGTCAACGGTCCAATTACAGGAAGCGATCCACACAAACTCCATTTAGGTACACAGTTGGGTCGATGGGTGCCAAGCGCACCGCAAGATACGCACTCGGACTGGGGAGAAAATTTTTGTGTCATCAATCTTACCCTCCGAAAAATCATCACAAATCAGCACAGATTTCAGCGCTTCTCGTTGGTTCTGTAGTGTAGCGGTTAGCACACGGGATTCTGACTACTTTAGAACGTTCCCGTGACCCCGGTTCGAATCCGGGCAGAACCTTTTTTGCAGCTCAATCAGCAACCAATTCGCATCATTGAATGCGCTCTTTTTTTTTTTGATGTTGCTTTGATGTTGCCGGGCGAGGCCGGATGAGTATTCACTTCCATAAAGAGAGTCGTTGCGAAGATATGTTGCTAGCGTGCGTAAAGCAAAATGCAGGCAAGGAACTTAAGGTCGTGCAGTGTCTGGAAATACCATTGTAGATTGGCCATTATTTTGTTGAGGGAATTTACGAACGGGCTTGAGACCGTCAATACATACACGTACTCTTCTTCTTTCTAGAAGTATGATTGTCTCTCTCAATTGCGTATCGGTGGCCTCCATCCAGACTTGTAGTTATGTCGTGGTGTATATCTCGGCAAATTTCCCCTTGCGAACTCTTCTGGCAGTCTCCCTTCCGTCGTCCAATCCTTCTTCCTTCACTGATGGGTTGTTGCTCGCTTAATGTATTTTACCTCGAAACACCAGTCGATATTACCGAGAACCAGTATATGGTTTGCCGTCCTAAGGCAATCGGTCTGCTGCGGGTATCAAGGAAGCCAGAGTGCGAGGGTTATCCAACTGAATAGACCCGTGGTTTCGCTGTACTTGCAGAAAGGCAAGACCGTGGGCCAATTCCTCCACTCGACAGACACTGGGTATGCAATGCTAGCCACCTCTTAGTTCGTTATGCTCTGCAACCAGCTTGTCGTGTTGGACTGAGAACTGAAGCTGCCTCGCCTGTATCTGATGAAACTGTGGTATATCGTGGTAGATTGCACTGATATCGATTGACAATATCCAAAGGCGCCGCTGCTGCCTCCCCTTGCCCAGCGAGGTATCTCCAGCCCCACCTCTCATAATGTATGCCGCCATTTCAACGGCAAACGGGCTGGGAACACAAAGTCTGTCTTTCTCGGGGCTTGTAGCATTGATCGGCCGCACAAATCAGTGTTGGCCGTGCTGACCCAGGCGACTTCTGCCTGGGGATATTTTCAGGGCCCAACGCAATCCACTGCCAAGGGGGTTCAATTGCTGGAAACTGACCTGTGGCCTTCTGAGCAATGAACATGAACTCTGTCACCTGGCCGGCATCTCAGGGGTATTCCTGGCCTGATATGGGGGTACCTCTTCAACCCTTCCGCTAAGTCTTGAACAGAACAGACTCGCCGTTCAATCTCCCACCATAGCCCGGACCCTTTCAATCCTTTGGATAGCCTTCTCCAACCGTTCCAGTCTCTTCCTCTTATCCAGGTCCCTCTGCTCAAGGACCTTAACCCGTTCCTCCAGCTTGGCCCTGGCCTTGCGCTCAGTTGCCACCATCTCATTGGCCTGACCGAACAATTGTGCCGTCAGATCTTCGAGCTCACTTTGCGCCTGGGACAGACTAGACTCGGCACGCAGACGGAGCATGCGTTCTTCTTCAAGAGAACTTTGTAAAGACGACAATGTAACAACGTGACCATCCGACTGCGTCGCTTGTAGAATGGGCGCCGAATGATTCGAAAACGGCGTCTTGGGAGGCGAGAGCGTATTGTTGGCATACGCGGCGCTGTTCTGAGGAAACGTCGATGTCGCGGGTGTCACGGGCGGATTGGACGAGTTGGACTCTTTTCTTCGCCCCGGCAACAGAGCGCTTAGACTTGCCAGCCTGGACGAAGGATGACTGGGCGGTGTGGGCGTGAGTGCTGGACCATGACCTTCAAGACTTGTACTGATCGCTTGTGTCTGCTGTTGCTGTTGCTGCCCGGATGACCGCGCTGCCGCTTCTCTGAGATACCGGATCTCGTCTTCATAGTCGGCCAACTTGTCCACGGCGGCGGCGGCTTTCTGGTTGAGCAGTCTTACTTGGGCCTCGAGGTCTTGGATGCGGCGCTGGGCCTCGGCGGCTGTTTCGGTCGTAGTAGAGAAAGGGAGATGGTAGCCGCATGAAGGACACGATGAGGACGCCAGAGCGGCGGCATTGGGGTACGAGGTTGTCGAATTCAAATTGTCTAGCGGAGGAGTCATCGCCGTGCTACTGAGAACGAGCGTCGATGTGGCCATGATTTTAATATCGCATGTTTTCTTCTGTTTCGTTTCGAGAAGCGTGGTTCGAAGACTCGGTACCGGCGCGTATTAGTAGTAGGCGAGTTGCGCGTGGGAGCCCGCTCAATTTGCTAAAAGGTTCGGGTCTGGAGTTCAGAGAGTGTTGGGCACCAACGGAGGCAAGGCGAGCAGACGGTTCCGGAGTGAATGTTATACTTGGTCAGCACACAGTGAATGATGCATCCATTGGCACCACGGAGCGATGTTGTCGGTGACCGTGGCCGCAGAACCCAAGCGAAAGCGCGTAGGTTTTGTGTGTTTAGCACCCGACAATTTGAACTGGAGCCAACAACTTCAAGTCCGTACAATCTTAACGCACCCCGTTGGAACAGTTGTAGTACAGACAAATTCTATGGTCAACGAGGGACGATGCGCGATCTAGAGGTGAAGTCGACGTATGAGAAGCAGACAACGGCGATTAGATTCTGTCACTCGGAATGTTTCAGCGGCTGTCAGATAAATGAGGGCAAACACTATGCATGCACAGCACGGTAGTAGTTCTCCTGCCAATGCTCTGCCATTTTCGAACTAGAGAATAAGCGGGCTCGCTAGGAAACATTCTGATCATCTTCAGTTGAGTACGTGACAGCCTTGTCCGCTTGGTGTAGACACCACATCATGCCTGACGCCCTGATGATCTATTGTGTAGGGTACATTCCTCAAACACGCATCGGCCAATCGTGTAGGAACAACCATCCCTAGTAGTGGTCGTATCTCGGACACTCGATACTGCTGCAGTGTTCTTCGCAAACTCGCCTTCAATCCCCATCCTCCCTCTGTACTAAGGTAGTCCACAACTCCTTGATGTCGTTGCCCTTCGACTAGCTCTGGGCTGTTCCCGCAATAGCATCAAGGGAGACAGCAGCGCGTTCGCTCCTGGACTCCAAGTAGACGTGGACGATGGTCGCAGCGGCCGCCCCAGTTTACCGGTATAACCGTGATCTTTTACTCTGAAGAATGTGCCCCTCTCGGAAGGTTGGAAACCTGATTTGGTGATGTGTGTACTAGTACAGCAGGAACCCGGCCCGCTAACCTGAGTCCTGGGGGATTTACTCTGAATTTCTGTCTTGACAAGCGCCCGTGACCTCTGGGCCCAAACGAAGGTGTCGGCGTCCAAACACTTGACGGACTCTGTGGCTGATACGTAGTTGTGGCACTGGCTCCGTGGGCCAGGCGAAGCCCGCTTCGGTCGTCCTCTGGGCCTGCGAATCCAGATTGCGAAGGGCTGTAATTGTAATGGAAATCTCAACATTAGGTATCTCAAAAAAGCACTCGAACTCAGAAGATGCACCCGTCTCTTCGACACCCGAAGCCAGCTCTAAAAGAAGTAAGGAAGTGCAGCACTGCGACAGTTAGCGACCACAATTCACTTGCAGCGGCGACAATAGTACTTACGCAATAGCCAGTGTTGCTGTCAGACCCAAGACCGCCCTGTTTCTCACTTTTTCTTTCTTCAGCTTTTCCTCCAGTAGCCTTGCTCTCTTTGCCGGCTGTTCAGAGGGTTCTTGGTCGACATCGGATGGTTCTGATTCGGGTTCGGGGGCCTTGCGTTTCCTAGACACTTTCGGAGAATCTTCCAGGGCTTTGGCTTCCTGTACCATCCTTCTTGCCGTCTCCAACATCTTTTCTGTATCCTCGGGTAATGGTAGCTCAGGCGAGCCGGGCGGCATCTCCACGGTCACATTTGTATGAGTGGTTTCGGTTGTGCCGTCGACCTCCACAGATTCCTCCACTTGAACCTTCACCTTCTCCCCGTCGGTGGCGGGCTCAGTGGAGAGCTGTGGTGATTCGGTTTTGGGCTCCGTGTCCGCGACAGAGGCGGCATCGTCCAGCGCAGACTGCAGAGTTGCGCTTGCGGCATTGGCGTGGGCAAGATTCGCTTCCTTCTGCGCCTTTGTTTGCCTCTTTCGCGGCGAGGCCTGCTTCTTCATCTCGCTCCCTACCTTGCTAGGAGAGACTGATCTTGTCGCCCGAGAACGAGGGGTCTTGGTGGGAGGTGCCAGTCTGGTCTTGTCTTCGGGGAATTCGAACCGGGGAGGAGCCGCAATCGGTTTCTTGGAGCTTGAAGGCGTTTGAGCAAGCTCGGCTGGGTCCAGTAGCGCACGAATCCATTCGGTGAGGCCATATTCTTCGGCGAGTTGGAGGGCTATGACGCAAATGTCAGTACGGGCGCTTCACTGAGCTCGAAAGAATGCAAATGTCATACCGAATTCCGGGGTGACCCAAATGTTGCCGGCGACTTCGTCCTGGCTTGTCGCATCAAGACTCTTGAGGTAGTCGCGCTCTTCCTTTTCCTCTGCATGCGCTGCCCAGGGGAATGCGATCTTGAACATGCCAGTCGCGCTCACAAAGCCGTCCTTGCTTCTCCGCTGAGATCAAATGTCAGATGACGCCGTCAGAAAATGTCATGCAGGACCACTCGTACCATGAGGAAATACCCTTCGCGTGGAGGTTGATTCTGCGGAGGAGAAAAGATCTCGGACCCTGTGAGATCTTCCGGCAGAGGCGCGCGCAGGTGTGCGTATTCGAATGGCCCCAAGTTCTCCGCCTTGGTCGCATTGGATGTCCCGATTTGACCAGGCTTCACCGTCAACTTCGTCTTACCCAGCCTTCTTCTATTGACCAACTCTTCATCTGTGGAACGGTCAGTGCATGCATGTAGTGGACTTTGGAGCAAACATTTCCTCACAGGATGGCGCCACACCAGGCGCGATCAATGGATTTCGTCTTTCTGGTAAGGATCGCATCTTCTCGTTGCGTGTCAGAGGAAGGGTGTCTCAGCGCAAGGAAGGTTGAGGGAATCGGAGAAACGCAGTGGAATACGTTGCCGCGCAAAGGAGCGAGTGGAGTAGGATGACGATGCGACAGCCGTGAGAAAGGAAGCGCGTCGACCAAATCAACCTGATGACGATAGAGACGATCGCACAACAACTCGCCTCAATTGCCGTTTTGTGCGGTAGAATACCTATGAATTAACGCGCTGAGAAGGATGATACCGAAGATATAGAGGAGCGCGACGCCGAGGGGAGCACAAGGTGTAAAGTGATCGAGCAGAGAATGAGGAATAGCTCCGTCACCTTCTGCTCTTGACGGCGTTTGGCTGCTTGAGGGCTGCCAGTGCTGCCAGTGGTAAAGAGGGCAGCCCGACCTCCACTAAAACAGCCGTTGGTTGGCTGCATTGGGAAGCTGCACGTGCCGCTAGTTGCCACTACTGACCTAACCGACCACCTAGCATTTAGCTAGTCCTAGTCGGTGATATGGTGTCTTCCCAGTAGATGCTTTCCGTCGAATTGTGCGTACAATGGTAGTGCCTCACTGATCAGTGCCGAAATACCTAGGTACCGAAAAATGAAAATGCTCTCTCTAAAGGAAAGGAGAGCGTTAACCCCCTAATGCACTGCGCCTATTAGGCAGTTTGGGGATCTCAGGAGGCTTCCACGTGATCAACTTGAAGTATTCGACGAGGCTGGGCAGCACAGGTGCAATCATCTGGACTGCCAGTGCTCGCACCTCTCGCATAGCCCGGGCTGTTCACTGCTTGAGCTGCTCGGCGCACTGCTCGCTCAAAGTCTTCCAGCAGTGACAGTGCAGACGGCCTATATGGTGGCAATACAAGGCAGAGAAATGTCGTCGCCATACCCAGGCTGCGGTGCAGATTCATTTTCCAGATCTGAACCTACACCTGTCCATCACTTCCCTTACTCCTTGTTCTTCTTCAATCCCCTTTGGTTGCTCAACTTCTGCTGCTCTCTCTCGTCACCAATATCTAAGTATTCGTCCCCACGGTACTCCCAGCTACCAATGTCCGTGGGTCCTTCCATGCCCTCAGGCGGTAGAGCCCATTGCGGCACAGGACTGCGGTAACTCCAAGTCCCCGCTACATCTGAGTAGGCAAGTGCATGGAGGTATATCCCGAGCTCGTGCGGTCCAGGATCCGAGTACAGCGGAGTATCGCAAACGGGACATTTCTCTCCTGTCATCTTCTCTCCTTTTCGTTTGTTGTAGTCGGCCACCATCTCATCGTGAGCCTTCACGAAGGCTCCGTATTGTTCCTGACTGTACATTGGGTCCTCACCAGGAGCTCCCAGAGATCCTGCATGTAAAGTACCCGTCGCCAGAGGTTTGAAATGGGGATCCTCCTGCGAAGCGGTGGATGACGGAACTGAAGCATCCAACCTGGCTGCGTCCGAAACAGTCATTTGCTGGGTTTGCTCCACGACGTTCGCCAGCCGTCGTTCCTGTTCGTAAGAGACTGAATCAGATACTTCAGTCTTTCCTACCCTTTTGAGTCTCTCAATAATCTCCTCGTCCTTGTCCCCGCTCGAGTCATTCCGTGCCAGGCTCGGTCCAAAGACGGATCTGTTGCTGTATATCGGGTCGTTGGTGATGGGATGTCCAAGAAACTGCAAATGTACGCGGATCTGATGCGTACGGCCTGTCAACGGCAGGCAGTGAACAATGCTGTAACCTTCTTCTTCAGTCCCCGGAATGGCAGGGGCCGGCTGAGCCACGTTGGCATCTGACTGTACATTTCCGGTCTCCGTTCCCCCTTCTGTCTTGTGAGGATAATACGCTAACCGGCGGAACAGTGTTTTGGCTGACTTCCCACTGGCACGGGCCCGGTTGAGGCCAAGGATCGGGCTGATTGACAGAATACTTTCCTCGCACTTGACGACACCGCCACGCATTGGGTCACCGTCCCATCCCTCTCCGTCTGGAAATCTCCCCTTGACTCTGGCAACGTACTCTTTACGCACTGTCCGTCCCCGAAGCTCCTCACTGAGCTTGTCGGCCTCCCTGCCTGTTTTCGCAATGAACATAACACCACTGGTCAGACGGTCCAATCGGTTGCATGGTAAAGGTTTGAAGGTGTAGTTTCGTTCAGCTTTCATGATTTCCACCACAGAGTTGTAGTTGTATCGGCCGGCGGGATGAACGGGCACACCAGCAGGCTTGTCAATCACTATCATCTCGTCCGTCTCATGGATGATACGAATGGGCTGCGCAGTGACGGGAGGCTCGTGTCTGTGCAGAGTATGTGAGATCACGTCTCCGTTTTTGACCACAGTGTGGATGTCTGTACATGGATTCCCATTAACTGCAATATGGCCCGTCTCGATGGCATTCTTGTAATATTCGCGAGTGCGATCTCGAAACTCCGCCGCGAAAATATCGAGCAATTCTCGCCCGCGCCATCGTTGTTTGCAGAATGTGTTATATGTAAAGAAATAGGGCGCAACCCTTCGGAGGCCGTTCTCGATGTAATAAGGTCTTGGAAACGGCTCGCATGGAGTCACGACTTTGGCCGGCGGTTCTTCAAGTGGCTTCCGGTCATCATAGAAGGCCTTGGGTTTTATTTCGACGGTGGCCACGGCCATGCTAGGGCTTGGATAGAGGCCACGCCGTGCCAGGCACGCAAGCACTCGCTGTGATTGAGCCAGGGATGCTGCAGAAACTCGTTCGTCTGTCGCAACAAACAGTCAAGTCCAGCAGGGAAACAAAATACAAGTTGGCTTTGTACCTAGGTAGACTGGTAGGCTAGCATAACTTTTTTTTGTTAGGCAGTTTCTCGCCAGTGGTTGGCAGGCGAGACATCCTTAGCCGCGGCACTTGACAGCCCGGGACCTGGCTAAAGACTTGTTATAAGCCCTGCCGTCACCAATTACAAACGGCTTTCTACCTCGTGCTCATGAGCGAATACCTGTCGCTGAAATCGAGACACTACAATGTTGGGTCTGGATATTGCTTCCAAGCGCAAGAGGAAGCCCGCCGACTATCCCTATCACCTGGACTACCGGACTCGATGGTATGTCATTCACCGCCGGCATAAAGACACCACTAATACAGCTCTCATGCAGGTCCGACAATGATGTCTACCACCATATGAACAACAGCATATATTCCTTCTTGATCGACTCAATTGTCAATGCTTACTTGATCGAAAAGTGTGGCTTGGATCCTGCAAAATCAAACCAGGTTGGCTTAGTAGTTAGCACGTATTGCGACTACTTTGGTTCGGTGGGATATCCTTCTGTACTGGATCTGGGCCTGAGGGTTGTCAAACTGGGCAAATCTAGTGTCATGTACGAAGTGGGAGTTTTTGAGCAGGGCGAAGAGCAAGTCAAAGCCGTCGGTGGCTCGATCCATGTGTTTGTTGAATCCAAGGGACGACGGCCGGCCAAGGATGGAATGGAGCCTCGTATGAGGCAAGGACTGGCACAGCTCCTCGAGACAGAGAAGGACAAATCCAAGTTATAGCAAGAACCAGACATCGCTGAAATGGTATTGAATTTTCTTTTATTGCTGCCACGCTTGACCGCATGCTCCGTACCGGCCCCGTAACCCGACTGTCTGCCGTAGAATGACGGCGTGGGCTATTTGTTGCAGGATGAACCCATCCGGCTCTGATGCAACGGCCCGTTCATTGAATCATCGTCAAGCACAACCACAAATTCGTTCCACCGCCACCAAGATACCAGCTTATGATTCGGTCGTAATCTTGGCCTTGCCGTTGGTGACCTTGACACCGAGAGCCTTTGCCTTGGCGACAATCTCAACTCGCTTTCTCGAGGAAACAGCAGATGCGATCTCGGCGGCGTATGTTCGGTTGTGCATAAGGAGAAGCTCAACGTCCTTGGGGTTGTGGACGAGGAAAGCCTTGTGGCCCGAGGGCATCATGTGTCGGGTCTTCTTGTTTGAGCCGTAACCAATCTATGATTCGCATTGTCAGAAGGGCAACCCTTAAAAATCAATGAATTCGTTGAGTGCCCGCGTATTGTGTCACTCGCGCGCGTCCTCGATTCGAATCCAATCCCAGAAGATTTTCTTCACATACCGATGGCATGACCATCTGGCCCTTAAACCGTCTTCGGACTCGGTTGTCGATACCCTTTGGTTTCCTCCATGCTGAGGGCACACACTTGAATGTGTCTGACTGATGTCGGTGCCACTTCTTGGGGTGCTTCTTGATGATCGGAACGTGCTTCTTTGCGGAAACCATCTGCGCAATTGTCAGTGACGGAATACAGACTCCTTTGTGTCGGTTTGCGAACCTTGTCGGGTACTGGCCGTGGCGCTTGAAGCAGATAACAAGAGGTGTGGTGAAAGTCGTGGTCTCCTCCAACTTGAAGTCCGCAGTTGCAGTCGCTCAATTTCTGCGCCAAGAGTTCCAAATTTGTGGGCGATGGGAAAAAGTGCTCTAACCCACTTTAGGAAAGGTGCGAATTATTGGTCTGCCGTGCAGTGAGCCTCATCAGCCTCAGCCTCAGCTTGAACTGCGATACCAGGCTAGTACCTAGTTGTACTACAGGTACTGGACTACACAGTACTACTCCATGCACCTGATCCCCGTGTGGATATTCACAATCATCCTATGTAGTCATTCACTCTTGAGCCGGCTGAGCCCAGTTTATCTACCACTCCTGCCATGAGCTGGACAACTACAGCTCCTGGTGCTCCAGTTTGATCGGTACGCCGCCCTGCTCACCGCTACGAAGCATCGCCTCGATCAGCTCCAAGTCTGCCAAAGCCTCTTCTGGCGACTGCTGTTCGTTGGTCGTACCCGCGGCGAGGGCTTTTCCCCAATTCCTGACTTCGGGTGGTACTCCAGATTTCTCATCCTCAATTCGCTCGGTCTTGCCGTCAACCGTGACTTGATCACGCGAAATGCTCACAGCCCCATTTTCGCAACCAACAGTCCATTCACTTCCTTTGGCCGTCGTGCCAAAAGAGATGGAAATCGTGCCCACCGCACCGTTCTTTGTCCTTCCCGTAGCCTCGACAGTGTCGACCGGCGGGAGATGCTCTTGTAGCTGCGCAGAAAATGCCGACACAGTGGCCAATGGGTTGTCCTTACCCAGCATTAGTCGAAGGCCTGCTGTAAAATGGACGCCGCCGTCGAGCAGAAAGCCTCCCTGGTGCGTAGGTGTCTTGCGCCACCTGGTATTCATCAGTTGGCTTGGTCGATTCAAGAAAGGCTTTTGTCTTACGAAGTCTCGAAGTACTTTCCTCCCTCCACCAAAGTTTGCATGCGGCATCTGAAAGTCAGCTGCCGACCCTTTGTCTTCACGGCTTCGGCAGCGTGAAGGAAGGAGTTGAGATATCTGAAATTCTCCGCGACAGACCAGGTCACTTTTCGAGGCGCAATCTCCGAACGATACCATTTGATGAGTTGTACCGCGTCTTGGACGTTTTCGGCCACCGGCTTCTCAGAGAGCACATGCTTTCCCGCCATCAATGCTTTGCGCACGTACTCGGGTTGGTTCCTGATGGGGAGGGCGATGATAACCGCTTGGATATCCGTCCGGGCTAGGAGATCGTCCAGAGACTTCCCAGCTCCGCTCTCATCAGAGTAAACATCAACCTTAGACTCGTCCACCTCGAGTGTCCGAGCAGAGTTTAGCGAGCGAGAGTAGACAGCTTTCAAGGTCAAGTCTGGTGCGGCCTCTACCGCCGGCTATAGCAGTCGGCGTGTCAGTAAACGATGAAACGAAACGGCACGTTGCTCGATCTTTGCCTACCTTATGCTCCTCCCGGGCGAAGATGCCTGCATGGTTGTTATTGACGGCAAGCAATCACGTCTTGAAAGGCGACTTACCTCCGCCCAGAATTGCTACTCCGATAGCACTCATTTTAACGCCCAGGGTTCCTGAGGTTTTCAGATTAGACACAGCAAGAAGTCGGCTGTTGGTGCTTGAGATGAAGTGGTCACAATGCCTTTATAACTCGGTCGGTGAATGCAGTGGACGTCCTCTTGGATATTAGCCTATGCGGTCTGATTTAACCCGGCCCAATCTGACGCCACTGTACATGAAATGTGAGGTACAAGGTACACGGCATCGAGCAAGGCAGAATACAGTGTCTACATGGCGACTACCCGGGACATGTCACGTGGGAGGCCCCTGAAATGTTTGATTCAATGACGGCGTCAATTCTGCCACCTTCAAGTTTGAAGACTTTCGGTGGGGGAGCTCAACAAAGATATGCGTAGTAGTAGTTGTAGTCCCAAGGCTGGACTACTACGTGGAATTGCCCGAGACGGCATGACCACGACTTTCCAGTAGAACTGTCACCTGGGGCTTCCAGCAGCACAGTTTATTCTGGACTGTATTGTCAATTCTGGTCATGTTCGAAGTTGTCACCCTCGGGACCCTGCCACGGACGCGTTGGGATCCGACCTCGCCATCTGCCATTCAAGTCACTAGTATGGCGACATCTCCGACATAGGACTCCTTCCCCTGCCCCATATTCAATATTCCTTTTATTGTTCCTCCATCACTCAACCTACGGTATATATTCCTTTTCTCTGGGTGTTGCTGGAGGCTAGATCCCAACAGATTCTCGCATTTCATTCATACTTCGCCTCCATGGCTCAAGACTCAACCGATGCCTCCGAGCGGCCTCCACTACCCTTGGAACTTCGTGCCGCGACGCGCGAAAAGCATCACGCTTTAAACACCGAAATAACAAAGCGGCTACCATTATGTTTATCCCCACAAGTGGAAAGTCCAGTCGTTTACGCCAAAGGTATGGCTGCATTTGGCCAGGTTTATTTTGCCTTTGAGGACGTCCTCGCCACGTCGAATGCCGGCGGGCACCTCGAGCCTCGCCTCCAGGAAATTTACGAGATCATACACGTGCCTCAGCTCATAAGGACAAGCCGGCTACGAAACGACATTGATGTGATCAAATGCAGGCTAGACAAAGCCGCTGTGGACGAAATACAGTCCGTGGAGGAGGAAGCGAAGGCCTTCTACACGCGGATACACGACCTTTTGTCTTCGAAGCCTCACGTACTGCTGGGATATGCATGGGCCATGTACCTGGCTCTCTTCAATGGCGGCCGCTGGATCCACAGGCAGCTGGTCTCGCAGGGTTCTGGCTTTTGGCGGGGAGAGCCGTTTCCCCTATCGTTCTGGGAATTCGAAGGTAACGGCAAAGACGATCCTGAAGGCGACCACCTCAAAGTGCTGTTTCAGGAGAGATTTAACTCTGCGGCCTCCCTTCTTCGATGCGAAGAGAAAGATGATGTTGTCAATGAGACCATTCAGTTATTCAAGCTTTGTTCCGAGATTGTGCATGTTCTGGATGACAAGATGGCCGCCGCAGCGTCGACCACGGTTCCCACTCCGTCGTCCACTCCCGCAGATTCTGAAATCCACAGCTCTCTTGGAATAACCTCGCCAATTGCCGCAACCTGGGGTTATCTGGCATCCTCGTATTCATCACTAAGAAGGCTGGCCAACTGGGCGTGAGGCTCCGGACATCTCAACTGACCTACAGCCTGAAGAGCAGCATTTGGTGGGTGAATCACTGGCTTTCCGCTGCAAGCGACGTCACGGAGGAGGCAATGTCTCGGCGCCCATAGACTGATCGATAGACGGAGTCAACTTTGCAACTAGTTTGCGTTATTGGCACTGATGCTGCGAAGACACTTCTGGCGCTTCAATCAGCGCCCGCAGGGCACCCACAGGACATCCACAAACCCAGGCGTAAGGAGGGCAACATTTTGGACACTCCATGCAGGTCTAAGTGCCAGCAGCATTTCTGCCCCTGGGTCTTCTTGTTTGTGCTTTGCCATGGTCCATCCTGGCTGCCTCACCACTGGATCGCTCGGCGCAGTCCTACAGCTTAGGGGCGGCTGGACGGTATCTTTGGAGGCTAGGGCGTATTCAACAACTTGAACCCACCAGGTCTTGTGGCACGTCTCCAAAGCCCAGCTTTTGGTCGAGGCCGAGATAATAGGCAGGAGTTGGTCTCATCTCACAGGCTCGTAACTTCTGAGACCACAATCGAGACCTACGAATGGACATAAAGATAGCTCTCCGCTTGACGAGACCGAACCATAAGTTGTAGGTATTCTGCAGTGTTATATATACCTGCCAGCCATCCGTCTGGGCAGGTACCAGCCGAACGTGACGTAGCGGCCAGTGCGGCATCACATGGGTACGTCGGAGCAGGCGATCCAGAAGTGCAACATCGGTTCCAATATCTCGCAATAACATGGTCCCATACTCGCGGTGATGCTGTTATCAGACATCTTCCCGCGGCATAGCATTTCATCATTCATCCAAGTTGGCCCCTAAGGGCTGTGAGGAGGCCAGGCCATTGGAGGTAGTGATGACCTAGCTGTAACGAAACTCATGCATCCGGAGATTTCTACCTCGGTCGATCGAACCATGCCCGGAATGATCTCGCATAGAGATCGTTGCTCCAATGTCGCAAACAAGACCTGAGAAATTGCGTACTCGGACACTGACCGGTTGTTACACCTGTCGGGAGCGCAAGTTGAAATGCGACGACACGCGACCTGCTTGCAAACGATGTATCGCGCTCGGCGTCGAGTGTCAAGGCTACGAGGTCAAATTGTCCTGGCTGGCTTATAATCAAGACCAGCCCCGCGCGAAGGAAACCGACACTGAATCCGTCCGTACGAGGAGCTCGGCCAAAGGCAAGAAGAATGGCTCCGGAGAGCCGGCCCTCCGCCGCCGTCCCTTGTTCACCGGTAGGTCGCAGGTCGCCGTCTTTCCTTGAGATTTCCTGTCACTGATCGTAAGGCGCACAGACCGTGAAAGGCTTGATATGATCCATAAGATACAGAAAGACTTCGTGGATGGTGACCAGGATGGGAATCTCAATCGCGCCCTGGATGACATTGATGCCTTGGGTGAAGACCCGTCTCTTCTGCCACGTTCCGGCCACGACGTTGGTCCTTTTGGTGTCTTCTTTCTCGATTCATTCTGTCAGTCTGGAACGACGGAGGACGAGGCCCTCCATACGCCCGAGACAGATGCGCAATCCTCAATCCATAGACAGAGCGAGCCAAGTCCAGAGGGCGTGGGGACCGCGATGTACAATATCGATCAAGTTCAAGCTGTCCCGGGCGAAGACCTCGCTATGCCCTGGCTCGACGGTGTGGGCGAGCTTGTCATGCCCTGGATGGAGGTTACTCAAGAGAACCCAGGGTCTACCATGGCAGACCATCTGCTCCAACCCGGACCCTCCGGAATCACAGGTCAGACGGCCGGCTATGACTATTCCACAGGAGCGTTCGATGCGCCCGAAATGTTACTGGCCGGAGCGACCATGCACGGCCTTTTCGCACCTTTCTATCAGGACACATCACCCATGATGCGGACGAGGGGTGGTGATACTCAAAGGCAGAACACGACGCTGGCCGCAACTGTGGAACAAGCCCATTGGTCCGGTCAGCCAACACTGAACCGAATCCCGAGGTCGCTGTCCAATATCGAGAACATATCCAAGATTCCATCCGAAGCTCGCTTCCTACTTGAATACTATTCCACAGAAGTGGTCGACTACATGTGTCATCTTCCGAATCCCCAGTCCCCATGGAGGACCATTCACTTCCCGTGCGCCATGAGCACAATGGCAGACCTGCTCGTGTTCGGAAGCACCAACAGCGCCAGAATGGCGCTCTTTTACGCCCTCTTGTCAATCGCGGCGAACCACTTGGGTTCGAAAATCCCTTGGTCCATGCAACTTGAAAAGCGGTCACAGGATGCGACGAGGTACTCTGGGTCAGATCCCGTCCCATCGGACTCGAATGAGATGTGCAACTATTGGCAGGCGAAAGGATCTTCTTTTCAGGACATGGCCACCGCTCAAATCCAGTTGTGTTTACAATCCCAGCAGGAACAATATGACGATCAAGAAGTGTACCGAGAACTGTTGATGACCTTGCTGAGCATGGTGACCATCAGTGTGACCAGTGGCAAGCTCAACAATGCCCATATCTACCTGCAACACGCGAAAAAGATGATTGAGATGTATGTTGGAGCGCGGTCACGGAACTCGTCATTCAAGTCCACCAAGGTGGCGGCATTGCACCAAATCTACTCCTATCTATACATAATCTACAACAGCACTCACGTCTCCAAGGTACTGCCGGGCCCGGCCCAGGGGCAATATGATCTGACACAGCCACATGCTGGTTCAGGCTCACTGAGCTTCAGGCCGCGCCCCTTGGGGCCACAGTTGTCACCGGCTCTCCACACCAGTCTCGATTCTCTGGCTCAGCACAAAGATGACTACGATTTGTTTGTCCGGATATATGGTGTGCCCCGATCTCTTTTAAGCCTGATATCAAAGGCGTCGAACCTCGCCAAAGAGCTGGAGGAGGATGGGCAGACGCCCAACAGCAGCTCCTCTGCTAGTGGTGACTTTCGGCATCGGTGCGAGGTTCTTGAGGAAGAGATCTGCAACTGGCAGCCTTTAGACCACGAGATGTCTGCAGTCGAGGGGTCGTCGGCGTACGATCCTCAGATTGGATCGCACCTTGTCCAAGCCATGCATCATGCTTTGATTGTGATGTTCTTCCGCAGGGTGCGGTCGGTCAACCGGATGGTACTGCAGCATTACGTCGAGAGCGCGGCGGATCACCTGAACGATCAGGAAGAGGTCAAGATGCGGACTGGCATCAATGCGCCGGCCCTTCTATGGCCTTGGTTCATGGTTGCCTCGGAGGCCATTCGAGAACCGATCCGGCAGAAACTGCGCATGTGGGCCAGTCTGGCCCGGCGATACGGCGGACGAAACCTCGAGATTGCCGAGCAGGTGGTCAATGAAGTCTGGAGGAGGCAGGACCAGAAACTGCCAGACGCTTCATGGGTACATGTGGTGCAAGAATGGGATGCCACGCTTGTCCTGACGTGAGGTGGCGACTAGGCTTGGGCAAGGGGGCCGCGAGAGAGTCTGGCTTCCGCCTGTGTCTCCGGCTCCTCGGGAATGTATATCATCCACTAATATGTATAAAGATTACAATGACACATACGCCCACCGACACACCTCTTCCTCGAGGAAGCGGAAGGCGAGTGCGATCTGCGGCCAGGCGCTGTGGGCGTTCAAGTTTGGGGCAAGTCGGCGCGCTGGACCAGCTTGAGGGATTACTATGACATACTGAGGTCTTCGATGGTTCTGAGCGATGTTCTAGGATGGTTTTGGGTTGCCTTTTCCCTTTCGTATCGAGGAGTAGACATCTACAGGGACTCATCAGAGTGCTGCTAGTAGCGAGGTTAACAGTCCAATTAGAATTGCACCTGCCGCGGTCAAGACCTTCCTTTGTGAAATCGCTGGTCGCCTCGACTTTGGCTAACATCTGCATCTGCGCATCTCGCAATCTACGTATCTTGGGCCGTCATCCTCGTCGTCAGCTTGTGATTGCAAGACTAGAAGCTTTACGCGCAGCTGGCAGGTCTCTGATACCGGAGCCTTCTGGAGAGAAGAGGTGGCCCTTATCAGGCCTGGGGACAAAAGTACGAGTCACGAGTCCACGAATTGAGCCACCACGATTACTATCTGCCATCACTGCAGCCTTCGACCATGCGAATCCACCGTGCCCGTTCTCTCGGTGGCAAGCGGTGCGCCTAAGCGAAATGGAAGGGTCCACGCTTTGACACTGCTGCCGCCAGTCAATAAAATGGTCGACGAGAGGTCTCAGGCTCGGCCTGGCCTCGGGGTGACTTGCCAGCGATTTCTGCAGACTCGGGCAGCCCTGCGGTGGTTTGCCAAACCTCGTCGAACTTCGCACTCACCCTCAAACCCGACCTCTCTTAGCAGGACAAAGGCCCGCCTGGACTAGATAAGCTCGGAGAAGCCTACCTTCGCTCCCACTTTACCTCGCACAAGACATGGCACTAGAGGCCCAAGCAACTGGAGAGGGTTCGGTGGCTGAGGTAATGTACGGGGGCGGATTCTGTGGACTCAGATAACCGGGAGCCGACCCTCTTCTCCAGATATCACTTGTATAAAAAGACTGGAGTCTTCCCTACCGTGGGATCGGGTTTGACGAGAAGAGGCAAAGCAGCCTGCATCTACCGTTCTTCTTCTTCCTCTAACCAACCCTTCCCACCGCAGTCACTCAAGTGCTGCACATCCTCCTCCTCAGCCGAGGGAGCCTAACAATTTCTCCCACTCTTGCACGCCCTCTCCTGCCATGCAAGACCAGAAGATGATGGAGTCCAAGGAGATATCGACCGGTCCTATCACCGAGGTCTCCTCGCAGGATGAGGACAAACTCGGAACCGTGGAGTCCTTCGAAGAAACTGCCAACCGCCATGGAGACCAATTTATGGGAAAATACCGTCGCTCGTTCCGTTCTCGCCACATCCAGATCGTGACCTTAGGCAGTAACATCGGTTCTGGTCTGTTCATCTCGACGGGAAAAGCTCTCCGAAATGCCGGTCCTGGAAACATGATTATTGGGTACACAGTGGTGATGACCATGGTACGTTGCCCTTTCTGCTAGTGGGAGGGACTGTGCTAATATCCTGCCAACCCAGGTCGTTGCAACTCTTCAATGCTTGACCGAAATGACTGTGGCCTTTCCTGTCAGTGGAAGTCTTATCGACTACGCAGACCGTTTCATCGATCCCGCCCTGGCCTTTGGAATTGGATTCGGCGAGTGGCTAGCCTGGACGACCGTCCTAGCTGCTGAAGGAGCGGCCTTCAATGTCATCATTCAATACTGGACAGATGCGGTCCCTGTGGCTGTGTGGAGTAAGTGAATGAAACCTCCCCTTTCCCCTTCTCCACAATCTCTTCTACAACCAAACCGGCCCCCCAACGCCGGGCCATCTTCCGAGATTACGAGAGGTCAAAAAAGTTGGCGATGAAGAACCGAATGCTGACCGGCTCATCCCTGCAGTGACCATGATCATTATCATTACCTTTGGTATTCACGCCTGCCCAAACAGAGTGTTCGCAGAAGTTCAATACGTCGTTTCCGTCCTGAAAGTCTTCATCCTACTACTTTTCATTGCGACGAGTTGTGCCATGATCTCTGGTGCTGGTCCAACAGGAAAGGTCCATGACGGCGAGTACTGGCGTGATCTTCCGGCGTTTTTGCACGGTGTAAAGGTGAGGAAACGTGACATTGCAAGACCGGGTTAAAAGCTGACAATGTCAACCAGGGTACCAGTCTCTGCGCCATCTACGCGGTGTGGGGAGTAGGTGAGCAGCTTTATGTTGGGATCATGGGTGGGGAGACCAAGAACCCAAGGCATACGATGCCACGAGCTGTAAAGAGCGTGGGCGTTCGTGTGTTCTTCTTCTTCTTGCTTATCGTCATCTTCATCACGCTGCTTGTCCCTGAGAATGACCCTCGCTTGTTGGGTGGATCCGGCATAAACGCATCGCCGCTTGTCATCGCCCTCAATGACGCCGGCATCAAAGGCATCCCCGAGATCCTTAATGCTGCCTTCCTCGTCATTTCGGCCACCGGCGGCCTGGAGCCCCTTTACATCGCATCTCGCGTCATGCGGCACATGGCTCTGTCAGGCCAACTGCCCAAGAAGCTGGCACAGGTAGACAACAAGGGTCGTCCGACCTGGGCTCTGTTTGTGACCTCCATCTTCACCATTACCTTTACATACATCAACTGCAGCTCCACGGGCTCCGTCATCTTCACCTGGTAAGAGAGCAGGCAACTCCTAAATATATGTATTGCTTTATGGACGAGACTGACGTGACATTCTTCTCAAAACAGGTTTTCCAGCATTTCCTCGACCATCTTCATGATGGCCTGGATTGTGTTGGCCTTATGTAGCTTTCGGTTTCACGCTGCAATTAAGGCCCAAGGCAGCAAACTTTTGGAAGGAAAGTACGCCTATCGTGCGGTCCTCTGGCCACTCGGACCTCTCTTCCTGGGCGTGGGCGCGTTTCTGGTCCTGGTTGGCTTATTCGCGGCGGCCTTGTATCCTGTCGATGGCAAAGCACTCGACGCCGAGGCTTTCTTCCAAACATACCTAGGTGTTCCGGTTGTTGTGGTCGCCATTATCGGCTACAAGCTGATCTTCCGCACCAAGATTCGGCGTGCCAGTGAGATCGACCTTGTCACCGGACACCGGCCGTTGACCGAGGAGGATGAGGCCTTCTTGGACCAGTACTACGCTCAGCCCATGTGGAAGCGAATCTGGAGTTATGTCACGACCAGCGACCGGTAAAGGGGAAGATGGTCTATGAAGATGTTTGATTATGAAATGAGAGAACATGGTATATTGGATCCACAGAGGTGGAGCATCTGGGCAGTTTAGATAGTAACCTCTCAGAAAACATATATTGAAAATGTAACATTGCCATGATCGGTTTATTGGTGATGAATTGTGCCAAATCTCATGACGAGCCACTTGAACTACATGGAAAGCGTTCGCTCAGTCCTTAGCGCCATCTGTGCCTTGATCAACTCGCTTCACTTTTTTCTTGTTTCCTACTAGGATCATGATGGAACTAAATGTGACCATTGGTTTGGGCGTGCGGCTGAGGCTGAGGCTGGGTCTTCTTTTGGGTAAGAGTCCACTGGACGACCCTCAACAACTCATGGACCTGGGTCAAGACGGGAGTGGGGACACTGTACTGACGAGCGACCTTTAAGGGAGCGCCGAGGATGACATCGAGTTCCATGGGACGACCTTTCTCGAGATCGACCAACATACTGGGACGGAAGGGGCTGGTGGGCGGAGTACCCTTGAGGGTCGTCTGGATGATTTCCTCGGAGACGTTACGACCGAAACCCGCGGCGGTGGCGATGGCGGCGATCTCGCGCATAGCGGGTTCAAGAAGCGTATCGCGGCCGGGGCTGGAGAGCAATTCGCCGACAGAAATCCGGAGCAAAGTACAGATTGTGTTGAAGGAGCCGTTCCACAGCAGTTTGCGCCATCGGGCACCGACGACGTCGTCGACGAGTTCGCATTGTGCTCCGGTTTTGGGTTTGGCGTCGACCAGTCCCGCGTTGTAGAGATCCGTGAAGCGTTTGGCGGCGTCGAGTTGGGTTTCATGAGATAAGTAGGGTTTGCTGTTTGGGTCTTTGTCGTGGTGGTAGAAGGGGCCCAGTCTCATCTCGTCTGGGTCTTCGTGGTAGATTGTCCGTGGTGATGTGTTTCGAGAACCGATCATACTGACGGCCGATAAGATTGGTGTGGTGGGGAATGCTTCGGCGAGGGGGGTCTCGATGTTCAAGCCGTTTTGGATTAGGACAAGACTGGTTTTTCCTTCGGTGATGAGTGGTTTCAGGTCGGGAATCATTGCGGCCACAAGATCGGGGAGGGCTTTGGTTGTTATGACGATGAAGTCGTATCCGTTGGGGACGGTTTTGGCGGCCGCGGAAAGGGATGGGACGACTGAAGGAGGCGAGGGTTAGTGGATGGAAATTGAATGGATGCCGCCGAGGATGGGATGGGATGGGATGGGATGGTATGTTTGATGTGGTTGTATAGATGGATAGATAGGGGCATGGTAATGTCAATGAGGGATGAAGCGTGTGGAAAGTTCAGGATAGCTAGGGGACAGTGGGAGGAGGGAGTGAATCTTTGGGCCTTCTTCTTCTGGACGTTCTGGCTCTTGGTCTGATTCTTTCTTTTTTTTAATCTCTCGCTCCGTAGATGTGGCATGAAATGAAACACAACCATCAAGCGAAATCTTCAAGGGAATGCAATTGATTGATGTGTGATGCGTGATGCATGCACAACAAGAAATTCATCCGACTTACCATGGGTCGGCTTGAAACCTCGAACCTCGCCATGGTCGACCGAATCAATGTCAACACCTTGGTCCTTGACGATGTGGTAGTTGGACCGCAACACGGCCGTGACTCGTGCCCGTCCCGACTTCTCCAGCACGTACGAGGTGATGGTGCCCACGCCGCCCACGCCGACGAGGCAGACGTCGAGTTTGGTGTCGTTGTTGGTGGTTGCCATTTTGTCTCTGCTCCACGCCTATCAATTAATCTATTTCGTGTCGTCGTGATGATGCGTGTCGATTGCGGTATTATAAAAGTGTATGATTGTGACTGCCGTCTGGAAGATTCGGTTCTCCTTCAGATGAACGAAAATGGACCCCAGGCTGCTCCTCAGCCAGAAGAAAAATGCCGGGGAAGCACCGATGCGAAGCGATGCGGCTGAACGGCTGGCACGACACGAGGCTGTCCGGAAAGGGAAGGAGGTTGTCGACAAGGCTGTGACACAATTATTATCACTGTGCTGATTGGCTGGATGCCTGCGTAATCTACAACTGTTACACGTTGCCTTACCGGTCAACGGAAGTATATCTGTATAAGAGGCTTTCAATCCATGGCACCCATGACAGTTAGCGCGAGGCAGCCTTATGCAGGCAAGTCGTCAGAGTTTATCAGATCAACAAATATGTAGTAGTATGCAAACGGTGTGCCTGGCGGTGTTGCCTGCAGGGCAGATATACCTATATACACTAGGTGCTGATTGTAGATAGTGCTCTACATTATATGTTGGTGACGACACATGCAGAAGGCAGTATAGTGTATAACAAAAACATTATAGATGTTGATCCCATCATCACCACCCGGGTACCTATTTGGTACTTTACATGGTGTGTATGAGTCTCACATTGCTCCCAGTCCAGACCCAGTCACAGTTCCAGATAGTCGATGGCCCACTGACACCATGATTGTGCCCGAGGTAGTTCTCGTCCATATCACACTATGAAAGATATATCGATTGTGAAGACCGGCAGCCTTCTGATCTAACGGCGAACTCCTGCCAACTACAACAAGCGTTCGGTCTGCAGCATATACCTACCAGACTATTGGCTAGCAATCAGAAAAAGTAAGCATGGAGAACCCCGGCCGGGCGGATCACCGTAGGCACACTGCAGATTAAAACAAATTCCCCTAGATTGTTGTATGGGCAATTTCTATTGAAGCCCGCCCGCCACACAATGGAGAAAGAAGAACTTGAAGAGCAAGTGGCGCCCGAAGCAAGACGAGGAAAGTGACCCCGACAAGGAGGGTGCGGAGGTGTCCCGTGACCCATGCCCAAGGCCCGTGACCACGCTGGACACTCCACAGATACTATGTGCCCAGGTATCCAGGGCAGGCCAGTAGTGCCCCATCAGGCTCAGTTTCCTCCCGGATGTCAATCTACCACTGCATCGAACGCCACCGAGGCGATGGTCATGATAAGCGGCTACATCAAAGATTCAATGTTACCTGAGGGCCACACGGGTGGGCGCCATGAAGCGAGAGAGTTTGGGGGTCCTGCTCTTCGGTGCCCAACTGCAGTATTTTTATAATAATATTTCATATCTCGGGAGCGATAACACCCCCACCAAGCACTGCAATGTCAACCCTTCCAAGCCTCCTCAAGTGCAATAAGATAGTGTAGTGAGGCCCAGATTGTCGGGTACTTCTCTCCCTCTCACTAGTATTATTGTGGCAATAATGTGTCTTTGATAGTAGTGCTGAGGTACATTGTAGTACCGTCAGACTAGTCGCGGCCACCGGGCTGCGGCCGCTCCACCAAGCACTGCATCCTTCGGCATCAGTTTCACCTCTTGTATCCGTACGGGTCATGATCAGTTCAATGTTCGCAGCTGGACCATGCTTATGGCCTGACAGAAGATACACGGTCCTCTGCTTCCTTTCCTTATTATTCAAGTACCATTCCGTACGAGCAGAGACAAGATAAGAAAGCTGTCTTCTGGCTGTGTTTGTATGACTGCCTGGTTCAAGGTCTCCGAGTCTGCGCTGCCAAAGCAAATCCTATCAACCTGTTAGAGTCGAGATTCGGAGTGACAGTGACACCCAAGCAAGAGAATTTTCGGCAACGTATACAATAAAATAAAAAGGCAAAAAAAAAAACTATGGGTTACACGCCCAAAGACGCCTCCATCCTCATCGTAGGAACGGGCACTTTCGGCCTCAGCACCGCCGTGCATCTCGCCCGGCGTGGTTTCACAAATATCCAATGCCTGGATCGCTACCCCTACCCGTCCCCCGACTCGGCGGGCTACGACATCAACAAGATCATTGGGATGCGCAACGACACCCCGCTCACCGCCCGCGTAAGCCGTGAAGCATTGGCCGGCTGGCGAGAGCCTCTGTTCCGGTCCGTCTGGCACGAGGTTGGTTTGATCACGGCCGCCACCAACGAAGAAGCCGTGAACTACTGTCGCTGGGCTTACCAAAGCTGGATCGACTGCGGCGAAGGGGACAACGTGAAATGGTTGGAAACAAAAGAAGACTTCAAGGCACTGGTGCCGCAAATGCGCGATGGCACTCTACCAAACTGGCGTGGTTTCTTCCATAAGCGTGCCGGTTGGGCTCACGCCAAAGATGCGTTGAAGATCATGGGCGATGAGGCTGCTCGTCTGGGTGTCAAATTCGCCACCGGCAAGTCGGCCACCATGAAGTCCCTGCTGCTGGATGAACACCAACAAGCGGTGGGCATCATCGCCGAGGACGGTACTCGGTGGATCGCAGACCGCATCGTTTTGTGCACCGGGGCTTGGAGCGATTCGTTGCTAGATACCAAAGGCCAGTTGGAAGCAAAGTGTTGGACATTGGCACATATCCAGCTCACGCATAAGGAGCGCGACGAGTTCAAGGGAATTCCTGTCGTGATGAATCTTGAGGAAGGTAAGTGTTAAATCCCCCATGGCAAATTTTCGTCCCTGGTGACTGACTTTGTTGGCGTTCAAGGCTTTTTCTTCGAACCTAGCACTGACGGCCAAATCAAAATCTGCAACGAATTCCCCGGCTTCACTCACAAAGTTACACTGCCCGACGGCCGACAAACCAGTGAGCCACGGTCACATGCTCAGAACCCCTCAGACTCGATTCCACATCAGTCACGCAAGGAGATCCGAGAATTTTTGGCCAAGACAGTGCCACAGTTCAAAGACAGGCCTTTTGTCACGGAGAAGGTCTGCTGGTGCACAGACACCAACGATCGTAACTGGCTGCTGGATGTTCATCCTGTCCATCCGCGCTTGGTGGTGGCCACTGGTGACTCCGGAGTCGCTTTCAAAATGTTGCCTGTCATGGGCAAGTATATTTCCGATCTGGTGGAGGGAATCTCCTTGGATCCCATGTTGCAACAGGCCTGGAAGTGGCGACCAGATAAAAATGATCACAGCCAGCGATGGGGAGGAGATGGGAAGACGCGTGACCTGAAAGACATGGAAGGTTGGAGAGCTGGAGAGGCTCCCCGTGAACCCCTCGTGTCCAAGTTGTGAAGAGGCCACCCGGCACTAAAAGTCGTGTCGACGGTCAGATGCAGCTCTCCCTTGATTGCTGCTCCGAGCCGTAGGCGGAAGACCGGTTTGGCTCCAACAACGCTGTGCCTATGCCAGCGTTTTCGGCAATGCTAGTATCTCAGCGTGGTGCTGCCTGCCATGATAGTCCAGGATGAGGAAACAGTGATGGCTCAACGACCTCAGAGAACGTTGATCGACCGGCGCTGGTGAGACTCCATGCCGCCGTCGTAGCAGGCCCAAAAGATAATCGAGGGAGCGGAAAGCGTCATCATCATCATCGTCATCATCGGCTGACAGCTTGCAACATAGCCAAATACTCGCGCGTCTAATGTCAAGCTCGACCAACGGGGAGTATCCTTCAAGGACTCGAGGAGCCGTCCATAGGACCCAAATAGTAGTTTCCTTTGAAGTCAGACGAAGAAGTATGGTGAACTACAGACATGATGGCCGACCAACCTCGGCAGCATATTGAAGTCCGCTCGGAGGTCGTTGCTGGCTGTACGCATCATTACTCCACGAAATCTGATTTCCTGGCACCGTTTCCTTTGGCCAAAACTGGAGAGCCTGAGTGTCCAGGGCAATGGCCAAGACCATCAAGACAGCACCCCCTGTCACCGGCTATATTTCGGTCTCCTTAGTTCGTCGTTGCACACCTTGACACGGCAGTTGTGAGGCTTGTGCTGGACCTTGTGAGGTTCAAAAGTGTTTTATTAGCCAGACACCACTTCAGGCCAGGGCGGGAGAAGATCTTGAACAGTTCGGGGTTGGTCGCTTGCTGTTGCACCGGCACTTCTCCAATCAGGCTGGCTCAAGCGCTACAGACAAGACCATCGTTGTGCTAAATAACACCATCTTCTTCCCGTGCCACACTCCAGTCACACGTGCTAGCGCACTCTCGAGGATCCATGCAATCATGCGCCGGTGGAGATGGAAGCCTTAGGAAGCCGCATCGCTGGTAGCCTTGGCATAGGAGCGCCGAATGTCTGCTTGGGCTTGAGTTTTAGCGAGCCGCCCCATGGGATAAACATGCACTGGGCAACCTTCAGTATTGTATGCTTCCAGCAGGTAGATTGACTTGACCGCTTTAGGCCATGATCAATATCATATGGGGTCATCTCCTCGGACCTTGATGCCAATTAATAACAGCATGTAACGACTCGGTGCCACATCTCGACCACCGCGGGGAGCGATTCCCGCCTGGTCTAGATATGGCTGGCAACTATTGGAACACCACCATTTAGCGCCAGCAGGTCCCAAGATGCGAGTGAATCCAAGCAGGCACTTAGCAGGTGCGACTTATGTTGAAGGATTGACTACCCTGGACCTGGGTCATCTCCAACAAGTCATGCGAGGTGCTAGCTCGCTAATTTCATGAGTCGAGGAAGTTGGTGAGCAAGGATCCCCCTGAAAGTCGATATCAAATCTTGTTGCCTTAGTCTCTGCTCTTATCCCATTGTGTCTTCGGAGAGCGGTTAGCCTTGGTCTTCCCCTGCAAGGTAGGAGAATGTGTGGGGTTGCGGTCTGTGCTCCTGATGCAGAAGCGATAGGAGTAGTCGGTATTCAGATCCCAAAGCGATGGAGCGGTGGAGCCACGTTGGTCCGCTGGTATGGGCGCCATGCTGATCGATTCGCACCAAGAATGAGACGGGGCCTGCTGCCCGAGAAGATAGTTGGGACCGTCGAAAACTGGGAGCGGCGACGTCAGGCCATTGCCTGGACAGGAGTTAGCCTCCTGGTCACTATGTCCCTTCTCCTTGGGAGCCATCGAGCAAACGAAACCACCAAACGAGGCTTGTTCAGGCACATCCTGGCTGCCGAAAGAAAGGTGCGAGGCCTGGGGAGGAGACGGTGCCTCTTGAAATGACAGCCTGAGCCGTGCTTCCGGGACAGACATGGCTCTTTGGCCCTGGGGAGAAGTATCACCGGTGCCCCGTCCTCATCGGATCCATCCTGTCGCTGCAAGGTAGTCAAGTGCCATACTGCACATGAATCAGCAAGGATACAGGACAAATTAGGAGCATTGCCGCAACTGCCGTGCACCAACGACGCGACAGCAAAGAGCTTGCTCGAGGACAAAAGCTGCACCATGAAAGCCTATCCGGCAGCCAGCCCTACTAAGCGAACAGCGAACAATGCAGCTGTGCATGCGGATGATTGTCGTGCAGTAGTAGTGATCTTGGGGATGGCTCAAGGAGCCGAAGGGAAATGCAACCCAGGAAACAGGTGACAGCTCTCAACCCGACGATGGAGCGCCATGTAGCGCAGGCTGCGTTGGGGAATTATTGGGCTCACGGCGGTTAGCACTTGCCCGTGGTTATGTGCATGTCATCCGACCACAGCGCTGGACTAGAACTGTACGTACAGTATTCAGCTGTAGCAGACGCAGCATGCAGTGGTACAGTACTACCTACCTATGGAGCACCTAACCTGACTCAATATTGTCTCTGTAGCCTGAGGACTAGCATGCCCCGGAAAGCCGGCCGAACCGCCTAAAGTGTAGTGTGAATTGGCAGAATGGAGCATCCCAAGCGGTAGTGCATAGGTTATTAGCCCCAAAGCACCTCCATTGTACTAGTAGTAGGCGAGAACCTACCTTAACTTGCCTGGAGACCACAGCGGAAGCCGCTGTAGGCTCCTTCCCCTCTGGCTGTCTGGCCGCCCACGTCACCTGCAGTGCCGCTGCTGCAGCGGCGCCCATGCAAGTTATTATCATGGTCGAATCCATCCCGGTGGTTGACAGTGGCTGCACTAGTTGTAGTGCTGTGTGGGCACTGGCAGTACTTGTTGGCCCCTAACATAGCCTATAACAAAGGCTGGTGAGGCCTACGGAGCTTTAGGCTTACCGAGGTTGTTTAGACCAACCGTGCTACCTGAGTCGCTGTCTCGCTGCCTCCATCCATAGCCTGAGGTACCTTATTACTCGACATCAAGAACCCTTCAAGTTCGGTGCACCATTGCCGTCCACGTTCTACCAAACAGAGGAGCGTAGCAAGGTCTCCTAAGACTTCATGATTCAAATTCCCTGCAAGCCAGGGTATAAACAGACCGAACAGCAGCACCAACAACATCGGCCGCCACTTCAAGTTGAATATCAGCAGCCCGCAGCTCCAGCTCTTTCACCCGACTCCGACTCCCCCAGTGCCCGCCGACTCGGGCTTTGTCTCCACCTCAGCTTATCACACAACCGATCAACTTCAACTTCTCTCCATCGATCCTCAAAAGCATCTCTCACTGCTCCGAGTCTTGGTCGATCATCTCCTTCACTCCTTCGCCCTACTCCATACCTTCAGCTGATCTGAAGTCGATCACGGTCACGGCGATCTCGCTTCAGCTGTTTCCATCCCCAGGGAACTTTCCGGTGCCTATTCTGCCCTGCGCCGACGATCTCATCTCCCCAACTCTCTCGGCAGCCATTGGCTCAACGATAATCTCCCCAGACACTGCTGGCCGGGTGTTGAGTTCCTCACTGCATCTCGAACACAAGGTTTTCGGTGCCGTAACATTGGCTGCTGTTTTGACATTCTGTCGCAGCCCGCCTTCACAGCAAAGTCAAAAGTCAATGGTGCGGCGCACAGTGGGAGCAGGGATCTCCCAATCCAACAAGTAACCACGCCACGCCTTTGGCAGTCCACTGCGATTCTGACACCTGACATTCTTCACCTCTCTCCCAAACCTCTGGGTCAGCCCAGAACCAATAGCGGTGTCAGGCAAGCACTTCCAGAGGCTGCTCTTCTGTCAGGCGCAGCTACTGATTGAACGCCCTCAATCCATGACCTCTTGGTTTAGGCCTTCTGTCCCAATCGCCAATGGAGACGCAAGAAACCCATACTTCAAAGAAGGAGAGGAAGGGTTTGAGGAAGGTTTGGGACAGGGTCAAAGACATCTTTAAGCCTAAAACTGCCATTACTGCCACAACATCTACATCCGCAATTCCTGCGTCCACTTCACAGGGCCCGCCATCTGTACGGCAAAAGCCTGAGCCTCAGCCCGAGAGCAAGTCGTAAGTGCGCTGTGATTCTTTATTCGTCTCCGTCTTAACAAATATGCAGAGAAGGTACCGCTCAACCGCCCCGGATTGAAGTTGACGACACAGCCGAAGAGTCGCCGGTGGCCCTCGAACCTACGAAGCAGCCGCCTGCGAAGGCACCTATTTCTGTGACCCACGACCCGCAAGACGAAGCGCAAATGCGGTTCAGCAAAGCGCAGGCAATCTTTGCCAAGTATAATCTCGAACTGAGTCCGGCCGACTGGGATATGAGGCCGAAACAACCTTACGAACGAGTATCGAAAAACATCCGAATGAGAGTCCGATATACCTGCCACAGCTGTTCAACCACCTTCGGGCGCGACAGAGTGTGCGCTACTTGCCACCATCGCCGATGCGCCCAATGCTCCAGATACCCACCGAAAAGGACTGGACCTCGACAAAGACCGACAGGTTCCAATGTGCCACAAGATTCAACAGAAGCGCCTCCGGGTGTCGCTCTAGCCGCGCACCGAGAACTTCAAGCAGACGTTGAGTTGCCGCCCCATGTACGCTCTACCAGGGAGCATTATCCGCCCGATAGAGGTTTGCAAGAAGCCCTTATTGCCGTGGTAGAACAACCTCCCAACCAGGCCGGCCAACCAAGAACGGGCGACGGGCGGGCTGTCTCTACGGGCTAGCGTACATATCTCCTACACGATTTTCACCAATTGTGCAACGCGCTCTGTGAAGTTACGAGTCTGTCGACCTGTGATGTGTCTGACTAGACCTGACTCGAGCATTTCCTACGATGCGATGACGATACCCTTATTAACGACTCGAGCTTTGATTCATTTGAGCGTTCTCGTTCTCGTTCTCGTTCGGCTTGGCTGGTGGTCATAGCCTTCCTTATCGCAGCTACTATATTTCTTCACACCGATACAATCTTGTCGAGGGAGGAAGCAGAAGACTACAGGGGGCTTGGAGCCTTTCCCTTGCCATGTGATGATGCTTATTGGGCTCGTGTGTGTGAGCTCGCACAAGGCCGTTTCTGGAGCTTGTTCTGTGGAAAGAACGGCCTTGAGAGTTCAGCCAAGGATGGAGGCCAGGGGCAGAGATGCCTACAGGCCCCGAATACACGATATCTTAGAGAAAGCCCCATCCAACTCTACAGCATTGGTACATAGGAAGGCGACAAGGACACGAGTCATTCTCTTCCCGTCTATGTTGATACTCTCAAAAGCTGCTTTGCCCATCCAATTCGCAATGCCGGGGCTATGACAGTAACCTTCGTGAGCAGCTATTTTCTCTTTGACATACCGACTCGCCGTCTTATTGTCCTCGGTACCCAAACGAGGACTCTTCGACGGCCTAATCTCGGAGCTGCAGTGATTTCTGATGGATCCCACGAAGTGAATGACTTCCACATGCTCTCTATCGCGGTCCATCCTACTCAATTGGCATGTCGTCCGAACAGACATCTGACTGGAGCTCCCCGTAAGCGGCATCAAGTCTCCTGGCGCGCCGGCAAACCAAGGTCTCAACTTGAATCTGTTCGGGAGAGCCCACAATCAAGGAACTCGCTCCGTTGTCGAGGGTCTGTCGCGGCTCGACCCGCCCATGTCGACAACCTCTGAGTCCAGCCGAAAGTACTACCACCAAGGGTTTTAACCCAACCCATGGTTGCATTTACGCCAGAGGTCCAGACGAGACGGAAACGAAACGAAAGGCAACGCCGGTACGGCTGGGTAGTGAAAGCCGTCGTGTCGAAGCGAGGTGGTCATAGGTGGGTACCTTATCTTCAACGTTGTAAGAAGTTGAACTGTAGTAGTCAACGCGTGTATGCCATGTCTCACGGCTGGCGAGTCATTTTGACCCGGTCCATTGTTTGAATCGGACTCGACAATGACTCGCAGCCCGCAATCCAGAGCCGGAGAGTTGGCTATAATATAGTTAGTACCTACAGTAAGGTGGTACTTGATGCGTGATCCACTCAATCAGTCGGTGAATTGACTGAGTTGGGAATAAATAAATTGCAGTGCCAGCGGAAACCTGGATCAACAGAATTGTCGAAGCAGTCACGCGAGTGAGTGAGTTCAAGTTGCTAGAGCCTGCCTTGTCAGGAGGGATCCAGCATCAGCCTGAGTCTGAGATGCTCAGCGGCGGACCTTTACCTCTCCAAAGTCCTCTTCCATTCCCCAGACTCAAGCATCCGGCCACTTGACCTGCCAGTCTCCCACTGCCAATGTATGACTACCTAAGCCGTTGTCAGTGGCTGTGTCATCCTGAGCTCGGCTTGACGTACACTGCTGAGGCACTGCACTGATGAGTTGCATGTGTCCTTTCGAGTCGTAGCTCTCCTATACCATGCTGCCAACTTACTATTGGTCGTGTACAACTAGTCTGCAGCCTCGATGAAGCGGACCATCAAGCAGACGCTCATGAAGCCAGCATGGGGGCTGACTGAACTCCGCCACTCTCTCTGTGCTCATCAGGCAACGATACTCTGGGGTCCGGGGTTGCCTGCCGCACCAGCATGTTTCAGCCACAGTGCCAACCGCCAGCGGTCACGGTCCGGACCGTGAGCGGGGGCTACCAGGCAACTTTCCTCGAGTCTTTAAATGCCATGATTCGGGCATTTGCAACTTTTTGTAGCAAAACATGCTAATGTCGCTGTGAGAGGCCTGAAGTTCAATCCGGAACCCCTCTGGAAGCGAAACTCTTGGTGTATGAGTTAGCCGACGATGGGTCATACTGCATATTGATCAGATTCGCCAGCCATGGATCCTATCTCCATCGTCGCAAGCAGCTTAGCATTCGCGGGGGCAGTTCTAAGTGGGTTGGAAGCATTCAAGACGTTATATGATGCTGGACCGGACCTCGGGGATCTGCTGAGTGAGTTGACGGAGACAAAGTTGATGCTGGTCGACATCGAGAAGGCTCTCACCAACCATGAGCTTGAAGAGGACCTTCGGCCAGACCGATTCGAGGGTCTCCGACGCCTTTTGCTTGAGGAACAAAAAAAGCTGGAGATTTTGAGCGCCCTCGTGAGCGAGAAATTGGACTTTTCGAACGCATCTATCAGTGGTTCCCGCATTGCCCGATTGGCATGGCTAAGATATAATGGAAAGGTGAAAAGGATCCAATCCAGTCCGAACCAGACGCGCGAGAGGATCACAGCTACGTTGGGAGCTGCCAATCTGTAAGTTCGTTCGGATATACACGCTCACACACCCACAGAGAGAGAGAGAGAGAGAGAGAGAGGGAGGGCGCGCCATGGTACATTTCTGCTTACTGACGACCGCAGTTACGAAACAGCTCTGATTCGTTTGAAGCTGGATGATCTTGCGGGACTTCATCAGGAGTATACTGACCAATGGACCCGTCACGGGAGAGCGCTGGACTTTATCTCCGTCAATATTCATCGCCTGGGCCTGGTCGACTCACCTGACCCTGCTGGTCGACTCCAGCGGAATGCAGACTGTACAGAGTCGACGTTTAAGGAAAATAAGACTCCGAGCGTCTGTTCTGATGACATTTTGGTAGCGGAGACAGTTTCGGATAGTCAGATCACACGGATGTCTCGGTCCAGGGCTACTAATTACCGACGAACTCGCTGCACAAGCTGGTGCAGTTGTATCTGCCACAAAACGAGCTCGCTCCAAACCCCTGAGAGTCTATGTCAGGCTCTTAACCTACTCCTCGTGGGAGTCTCTGGATTCCCCATTCAATACATCAAGTGCAATGAGCGCCTGTGTCGACGACAATCCAGGCCGACCCTAAAGGTCAACTATTTCTTCCCACAGTGGATTCTCTCCCGGGCCTTTCAGTTTGCTTTCAGATTCTCGGACATGCAAGGTCCTGAGCTGGTTCTGAGGATGCCTCGAGTTGTTCCAGATGATGCGCCTCTCATGTTCCTTGCAGTCCAAGGGAACATGGAAGAGATACAGTCATTGTTCGCCCAAGGTCTGGCATCCCCTTTGATGTAGCATTAAATACTGGGAGAACTGCACTTCACGTATGAGATCTATCCTCCCACATCTGCTACTCTATGCTTACTTATGCTCAGTACGCCGTCAACTACAATCACCACGGGCTATCAAAATTCTTAATCGAGTCAGGCGCAAGTCCCGACGCTGAAGACAAGAAACAAGCGTGAGTCTTGAATGGTCGAACTTGATAGTGCCGTTGCTCAAGTGTACTTAGGACATGCGTTGCATTGTCGTGGGAGCGTATCTTTGGAAGAAACACTGAATCATCAGATATGGTAGAGTCCTGGCGATATCTGTTTGACGATGAGGAATACCTAGAGTCACGAATCTTCCCGCCTCTTCACAAAATCGTCCTCGGGTTATGTCGAGATGACCTAGAGCGGCAGCTCGAGCGCTCAACCTCATTCATCGACGAGCAGGATATCGATGGACGCACTGCTCTGTCGTGGGCAGCAGCGAAAGCCAACCTCAAGGATGTCGATACTCTTCTCAAGTTCGGAGCAGATCCGAACATTCCTTCGAAGAGAGGACACACATCTTTGAGCTGGGCTGCGCAAAGTGCGTCGAGAATACGAAAGGATGTCATCCAAGCTTTACTGGAGAATGGAGCTGTCGCGAACTGGGTCGACTCTTCCAATCGCACGCCGCTGGTATACGCGACTTCCGAGTTTGATGACCCAGACTGTCTACGATTGCTGGTAGAGGGTGGCGCGGACGTGAATCTGCGTGATTGCCACAGCAGAACACCTCTAGGATATGCCGCCAGGATGGGCCGGGTGAATAATTTGCGCTATCTTCTGTCCTGCGGCGCTGACTGCAATATCCCGGACCATTGGGGCTACACTCCGCTGTTTGAGGCGGTATATCAAAATCATCACGAAGCCCTACAAGTGCTTCTTGCGAACGATTCCACTCTTTCGTCAACAAAGGCAAATGGAGGGATGAGCATATTGCATGTCGTCGCAGTGTCGGGCGATCTTTTAACCATTGAGATATTAGCTGATCATGGGGATCTAACAATCTTGTCAGAGGACTTGCCCAACGACGACGGAGACACGGCTCGAGACCTGTTTGCGAGACGGCAATCAATCGAAAAAGAACACAGAGCTGCGTTTGAAAGACTTCTTGACAAGGCTTCAGGTGGGCCGCGCTTCTGCTCCAAGTTCCAGGCCTGCAGTATGTCCGATGCCAGTGATGAATTTGACTTTGCCGTGGAAGGCATGGACACATTTGTAGACGCAGTTGAGGTACAGGCTTCCGTGGAGTAGGGCAAGCAGATTGAAAACGAGCTTCAAGCTGAGCATTTGAACCGATCCTTAAGAGCCCATTTATGCATGGTGTTGGTTGGCCCTATGGAAAATAATCATTGTTTAACAGTACTGGATGCTAGCATCCCAAATGACCTTGTTTGTAATAGTTACACCAAGGCAACATACTGTAGCCATCTGGGACTGAGCGCCCTGATGAGGTCGAAGCAGTGCATACTACCTTCATCGGAAGATCACCATAGGAGCTTGAAGGTGGTTGGTTATAGTGGTGACTAGTATCTCCCATGTGTCTCAGACTTCAAGTTGTCAGAAAAGTCAAAGCCGGCCAACGCCATGCCTAATTGATTGACCTTGAATTCATTCGGTCTTTCTACACGCACTGCAGTAGTGTTGGAAAGTGTTCTCCCAACCAAAAAAGAAAACAGAACACAGCATTTCCAAAAATACAATGCAAAAAGATCAAGAACACCAAAAACAAAACCGCAAATAAAATGAGGTCCTACCCGGGTTCGAACCGGGGTCGCCGGAAAGCTTGAAGACGAATCAAAATCCGGAGTGATAACCACTACACTATAGAACCTGAAGTAGGGAAGCTTATGCGGGCAAGATTTGGAGTTCTGAATGACGCATAATCTGAGAGAAAATCTTGCAGGTTTGAAATATAATGAGTGGATTATGTCATTGGTGTGGGGCCTCTACCACATCCAAATTGTGGCCTAGAGAACCTGTGCATGTCCGCCTTCGGCTCCTTATTAGTAGGGTACATGTACAAGCTGTATCTCACTGCATGCATTATTGCTCCTTTCGATGCAGTGCAGGTAGATATTCTGTGTCTCATCAATCGTCTTATTGACCTCGGGCCTATAAATTCATCGCGTTCTTGAAACAGCCCTCCTGAAGTCAGTCTGACTGTACGACTTCACGTAGGGCAGTGCAGATTTATCTAGTCTTCTCTTCACGGTGGCTGAATCGGCACAGGCATAGATGGCAATGCCAGCGTCACAGTGTCCATCCTCGACCATTTGCAAATGCTGCGCTGCTCAGGGCCACAAAACAGGTCTGTACGGTCCTAGTACACGTCGACTCGAGTGTGTCTTGATGGGCGTGAAAACCGATGGCAGCGAGTTCAAGCACTCACTCAGCAGACATTAGACCTCCCTCTCATTGTTACAAGCTGTGGGTTGTTGTGACAGCCCAAAGGATCATGACTCGCCTGCCATCAAGCCTTTCCTTACGGCCTGCTCGTCATCTTCGCTCTCTTCTTCTTCTTCTGTCTCCCCTTCTTCACTTGCCTCTTCCTCGGTCTCCCCACTCCCGCTCTCAGTCTCCTCTTCCTCGGTCTCTTCTTCCTCCTCCTCCTCCTCCTCCTCTTCTTCTCCTTCGTCATCTTCCTCTTCATCTTCACTCTCAGCCAGCCAATCGTCCAAAGTCCTCGGCTTACCATGAGCCTTTGCGGATCCAGCAGCCACGACCTTCTCCAAACCCTGCTCCCTGACCGCGTCATCGAGTCTTCTGCTAGCGGCCACAGTTGTGGTCTTTCTGGCACTCAGCGGCACATACTCTTCCCTCTCTCCTTCGTCCGTGCCGTCTCTAAGCTTTGGGTCCGGTTCATGGCCGTCTTCAACCCAATCGGGCAGCTCCTGGTACCCAGGCAACCCAAGAATGCCAGCCACGTCTTTCCCGAGAACGAGAGTAGAAGTACCCAGCACCAGCCCTTTCCGACTCTCCGAAGGAGAAGGTGAGTGAGGCACGGGTTTGGGCGCCAGCAGGAGAAGGGCGGCAAGTTGCGTGGATTGCGGGTTGGAGAGGAGAGCCTTGAACAGCCGAGCCCGATCACGAAGGTCGTAGGATACATCGTAACGGGCCAGGAGTTGGATATAGTTCCAGAGCTTGGAGACTGGATGATTGCGGAAATCCGAATCTTCTTGAGCTGCGCTCCCGCTCCGGGTTTCATCCTCCTGCAATTCTTCCGCATTACTTTTCTCCTCCTCCGTGTCTTTTCCCCCTTGTTTTTGAAGGAACAACAAGTACACCTTGGCGGCGAGCAGAACTATCTGCTGCTTCGCTGGTTCGCTCTCGTCAGCAAAGCCTTTGGCCAATATCCGAAGTACATCAGGTGCTATGTCGTTGTCGGGATCTAGGCTGGCGAACTCGCCCACCAGCCAGATAATGGTGGCTCGAGCTTCGGGACTGGTAGTTCTATCCAAGTTTCGTGCCAAACGTACCACAGTCTTCCGGTGAGCTGTCGGGTCTTGCTGAATGAGATGGCGCACCACAGTAAGCACTTCCGAGACCAGAACATTGTCGAAACTGGAGATTTGGTTCAGAAGAACCCTGAAACATCGATGAGCATTCTTGGGGTCTGACTGTGCACATCGTCCAATAGCCCGCACTGATTCCCGTATGAGATCGATGTCGGCACTATGGCAGAAGTGCTCCAGTTCACTGAGAATGATTGATTTGAGGTGTAGTGGTGCATGGGGAAATATCAGCGTCAGAAGTTCAATCTTCAGCCTCCATATTTGTGGTGGATCGTGTGCTCGTAGAAAGAAGTGAGAGGTGTAAGGTACGAACAGGTCTGCTGCCGACAAGGAGACCAATACAATGTTGCACAGTGCAACCTCTTCGACTTCAGGGGGTCCTCGCATGAGGCCGACCAGTGGCCCGACAGCTTCCTTGAGGTACTCTGGTGTACCCAGATACAAGAAGCAACTAGTCACCGAGGTGATGACCGCCGAGCTTCGACTGTGAAGCAAAGGTCGACAGGCGTTCAGGAAGAGCTCCAAGTCAGGATCCAAGACCTGAACCACCTCGTCTGTCTCCACTGTCTCATCGGCTTCGTCCTCATAGAAGCCTTTCTTGTTGACTTTGGTGACCTTGCGGGTCCGCCGAGGGAAGCAGCGTCTGCTGTAGAAGAGAAGAAGTCTCAAGGTGGCCAGTTGACTCCACTCATCCATATCGACTAGCTTTTTGACAAGGCTTCGGTAGTGTTTGTGGACCAGATCGATTCTGTCTGGACAGATCTCCAGTAGGGCTTGCACAGCGGGACCAGCTACAAAATACTGTTTGTCCCCGAGTAAGGTTGAGAGGTAGTCGAGCAGTTGAGGCAGCGTGTTCGGATCCAGATTGTAACACTTTGGAATGGCGAGAGCGGCCGCCTTGCGAACGTGAGGACTCATGTCCCCGACGCCCCGCTTGATGGCTAGAGAGACAATCTGGCTGATGACCGGGACCCTCATGCCCGACATGGTGCGTAAGGCAAGGGCCCGGACCTGAGGGTTTTGGTCTGTGAGTGATTTCTGAATGGCATTGACGGAAAGGAGAGCCAGGTCCGGGTCTGCTTCGGCGTAATGAAGTAAGTAGATGTAGACGAGTTTCTTGACCTCGAGGTTCGGATTGGCGGCATTCTTGACCACGGCCGAGAAATATGGCAGGCATGGCTTGTTCTGATATATCATCTGTCACGAACATCAGCCATGGCCACTGGGCTTAAGAGGAGGGACAACCGCGTACCGAGATAACCCTTTTCAAACCTTCGAGGGTATCCCTATCGCTCCGACTGTCTAAAAGAGCTTGCAGCTTTGCAAAAGGGATGCTGCGACCCGAGGACCCTCCTCCCTTGACACCTCGAGAAAGACCCAACGCCTGGGCGGCCTCCACCGTAAGGTCCCGTGCTTCGCGCGGGTCAGCGTATTGAAGCCATGCAGTATCCATGATGATGGTTTGACTCACCCGGGTCCATCAAGGACGCAATGCGGGATGCTGACTCCATTGCGAAAGTCGATCGTCAGCCTTGTGTAACCATGCCACGTCGTACAACCCAAGCAATCAACGTGCGATGTGGCTGTGGCTTGTGGACGAGGCGCCGCCCTTACCGCCTCGGATAGCCTTTCCGTATAACACAAGACGTATAAGTCCTGGGGAAAGCAAGCCAACCATGCGACGGCCACTGTGTTCAAGCAGACTACCAACAGTCGCATGGAAACTGCCTGCCCATTGAGGTCATCAATGGAAGTCCCGCTGCGTTGCCAAGGCTCATATGTCAGCCTTCCACGTGATAACAATCAGCAGATCACATGTCAGGCTACGTCCGCGACAATTGCATCCTGTTCTGGATGGAAGAGGTGTACTAGCAGTACGGCCTTTGGTTCACATTGATCATTTCCCTAACCGAGGGCTCAAACCAGGACAGCCCAATGTATCGCGACGATGCCAGTCACTGAACTCAGGCATCACACTCGCTCCAAACACCGATAGCAAGCGAACGATGGCCGAGTTGGCGACCTGCCACGACAACGCGATTACATCTTTACATTCTTCATGAATTTCATCACCACGAGATATGACAACGTGCTTGATCTACTCGAAGAAGTCATCAGAAGAGATCCCCCAGTACCCACAGACTTGATAATCTGCTCGACGCGCGATGAATTCCGTGAGCAACTGTTAGCTCTAGTCAACCATGAGGAAAGCGACGCTCTAGCGCACGCCCCTGCAACACAAGCTCAGATTGATAGTGAGAGTGAGCATATCCAGACTATCGCTCCCACACGCAAACATATGCTCCTATTGCCCACTCTGCAGTTGTTGAATGCCAGCCGATTCTGCAACTTGGCATTCTGCCCAACCACCACAACCCTACGAGGATATCTGGCTGGCTACTGCCGGCCGACTTCCCCGAACGCCTCGGGTTCCGCTCGTTCAACGTCAGGTTGGATTTTCATCCTAGATATTTTGGCATTACACCACGGCACGTCTGAGTTTACGTTGCAAGGGCTCTCTCAAACGTTCGCAACAGCAGTCTCTGCAGCATTCAGGACGAATCGCCAACTTGGACTTGTCGAGTGCAAGGATATTCGAGACCCTTCCAGCCCTACTCGAGGACCATCGCTGTGGAGTGCTGAGGTCCAATTGCTCAGTTCAGCAATCAAGATAGGCGAAGATGGGGCCACCTGGGGTCGGCGGACGGTTTGTGTGCTGACCATTGCAAAAAGGTGGTTTCAGGTCCAGAGTACTGAGGGCAAAGATGAGCAGACCGGACGTCACCATGCGCGGGTAGAATCGGCAGAAGAAATGCTTATGTGAAGAAAATCAGTGCAGAGCGTTTGCTTCCCTGTCCAATATACATCAATGAACGCCAAGACAGCATTGCAATGGAACGCCTTGGGGGTATCTCTAATCCAGCCTGTGAACTCCGTCATGCCGATCGTGATGCTCCAATGCCAATTCATATGCTCTGCTCCATTTCTGTGATGTACAATTTGATATGCGATTCGAGCTTCAAGTACTCCTCGTGAGCGGAGTGGACCTCGTTTTCAATGTTGTCCTTGAGATCAGCCATCTGTGGTGTGTTAGCCGCATTTGCATTCCTTTGAATGGGATCCGAGGCAGATCTTACCTTTTTCTCGGTCTGCTCTATTCTCACCCTCCTCCTCTCCATCTCGCGACCCTTTTCGGCTCGTTCATCGCGAAGCTGTCGCTGGATCTCGCGTAATTCATCCATCTTGGCTTTGTTCGCTTCGTCTCGTTCCCTGTGCTTCCGCCGCATCTCTTCTGTACGTTCCTCCCATTTCTTGAGCTGCCTTTGGAGAAGCTTCTCGTTCTGTTCAACCTCGCGAACATTATTTCCTCGTTCGGCCAATGCGTCCCTGTTCTTAGCTGCGCGCGCATCTTCCTCCTCCTCCTTCTGGAGTTCCACCGCGATCTCCTCCAAAACCTTGACGCACGCTTGAACGTCGTTTTGCACCACAGTGAAACTGTCGCCTGACGTCTGAAGCGCTCTACCTCTTCGTTCAAGAAGGTCGATCTGGCTCTTGTCGCGCATCAGGTTATCAGACAGCTCCGTGAGAGCATTCTGCAGCGCGGCTGGGCTTTGTAGCACGTACGGCCTCAATTTCTCGCTCTCCTGACGCGCTTTGACTAATCTCTCCGTCTTCTCCTCCAAAGTAGCCTGCGCTCTGGCCTTTTCAGCCTTTGCTCGTTCCAACTGCTCGGCGACCCTTTCCTGCCCCTTACGCAGTTCAAGCAGCCGAGCCTTCAGTTCATCATTCCGGCGCATCTTCTCCTTGACGGCCACTTCCATAGCTTTTCTGTTGTGCTTCATCTCTTCTAACCTTTGTTCCATATCCTGGTTTTCTGTATATAATGTCTCAATCCTTGCCTTGGTGCTTTCGGCTTTGTTAAAGTTTTCGTCAATCACGCTCGTGTGCGTTTCGCGGAATCGCACAAAATTGATGGTATATGAGAAGATCTTGACAAGGCGATCGTGGGTCGGTCGCACCAGATCATTGAACGAGAAATCATTGATTCCGCACTGCTCCAACATCGTTCGTAGTTGAATGAAGAACCCCATAAGGAGCCGTGTTTCGACAGGAATCAACTCGGGAAATTCGGCGCATACGTCCTCAGCCGCTGCGCGCATGGCTGGATCGAGGGATTGTCTGGTCGCGTTCATGACGAGCTCGCCGAGATGTTCGAAGACCATCTGTATGACTTGCGGGTTGGGTTTTAAGAGGTCCGAGGGCTGGAACGGTATGCCCATCTCGCTGATACATGATGCGATCTCTCTTTCAGACTATGACGCGTCAGTGTCGATGTTCATTATGCTCGAATACGGCGCGACTGACCAGGCGCATGAAATCGGCCGGGTCCTCCTCTTTCTTCTTGACCCGGCCCTGCTGTTGTTGTGATGAACGGTACTGTTGACTCATGTTGGAAATAGTGCTTGATTTGATGTTTTCAGAATAACCGGTTGAGCGATACGCGTAGGTGAAATCCCACAGTAAGGTTGGCGCATTATGGACTCCAGATCAATTCAAGTTGGTGTTGTCTGCGGCTCGCGGGAGTTCGTGCCAGTAGCCGCATGTTGTTGCAGTCGCCCGGGAAACGACACACTTCCAAGGATCACGTGAGCATCTACTGCACTAAAGAATCATATACTTCGCGGCTCTCCCGACCGACCGCGAGCCTTACTCCACCGTACATCAGGCTCCACTGGCACTGCACGCCAAGTTCTCCCACGAGGCTCAACATCAGCCTCGAGTTTAAGTCAGCGGCATACAAGCCACGTCAAATCGAACAACAGCCTTCCACCCATAACCACCGCAAAGCAACCAATGCAACCCCGCCATGTGTTCTCCCTGTATTAGGTGAACTGTCCGGACAAATCAATCAACATTAGCAATAAACTCATTCAGCATGGCGTCCGGTAAGTCGAATATACACACTTTTTTTGTTCTTCGAGCAATGAGTCAACCCCCTTCAAGTCTCTGAATGTGCCACTATGGGCCTGTTCTCGGCCTGGTTCTGCCCGTTGGGCACCATATATCATACAGTCTCGAGCAGCATCATGAAATCCATTTCCATCTCCTGTCGAAGGCTATTTCTAACTTCTGGCCGTGACCCTTCTCCAGCCTCTGCACCTGTAACGACACCACCGATGACGCCAAAGGCGATGTCGACGTCGACGTCGGACGGCTCGCCATCGACCGACTTTGACATAGTGGCCTTCTACAACGACCTGATCAGCCGGGAGACGACGATCAGCCGACCAATTGCGGCGATAGAATCGCTGATTTCGCTGCTGGCGAGCACGCCACTAACGACAATCTCGGAAACGCTGGCCCTCCTGTCGACACATTCGAGCAAATTACTGGCATCGCAACGCAACCCAATCCCACTGTCGGCCGGCACGGAGCTGTTCCAGCGGTACCTGGTCAGCTCGTTCCAACAACGACCATCGTCACTGGCCAACTCGGACTTCACGACGCTGCGACAGCACATCCTGACGACGTCGTCGCTGTTCGTCAAGCGGGCCAACGAAGCGCGCCCCAAGATCGCGCACCACGCCCTTCCGTTCTTGAGGGACGACTCGACCGTCTTCACTTACGGCTACAGTCGCGCCGTACAGACGCTGCTGACCCACGCGGCCGAAGCGAACCGCTCCTTCAACGTCGTCTACATCCTACCCGCGTCCGGGGTAACCGGCCCAGTGTCCCAGTCCATCGCCGCCCTGAATTCCCTGTCCATCCCCACGGCCACCATCTCTCTGCAGGCTTTGACCTACGCTCTGGCTTCCATGCCGCCCTCTTCTCCCCCACCCCAGTTCATCGTCGGGGCCACCGCCGTGCTGGAAAACGGCTCCATCGTCACCGACCTCGGCATGCACCAGCTGGCCTTGGTCGCAAAGTCCGTCCATATTCCTCTGCATGTCGCCGTCGAATCCTACAAGTTTGTCCGCAACTTCCCGCTTGGCTATGGTCCCGCCGACCTGGCGCGAATGGGCGTGAAACAGAATGTGCTGCAATTCCAAACCGCCGCAACCACCAAAGATTCCCAGACCCCGGCCGAAGACACTCTCTTGTCGGAAGAGGAAATGGTCGAAATCACCCCTCCGCAATACATCGATGCCCTGATCACCGAGAATGGCATCCTGACCCCTAATGCCGTGAGCGAGGAACTGATTAAACTCTGGTTCTAATCGCAATCCAAACATCTCTACGACCACTACAACCACAACCGTACTGTAGCCGCAATAGAGAGTCCAGTCCTATCTTGCCAAGGGGCCCCAAAGCATCAATCTTTTCTTTTTCTGCTCGGAGACAATGAAATGTCCCTGATAACCAGCTTTCTTTCCATTACGACGACAGTACAGGCGTGCAAGCTCTGAAGACTTGACTTTACTTAACATACGGGCAAGGCAAGGCGAACCCAGACCACCCGCACCGCAGAAAGTTGGTTACTTTATCTTTACCAAAGAACTTCTTTTGCGGGACCTTCGTTGAAGCAATGAAAGATGGAAGGAGCGGAATGACATGGCGTGGCGGAACGAGCAGAGGAAATTGACCTTGACCCTTCTCTCCAAGTTGGGCTCCGGATGGACAAGATCTTGTCTCGCTGCAGTGGCATGTGTTTCTAATATCGCTCGCCGTCACTGCCAGGATCTGCAGCCCCTCCATTCCCCCATGAACAACTATTTTCCAGGATTCCCATCCTGGGCCATCCATCGCCAAAGAGAGTGCCAGTGCCACCAGGCTATGCTTGATAAGAATGAATGTACTTATTGGTTATTGATGGCAGGACGGCGCGCAGGACAGACACACAGGCATTAGCATTATTCAATAGGAAAGAGCTGTGTCAAAAAATGCACTGAAGGACGATGACGGGAATTGTTGCAGGACTCAAGGAACACTGCAGCATTGATAGAAAGGACAAGCGGTCGTTCTATTTTGGCCTCTCTCAAGAAGTCAACTCGTGCGAAGGGGTAAAGCGTGCACCTGTTCTACCTAGGTAGTGCTCATTAGAGCGGTGAAAAAGTTCATCATCGTCAATCAAAGCAGAACAAAAAATTGATTGTCACAGGAATAAGTGGGAAGTGTCTATAGACATTGTACTACCTTCATCGTAATCATCGGGCGATCGTTGTATCTCACGCAAGTCCCGTAGAATCAATGTTTGACCATTCGGCGGGCTTACAGTAGCGGGCCGATCCTACTAAGTAAAATGCAGAGGGATTCCTTTAGATATGGTATGGTAATACTGCTGTAAGTACCGTCAGGCGAGAATGCCAGAACCAACATGGGTCGATCCCAATTCGACCACCTGTGCTTGCTATGGATGCAATAACACGACTATGATTCGCTCCATCCCCAGCGCCTTGCTCGCTGTTTATGTATTCTCAGTAATGCAATTGCAATTAATTTGTCCCTCTTTAAATCATCATTCGACGTCGGTGTTGTTGAGTTGACCGGTAATGAACTGTTGCCAGTTGAGTTCTCTTTAGTCACTTCCAATCATTTCAATCTCCAGCTACCCATTCCCTATGTCAAATCATCAATCTCCCGTTCTTTCGCCCGCAACGCTGCCCGCATCACCTCGGCTTCTCGCATAAGTTGAGCACGACGCTCGTTCCGCCACTGCTCTCGATCACGCTCTCGATCTCGGTCGCTTTCGGCAGTGTGTTGTCCGATTGTAGAGCCCGGTGGCTCACTAATCCGTGGCAGTTGATCTCGCTGTCGTCGTCCGGCATCCATAAGTAAAGGATCGAGCTGCATACCTTCCGCGGCAGCGGCGGCGAGGCGTGCCTGAACTGTGTAGTCATCCGAGGGCTGGCGTGTGGCAGAGGTAGCGTCGGCCGCAGAAGGTCCAGGCACATAGCCTGTATAGTCCACGGACGGCGGTGGCCGTCTTCTCTTGGCGGCGGGAGACTCATCCCGGGAAGTTTCAGGGTTGCCTTGTTCGGGAGAAACTGGTTCAGGAGAAGTCGACGTAGTCTTCTGCGACGCATTGCCGTCCGACCGAAGAACATCTGGGTACGCAGGCACGACTCGTTTGCGCCTCTTAATGGTAGACTTTTTCATCTGCACGGGCCGATGCGAGCCATGCAGCTTGTGGTATAGACCGCACGCGTTGCAGATCGGATGCCCATGCTCGTCACGGCGCCAGAGGGGCGTCACGGTGGTGCCGCAGTTTTTGCATGCGACGACTAAGGAAACAGGTTCTCCGGACCGCGACTGAGGCGCGGCGGGGGGAGCGGCTGGAGTGGTGGTGGATGTTTCTGCATTGCTTGGGCGATCGATTCTTGGTGAAGGCTCCACTGGATTCAGCAAAGAGGGCACAGGGGTAGAGGGAGCATTGGTAGATCTTGCGACTCTGTTGTTATACGCAGGACAACCCCCACAGCCTTCTGCGCCACCAGCCCCGTTACAGTTTCCACCACCTGGACAGGATCCTGGTGTGTGTTCAGGTACCCGGTAAGGGATGCCCGACAACTGGGCTTGCGCAGGGGCTGGAGAAGTTGCTGCGACTGGCGACCTCCTGCTTGTTTGGCGAGGACTCTCTGCAGGGGTGGCTGAGCTCGGTCGCTTGAAACTGGTAGGTCTTGGAGCATTACGAGTTTTCTGGTAAAGCCCACACGCGTTGCATATCGTCGTGCCTGTTGGGGACCGTCGCCATAGAGGGGTTTTTGTGGTACCACAGTTACTACCCATATGGTTAGTCACATGCTATTACATCGAGCGAGGAGTGCGCGACGGCGATATTGTCTTCGGCACAATAGGCGATAGGAAAATGCAAAAGAGCGCATACCTGCAAACTTGACCTAGACCAGTGGTATCCTCTCTCTGATCGGACAACTCGCTTGATGGGCGAGGTAGGTCACGGGTTTCGGCCCTTGGGCTCGGCCGATTCAGACGGGGAGTATCAGTCGCTTGGTCGCCAGCATGGCCATCATGTAAAACATGTGATCCTGAACGCTCTCCGCGAGCGGAGGACACGAGTTGATGGGCAGCATCGAGGTCTTCGGCCGAGGGTTGTCGCATCAGATTTTCTCTTTCTGAACCAAACGGGGCAGAACGTGGCAAGGCGTCCATCGCACGTATGGTCAACATGCCTGCTCAATCTTCGTACTGTGTTAACTGAACCCAAGCCCCATCTGGGCTCCGAACAAATCAAGCACTAATAGAGAATTGATATCGCACAAGGACCGCCCTCAGGTTGAAGAGTCCGCGTTCGACCAAGGACTCGTATTATAGACCGAGGATCACGGGTATATAGTGGATCTGGTGACTTTGAAAGTTGAGAATGAGATGGCCTCAGGGGTTCGTCGCGTCAAAGCACCGCTCTGTTATAGAGAAACGGTCTTGTTCAGAATGATAGCAAGGAAAACACCGGCGATTTGAAAGAAACGAGAAGATCTCGAGGGATTTTTCATCGCAAAAGGTATAGAAATGGCCAGCCTGGCTGAGGTTGAGTGACAGGAGGCTCGTACGAGGGCGAGGCATGACGGCACGGAGATCCTACAGGCTGGATCGTTGAGGCGGAAGTGGAGCAAGAATGGCGCCAGGCAGCCCTTCCAGCGTAATATCAAACGCCTCGATTCTCATTGGTGGAATGTGCACAGATCACGGGGACAGGGCTGGTCGATCACGTGAGTTTTTATCGTACCGCAGAATTCTGATACGAGGCTGCCATCCGCAACGACATCTCGCGGACACCGCACCCGTCTTGGGAAGGAACCCCGGCTACAGATCCTATTAGGTGGGATCATTTATCATAGAAGGCGGGCCGTCAGAGTGGCACTAATCGTCATTTACCTACTAGTATTATTGTTGATCCTTCTGCTCACATGCGATATCTGAACTACTGTATGTTGTACCTCGTACAATAATGTGTGGTTGCCGTTTCCTCGGCTTTAGTTTAGGAGCCCCAAGCTCAGTTGTATGACCAATGACGCTAGTCCTGAAATCCCCTGCTTTCGGTCTCTTCTTCAGCACCGTTCATCCCCTTGTCTTCAATCGCGTAGTCCAGGATGTACAGCATAGGCAATTCACAAAGCAAACTCATCGCCCGACACCGTCTGCGGGATCAGAGCAGGGATGAAACGCGCATGGCCACAACTGGAGAATGCTGTGCACGTATGCCTTGCGCGACACCATAGCCTTGTACTCTGCTTAAACTTGTTCGGCTCCCCATCCCGCATCTGCGTCTCTCATGTTGTTGGGAGGTTCAATTGAAGGCGCAAATTCGAGTGCGCAGTAAGCCACGCCAACGATTCCAACGATGCTTCCAGCGATGATCCTCAACACATGGCCTTCAAGGATGATGCAACCGACAAAGATATAAACTGTCCTGTGTTAGCACCCATCTAACTGCTGAACACGGGCGATCCACTAACAGATGCCACGTCCGAGGAAAGAGAACAGGAAGCTGGCGTAACGAGGAACATATGGCGGGACCTGAGGTAGGAGTTCGAGCCCGGCAACCGCTTTTTGTGAGAGTCAGCCTCTTGTGCACCACGCTTTGAACAATTATCTCCATACCAAGACCGAATATGATCACGTAAATGCCGACAATGATGCTTCGACTGTCTTGGGGTCAGTGGCTGGCAGGATGGTTCGCGTTAGGGGTCCACTGACAAGCCTATGGGGAAGAATTGACTGATCCCTACAATTAACAAAGTTAGTACGGCGTCAAAAACAAGGACAGATGGGTGAGCGCAATATCTTACCTCCAAGGACCATAATTCCTCCCACTACCAGGTTCACCAGCCGACTGTTGAGCAAAGTCAGTATTCATTCTCCGCTCTGACTGCTAGACCTATCCGCGCTGTGCGCATCAGGTGTTTGGCACATACAAAATGTTGGAGAAATCCATCGTGACGCGTGTAGGGGGTAAACCGCAGCGGAAGTTCAAAGAAGCTGATCGGGATGGACGAGAGGAGGTGGTTTTCGGGCGCTAGAAGTGGTAGGTGTAGACTCTTGTTGTGAGGCAGCAGAATTGGGTGTTTAGAATTGCTGAAGGGATCAAATCGACTCCGCAGGCAGAGCAATGATGGAGGGAAGTGTGATGCCTAGTACTATGTTATAACACGGTTGCCAGACTTTCGAGTTGAACTTCAAGTTGCTAGGTCGGGTCTTGCTCCCAAGTAGTACTAGTGAGCTACCACGCTCCAGACGTATGCCAAGGCTGTCGGTCCCTGCCAGGCACCCGAGTCAGCCTTGGAGACGCCAGTCACGGTGTGGCCATGCAGCGCGAATCTGAGCTGCGCGTCGAACGCGACAAACTTGAGCTTGAACTGCTGAGTTACTACTACTAGCAGCACCTGCTTGTGTCCTCAGGGCAAAATTGCTACTACGACTACCAGCACAACCCGAGATCCTGAGGCACACATTGAACATGGAATGAGATGATCGAAGCCCATTGTTTTCATCTGTTCTGATGGAGGTTGCGGGGCCTCATAAATTACAGCAATAAGTAGAAGCAAAATCCAACGAGCTGCCCTCTGGTTCTGCTCTGTCTTTCTATCGTGGGACCGTGTATCATAAATCATCTGTGACTGAACCTTCCCGTCCATGTTCAGTGTTCGTCCAGGAATTTAACCGTTGCCGCCGACGCTATGCTGGGGTATCACTATGCAAATCCATGGTATGCAGAACACCTCGCCATGCCAAGTGAGTCAAATGCTCTCAACCCATACTCCATTTGAACGCTATGCTCGTAAAGTAGACTTGGGCCTCTCTGCAACTGACATTTGTCTCGGAGTGGCCGAATCAGCAAGCTGTGCTCCATTGGTGACGATGTGGAGAGAAGTCCGTGTGTGCCCTTTGGCACGTAGCTTTGCTGCACGCGCCGTAAGCTCGGGGTTCTCATTGTCGTCGGCTAGCGCAACAGATCCCGGCTTATCGGGGCCCTGCTCATCTTCAGTGAGCGGGTTGTCAGAGGAGGCATCAGTGTCTTGGGTGCTTGCAGGCGTTCCGGGAGTTACCAACTCGACAGTCTGAGGCAGAAGACGCTCAGGTTCAGGGTCAGAAGCCGCAGCCACAACCTCCGCCCGCCGTCGAGTGCTCCGAGTCTTTCTTCTGTCAGTCCTCTTGCTGGAGCGAATCGGCTCTCCGTCGTCGTCTAAAGATCTTTTGGAACTTGAGCTGCGTTGTGAGGATGTCACAGAAGGACTCCTAGCACGGTACTTTTCCCCGGCTTGTTCTAGTGCGGAATCGACTTCTTTCTTGCTTCGCTGCAGGATATCCTGGATGAGTTCGGTAGACAGGACAGATCTATCACTTCGAATTGTTCTGTTTGTAAGAATGTGCCCTGGCTCCGAGGCGACAGTGGCAAGGGCATTGCGAGGGCTGTCTGAAGGCTTGAGCAAAGGACTTTTTGCGCCTCTAGGGGTTGAACCATCTCTGCTCCGAGCTGAATCATAGTGTGCTCGAGTGACCTCGTCTCCTCCATAGCATATGTGCAATGCAGGCAGTGGAACTGAAGTCTCGCGGTGTTCGTTGGTGTATGAAATCGAGTCTCTATCGAAATTCTTGATGCGTGGCAGGTGCACCGTGACATCCTGATCGTAGACCTGGCAGAAGGCAACCAACTCGGGTTCTCCACCGTAGGTACCGCTGCGTGACATGAGAGTCAAGTATTCCTCAAACGCGTCTTCTGGATCTTGACGGGCAGTCGACTTGGCGGAACGAAGGGTTCGGCGTTGTTGCACGTCATCTTTGTGTACGTAGTGCTCGAAGAGAGGCCGAAAAGTCCGCATGTGTTCGATGATGTTTGCACGAATTTCGGGATGTTTGGCCGGAGTGCCATACAACTGATCAGAGAGAGATGCAAAGAGACAATTGCCTGCATAGTATCAACCAAATTTGTCCCACATCTAGGTACGAGTCTCGGAGGTCAAATACATACCATCGCCTGCTATCTGCTTCTGGTACATACCCATCCTGGCAAGGCCCGGCCAGACAGCTTTTGGCTTGCGAACCATGCTGGGAAGCTGCTCGGGCGATGCATGGTTAGCCATGATCGCGAATGATCCATTGACAAGTGCATTTGGATGATGCGTGAAGAGAAAGAAGGAAGTAGAGGTGTGAACAGAGATCCCCAATGTTCAGAACGACATGATGGGTCTGCACCGCAGGGCGAAGGGCAGATGGACAGGTGGTCAGGGGAGGGGATGGGCGTTTTTTGAGGGTGAGAAAAACGCATGATTCAATCCGTGCACTGGCACTGCACTGCATGCTTCGCCCAGCAGGATCCTTAGGACCCCGACTGCCGCTGGATTGCGGAGTTCAGTTTGGCACGTCGAGCACACAGTAAGGGGGTGGAAAGGCCGCCGGGAGAGGGGTTTGGGAGGCTTGGGGAGTGGCTGATTAGCCTGTAGGACTGCCTGGAGCAGGGCTGTTAGGGGTCTTAAACCCCCCAAGATGCCAGCTTCGGGTTCACGTCTGTAAGGCAGGGGCATGTCTGTGGCTTACCCTGTAGCAATACCTAGGTAAGATACCTGGTAAACAGCCAGTAGGAACCGCGGACACTGATTCCGCTCCGGGGCACAGGCACTAGATGGCGTGCAATAATGGGTTCTGGAAGGCTGCTCAAGCCTGGCGATCCGACGAATCCTGCTGCAAGATAGGCGGCGAAAGGACCAGGCGGCCCACTCCAACAAGTGATCGAGTGATCTTGTGCTGCTTGTAACGTTCTTCAAGTTGTTGATTTTTAGTGTAGGAGTTGAGCGTCAGCGGGTGTGCAAAGAAGCAATGTCGAACGATCTCATGAGAAATACCGTGGTGTCACTTAGTACTGGTGTGAGATATCGGTCAATGTAGAAAGATCTTTATAAGGTGCCGAAGCTGTTCTTCTGCTCACTTGCGGCTTCAAAACAAGTTCTAGTGTTGAGGACCTCGACTGCTATTGTCCTATTCCGCCGGCAATCCTATTGTGAAGCCAGTGGTACGCGTGTGGCAGAAAAGCTACCTGTGTTGGCAAACTGTATTCACTTCACTCTCACCGGCACCTGAACACCACCAACTCGTTTCATTTGCTCTCCATAGCGGTGACATTACTGTGACTTTAGTCTAACCCACTCCGCACCATGGGCGAAAAGAACATTGTTGTGGTCGGGTACGTTGAAACCCTGTCTGCTATATCGTGAGCCTAATCCGTCTTTCTATCAGCGCCGGTGTCGCCGGACTGACCACGGCATTACTCCTCTCGAAGAATCCACGCTACAAAATCACCATCGCCGCAAAACACATGCCCGGGGACTACGATATCGAATATGCGTCCCCTTGGGCCGGAGCAAATTATATGCCGTGAGTTAATGGTGTCCTGGTCTCGTTCTCAACGCCCTGCACGCGCTGATCACACCGCTTAGAGTCTCAGTAAAAGGCAGTGAAGCAGCCGAATGGGACAAGAACACTTGGGGACCACTTGCAGACCTGGCCCAAAACCACCCCGAGGCTGGTGTTCATTTCCAAAAGACCTTGATCTACAATCGAAAAAAGGACGTCTCTTCGGCCACAGCAGCATGGTTCAGCGAGCTGCTGAGCCCAACACCTTGGTTCAAGGACGTTTTTGACGATGTAAGGTTTCGCCCTGGCCAAGGATGGTTTGATACTGATCGTTCAACTCGCAGTTTCACGAAGTACCCAAGTCGGAGCTGAAGCCAGGAATGGACAATGCCACATGCTTCACCTCTGTCTGCATCAACACCGCCATATATCTGCCCTGGCTTGTTTCTCAATGCCTGAAAAATGGCGTTATATTGAAGAGGGCCGTTTTCCAACATATTGCAGATGCAGCTGCCCCAGGGGTGCATCACTCGAACAGGCCAGCCGATCTGATTGTCAACTGCACTGGTCTTTCAGCCTCCAAACTTGGTGGAGTCGAAGACAAATCGGTCGTTCCTGCAAGAGGCCAGATTGTCATTGTCAGAAACACAGCACCTGCCATGTATTCCGTTTCCGGGACAGATGATGGTCCGGATGAGGCGTCCTATGTAAGTTGGCTTATTCCTAGTGGACCTAGGGACACCATCGGCTGCGAGCTACTAACTCTGCTTCTTTTGTAGATAATGACCAGAGCAGCCGGGGGAGGCACAATCCTAGGAGGCTGTTACCAGAAAGGCAACTGGGAGTCGCAAGCAGATCCCAATCTTGCGATCAGAATCATGAAGCGCGCAGTTGAAATGTGCCCAGAGTTGACCGGAGGCAAGGGGATCGAGCATCTGGACATCATCCGACATGGTGTTGGTCTAAGGCCCGTCCGAGAAGGCGGCACCAGAATTGAAAAAGAGAGAATTAATGGTGTGTGGACAGTGCACAACTACGGAGCCGGTGGAGCAGGTAAACACTTGATTATCTGTGTACGGGGGCATTCTTCGTTAACTTGCTGCAGGTTACCAATCGTCGTATGGCTGTTCACAGGCAGCAGTGAAGTTGGTGGACGAGGCTCTCCAGGAAAAAGCAAAGCTATGAAAGGCGAATCTCGAGATGCCCCTGCGATTCGAAAGTTCAACAGATCGGATCACATAACGATGGCATCTGGAAGTCAACGATCAACGACCTTGGCCGATCCATACTAGTAATACGGTTTGAACGGTGCCGCGTTGACAGCGGATTGCTTCCTCGGATCTTGCTGCTGCAACCATCCCCAGCACAAGGATGCCCGCGTCTGAACTCGGGGCTGCAAGCTCATCTGGTCTCTCATCGTAACTTTGGTCATCACCCTGGGTCAGAGCCATACAAAATGTTAACTTCCGAACACTCACTTGCCAGTAGCGAGTTGAGACAAGGACAATGCGATTGCTCTAGAAATGAGAAACTGGGAAGGCTTCTTGATCGCAATTCGCGGCGTGAGCAGAAACTTGAACCTAAAAAAGTCGCTAAGTAACCCGGGGCCGGAAATGATCAGCAATGCCTTCCGGAGCAGGGCTGTTCTGAGACATGTGCTGGAAGAGGAAGCGATCGATGCAGGAACCATTCGGAGGCACTCGCGATCCTTGCACTTGCTACCGCTTAGCCACCGTTCGTTACCCAGGGATTGGAAGTAGCTTCGACGGGGCATTGTACATGGCTCGGGTACCTGATTAGTACCCTCAGAGTCCGTCGAACCACGGGCGATGGCCCTATTAGTACGGGACTGTTAGCTTCGCTGATCCGAGCAGCCATGCAAGTGGCTGAAGTACCTATCGAATAAGTTCATCTTCGCTGTGAAGGGCTCGTACACGTCATCGTGGGAACATGCCTCTAAACCTATGGCTGCGATGGCTGGCCTTCGACACCCTATGGCCCGATGGTAGAACGTGAAGTCTTCTTTGCTGTACTACTCGTAGGGCCACCTTGGCAAGGAGGACTACTATCAGGTTGTGGTCCATCGCATATGTGCACCAGGGAGGTAGTATAGAATCGAGCAAATATTGACAAAATACGTGAACGTGTCTGCCGTCCTTGAATCTATGCCCCGTGGCGCGGCGGGGAGCACTTGCAGGACTGCAGAGTTCAGACAGGAATAGATTTCGTGTTATGGTTAAGTGTCGATAAACCCTCCCGGCATCGCAAGACCGCAGCAGGTCTGAACTCCCTTGTAGCTGTTGTGTTCCTTGCATGTCCGACGTTTCATGCTTTCAGCCCACTGGCACGACATGACGCCCTGCCCCGTTGCGGACTCCCTCGCTGAAGGGATCCCTTAAGTCAACGCAGACAAGTCTGACACTGCAGCGAACCCTGCATTCGATTTCAGGGAACTTGAACTTCGAGATGCGGGTACGTGACAGACTCTCGTTGGTTAGGTCAGTTGAGCTAGAGGGGTAGTCCTGATCACCAGGCGGACATTGAGAACAGGCCGGTAAGGGCCGTCACTGGTGAACATGTGGAGGGCACCGAAGATTGGGACGGTGGTAGTCTGCCGACGTAGGTAGGCCGATAGGGAACAGATGCTTGAGGCGTGAGGCGGGTGGCGGGCGGCGGGTGACAGGTGACGAATGCCTGCAGCCAGATCTGTGGTGATCCTCCTCGTGCGAGCAGGGGGGTTGAAGGAGAACGCACACTCTCGGGATGGGAAACTTGACAGACCTGGGTGGGATTCTCACCATGAATCGCTGGGGGAACCGACAATAGTACCTTAGGCTATTATTATTATGGTTCTGGAAGTGTGGTCTTGTTGAGGTGGAGGCCAGCAATATACAATTCCCACACGTTGAACTGAAGTGATGATAGTGGTGATTCTGGCGGCCGTGCTCATACCTACCGATGTCTGGAGCTTGAGCGGGCAGGCCAAACTGAAGTGGCTTACCCGCTAATAACTGCCACTTGATTGCTTACCAGACTGCAACTAGGCCTTGCACCACTGCAATAAAATCCCCTCTTGGCCCAAGGTCTGCGCCTAGTACGATTAGTGCCCTGGTGACTGCTATGGGCGCTTAGCTCCACCGGGCGTTGGCACTAAATGACGTGCCCCCATTTGGGCTCTTTTAGTAGTCTCGAAGCCCTCCTCTTTCCGTTCTTCTTGGGCTCAGAGTCTCCATCAGCCGTCGCCGCCGTCGCCGCCGCCCGCCGCCCGCCCGCTCGCCTCTGGCCTATCTCCTTACCATTGCCCACTACCGCTGCTGTTGCCATTTTATTATTGCTGCTATTGCTTCTTCTGCTGCCAGCACTAGTAGTGCCGATTCTGTACTAATAACGGTGCCTACATCATCGCCACTACCAGCACTGGCTCTGACACCAGCACCAGCACCAGCAGCAACATTCCGTCACACACGCTGCTACTCATACTGGCAATTGATCACTGACAGTCGTCAACCACCTGCGTCGAAGTCGCTTCCACCATCGGTTTTGCCATTGTGCATCTTCCACTCTCATTACTGCTCGTTCAGCAGCTCGATATTGATCGCCATAATCGTTCTTTCCACGACTCGAAAGGTTTCTCGGGACCCTCATCCGTCGCACGGCACCCGTCATCGTACGTCTGGCCTGTCGAGAACCTGTCAAATCTTCCACCCTTCCGAAGTGCTTGCGACCGAGACGGCGCGTTGGCGTTTTCCCCTCCGCAACCCTATCTCCAGACCAAAACATCACTCATTCAGACCGCCGGGGCCTTTCGACAGCCTGCGCTTTCTCGTCGTCACCTAGAGACACTTTGACCTGCGCTACGCTTATCGTGGTTGATGTCTCCCACAGAGTCTCGTGATTGTCCAATCCGACTGCGTCCCTTTCCTTGATCGCAGCGTCCTTCAGCACTGGACATTCGGTCCACTGTTGTTGGAACCAGGATGGGATTTTGGCCATTTGGCGGAGGCAAAAAGCGCCGCACAAGTCAAGCTGAAGACCAAAGCCAGCAGACACTCTTTGAAAAACACCGGAAAGACATCGGGACGCGGTTCAGATCCAGTGGTTCTGGGGAATTGGAGGCCATGGCACGCCATCGAAGCAAACGCGGACAAGATGAAAAGCCTCGCAGACTCTCAAAGCAGCAAAGAGTCGCGAGTCAGCCAGCGAACTTTTCTCCCTCTCGGATGACGCCTGTTAATGGATCCAGGTCAGAATCGCGGAACATGAGAAGGGATTCGGCGGCAGAAGCAAGCGGTCACCGTATCTATTCGCAAACTCCTGTGTCCCACTCAAGCATTGGACCTGAAGACTTTACAGCTCTTCCAGAAGCCCCGACTCTGTTGGCAAAGCGTAAAGGCTATGATCCCAGTTTACAGCGAAGGAAGTCAAGTAAGAGGAAAGCAGAAGACTACGCTCGGGAAAGAGAAATTCGTGCGATGAGTTCACCAGACCCCGGTTTGAGGCGTCCAGTCACGTACTCTGGCTCCGGTCCCCTGCGCCGCGATACCAAGCAGGTGCCTGGGCATTTCAATCGTCGCCTCCAACGACCCGCCTCGGAAGTTTCATTGCCCCTTCCAGAAACGATTCAGGAGTCCGAGGATATGACCAATCAAGCTTCATTCAAGATTGGCATCTTAGCAGCATTAAGTCCCCGCCCTACCCTCACATACGTCGCCAACCCAAGGCACTCGACGGGCAAGCAACCCGCGCGACCAAAACCATCAATACAGCAAGCGATAGACGAAGAAGATGTTTCGTCGAAGAAGAGGATTGACGAGCTTGCGGACGAGCTTGATGCTGGAGGTCTGAGAGAGCTCATGGAAAGGGATCGGAGACGGCACGAGAGGAAAACAGCGGCCGAGAGAGATCGTCTGCATAAGAAGCTTCAACGCAAGGCTGAAAGACAGCGAGAAGAAGAGCTCCGTGCATTGCGGAGTGATGAGCCTGCTGCAGGCTCTGGGCGAGCAGGGGCCGAAGGCGATGAAGGCGCCGAGAGACGTGGTCGGAGGACGACGCCCAGTCCCCAGACGGATGCTGTTAACCCTTTCGCCGACCCAGACACCTCGCAACGCAGGCCGGTGCAGCCCATCCGAAATCCCTTTGAAGATGAGAAAGATATCGATGAGAAAGACATTGACATCATGCGGGATTCGTTTGCTCTTGAAGAGGACGAGGGACCACCGGTGCCGGTGAGGTCACCTTTGCGCACGGTGTCCCCGGTGGAGATTCCAAGTGAGCAGAAGCCACTCCAGGCAACGACGATATCTCCGCCCAGGTCGCCGATACAGCGTCCGGTCGACCGTCAGAGCATGTCGCAGGCGTCGGGCCTGGCGCGTGAGATCACCCCAGACATTCCTGAAAACACCCAACCATACCGACGTGCTTCGGATCAAAGTAGTCAACAGTTAAGTTCATGGACGAGCTTTTTCAAGCGAGGTGGTCGACGGAAAGCTAGCACCACCGATCGTGGTAGGAGCACACCATCCGAGTTTTCCAACACTTCCCGAGAATCTTTCGCGCGGAAGCAACAACCTCCACCAGTTGTTGTCCCCCGTACGTTTCGGAAATCCGATTCCTCGGGCGTCCCCCAGCGGACCATGTCGAAGTTCCGTGAAGACTTGCCAGACTTTCCTATCTCGCCTCCCGATTCTCGCGTGCAGTCACCTGAGGCTACAAATGCTCTCCAGACCAGCTCAGGGCAGCAATTGAGCAACCTCGACACTAACTCGAGCAACCCCGCCCTTAACAAATCCGCAGCCGAAAGACGACCTGGGCATCCCATGGACATTGACAGTGCCGGAATAGCACTGTCAGGTGTAGCATTATCCCAATCCCTTGCATCGGTCGATTCAGAGGGGTCCTGGCTATCAGGAAAACCAGTAAAAGGGGTGTCCGGTGGATCGAGCAACCCGACAAGGCACAGCCAGTCATCTCTTCTACCTCAGACCATGCCTGGCGCATTTGAGACGGAGGAAGTGGGGCTTGCCGATGATGATTATCTGAATCGGCTCACCCCAGGACCAACCCGACGGCGCGATTCGGATAATTCGATAAGTCGAAAAGCAAGCAGCACGGTGATTGATCTTGAGAGGGAGAGGCACCAGAGCCCCGTGCCAGAAATGCCTCCTGTCCCCGCGCTGCAGACAGGCGAGGAGAAATGGCATGAGGGTCTTGGACGGCAGGCCACCGTGATTCGCCAGCCCAACCGGACCAAATCAACAGAGGGCATATTGAGGGTACTTGGGACCGACACTCGCGAAGGATCCCGCCGGTCTAGTTTAGAAGGACAGGCGGAGGGGGATGAAGAGGTTGGAGATTCGCCCGCGACGGAGGCCGACAAGGCGGAATTGCAAGAAGCTCCGATTTTAAGAGCACGAAGTGTGGAATACAAGGGACATGCCAGGCATATCAGCGCAGGAAGTGCGAGGCTACTGGATATTCGGCGGTCGTCAATGCAGTCGGATGCTGCTCCTCGAAGTCCAAGTCTTCCGCAAACAGTCACGTCTGTGCAACCAGCACAGTGACCGGTTGCGGAAGAAGGAGACTAACCGGGATCTCGAAGGCACCTCGCCTTTTTCTTTTGTCTTTCATCTGTTTCCCTAACAGCGAGATCTGGTATACACGAAACACTATGGCGAATTGGCACAAACACCGACGATATTGATGACAAGACAAATACCCCCACCTCACTCTTTACAGCAGCACTGAGAATATCCCATTTGTGGTAGGGCTATCGATCTGAATCCTGCGTTAGTAGTTGCTTGGAAGCTGAATGTACGATGGAGGACTGAACTACGACGGAAGCGTTGATTTGAAGCCCAAAATTTTTGAAACTACACAGAGGTAGTGGATTTGCCATCGATTGTCTGCCGACCAAATCATTTGGCATGAGGAGCTGGAATGAGACATGTACTACAATTACCACCAAAATAGGAGAAGGCGTGAGAACTTGAAGACAGCAACAACTATGGACACATGTGTTCGCGATGCAAACATGGGCCTCGATGGCCGACCAAGACGGAGTCATTTCCTTCTGTACGTCGAACAAGTTGCGCAGCTGTGACACATCTATATAGAATAGTCATTGCTGACGGCTTGTTCACGTTGTTGTAATTAAATTGTTCGAGTTCTGGGCTGCAAGCTGGTCTTCCGGCCGACTCGATTACTCAGCGTGTGGAGATAATGCACGATTAAAGCGGCCACGCTATATTGCCCGATATATTAGCAATCATTGATCGCGTCATCTTTCCGTGGACAGAAATTTAACCGAGTGCCGGGTTGCCAGTATTCCAAATTCACGGTGCGTGGCGTCATTGTTGGTCCACGTCCAGCAGTGGCAGTGCAGTGGGTGCAGCTGTGCTTCTTCGGTGTCTGGATGCCCTCCATCGCACTGCTACAGCTGTACTTGTGTTGAAGAGTGAGGACAGGTCCTGTACAATGCTGCAAGGCTCCGGTTTAAAGGGATCCAAGGTAGCTCGTGGTGGCTGATAGTAGCTGCTAGTAGTCCCAGCAGCATAACAAAATAAACAGTAATTAAAAGTCGCCGAAGAGCTAAGACGGGCGGATTTCTAAGCGTCCCGTCATCTCTCAACACATCCGCCTGTCATTCATTCCCCTCCAAGTCATCGGGCTTAACACCCTGCAGCCTGTGGTCCCCTAATTACTGCGAACTAGTATTTTACCTCGCATCTTCCATCGTCTCTCTTCATCCCACCACTGACAGTCCATTGTTATAACTACTTGTCACATCGCATCGCATCACATCGACACCCCTCCGACCTTTGCTGTCTCATCACCCATAAACGCCTTTCGCCGTGGCTACCCTAATCCGTTCGTCCACGACCAAGCTTTCACGCTTCTTACCTCGCGGTACTGTGTCAATCTCAGTAGCGACCACAACCACCCCGCTTCGAAGAAGTCCAGCAGTTACAACAAACCGCATCACCAACAACCACACGCGGCTCTTTAGCAGCTCGAGTCCAGCACATTTTTCACACACAGCAAACAAGATGGGCGTCCACAATCTCGCAGAGTACGTAGCCTACCACCAAGCCAAGCTGCGTCAAGAGCAGCAGCAGCAAGCTCGGAATTCCTCTTCCTCTTCCTCCCCTCCGAAAAAGAGCTACGGTGTTAACCCGATCCACAGCAAGGCCTCCTTCCAGACTTCGGTCCTCTCCGCCCCGGCCGACCGCCTGGTCGTGCTCGACTGCTTCGCGACCTGGTGCGGTCCTTGCAAGGTGATTGCGCCGGAGCTGGTCAAATTCAGCGAGTCGGACGAGTTCAAGGACAAGGTCGACTTCTACAAGATCGACGTCGATGAGGTGCCCGACGTCGCTCAGGAGTTGGGTGTCCGCGCCATGCCGACTTTTATGCTCTTCAAGAATGGCCAGAAGGTTGGCGAGGTTGTCGGTGCCAACAAGAGAGCTCTTGAGCAGGCTATCCGTTCCAACTTGTAAATGATGACGGGTACTCTCTCGCCGGTGTCTCTCTTTGTTCTATTTAACGATACAGAGGGCCAGGAGTGCGGACTGGATGACAAGCCGGGGAACCACACTCGTCACTCTGAATCAGCAGACCCGGTTAGGATTCCTAACACTGGGCAACCTCTTTCTTTAGCCTGGAGCACCCTAATCACCCACCCTGTGTTCCAGCATGAGAAAGGTGCGACACGGATAATTGACAACCATGATCAAAGACCTAGACGCTCGCATGCGTTCTGATCGTCTGCATTGGATGGGATGAATGTAACGCGGGCAGATAGCCAAATACAAGATGCGAATGTCAAACATCAGCGAGAACTCCTTTGATTATTGTCTAGCCCTTACAGCGTCATTCCACCATTGTGCCGGGCATTAAGATCGCTCTGCCTTTCCCTCTCTCACTCTGCAAATGGGGCACTATTCTTCTGTCCTCACTCAATGGTAATCTCTTTTGCCTCGGAAATCCATAGACATTCCCGTCAAATCCGACGTACTGTAGCCAGCCCTGGTCTTGTCTTGCCTTTGCCCTGGGGTGCCACAGTACAAGTTCCTTACGCAGAATGTTTCGTACGGACAGTTTGATAAGGTGCTCTTGTCTTTCCCTTCCGCTGCAGGCTGATGCTTTGGTGGAAAACCCCATTTCCCACTGGCAGTCCCAGGTCAAGTTTCGCGTCTCCTCGCTACACTAGCAAGTTCGTGGCCTGCTGGCGATATGGCTTCTATAGCGAAAAAGACGACCAAGACTACGGTAGACAATAAGAAGACAATATTCAAGTTGTTACGTTTGATAATTAGTTCATGTTTTGATACGCTAAAACTGTACATATAAATATCGCTTTGGGTTTCCCTTTCGCTTTCCCTTTTTTTGCCAACGTCGTTGTTGTCGTATCGTAACCTCGTTGAGAGATTTGAGGATGTGGATAATATCGGGTGTTCGCTTGCATCGCATCGCATAGCGCACAAATACAAATACAAATACAAATACAGTAGAGTCCAAGGGAGAAGTGCTTGTCCATGCAATGACCAAGGCATTCAATGATCGATTGCCTCTGTTCAATGCTTGTGACTTGTCCTCATAAAGTGCGTCCATCCGAACAATAATAACCTGATCGATTGCATTATCGTCGACTGAGGTACCACTCGCAAAACCTTTGAATTTCGGAGGGAACTTTTTCTTCTTTTCGTTTCCGGTTGACTTGAATGATATCCAAGATACCAGCGTTCCGGGGTAATCATCATCAGGGCCGTATCCGGCTACCAATCCACCGAGCGCCGCCCCTCGAGTTTTTGATGCCGTTATCAGTGATGTGATAGTGCAAAAGCCAAATGTGTACATCCAAAACCATGGCCACCATAATATGCGACAGTCTTTCTCATACAACAGTGCCGCATTTTTTGCAACGGAAACTCTGCCCCGTGTCCGTCATAGTGGCCTTAAATGTCTTGCTCCCACATTCTCTGCATCGTAGATCGTTCTCACTATCGGCGCTTTGTCTACGCCGGCCACGAGACCGGCGGACTTGGCTCTCGGTCTTGACATCGTCGACATCGCCACCGGCCCGTCCTTGTCCCTTGGCGCTCGTGCTCCTCGTACTGTTCCCCTCGTGCTCAGAGCCGGTGAGGTCGCTAGACAGTTGGCTCACGTAGCTGCCTTCCCGGGAGAGAGGATTGCCTTCTGCGTTTAGCAGACCAGGACTCCGCGGTGTGTGCGCAGCCATGGGCATCAATGTATTCTTCACGTCCCAGGCGAGATAGGACTGTTGGTCCATGAGGAAAAGGGGGTCGTTGGCGTTGCGGGGGAGATCGGCTAGTGTTGGATTGGATGGAACCGGTGTCAAACCCGTCGTCATCTCAGAGTTTCTCCTTTCTGGAGATGTTGCTTGCGGAGCAGAATGGAAACTAGCCGGTGACTCTGCTAAAGGTGAATGAACGGATATGGAAGGCATTCGTTGGGCCTGTATCGAGGGTGAATGGGACCCGTTGACGGTGGGCGAGGTGGATGCCTCTTTCGTAGGAGGCGATGTCTTTCGGGTGGGAAGACGAGGCGAAAGGAGTTTGCGAGGTGACGCACTACGTGACCGGTCCCCGTTGCCCAAGGAGCCCCGAGCCTCAAGCGCCCCAGTAGACGCGTTGGCAGCAGCATGGTTGGCGCTCACTGTGTTTCTCCAATTCAAGATTCGATCGGTCGAATGGTTCTTGGAGCTTAGCGCAAATGAGTTGCGGTGCAGCGAAGTGCTGCCAGATGTTCGAGTGGCCACAGATCCGCTCCTACCCAGAACTTTCTTGGAGAACGTCGAGCTCGTGTCCCAAGACTCATGGCGACGTTTCTGGTAAGCGCAATCTTGTCGGAATACCTTGATCTGCCCGGTGTAGTCGGCTGTCACGATGATCTGACCGCCTGGGTGTGAGTGTCGTGCTAGGTATGCCGGAGTCTCAGGAGCGCGTTTGGGAGACTCCGAGTTTCTTTTTTCCTGCTTATGGTGCTTGTCTTCTGAGTTGATGCTGGTAGGTGCTCGGGAGGAGATAACAGAGTCAGCACGACTAACCAGCGTCACAGGTGGCGGATTGCACAAGTCGTAGAGAGGGTCGCCTGATTGTGCAAGTAACCGTCTAGTCTTCTCCGGGGCCAGCAGGGCCGTGGTCACAATTGCTGAATGAGCTTCAAACACCTCCATGGGCCGCTTATCATTATCGGGCCTCTCATTGATAGAGGTGGGCCATATGTACACCTTGCGATCCTCACTCCCGCATATCACGTACTTTCCATCATCGCTGAACGTGGCGTGGATTTGGCTGCATGTATTCTCATTCCCTCGAAATTTCAACTCCAGCGTTCTGTCCTTCAAATTGTACATGCGCACACGGGAGTCGTTGCTGGTGATCAATAATTTGACGTCTGGTTGACCGTTATCTCGAGGAAGAGCAATTGTATCGATTCCGGTGATTTTGCTGCCTTTAGCATTCTTCCCTCGGGCCGACCGAACATGAATCTGGGAATGTGCCTTCAGACCCTCGGTGTCGTAGAGAATGCATAGTCCATTGAGACATCCAGCAATTGCGGTCTTGCCGTCTGGGGTAAACGCTACGGCCGTAACCATGTCCGGGACTTGCACCCAGTACGCCACGGTTTTGTCTGGTATGCTCCAGAGTCGTAGTTTTGAGTCTAGCGAGCCAGCGAGGAAGAAACGATCGTCCCGTGGATGGAACTGGATCGAAGTGACGAAATCGTTGTGTCTGAACGCACACAAACATTCGTCTCGGCTGACATGATATAATCTCACCGTCTTGTCCATTGATGAAGACAGGAGGAAGTTGTTTTTACTCCAGCTGAGGTCCAGGATGCTGGATGTGTGGCCCTCGTATTCGTGCAGGAGCTTGCTTTTGAACACCGGGGCATTGAGTCTTACCCTCTCACCCTCGGTATTAGTTTCGGCTAGTTTCTCGTCCATCTCACGCTCCTCGGCCGTGGAGATGACCTCCCAGACCCGTAATTTCCTGTCCTGGCCAGCGGCGGCGAGGTAGCGACCGTCCTTTGAGAATTCCATAGCCCATATCGCATTGCTTGCCGGGTTGGAGGAGTGCGGAAGATTGCTGCCCGGGGCATCCTTGATACTATGTATCTTGGAGTCTATTGATAACTTCCGACTTTTCGACTTTGGGGTATCCAACAGGACCTGAGCCAGGAACAACCTGTCGAAGTCTTTGCGCTTCCTGTATTGCGCCTTGACCTTGATATATCGAGGAGGAGCAGGGAACTTCGGTATGAAGCCAACAGGCTGGGAAAAGACTTCGGCCTCGACGCCGGCTGATCGGTTGTCCGAGATCTCAGAAACGTCGTCGTCGCGGATATCGAAGGAATCACGCTTCTTGGTGCCCATTATCCGGCTCAAAAAAGACACACCTTTCCTGCATACACACGTAAGTCAGCCTTGCCCAATCCGGTGGTGTAGTGTCAGGCAGCAGCAGCAGTGGTAAGGCCCGGAGCCATGGGAGCGAGTGGCCGCCCGTGTGGCAAGGTACACGAGAATGTCAAGGCAGCAACCAACATCATTGTGTACTGCCTTTCGGACTGAAGGTGGGACTACTTACTTTTTGTCTTTGCCCACCTTGCTACTAGCAGCACTGTCAACTCTTCGCAGGGCGGTCGGATCGGAACCGATTTTGGCCGAGTGCTGGTCCTCGGGAGGACCAGCTTCCGCATGGGGAGCCTTGAGGGAGGCTCCGCTCTGAGAGATTTGCTGCGGCCTGTGGTGCGATTGTGTGCGCTCGAGAATTTGCTACCGAATGCGTGAGCTGGACCATACATCACCCGGGGGGCATGTCAGGTGGGCAGGTGAGGGTACCCTTGAGATGGGGTCCAAGGCCAGCGCAGCAGGGCTGGCCTGCGCCTCGGAAGAGCTGAGAACTGAACTCATCGTAGCGGAGGCAGCGGGTTCTAAGGCGGAGTTGTATTGAACGGCTGAAGCAGCATTCCTTTCTGCCGTGGGCAATTCTGGGGCGCGAATCAAGTCAGTCAGCACAGCGGCGGAACGAAGTGGGCTGTAGAAATCGAGGAACCGGGCGCAGCTGCACGGCGGGGAGTGGGTGCTTCACATCACTGCATGGCAAGGTGGACGACATACTCGGGTGGATGACTGGAGAGCCATTGGCGGCATCGAGATGGATGTGGTGGGCGGCAGCCTTTGGTGTTGTTGACTGTGACGACGACGGTGGTGGTGGTGATGATGTTCCGGGTGGTGCTGGTGTTGGTGACGGCGGCGGGCTCGAAGTGCCATTCAAGTTGCGTTCAAGTTGTGCCTGCGCATGCATAATAATAATGTCATTATTATCGTCGCCGGCGGGAGAAAAGGCTGCAGCCTCCTCCTCCTCTTCCGCCGCCGCCTCCATACCAACACCCACCGCTCGACTTCTACTCGCCGCTGTCGCTGCCACAGACACGGGCATTCCTTCAACCCAAGGTCTGGGTGCACATTAGAAGAAAAGAACATCCGCCAAATGACCACATGGAAAATATCAACCTGGGTCGGACTTGGTAGCTGGCACCTGTATCCTGTGTATCCATTGCCCGGTAAACTTCTGTCAAGCCTCCACTACAGCAGCCTGGCTGGACACGCGGACGCCGGGCTTGAGATCATCCCGGCGCGGCAGTCGTTCAAGCTACGGACGGGCGGCTGGCATCGATTGTGATTGTATGCGCCATATCAGGCATCCAATGTTATTGTTACGAGCTGACGGCTTCGACGGGGCCGGCTCCAGAGCACAAGGCGCCCACGTTTGTGTAAGGAACCCGCATGGCTGACTGTTCGCCTACAAGTTTTTGCATTCCTCGCATTCGTATCCATGATAGGGCCATAGGACGATAGGTAGGTATCTACATACTGTACATATGTATCAACATACTAGGACCGTTAGTTACCCGATGCATAAAACTCGCTATGCCAGGAAACACCTTGTCATTGTGGTGAATGCAGTAATGAGTAAGCGTCCGGATCTAGACGTGGCCAAGTCATCACGGCAACACGAATACGAGCGACACGAGGGTACAACAGAAACTATGGGTCATACATAATTGCCATACATAATGCGTGGAGTCGGTTTCCCGATCGCACCAAGGAAAGCTCAGTGCACCATGCAGCTGGCTCCATCATAAAAGGAGCTCTTATATTCACTCCACATTCCCCTGCAAGACAGTCACTTCTCCTGGTTGGCAATTCTGCCCAAGTAGCCTAAGAGAAATGCCTTATTCTCGGCGCCTGTTTGTCGTTTCTCACCGCCTGCACGTCCCACTCCCGGTCCACTACCAATGGAGGCCAGGCTTCCAACCCGCGATGTCCGGGTTGAAATCGGCTCCAAACCAGACAACGGCATCTCGTAGTCGGCACTGTAGAGGTGACTTGTTGAAAGTGGTGACACCAGTCCCGAACCAGACTGTCCTGTCGTTACCGCCTTAGGCGTAGTGTCTGACACTCCGCCAAAGAGAGAGAGCAGTCTTTGTTTCTGGTCTTCTGTTTGGGACAATTGTCGACGCGGAGTCGGCATTTCACTTCCGCTCGGCGTCAGTGAGGGAGACCGAGCAGTCTTTGTCGTGATAACCTCCCCAGTCTTGGGAGAATTGGTTATCGTTGTTGCTAGTGATGCGAGCCCAGGTGTGTCGTCTCTCTGTGGTCGTCGTAGTATTTGAGGTTGAAAGGGCTTGGTGGGAGGCTTGGTCGCTGCCTTCTCCCGTACTGCCCGCTTCGGGGGTCCTTTTAATTCTTGGGGAGATCGTGGAGCTTGAGCACGACTTTCCTCTGACCTTGTGAGTATCCTGACAGGGGTAGGTTGTTTCGGGTCATAGAGGGTTCTGTTCGTAGGCACTGGACTTCGCCGCATCTCGCTCGTCATTTGCCTCGTCGTTCGAGAAACAACTTCGAAGTCAGGTTGATTCAGAGGACCGCGCACAGTGGCAGCCGTTTCCCCTTCGCGAGGAGACGGATACTTAGGCTCGGAGTCTTGGCGCGACAAGTCTCGGCCGCCCTCCTTTAGCAAACCTAGGAGAGCATTCTTGCTGGGTGCTGGGTGCTGGGAAGAGCTGGCTGGATTTGTGGCTGCAAGTTCGACCGGAGGTGCTTGGTGAGGGCCATGTGCGTTGTCGGGCTTTTGTCTGGACGGCTGATTGAACAATCCAAGGAGCGATGTCTTGTGTGCGTCAACAGGCCGCTGCACGGACGGCATTCCCTGGAATTGAGCCTGTGTCTTCTCACCACCTGGGTGCATAGATCCAACTGGCGCTGGTTCCCGTGCAAGCTGCGGTTGCACTTGATCGAGCGTAGGTATGGCAGGCGGGCTCGGTGCAGCCTTAAACACATCCAGTAGAGCCTTGGTATGATTCGTCAGTTTAGGCAATGCGCTGGCAGGAGGCACATTGCGCTGTGCCAGTTCCATTGGTCTCTCTTGCGCATAGGGCGGTTCCAAGGTCTGTTGATAAGGCGCGGTACGCGCAGCCATGGAAATTGATCCAAGCTCGGTGCCTTGTGTAGTTCCCGATCCTGCATTGTGGCCATTGGAATACAAAGGAGAAGGCTGGACCAGACCTTCGGGCTGATGGTAAAATTGTGGGGGAGGTGGTAGCCGATCCAGCTGCGGTGGACGCACGTGTGATGGATGAGGTGACCGTTGTTCCTCTGGCAAAGCTGATATCTGCTCGAAAGGTGTATGGGGAGGCTGAATAGGCTGCCGACCTGGCGGACCCTGCTGACCGTTCCGCAACAATGCCAGCAGGGCATGGGATTTCTCCTCATCAACCTGTGGCATGTGAGCAGGCTGTGACGGCGGTGGAGGTGGCGGCAGCTGCAACGGTTTTGACGTTGGTACAGAGCCAATGTTGAGCATCTCTTTCAGATGCGACGTCGGGTCAGAAACGGGTAGCGCAGAAACCTCTGGTAAATCGCTGGAGCCTTGCTGTCTATGTTGCCCAGATTCCGCGCCCAGGGCGTGATTGTCACGTTCATCCTCGGTCGTCGCCTCTTCGGGTACTATAGGCGGTGCTGCAAGCTGGGAGCTATACCGGTTCTCCTTCTTCCGTTGCTGGGCGATCCATTTCTTAAGTGGAGTCAAGAAAGGTGCCACCATGTAGAATTTGTTGGCGTTGAGAGCAGGCTGATCTGTGCCACTACCGTCCTGCTGACGATTCTTCTTGAGTGTTGGCAAGTCCGTCAGCTTGTACCACTCGATTTTGCTGATCTCCTTCCGCGTCTTCGGCTCGAAATGCGTATCCTTGGGCACCCCTCGAAACACGTATAGCCTCATATGCTGTTCTCTCATTGTGACTTCAATATACTTCATGTCTTTTTCGTCTTTCACCAGCCCTGCCGCCCGGATGTCAAAGCCTGTCTCTTCGTAGACCTCCCGTACGGCGCAGTCCAGATCATTCTCATCTTTATTGATCTTGCCTCTCGGAAAACTCCAGTTCGCACTTTTCTTCCAGCCCTTGACGAGCACAACTTCATCCATTGCCTCGTTGAGCATGATGGCACCGCGAACGGGGACGCGGGACTTGTAGGCCAAGAACTCCGCAAACGCGGTGGTGTGATGTTGAGCCGACCATTGTGAAAAGAGCGGGCAGTGTTGAAAGATCCGTAGACTAAATGCGCGGAGGGAAAGAGAAGGGAGCGAGGGGTCAAGGGGACGGATGAAGTCCTCATAAAACCATTGTGCCTCCTCGACCTGGAAGCAGATTCGCTCTACGGACTGGAGCTCTTCCGGGGGCAAGTTTATAATAAATCGGACACATAAGTCATCCAACCCTGCAGCGCAGTCAAGGTTAGCTTCAGCCAGATATTCCTGCCGGGATGGCGCAGCTTACAATCCTCCAACTGCATCTCTCGAGTTTGTGGCGAGGATAGGACGAATAGTCATTTCCACGACCCTTGGGGTCCAGTAGTAGATCAAGACTGCTACGCGATGTTTTTGACGGCTTTGTGCACAGCCTTGGGTCTAGACGTTGCAACAGTGTGATCGAAAATCTTGCGACTAGGGGATTGCTCGTTAGAAGTCCGGTGTCTGCGTAACGTTAGAAAGGAAACATGCAACGACAGAGGCCAAGTGGTGGTTGAAGCACATCGAACTTGTGGCTGAAGGCTAATGTCGGATGCCAGTGTGGCGGTGCAGTACACTGGCGCTGTGGCGCAGCTCAGATTACACCTAACTGTCTTGGGCAGTCTTCACTGTCTGCCAACTTGATATGACGCAGCCGCGCGCATGTTTCAAGGGCGCAAACAAGATCTCAGGTGGCCATCACCACTTTGCACTTAACTGGCAGGCATTTCTCAATCTTCATAGCCTGTGCCCTCTGTTACGACCAGACCTGTCTCCCTCGCCTGACTTAAAGACGACTTGCCCTCGACCAACACTCTTTGTGACATAAAGCCGCACCCTTATGCCCTTTGTGCCACCACCCACCTAGAGGTCCTACACACATCTATTTATCTGATCGCCCCTCTACACATCTGTATTCTGTTCCTCAATCGCAAGCATGACTTCCCTGGCGGCGAAGCTGGTAGCAAAGAGGCTATTCAAGGAGACAAGCGACAACAAACATGGCCAGGAGGTACGCGATCTCCCAGATATCAGGCTTGACAGATTGTGCTAAGACATTGCAGGATCCCTATTTCGAGACTGTCCCTGCAACCAGGTTGGGAGGAATGTACAAAACCACCAAGAAGCGGCGCAGGGCACTTCCGCCTGGCCTGACTCCTCAGGAAGAGAAGATCCTCACAAAAGCCAAGCGGAGAGCATACCGTATCGACCTGTCGCTCGGCAGCTTTCTGGGAACACGATTTGGTTGGGGCGCAGTCATTGGCTTGGTACCTGGGTAAGTCGACGCTCCTGACCCGCCGACTTGCGGCACTCGTACTGACTTTCTTGCAGGATCGGCGATATCCTCGATCTCTTCCTTGCTCTCATGGTGTACAGGACCTGTTGCTCGGTTGAACCAGAACTGCCGGCTTCGGTCAAGCTGAGAATGCAAATCAATGTTGTGATTGACTTTGCCATCGGCTTAGTGCCATTCTTGGGAGACATTGCAGATGCCGCTTACAAATGCAACACTAAAAACGTCGTCCTGCTCGAAAAAGAGTTGCGGGAGCGTGGCAGAAAGAGGGTTAAAGGCACTCCGGATGCCAATGTGGCAGACCCTAGTCTTCCGGATGAGTTCGACTACCATTGGCAGAACGAGGAACGTCTGTTGAACCAACAGAACGGACCGCCACCAACATACACCTCTGCTCAGGGGTCAGGGAGAACCCATGGGCAGCGGGAAGGAGTCCATGATATCGAGCGAGGGGAGCAGGCTCCACCACCTATGCCACCTCGGACCCGGGCAATTTGAGATGTTTTGTGCATGAAAGCCCATTGCGCTGTGAGCGGGCCTTGTAGTTGCGGAGCAAATGTCGAGTTGAGCGTTGACGCAAATCATTGATAACTCTCCTTCCCTTCGCATTCTTCTCGTGCTATAGTTTGTAGAGCTAAGTTTGCCCCTTTCATATAGCATCCACTTTTCATGGCTGCGTAACGCGACCCGCCCTTCGCAAGACCTCATTGAATGGCGTACCAGCGCGACTTCACGACCTAATATCAAGCTTCATTCTGTCACATCCGTAGCAGAGAATCGAGTCTGAGATGGCAAGTCCTTCGCTTCGCACAATAGGCTTGACGCAAACAGGGCACGCACCCTCGATAGCGGACGCCTGCCTTCCCTGGAGCTTGCTTGCTGTGCGTACGACATTGGCCATGATTCCAGGATACTTTTCTCCCTGCGAGTCGATATAGGTTTTCAGAAGGCTGTCAATGGACGTGTGCCGGACTGTCGAAGGTTGCGGTGATGGTGTCCCATCAAGCTCGGCTGTCTTCGCCAGCAACGGCTCGGAGGCTTCGCGGGCATAAGCTTCAAGTTCGGTCTTGAACAAGTCACGCATCGGATAGATGAACGTAATCCCGTATACCGAAGGGCCGTCGGCGATGGTTGAGGACACCGACCCGCCGCGACCTTTGGCAACATCCGCGAGTACCAGCGCGGCCAGCCGACTGTCGGAATGTCCCCAGACAATACCTGCACAAGTTTCCTGTTGCGCCACTGACACAATCAGTCGTTGAAGCAGTATCGACTGCAAGTCTGCGCGGGCTGTTACAGATGTCGCCAGGCTAGTGATTCGCTGCAGGAAGGTCTGGTTCGACTCTTCGGCCTCCCGCTTGATGCCGAGATGTTCCAAGTCCCGCTCGATCCGACCATCTGTTCCAAAAACTTCCTGCAACTTGAGCGGTGGGAGAAAAATGTGCGTGGGGAACCTCTGTTTGAGTTCTTCATAAGACTGATCTAGGCTGGTGGAGCCCTCGTCTTCTGGGAGGATAACACGGACGATGACAAGGTCGTACGCCGTTCGATTCCGCTTTGCAAGTTGCTTCTGCAGCTGGGTGTCCAGCACCTGTAACAGTACAAGAGAAGATACTCCCCCGGAAATCGGTAGCAGTAACCGATCTTTCTCATCTTCCGAACGGGCTTTGAACCGATAGGATTCCATGCGCTTGAGCACTTTTGAGTTGACGTAGCGGCTGAAACATGTTGCGCATAACCGCCGGTTTCTGATGTCTAATGTGGCCTCCCGCTCGGCACATTCCACACACAGGCCGGTCCCAGGTTTCTCGGGCACTCTAGTCGGCATTGGTAAACACTGCAGGCAGTTTTGGACAAGTGAAACGGCCTCGTGGCTGGTGCAAGTGGAGGATTTTAAAGTGCAGGTCAAGTTGAGCGGCGGCGTCGGCCTGAAAAATTATGACTCCGAACACACCATGGGAATCCGACGTACTGGCACCCAATAATATTTTGTTACCGGTTGCGCTAAAAACCCTTTAAGCGAGATAAAGTTGCTACTTGGCCCGCTCCGGGGTTCTCTGGAGCACTGCTCCTTCGAGCTGAGAGATCCTATGCCCCACGGGGCGTCCGCAGTTTTTTCATATGCCGGTTAGGACAGGCTGGGTTTAGTGTTTGAACGTACGTCGCTGAGAAGCTGGAGGGCCTAACACCAGCATGCGTCCGAAGAGCATCGCGGTAGGATCAATCTGTGATTGAGAGCCAAAAGCAAAGATCGGACTGGAAGGTTTTGGTAGACTGAGGCCACTAGGCAAGGATTACTGCTGAATTCAAGTTGTAGGATACTACACAGTGATGTTGCAATATGTGGCGGACACCGTGAATTCAGACAACGTGCCTCTTCTGGGCATAGCCACTGCTACCAGCAGACTACTGCTTTCCTCCGCGACGTTGCTAAGCCGTGAGCGCCTGGAATTGAAGGGAATCACCTTCTATTTTGCCAACAACAAAATCAATCAATATGACAAAAGCTTAAAGCGCATCGAAAAGGGCCTTTGGGAGCTGGTCGAACTTGAGGATTGATTTTTTTGTCGGTCACAACATTTGTGTAGAAATGGAACTGAGATCAACCCTGCCAACCGGTCATAATCATGTAGATTGGCAAATGTCCCACTCTGCCGGAATCTATATGTCGTTCGCCTTTTACCAGAGAGTCATGTAAAGCTGCATTGCATGCGAGCACTGGCAACGTACGCAAATAAATCGACTCCAAGCCAACGGTAACAAAGGGCAAAGTCGAGATCTCTGTGCGATGAGAGAAGTGGACCGGAAAGATAGGTGAGACGCAACTCTACCAAATAGGTATCATTGTTGTTCTCGACCTCTTGGTAGGGTATCTAGGTAGGTAGGTAGGCCAACTTGAGAGTTCACTCCGAGCCGTTTGGAAGGAAATCGGGCCTGTGGCAGTGGGAGTGGGAGTGGGAGTACCTAGGTGGCTGAAGAACGGAACTAGTGCCACCATGGCTAGCATGGTGATTGGACCACTCGCTCAACCAGCCTCCATCACGTGCAACATTCCGCTCTCTTACTATGACGTAGTGTGCCGTGGGGTGCAACTTGAAATGGCTGCGATGCCCGCATTAATGCCAGTCCCAGTCTTGCGACATCCAAGATCCTGCAGCGTGCCACAAGATAAAAGACCAAAGATTCGATGGGCTGAGATACCAACGCTCGACAGCTCTATCTTCCTGTATCTTGCATTTCCAACCCCTCTTCTTGACCACACGAAGTCGTTGTCAAGTTTCAGTACAGTCCCCAGCGCCCGCGCATTCTTGTCAACCCACCCCTTGAATACACCCAAAGCAGGGCAGCCTTGCCGCCACTATGGCCACGCGTGGGAGTATCTACGATGCAGTGACTGAGGTCAAAGACAAGGTCACAGGCACAGAACGTTCACAGTCAGGTGAAGAGCCACTGTCTGGCGTTCAAGGTGAAGGCACCCTTGCGGACCCGTACGACCAAGGGAACGTCGAACGTCCAAGTGAATCTGGGGAAGAGCCTCCTTCAGGAATACAAGGCAAGGGAACAGCTACGGACCCCTATGATGCCGGAAATGCACCAGGTCAGGCTAGTCATTGGAAAGCCACCCGAATCGCACACTGACATGACATGGTCACAGAGAATCTAACGAGCTCTCAATCTCACACCACAACGTCTGCACCGTCCACAAACCCCTTCATTACTACGACCACGGTCTCTGACACTTCTGCAGCTCCCAAGTCGGCAACAAGTGACGCCACAACAGAGACACGAGGTCGTGACCCACTGAAGGCTCCCCGGCGAGAGGAAAATTATGAGGTTAGTCCAGGTACCCTGCCGGATGGCACGCATGCACAAACCAGTGGTGATCGTGGCGAGGGTTATGAACCAGGAAGATTGAGTAGACTGAAAGGCAAACTAGCATTCGGTAAACATTAAACTGGAGGTCTTGAAGTGGATGTATTAGTATGCCAACACATGAATGACGTTCATTCTGGATGTGCTTAAAGGTGATGTGTTCAAGGAGTTCAATTCAATAGATGAAGGACAGCTATCGTTGAGGTACTCGGACGATCTGTATGTGATAAGATGCCTAAACGCATGAAGCCATCGCATGTTCAGGTTCGATAACGCCATCGAGAGATGGCCTTTCGGCCCTTTCAAGTTGTACTACTACCTTAGTAAACGACATCCACTGCCGGCCAGACACCGGACACGGCCGAACCCCGCGGCACGGAGATATTCCGAGGGGCGCCCCAGGCCGCTGCTGTGTACGAGCATACATAGTAGTTTATTTTGACAACTCGCTCCTATCTTGCACCTAAGGACCTTTACGACATCATCACCTAAGCATCTCTTGCTAACGACAGCTCCAAGTTGGGTCCGACAGCAGCGTTCCACCTAATCAAACTTACCAGTTATAAGTGCTCTTGATCAAGATGTCTGCCGCCGACATATCCAAGATTGAGGCGGCAAACCTCTTCAACGTCAATGGCCTCGTTGCCGTTGTCACAGGTGCTGGGTCAGGTAAAGCCCCGTCTCGCTGGATTGCTCTGTTACTCCATAGAAACCTCTCTTGAATATGCCTCCTGAAGTATACACAATTTACTGATTGAATCTGCGCGAAGGTTTGGGACGAATGATGGCCCGGGCTTTAGCAGCCAATGGCGCCTCGAAAGTGTTCATCATCGGTCGCCGGGAGGCTGCTCTGAAGGAAACTGCCGATTCTGTCCCTGGCAATAACATCATTCCACTGGTGGGCGATGTCACCTCCAAGGAATCCCTAAAACAGTGTGTCGAAAAGGTCCGAGCTGAAGTCGACTCCATCGATGTCCTGGTCGCAAACTCGGGCATCTCTGGTCCATCAGTGCCCACCCTGGACTCCAACCGACAGCCGCTCCCCTTTGAAAAGCTGGTTGACAACATGTGGGCGCCTGAACCAGAAGCTGTGAACACGACCTATGGTGTCAATGTGACGGGTATTCATTTCACTGTTGCCGCCTTTCTCCCATTCCTCCAGGAGGCCAATAAGAAACGGCCTCAACCACCATCTGCAGAAAACTTCAAGCCCCGGCCCCAGATCATAACCACCTGTTCCATTGGCGGATTCAACCGACAGACACTGGGGAACCTATCCTATGGTCCTAGCAAGGCGGCTGCTATACACCTCACCAAACAATTGGCCACCGCTCTGGTCCCGTACGACATCAGAGCCAACATTATTGCTCCTGGGCTGTACTATTCTGAAATGACAGAGAACATGTACAAGGCTCAAGGCAGAGCAGAGACTCACAATGTGGAAGGCACCTTTACCAAGGACATTATTCCGGCTACCCGCAGCGGAGACGAGCAGGACATGGCAGGCGTGATTCTCTGGCTGTGCTCCAGGGCAGGGGCGTATATCAATGGATGCGTTGTTGTGACTGATGGCGGCCGTCTTGGAGTGGTCCCGTCTTCTTACTAGAGCAGATTCAACAAAAGTATAGCCACGAATTGAAGAGAAAAGAAGGTAGATCATGCAAGGATGGGATATACGATAAAGGTGGCGAGTACCTGTGCTTACCGGTCCGTCAAATACAAGACTGTTACACAAGAAACTTGTCAGCTTTGTCCTCCGTGAGATGTCCAAGGCGTGCTCCTGCACAGTAAGCATGCATAAGGTAGCGTCTGATCATAATCGGCCCCAGCTGAAGCGAACTTTCCACGGCAACTTGGAAAGGTCATTCCAACACCAATGCCGAAGGCACGAAGAGCATCAGTTCAACGTTACCGTACGTACCTGGTAGATGGCGTCGAGGCGGTGCTGCAGTTGCAGGAAACGCCAAAGTAATGCCAAGCTCACTGCAGGCGATGACACCCTTTCGAAGATCGCTGACAAGGTGAACACGCCCGTTATCGGCGCAAAGTGATCCATCAGTAAACCCAGATGCCGTTCTGTGCTATCTGTACATACAACCATTGTCATGTGAGGCTCGCACCTGGCAGCCTTCCTATGCCGCTCGACTTCCAACATGGTGGATGCTTTAACTACTCCTAGGTTCCTATGTTGTGTGGCGTGAGCAACACCACGAGGGATCCGAGATGGGCTCACGGCACCAAGGAGCAATATCTAGTAGAATGCCGGGCAGATCTTGAAGAGATCAGCTCCAGCTTGAGGACTGCCATGGCCAGGTGCGTGCCAAAAGCCAGCCTCACTCTGCACCGTCAGACGGCGACGCTGTACTAGTAGGCTGGACCCTTGCAAGGAAGCGGGAGTGACGACGAGCAACATGCAGGAACCAACGGAACCGAATGATGCCACTGCGCTCAACTGGCTCCGATAGCCACTCACCGCCCGTGGCTGGCATCCACCGATTGGGCTGCTGGCTCGTTCTTAGGCCGCCGGCGGACCCTCACTAGACAGCTTTGGCCGTCAACGCCCCTGGTCCAGCTTTTAGCCTCCGTTAGGTCCCCCTTGCGGCGTCGCAGCGGCCACCAAAAACCCTGCGGCCCGTTCAACAAGATACAATTTCGAATTTTTGGTGCAGCCCAGTAAATACGGAGGAAGGCCTCCTTGTGACCCCGTCGTCGTGTTCTCTCCCTCTTCCTCGCTGTTGTTGTCTAGTACAGTACACAAGGTCTGCCTGAGCGGGACTATTTCTTTCGTTCTTCTGCTCATCCTGCATCTTGCAACTGGCGTTCCAAAAAATCTACCTTCTTAGTCCGGTTGCGCCTCCACCTCAGATCACCGCTTCGTTGACCACCGTCGACACTAAATCTCCCCCACTTCACCGCCTCCTCGACTGCGATAAAAGTACGTGTCGTGCGCATTCAACGACTCGCCTCAATTACAGAGGTGCATTGAGATAAAGTCTTTCCTACCATTTGTGAACGCATTTCAAACATGGCCACGCGACCTCAGAACATTGGCATTAAAGCCATCGAAATTTACTTTCCCAACCAGGTACGCTCACACGAGGGGGAACACACTTTAACAAGTCACATATACTCATGGTTTCCAGTGCGTTGATCAAGCCGAGTTGGAAAAGTTCGATGGCGTCGCCGCGGGCAAATACACAATCGGCCTTGGCCAGACCAAAATGGCCTTCTGTGATGACCGAGAAGGTGCGTGGCGTTCCCCTGTGCCTCTGCCCGAGAATGACCAACTGACAGCAACACCATAGACATTTACTCGCTCGCCCTAACCACCCTGACTCAGTTGATCTCGAAATACTCCATCGACCTGAAAAACATTGGCAGACTGGAAGTTGGCACTGAGACCATGCTGGACAAGAGTAAGAGTGTGAAGTCGGTCTTGATGCAGTTATTCGAGAAGTCCGGCAATTTCAACGTGGAGGGCGTGGACTCCTACAATGCTTGCTAGTAAGTCTCAACTAAACCCCATAGCGAAAGGCCCGTTCTGATGGAATTAGTGGTGGCACAAATGCGGTTTTCAATACTTTGAACTGGATCGAGTCGTCCGCCTGGGACGGACGGGACGCCATCGTCGTCGCAGGCGATATTGCTCTCTACAAGAAAGGCAATGCTCGTCCCACGGGCGGCGCTGGGTGTGTTGCCATGCTCATTGGCCCTGACGCCCCCATTGCCTTTGAACCAGGACTACGAGGATCATACATCACCCACGCTTACGATTTCTACAAGCCTGACCTGACCAGCGAATATCCTTATGTGGACGGTCACTTTTCTTTGAGATGTTATACCGAGGCCGTTGATGCCTGTTACAAGACATACAATGCTCGAGAGAAAACATTGCAAGCCCAAGCAAACGGAGCAACCACCAACGGTCATGCAAATGGAAACGGTGTCCATCGAGAAGCGGATGAGAGAGCTCCTCTGGATAGGTTCGACTACATGGCTTTCCATGCGCCAACATGCAAGTTGGTGTCAAAGTCGTACGCCCGTCTTCTATACAATGACTTCCTTGAGGACCCCAGCCACCCACTCTTCAAAGAGGTCGCACCCGAACTTCGCGATATCGACTATCAGGCATCCCTCACTGATAAAAACATCGAGAAGACCTTCATGGCCCTGACCAAGAAGCGATTCGCTGAACGAGTGCAACCTTCCTTGCAGGTTGCCACCATGTGCGGAAATATGTACTGCGGCAGCGTGTACGGCGGTCTTGTAGGCCTGATCAGCAATGTCCCTTCTCAGACCCTGCAGGGCAAACGGATTGGCGTCTTCAGCTACGGTAGTGGTCTGGCCAGTTCCATGTTCAGCTTGAGAGTGGTTGGTGACACCACTGAAATGGTCGAGAAGCTCAATCTGCAGCAAAGACTAGATAGCCGCCGAGTTGTGCCTCCGGAGACATATGACGACATGTGCTTGTTGCGAGAGAAGGCACACCTGAAGAAGGACTTCAAGCCGGTGGGAAATGTGGACACCCTTTTGCCGGGGACGTACTACCTGACCGAGGTTGACGACATGTTCCGGAGAAAGTACGAGGTCAAGGCTTGATCGCGTGGTTCGACACAGCATGGTTGTGTCATTCTTGCAACAGCTGTCTTAGTTCCGGAGCTGGCGTTAAATGGGGATTGGTGGGTGGTCTGGAAGGAATTCTGATAGAGACAGCAGGGCAGAGGAACTAATGGTCATTGGATCTGGGAAGCTGAATGCGACTTAGACTTCGCAGGAGCAGTACACAGCAGCATAATCCGTGGTCTGCTTAGGCTTTGGCCTCTGAAAAATACCCATGGTTGATCAGCACAACAATTGAATAAATGGTAGATATGCATTGCGGGAGGTTGTTGGGATCCAGAAACCAACGCCTCCTTCTAGAGTCTTAAGCAACGATTGCTGCATCAACTATGCAACTACTGCATTGTGCATTGTCGCTCAGGTCGAGGTTGGGCCATTGAGCGACCTGTTCCAGGCTGGAGGGCAGCTAGATGAAACGCAACGTGCATATGGCCATTGTAGCTGACCAGTCTATACGCATTGGCATGGACTATGACATTGCCACCTGTAATCTAGCGTTGCACGGCAGTTCGAGTGCATGCAACCGAAGCAGTTGGTCAAGATAGTCGTGTTGATTTCGTGCTGTAGTCGTGAACAGATGCAGAGTCTGAGTCACGGGAAGACGCGCAAGGTTGGCGCGTCGGAAAATTGGGCGCGTGAAGCAACTCACGTGTCTGGTCGGCAAACCTACTTTCCAAAACCAATTAACGGGTGTTCTAATACCTGTAGTGCAAAGACCCTCGGCTATGATTTGCTGCGCCACACTCTATCTCGCTCACTCCTCCACCTGTTCGTCCATCTCTACACCTTTCTACCGCGGCGGCTACTCTGACGACCAATAACACCGTATACTTGAAGAAAGCATTGAAACAAATCTTCGAGTGAAACACCCTCCAACTGGTTCAGCGCCTATCTGAGATTCTAATCAGCCAGCCTGATCGAGCCGGGGCTGCATCGCATCTGATGCACCGCGCTTCGCGTCCCCGTCTGCCACGCTTCAATCTCAGATTGCCGTCAAACAACCGCTACCGCCGTCCAGAGCCTCGTCTTGAAATAGGTACCAAGCGCCGTCGCAGATTACCTCGTAACACATCATGGACTCATGCAAAGCGTGGTTACACTGCCACCGACCATCATGAGCATATCTGGAATGGATCTCGAAATGTCATTCCACACCGAAAATAGCTGCATCTGTTTCCTGTCCGTCTGGCGCGCGTCTTCCACCACGCTCCGCGCTCCGCGCTCCGCGGTCGGGTCAGCTTTGAGGTTTGGGCAGCCCGCGACTGAGTTACTGAGCATACGTCTCCGACGTGTTGGTTTCCTCACGAGCTCGTCTTCCGTTCCGTGTTTCATCTGCATAATGACCTGCAGCATATTGTTGGGCGGGGACTCACTCTGCCCGCTTCTGGTCGCATAGACTCAACCCATTTATACCTGGTCCTTCCTCCCCTCCGGCCTCTCTCAGCCTTTCATTCTTCCAAGTTGCAGTCCTTATACTCAGTTTGCTCGCGATTGGTATCTCGTTTTCCTGCTCTTTGATCTTTCTTTTGTCTTGGATAGCAATCATCTCCCGGGGAAGCTGGCTTCTCACAGACTATTGGCATCACTATACTATTCCCCAAAAGTCACAAGATGTGAGCTCTGGCCCATTGCGGCATCGATCTGGCACTTGGCTAACTCTTGACTCAGAGAATGTCCCTGGCGCCTTACTACTACAGGCCCCTTACGCCTCCAGAGGCCACTGGTGCTGCCGGCCAGCACCGTCATACTCGGAATCTGTCAAGCTCGTCATACTGCACAATTGACACATCTCCCGAGTCAGTAATCACTGCTAATACGACCCCGAGCCGCTCGCCAGTTCTACGTCAGCATGGCCCGACCTTGCTGCCGAGGATCAGGACCCAAGACTCCTCTGCTGAGCCTTCGTTCGCTGCTCGGCCTTCCACCCATCGACGAACATTGTCGAGCACCAATGTCGGCAGCAAGAACAGTCGACCTAATATGTATAGGAGTGTCACTGAACCGGTGGATTATGTTCCGCTGATCTCACCGGTATCAAACGCTTCTCATTCTCGATCCAACTCGCTCATTCCATCCCCAAGCATCTCCAAAGCAAAACTTAATGTGCCTATAAGGACGCATTCCCGTGCTGGTTCTGCTTCAAACATCGATGGAGGCGTGTTGACACGCTTCGGTTATCCAACTTACCGCCAATTGCCAATGTATTTGTCCCATGACCAGCCCACTCCGTCGCCAGATTTGTTCGCCACAACCTTTGTGCCGTACACCAATGTACCCCTGCCAGAGGCCCCAGTCATCAATCTGGAGGGCACATTTGACATGCCCATTGACCTTGAGTCCGTTTCACGGCCTTGCTCCATGAGCCCTCCGCCTATGCTCACATCGGCCTCCACTATCAGCTTGCTGAGCTACTTGACTCAGCCCACCCAACCCATTAACCTCGTCCGCCATCTTACATTCCAAACCGGCCGTGGACTCACCAATCACTTTTGGTGGGATGTTCGCAATATTCGACCATGGAAATCATTCTCTCTGCAGACCATGTCGACAATCCCGGATCTGTTTACGCTGCTTAATTTTCAGCATGATAGTTCATGCTTCCCGCTTCCCAGCACAAACAGCAGCACAGTGACTCCGTCATCCGAGGCTGATCTCGCCGGTCTCATCACAAAGATATTCTTCCCCAAGGTTAACGCTGCGACAAGGTTGTCACTCGGGAACAATTCTATCTGTCTCTATCCTTGTCCTACGCCGACAGGGGTGGGTGTGAGCGCAAACGCGGCCAATATACCCACTTTCCTCGCCAACTATCCAAGTGACAACGACCGCACGCTGTCAGGGCTTCCTCGAGGGAGAGTTGTTGGCCTTGTGCGATCCTTCGATCGCTGGAACACGGGCATGCGGCGAGAGGGGCCGGCTCGGAAAGTCGAATACCTGCGGACCTTGGCACACCTACAGAAATGCATGCGTGATCACAGCTGTCGGTATGGTTTCATCATGACCGAGATCGAACTTGTCTGTGTCCGCGCTGGCTGTGACGACCGGGGCCAGCCTTATTTCGGCTACCTTGAAGTTGCGGAATCAGTGGAGACGAAGACTGCTGCTCGTGGTCTTGATGGCGTGCCACTCAATGGTGGAAGTGGAGAAGTCGACATGACCGTCACCCTAGCTTTGTATTACCTTCTCATGTTGGCCAAAACGACACCGCTGCCAGGCGAACCAGCCAGTTTCATGGATGTGGGAGGTCCAGGAGCGCTAACCAGGCAGCGGGTCTGGACTGGAGGCAACGGCGAAACCACAGTCATGTTTGATGAGGATGGCGATGTAGAAGAACTGGGCAAGGATGGCAAAGACAAATGGATCCCTGAGCCACAGATGGGAGAAAAGAGAGAGGCAAGGACGGTCAGGGGCTGGGTCTGGCCAAGTGATCCTTGGCACAAAAGAGAAGGCGAGCGCGGTGAGCGTGGGAGCGGTACGAGAGGTGGGAGGAGAGCCTGACAGTTGAAGCATTGGATGACCATGATGGGAGAAGGGGTTGGGCACGGCCATGTTATGGGCAGCGAAGCCATCCTGGTGATGAGCTCAATGACTATACGGACGTGTAGAAAAATCTTATAATGGTATTGCTATTCTACAGTAATCGTAGAAAGAATCATGACAGATTCCGAACCAGCGAGCCACTTATGCATTGGTGGTGGGGGAATCGCTGAGAAGATGACACAAAGAGTAACACCTGAACCGACGGAGAAAGTCAGCATAAGTCTCAGGCGTCGATCAACATGGTGCAGATGAATGAAGGGGACTTTGGGAGGTGCTTCTCAGACTGTTGAGACTTGACATAATTTTTATACTCAGCGACGGCGGCGTTGACATCGCCATCCGCCTCGTCAGTTATCGTTTGAGCATATTTGAACATCATCGAAGCTTGGGGGCACATGCGATGGCAGAATACAGCCACAGCAGGAATATGAACAGTACTTACCACCCAAATTCAAAGCTTGAATAATGCTTCCATCGACTGCATGTCGAGCAAACGACGGCAATGAAGCAGCTTCACTTGTACCTGGATAGGCGCGGTGACTCTCATGGATGTTGGAGGAAGAGGATAGAGGAAGTAAATAAAAAGCTGACCGGATCGTGGATTTTGTCGGCGCTCTTGGCGGTAACACGGCACGTGATATGGTTTGTTGCGACTGCGGTGCTTTGCTACCTGACGCCAGCACCAAAACACCTGGACTTGCGGGCAGGCCTTCCAAACAGATCGTCCTTTCAGTATTCCTCTTTCTTCATTTCTGGGGTACGGTCTCCACGAAACCATCGTTTTCCGCTGCTCTTTTGCTTACTGCAAGCCCTCCAGAATAATACAGAAGATCCTCAAGCGTGCGTCAAAATGGCGGGTATGTGGTGACTGTCCCGCTCGCACCTCACCTGCACAGGCGAGGCGAAGCAAGCAAGACTGCACAGAACAAGAACAATGCTGACATGATTACCTGTGTAGACTTCCAGACCATCGCTCGTACGTTAATTGACGTTCACAACCCAGGACCCAGGATCATGTCTCTAACCGGGCGTAGAACAATTCGTTGAGTTCTACTACAAGACCTTCGATACCGACCGCGCACAACTGGCTGCTCTTTACGTATGCACCACCCCGGCAAGATGTGGCAAGATCGCCGCACAAGCATGGTTGACACGAGTTCTGACGGGATTTATACAATGCAGAGAAACAACTCTATGCTCACATTCGAGAAAGACCCATTTCAAGGCACCCAGAGTATTCTCGAGAAGTTGACGGTGAGTTGGCGGAGAAAGCAGATGACCAACGGGTTGTCGCTCCCGGCAAGCCTTAACTGATGAGCTTCGTGCAGAATCTGCCATTCCAAAAGGTCCAACATCGTGTAGATACTACGGATGCACAGCCCTCAAATGAGACTGGCGGGATTTTGGTCATGGTCACTGGCGCTTTGATGGTGAGTGCTCAACCACATTGTCCTTTCAGTGGCCGAGAGGAGGGCACGATCAGTGCTGACGAGGAACAACGTTACAATGTAACAGGTCGACGATCAGCCGCAGCCAATGAGCTACGTTCAAGTCTTTAACTTGCTGCCTGATGCCGGGAGCTACTACGTTCAGAACGACGTCTTCCGATGTGCGTATCGCCTTTATAGGGTCGCCGGAGATCATGCTAACTGGGGGGAACAGTGGTGTATGCCGCCGGTTGATCGGTCAAAGTCGAGAAAGTGTATGCGACAACGAAACATGGCTCGGCAGGTACATGCTGCAGTTTGAATGGCATGGAGCTTGAATGGGGAGGACACGGTACCGGACGCCAGCGGGCGTCAGCCGAGGAGACAAGAACGTTCCGTTGATAGAGAGACAGTCACCACTACAGAGGCGATCACTCTTGTTCGACTCAATTCAATGCTGATTCCAGACAACTCAGTGCCAGCTACATGCAGTAGGTCGGCTCGCACATCCAATCGGACCTAGACACTTAAACAGTGTGGTACTTTCGAGCGAGCTGTGCCGACCTTGAAGTTGTGTGATCTGTAGGCTGCACCAGCATTTGAAGTCGGTGTCGTTGCCACGACTTAGAGAAGGCTGAGGTGGGCGATCAGTTTCTGTATTGGTATATTTATGTACCCTGCCAGTGGTGCTGTACCATGTGTTTGAATGCGATCGGAGCGTGGAGACACGGCGGCGCTTACATAATGCCAAACATCCCCAAAACTCGTCAGCCTTCGGAGTTGCAGCACAACGCGTGGGCTGAGGCCGCAGTTCAATTGCTGGCGGCCACTCCAGCACAGGCTGCTACATTTATCAAGTCCTCGCACTCCTACAGATACTTGTATATCCCAGTGACACAAAAGCTACCTCGTGCCGTGGCCCATCTTAACGCGCTGTCTTGTCTCCTCCTACTTGAGAAGTAGCTGCTCGACAGACGCCAGCCGCAACCCTGGCCGGGTCTGGTTTGTTGCACCTGCCACGCCGTTCCCCGTCGAACTGTCATCAACGACTTTTGATTGAGGCCTCCGCCCCCTTTTACAACCATATCCAGCTTCAGATATTCTTGGCAGCAGTGACTTAACCGCATCACCCTCCCGTGGTATCTATCCAGCCGCGACTACCCTACAAATCAGTTTTGCACAGTTCGGGCGTGGTGACCCTATACTGGACGACCACTACTGTATTCCAGTGTTGAGAGAGGAACGTCGCGCCACGCGCTTTGAATAGAGTGCACGCTTCACAATGACGCTGGCCGAAGAGTTCAAGTCGCGCAACTTCAGTGAGTGACCTCTATACTGGTCCCGGACTGCTCTCGGACCGAGACTAACAAACTGCGCAGGCATCTACGGGCAATGGTAAGCACACATCAGCCACCTCTACCCGGGCTAGGCCTCGCATCAGAGATTACTGCGATGACGAGAGAACACAGTTGGATCCTTAACTGGAAGACCCGCGGCGCAATGCTGGATCGAAAGGGCTGACAAGACACCACAGGCTCGGGGTACTATGCATCATCCTTGGAATCGCCCTGGGGATCGCCAACATCTTCCACTTCAACCTTCTGATCATATTCAGCATCATCCTCCTGTAAGTCTTAGCCAGCAACAACAATCGCAACCACCATGGGCTATGCTAACGCTGATGGCGCACCGCAGTTGTTCATCGCTTATCCTGATCTTCATTGAAATCCCTCTACTGTTACGAATTTGCCCGACCTCCGCCAAGTTCGATGCCTTCATCCGTCGCTTCACCACAAACTACATGAGAGCAGCAATCTATGGGGTCATGTCGCTGGTGCAGTGGCTCAGTCTCCTCATCGAGCGCAGCACCTTGATCGTTGCCGCGGTTTTCCTGGCGTTGGCGGGGTTGTGCTACGCTCTAGCAGGACTGAAACAACAGGACTTCGTTGGAAGCAAGACCCTGGGTGGGCAGGGAGTGGCGCAAATGATAGTTTGAAGTGATTGCTAGCCAACTGCTGCGGGTCTTGAGATAGTCTTCCGCAGTCTCGGAAAGTGAAATGACGGCTATAACCTCATCGGATTACGCTGGGCGCCGACGGCCATGGCGTTGGAATATCATGACATATGTCTTATTACCGGTGACGCCTTTGCTTTTGAACGCGAAAACAACTGGGACAGGGCGGACGCTCTTGTGCAGGAAGCTGGATAGTTGCCTGGGATTACGAGCAGCCTCGCCCTAGAGGCCAGATTGCTTGAACCGATACAGTACGAACCGACTACGGAAGCTCCTTCTTGAACAGCACGTAGTAACACGTAGTAATGGATAATGAAAGTGGTGGTGAAAGTGACTGGTGGCATAGAAGTGCAAGAGCACAACAGCATTACTACGAAAACTTCAAGTAGGCATTCAATGATAACAATAACGATGATTGACGCGAGACGCGGTATTGATGCTTTACCAGCTGAGGTGAGAGTCGCGCATCAACAAATCGAAGTGTTTGAGCATCAAGTTATTTTTATTGCTGATCAGTCGTATCCACTTCCTCAAAATAATGCCCCCTTCGCCAGTCTATGTACCGTACCTTCTACATCCTTGCCTCCCATGCACCGCTGCGCCAAAAGAGTAGCCCTGATCGTGGCTGAGCAGAGCATGTCGGGGAGGACGACCTCGACACAAGGGGCCTGGTTGGACATGCTCATGCGCCTCGTCTTACACAGCCTGCTAGACTCCATGGAGCTGACGGCCCTTGGAGGCGACCAGGGTAGGCGATAATGGGGCCGATTCAAAGGCTAGGTATTGTCGTTTCACGAGCCCTGATTGCTTCACCTTTTGATCAGGCCCCTACTAACCTTGGACGCCTGCTTTGGCTGGTTCTTCCAATCCTTGACCACTGCAGTCCGACTGATCCTGGTTGCGGCTGATGAGACGACTAAAGTTACCTCAGAATATTAGTGTCTAACCTGCTGCCAGATGGCTTTCACCGTCACTGGGCCTCGATCAGGTGTGACATGACCTTGGAACGATCTGTTTCCACGTAGAATGAAGAACATGGAGCAACCTGTCTGATGAAAGCAGCCAGTATGTCGCCAGACGCCTCACTCCTCGGACGACCATGGACAATCAGCAACGAGCAGTCTATCTTGACGTGCCCGTGACTGATGCGGAACGGGCTCGTGCCAGACGGCGACGTTATGAGCATGAAGATTCTGCCGCGCTACTACCCGACCAGAGGAATTTCCCTTCGGTGGATGAGGAAACACGGTCAACCTTTCGAGATCAATCAACACCTGTTCGATTCCCCTCGATACACGCCTCTCCAGCAATCCGCCGTCTACCAGACCGAGTCGCGCAACGATTTGAAAACCGCCAATATGTCCCGATATCTCCCATTCACGAAGAAGACGAGCCCAACTCTATCAACCTCCGCGAACCCTCAGTTCCCCCGGCAGACTCTAACAGACATCTGCTCTACGATCCAGGACCAATTGCCCGCCTGTGGACCCCTATTTGGCTGAAACAATGGCCACTGGCTCTCTTCGCGCTTGTATTTGCTGTTTTCATTGCAGGCCTCATCCTTCTCTGGCACTACGACCGGCGCAACAATGGTTTCCATGTTGCCCGAGGAACCAGTCATCTGGCCTGGGCTTATGCCCCTACTGTCATTGTCGTCTTCGTCGTGGCTGCGTGGAGGATGGTAGACTACCATTGCAAGCTGGGTATGCCATTTGATGTCCTTCAAAATGGGCCTGTTAAAGCCTCAGAGAGTCTCCTTGTCGACTATATCTCTGCCTTCCAGCTTGTTTCTTTATTCAAGGCGTTTCGAGACAGCCACTTCGCCGTCATCTGCAGCGTGACTGGATTTATCATGTTAAAAGTCGCCACCGTCTTTTCGACCTGTTTGCTGGTTCTCCTTCCAACTCACATTACACACCCTGGCACAACCGTTCTTTCCAACGGGTTCAGCGACGAAGCTTTTGATCCAACGACCCCTTTTAATTCTTCAAACTTTTCGTCTTCTCCAGTTTATGCATATTATGGAGCCAAGGCTTATGGAATGCCTTTTGAAAATGGGGTTACCCTCGACCTTGCCTATGGAGCGATCACGGTCAACTCAACATCTCATGTTCCAGATGATGCTGTCATACCGGGAGATGTAGACACTTTTGTGCCTATCATGTCATGCCACGAGCTGATCGTGGAGCTTGATACTCCAGATATTGAGAATGGTACGGACGCCAACAGTGGCTTGACGACATCAAGCAACATATCTCTTACCATCCCAGCTGGTGGAGCTTGCAGCCAGTCCATCACATTCAGTATAGCAGCTGGGGATCCATACACCGAGATACTTCCCGACAGCCAAGTCAATGGCACATTGCAGGAGATATACTGTAATTCTACCAGTGATAGCAATTCCCAAGGACCTGCAGGGCTGCTGTTCACCATGACGGACATTCACTATCAGCAGACGCTGTTCGATAATGCCACTGACTTAGCAGGAGGTACTTTTGTCATTGCAACCAACGTTTCCAGGACGCTATCGAATATGGTGAACGTCTTCTGCAAATCCTCGTACAACATCACAAAAGCTAAGGTCACCAATGACACGCGGTTGGCGGACAATACCATTGCTGTGTCAGTTGTTCTAAAGAAAGATGCCGTTAACAGTACATTGCCACGCTTCTCTGCTTGGAATGCTACCAACGTCCTTTTGCAGTCATCCGCATCTGCCAAATTGCTCTTTACTGATACGGTCCATGGTGATGGTACATCTGACTCCAATGCGTTTTTCACCTTGATGGCCGTTACGCACGGCTTACAAGACATTACTTCGTTCTTCGATGTGAACAAGTTGATTTCGGCCGCCGAAGGTACCTACAAGGGGATCTTATCGCAATATGCTCACCAGACATTGCGGACCCGCAACAACAGTGTTGTAAAAGGGGGCGCTGTGGTTACCGAAGAAAGCAGATTGCGTGTCAACGATGCCTCACTGTGGACAACGACTTCGATCTTTGGTCTGCTAATCCTGTTCTGCATAGCACTAATCTTCATTGCGCCGAGAGCTGTGGTTCCTAGAGACCCGAGCTCAATCGCCACAATCGCGATGATCCTCACGAGAAGCAGGGAGCTCAACAGGCTGCTCCGACGGCAAGGTACACCCAGCTATAGCAACCAAAAGGCGGCACTGGCTGGCTACGAATTTGGAACGGCTATTGCAACTACGGAGTTTGGGAAGAGCACGTTCAAGATTGTCACCTCCGAGGGAGAGCCAGACGGGCAGCCAATAAAGCCCAACATGGATTTCAAATGGTGGCTCCCTTTTACAGCCAGTATCCCTGTCGTTGTCCTTACGTTGATCCTTCCCGTTACTACCATCGTGGCCTTGCAAATTGTTCAGACGTCATCCGATAGACACAATGGCATTTACACCGTCACCAACAACGAATGGACCGAGGCCTACAGTCACTACATACCCAGCATTGTGATGTTGGTCCTTGCAAGTTTGGTCAACATGCTTGATTTCAACGTGGCTCTGTTCGCACCATGGACCAACCTCGCCAAGGGAAACGCAACCAGCAAAAGATCGATACTTAACCACATCTTAGGACGGTCGCCGCCGTTTGCATTCCTCCAGGCCCTCAGGACACGGTATCTAGGTGGCATTACGAGCATTGCAGCCGCTTCGTTAGCAAGTATGCTCACCGTGGTTGTCGCGGGACTGTATTATGTACAAGATTTTACCGTTACCGGTCCAGATGTGTCACTCACACAGCTCGACACGTTCGACCTCAGATGGGCCAACAGCTTTACCACTGATAATGGTGCTGCGGCATTGGTCGATCTCATCATGCACGAGAACTTCAGTTATCCTCAGTTCACATACGAAGAGCTCGTGTTTCCGAGGCTGTCGCTGGACAACTCGGCTCTCCCGACTGACCCACTCGCAAAGGTCAACGGTTCCTGGACCCAGATCCTGCCTGCCGTCCGAGCCAACTTGAGATGTGAAGTCCTGCCCGAGTCTTCTTTTAATGTGACCACCCGGAGAACTGGACCTGATTTTGCCTATGAGACCGATCGGGCTTTTGTCACCGCCCAAGCACCTCTTCCCGACTCATGCCATCTCGGTGGGTACCAGGGAAACGGCTCGTTTGTCATTTACGAGAACAGTTTCCAGCTCCTGCCGGATAGCCAGCCGACCTATGCTGGAGCACAGCTAGATCTACTCTTTGGAGTAGGCACGACGCTGTATGGGAACTATGGCGAAGTCAGAGGCAAATATATCGACGACAACCCTCCGGTAGGATGTCCCAGCTTGGCTTTCACATTTGGTCGGTTTCAACTGGACAGTTCGGACCGTGGGCCAGTTACCACCATGGTCTGCTACCAGGAGATCCAGGGCTTTAATGCGACTGTTACCTGGAAGCCGAACAGCACCGTCATCGACACAGACCGACCGCCTGTCGTACAAAATGAGAGTGTCTTCCTCCACGATAACCCAATCAGCACCAACGGAGCCAAATCATTCGACTTTCGCATTCAGAACAGCCTCGCTCAAGAATTGACTGTGTTCAATGACGACAACAACGAGGGTAGCACCAGGCCCACAACAGCATCCTACCCGTCGCTCTCAGATCCAGTCGATATCTACTTCCAAGCCATTCTTAACGGCACAGACAGACATGATCCAGCTAGCCTTGTTGGCAAGGACAACCGGACCGCTCTACTTGATGCCATCAATCGGTTTTATCGTATCTATATGGCCCAGGTGATCTCGATCAACATGCGTACGCCGTTGAACAAAAGCAGCGCCTCATCTCGGCAGTTTCAGCGTCGGCAGGACACCGGGACCATGACGAGCAGCAGTATATCTACCACTATCACCAGGTCGCGGCTTGTGCAGGACAGGGCCAGTAAACTAGCCCTACAGACCCTTCTCGGTGCCACGGCCGTGCTGTCGTGCGCGGCGTGGCTCACCACGAAAATGCGCCACGTTCTACCCTGCAACCCGTGTTCCTTGGCCGGAAGCATGTCTTTACTCGCCGGCAGTGACCTATGCTACAGCGACGATGACGGGCTATGCGAGTGCTGCGGCAAACCACGTCGGCGGTCATTTGGGTATGATGACGACAACAACAACAGAAACAGCCAAAGCTTCGGCGGAGGTGGTGTTGTTACCGAAAGAATCCACGCCGCACCGCATGAGACTGGTGGTCCCGTCACTATCAGCGTTTACGACCCTAGCAACAGCAACACCAGGAACGCAGCTTACATCGACGAAGAAGCAGAGGGAGACGGTGGCCGCCGTCGCACACAGCTCATCCCCGACGGCGCCGAATGGATGCCACCCAAACAATTCGCAGCCATTTTCGGCGCAGGCGCACGATACAGCATGGGATGGTGGCGGGAGCAGAAATGGCGAGGCAGACGACGTCGATTCGGAGTCGATATTGGCCCTCGGGCCGATGGCGCCGACGACCAGGATTGGGAACTCGGCGAGCTGCGGCGTCGTAGGCCCCGGAGCGGTAGTAGTCGTGCTGCTGGTCAGGCTGGCGATGGTGATGATGATACCGGGTTCGGCGATTTCATGGTCCTAAACAACAATACCTCACGGCGCCGCGGTGATCGCGATGGCCGCGGAGAGTATTCTCGCTTCAGTCGGTTGAGAGATAGGAGCTGGGGCCGAAGTGCAAGTCCAAGTAGGAGCAGGAGTAGGAGCAGAAGCAGGAGTGGGAGTGTGACTAGGGATACCGATATGGAGATGGCGGACAGGAGCGTGGTTCCTTCTCAGATGAGAGGGAGAGATGCCAGTGCCAGTGCCAGCGCAGACAGACACGGAGACGGAACCGAGGTCCCAGGTCAGTTCAGGTCGACATTTTCGGCGAGACGGCAGAACGCAAACTCCATCATGGGAGGTGAGGCGTAAAGCCATCGCGATAGTCGTTGTACTGTTCCATAGGTAGTCAAGTCGCGGTGAATCACGGAAGTTACTTGCCTCTCCCTTGTTATGCACAGTAGTAGTAGCAAGCAGTAGGTATACAACCTTGTAGACAGCAAGACGTTTGAATAGTGCCGTTTCTTTGGACGCTCCGAGGTCGTCTCTCTGTGTAGTGATGAAGATTTCACGCCACGAATCTCACATGCCAGGCACACCTAGGTGCCAAATACTGTCGGATTATTGTACATTGGAAGTACTAGTCCCTCAAAGAAAGCATTTTGCAGTTTCGAGTCTAAAGTCAACTGCGATGTCAGTGTTCATGAGATGGTCGGCAACGCTGAGCCCTTGCACAACCGTACCTAAATAATAAATGTAACGCTGTACGTTGTGATCATGCGTCCTGGAGCCGGAGAGGCCCAGGCATCTGCATCGGTTATGACGGCCTTGGTGGGCCTCGTTGGCAATCGCGGTACTCAGCATGTTGGCAAGGGACTCCAGATCGGGTCTATCGGGCACGATCAGTGGGGCGGTCCTCCATGGTGGGATTGGCGTTTCGAATATATATCTGTCCTTTATTCTGTATGTCCGTGACAAGGTACGACCTAAAGTGTCCTATGGCCATCGCATACAGGAATCGACATCATGACGAAAACCACCTCCATCCTCACCACGCTGGATGAGATCCTCAACCAGAAACATCTTCCGCTGGACGAGGTTCTCAATCGCAATTTTACCCCAGACTACCGCCAACGCACCAATGGGAATTGGGACGACCGTGAGGCATTCGCCCAGCATGCCCAAAAGCTGCGCGAAATCGTAGCTTCAGCCCGGATCGAGATACTGGATGAACTGCGAGACGGTGATCGTTATGCCGATCGCCACATTGTCCACATCACCAAGCGTGACGGTTCGCGGGTTGTCCAAGAGGTCTATCTGTTCGCGCATGTCGATCAGGACGGCCGTTTCAAGCGCGTCGAAGAAACCACCCTGATGCTCGACGGCGGGGAGGCCGATCGCAATATTGGTCATGCGAAATGACGCGGCATGGCTCGCGCCTCGAAATACTGCCCGGTCGCCAGCGCCATGAGCTACCTCTCCAGCGCCTCTGCTTCCAGTTTCGAGTATCCAGGCACCAGCTGAAGCGCTCAAATAGTTCTGCTACCAGATAATATGTCCCAACCCAGATGCTCCCAAAGTTGTCCAATAAACCATTCAGCCGCGTCCTCATCTTGCTCCGCCCCTTCCATCAACTTAACAGCACCGATTTCCTCTTCATCCTCGGCTTCATGGCGCCTAAGAGCGTTATAAAATGTGTCATCATCATCTCCATAAACTCCGCGAAGTAGGGTGTTTTGGAGGGTCTTCTCAATATGCTCTCGGAGTCCTTGAGCGCGTCTCGGGTTCCGCTGCTGTAATGAAAAGAGTGATATCGAAACTTCAGACATCTGCTTGGTACCAGTACGTAGAAAATCGACACACCTCCGCAGGACAAAAATGAGGTACGGGCCCTCAAGCTTTGCACTGCCCATGGCAGCTTCGAGATCCAGGTGGGCAACGTCTACTATGCCCCGTGGTGGGAGGACACCTGTGGAGTCCCTACAGCCTTGGCCTGTTCTTCCGAAAACGAAGAGGGACAACACTGATCCGACATGGTCGAGAAGGGCACACAGGAAGCCCTCCAGGAGCTCACAGTGGATGTCGCTGGACGTATCGAGGTCCGTTACCATTCTGGTCAATGTTTTGGCGAGGAGCTTGGCTTCATTTGTATAGGCAGAAGAAGGAACCAACGGCGTTCTTTTGAGGGCTTTCGTGCCAGAACGACGGCCTCTTTTGCTTGACTTAGTGGCGTCGGATATCCTGACAGCCTCATCCAGAGTACATTGGTGTAGACGTCCTAGAAAAGTCTCATATAATCTGACAATGTCGGAAAGTGTTGATGCCAGGCGCTCACCACCCTTGTCGGCATCCAGTCTGGCGATTTTCACAGCCTCCAGGATAGAAGAATAAGCATGCCCAGTTACCCTGCAAAGATGCTGAATAGACTGCTCTTCCGCGTGAGCTTGGTCCCTTGCACCCTTCTGACCAGGTCCAATACTCCTGCGTATTGCACTGATGATAGTTTGAATTGTCGTGGCAATATGGTCTCGATCTGGTACTTCAAGTCGGAGGCTGCGGCGTATCGATCTCAAGCTCCGAAGAAGCGCTTGACGGCCTATCGAACGTTAATCGTTGAAACCCTCTGACCTTCGCCTGGCGAGTGGGTAGCATACTGGAATCAGCCGGCCATGGGCCTCCAAACGCCGAACCTGCTTCGTCATCACTGGTTTCACCATCTGTGTTAAGGTCTTCTCCTGAGGGTGGCTTTTCTGACACTTTGGGGACATTTCTTTTCCGCTTCCCCAGAGCTGGCCGCGATTTGGGTCGCTTCGACTTCCCTTCGGGTCCGTCTCTCTCTTGCATGAGCCCCAACACTTCCTCAAGTAGCCTTGCCCTCTCCGACTCAGCGGCTTCATAGCATTGTCTCCAGTATGTGCTGGCATCGAAGTCATAGGTCACGGGTGCTCCTTTTGGGGCGCAATCCGTGATAGCCTTTCGCAAGGAGTCGATGTAGCCTTGATCAGGTCAGTAACCGACGTTTGCGGTAGCGTTCAAGCGTATAAACCTTCTATTTGCATGTGTGGCGGTCTTGACCGGACCACCATCAAGGCAAGTGCTATTTGAGCTGGACAGGGAAGGCTGTTCTCGCTCTCATCGTGGGCACGATCGTCGCAGGCCATGTCTTAGCAACAAAGCCTTAACTTGAAAACGCAGCAGAAGCATGAATGATGTAAACTCAATCAATTCAAAAAGGACGTCAGAGAAGGATATCTAAGTCGGAAAAAAGAAGAAGAATCCGAAGACGGTGGCAGCGTGACTTCCTTGTTAACTGGAACAAACCTTAACTTTGCTGTATCTGGCTCGGCAATCATCACTGGTAGGAATTCGTCCTACCTATATATTGTGTCCTCAATCAGTAAGGGGCAAACACATGTTACTGGCATTTGGCCTAACTGTGAGTCCTATATCGTCTTCCAATTTGTTGACGAGGTTGTATTCAGGGCGGAAACGCTCCAGGACATTGTCATCAGCCTCTCTTATTGCACCAGGAGGTTGAATGCTCCACCGTACCTGGAAGCCTCAGACAACTGCAACTCTTCATTCACTTTTCGTCTTCCTCGATGCCCGATAGTTCTTCGTGTATTCTGCCTTGCACACATTAATGATCGGTGTAAGCGCACAAGCCCGTCAAAATGGCGCCAGCAAGCGACGCCGACCTGACTGTCGATTACTATGAGCTGCTTGCAATTCCCCCGACAGCGTCGGAGGCGGAGATCCGGCGCGCATACCGAAAGACGTCCCTGCTGTATCACCCAGACAAAGTCAAACCGACGCCAGAAAACTTGGAAAAGTTCCAGCTCTTACAGACCGCAATCAATATTTTGACGGACGCCACCGAGAAAGCAAAATATGACCAAACTCGAGAGGCCAAACAACGGCGTTTGGCCGAAACAGCCGCGCTGGAAAGCCGGAGACGTCAGATGAAAGAAGACTTGGAGAAACGAGAAGGCGGCTTTGCTGGGGCTACGACTACGGTGAATGGTATGAAGAGGGCATGGAGCGACAGAGAACTCGAGATCAAGCGTATCGCGGAAGAGAATCGTAAGAGAAGAGAAGCAGTTATGGCACAGCGGACGCAAGAGGCTCAAGCGCGAGCCCAAGCACAAGAGCAACCCTCCGATTCTATCGATCGTTCCGTCAAGGTTCGTTGGATCAAGGAAGGTGAGGGCCTTGACATCGACCAGGAGGCTCTTGAAGAAAATTTCCCAGCAGGCCATGTCGAAAACGTGCTGATTCTCAAGGACAAGAAACGTCGTGTGGAAGGCCGAGACAAGAAGGTGATGCTGGGAACGGCGGTCATCATATTCAAGTCTTTGGCTATTGCAAAAAAGGTCGTGGCTCAGGGGCCTTGGGAGGGCATTGAAAGTGTCGAATGGGCTGCTGAGAAGGAGCCAGAAGGTACTTGAGACCATGCTTGTGCCCGATGCTTCTACACAACACACCTATGCTATGGTCTATTCTCACCATACTAGCAAGTCACACCAAAACCTGCGGCAAGTTTCAGGTTTGCACGCGGTCCTCACCACCTGGAGTCCTGACGTCCTGGAGTCCTGCCTAGGTTTCTCCGCGGCAGGATAGCAGGATCCTCAGCGACTAACTCAGCAACCAGGCCTTCATGCGTCCTGGATTCAAAGAACTCAGGAAGCCCTATCCGACTATCCAGTCATCGGAAAGTTGCGCTGATGATAGCAGGCCCGCATCCCACCCAGAGCCATTGAGACAAGCCATAAGTGCTTTCGACTCCAGAAGATGACGTGCCGACTTCTTTGCAGATGAGAAACATCGCAGATATCTTATGACTTGCCCGGCTATGTATAAGTCAGGAACGGAATGATGATGTGCCATTCCTGAGCCGACTGATAGCGTGCGGTGAGCAGTGTCCAGAGGTGAGCAGATCTTGAGTCGCCGTTAAAGATAAGGACGAGTACCACGTCTGCTCGTTAAGTGTCCCAGCCAATGGGTCTCTGAGACAGCTGGCATGCGATCGGACTTTTCACGACTGTAATGATCCATTATACCCCCCTCTAGCGCAGAATAGATGTGATCTGTATATCAATCGACTTCATCGTATTCGTCTTCTTCCTGTCGGGGCTTTTGCTTCTTCTCCTTCCTGCGTAGGCTTTGCTCCACGCCCTCCCTTAACCAGGCCGGTACGAATGGCTTGAGCATGACCTCACGCGGACCATCCTGTCCTTCAATCTCCCATTGAACCCGATACTTCTCGTTGGGATCATAATTCGTCCGATCGGCGGTCAATTGGATATCGGTCATCATCTCCAGTCTGCAAAGCGCCAGGCCGATGTTGCCTATCCCATCGAGCCACTTGCCACTACTCCTTCCGCGACCACGGGCGTGGGCTTTTGCAATGTTCGACTGGGGCGGAGGCAGAGTGATTGTCGCATCAGGGTTGTATTCTGGCCGAGTTTGGCCTGGGGACGACGACAACGATTCATCGCCAGGATCGTACAATTGACACGGCAGGATCCTCTTGCGGACCACACCAGTATGATGGGTGCGGATAGTAAGTTCCTGGCCGACGTAGCAGCCCTTGAAGAAGTCAATGCCGCCAAACAGATCAATGTTACTCTCTTGCGGCAATGAGCCTGCACTTGGCAATTCCGTCTGTCCTTCCGCCAATCCGTTCAACATCCGGTGCACCGTGTAGTCTTGCACCGTAGCCTGCTGCACGCCGCGATCTTCCAAGCGCCGTGACAATTCTCCCATGGATCCTGTCCTATCAAGCCACCGTGAGCCCATCCCCGGTCTCGGATCTTGTCCGCCCGCCACCAGTCTCGCAACGGCGTCCGAGCCTTGTACCAGGTCCGCATCTCCAGGCCAGGTGTAGTAGACGCCCAGTTTCTCGGGGTCGACCTTTTCCAACTGGAACTTCGATCTCAGCTTGTGCTTACGCAAGTGCTTTAATAGGTCGCCTGCGCTTTGCGCGTCCGCTTCGACGAACCACTCCTGTTCGTCTGCCTCGCTGGGCGGATAGATGAAGACGTCATTGAGGATCCGGCCGTGTGCGGACAGGAACGCCGTATAGATGGGACTGCGACCCCCGCGGTCTAAGATCTTCGCGGGCACGAGGTTGTGTAGGAAGATCGCGGCGTCCGGACCAGCCAGACGGATGAGCGTCCGGTTCGTAAGCTGGGCATATTTTGCCGGCGTAGTACCAGTGTTGGATGACACTGGCGGAGAGGTTGCGAAGCTCCGAAACCTCGGTTTGAGTTGGGCTCGAGTGTTGTTCTCACATCGCCAACAGAGGAATGTTGGAACAGTACGCAGTCTGGGGGTCACAGTCATCTTTGGGAGTGTTCCCGTCGCCAAGTCCTGTTGGTAGTCTCGCGTAGAAGTTGGGACGAACCGCCCGTAGGAGGCCGCGGAGGATTACTAACGGAGGTTGGACTCATGTTACAGGCTCCATGCGAGTGTTCAAGTCGCCGCCAAGGATCTCCGTCCCCCGCCGCTGCATCGGCGTATCGTTTCTTTGACCGTCTTTCAATCGATAATATTCCGCTCTGCACATGCGACACTCCGCCTCAGATACAACAATCATCTAACCTCCCTCCTGTTCTAGTATACGCATACCGTGGGTTACTGAAGCTACTTGCCCGGCGTACACGCTGCATTCCCCAAAGGCATTACGCCAACCCGCAGCGAGAACTTTCATCTCGGGGCGAGAGTCAATTCCCAACCACACGAACTCCACAAACATACAAACAACTTGCATACTCAAAAAGGAGGGTTGGGTACTCGAGCGAAACGCCCTGACACTCCGTGTCAGAAGTCTACCAAACCATGACCTACCTCGACGACCTCCACTCCTACCTCCACCAATCCTCACTCCTGATCCAAGCATACCCCTCCACACGCATAACGACAAAATACTCCCTCCCCAGGAAACCCAACACAAAAACCCGAACGAAACCTGAAAATGAAACTACTACTACGCCAAGAACCACGGACTCGGCGGCAGCACCGTCGCAGCAACAACAACAACAACAACTACAACCCAAGCGAGAACCTTCGGCAGTTCTTACGCTCAAAACGTACCATGCCGACTCTGGCATCTGCTTGAAATATAGAACAGACAAGGCTGCCGAAGTCGGGCGTCTGCTGAACGGTTTGGGACGGTTAGCAAAGGGGGAGATCATAGAGATGCCCACGACAACAGCGACAGCAACACAAATAGAAGCAGGGCAACCAGCCGCAGCTGCTGCTGATGGCGGCGACAAAATGGATATTGATGGTGGGGTAGTGTCGGCGCCCAAGGTCGAGGATAAAGTGGTGACGGCGCCGCCGGCAACAAGTCAGACGACGGGTGGAGGAGCTGGTGGTGGGAAAGGAAAGAAGAAGAAAGGCAAGAAATGAGCCTCAACTCCGACATGACGAAGCAAGGATTACTAGTGTTCTGCTCTGCTGGTTTCTTGACCAAAGATGAAGATGATCAATCCTAGTTGCAGCAATTGGATCCATGAATGACGCCGCAGCCCGGTCTATGTCAATGCCTCGTTCGGGGCAGACAAAGCTACTGAGCGAGCACTTGGGGCCTTTGTGGGGAGTTTTCCCTTGAGCATCGGGCAAGCCGCCGCTCTGCATCAAACTTGAGGTCTCATGGTCTGCAGACACTGCAGAGGGAAGAGTCCGTCCTCCTACTAGTACTTGAGGAAATAGCTAGTAAGAGACAGCAGTTGTCCTTCCGGAACATTGGTGTCCTCGGCTTCATGTTAGAGCATGTTAGCCATTCGGCGAGCGGTCAAGAATCCAACAGAGGTTGCGAGTAGTAATCCAATATCCACCTCAGGTACGGAGGTGTCAATATAGTGGGAAAATGGCATGGCACCTTCTGCTATGGCAGTGTTAAATTAATTGCCTTGAACTCGACTGATATCAAGTGGTAAACATGTGATGAATACTAAGTAGTATACCTACCAGGTACTATGCCTGGCTTGAACAGAAGCCTCCTGCAAGGCTGCGGATCAACATGGTTCCGCGACCGACGAGGCTATGTTGACAAGGGGCAAAATCCCCGAAACCGGACAGGCGAATCTCCGGCAAGGCTTGTTGCAGAAGAGACAAGGTTGACAGCAGCACATATAGACAATTTGCTAACGCAACGAGTTCTGATTTTCGTACTGTAAGCATAATGCTATGTACCTATGGGAAGAGGGATTAATCCGAAAACTCGTGACTATCCAACAACCGTGCAACCCTTTCTATGAGAGCTATGCATTGTCAAGTGACCATTCTGAAAAAGAGTCTGTAATCGTACAACCTGGCCGAGCACCCTTGGAACCTGCCATGCTGATGTGTCGATGGTGTGAAGGGGGTATAACAAAGGGAATATGCACTTTAACCGACACGCCCCGCTCGCCAACCATAAACGCCGCCGTCAAACATATGCTGAGAGTGTTTGGGAGTCTAAAAGTCTTCGTCAAAGTTGATGCCGTTGCTCTCGTCCACTTTTTCATTAGGCGAAGATGCGCCCTTCTCCTGTTTCTTGGTGGAGCTCACCACGCCGGCCTTTTGGTAATCACCGACGCGCTTCTCGAAGAAGTTGGTCTTGCCGCCAAGAGAGATGTTCTCCATGAAGCCAAATGGTTGTTGAGCATGGTAGTATTTCTTGTTGCCGAGCGCCACCAACAATCGGTCGGCGACGAATTCAATGTACTGTTGCATAAGCTTGGCGTTCATACCAAGCAATGCGACAGGTAGAGCTTCCGTCAAGAACTCTTTCTCGATGGCGACGGCTTCGGTGATAATGTCTTCGATGAGCTTGGGGTCCGGCTTGTGCTTGAGATGCTGGATGAGAAGGCAAGCGAAGTCCGTGTGCATGCCCTCGTCACGTGAGATGAGCTCATTCGAAAAAGTCAGACCAGGCATGAGACCTTGACATAGTTAGCATCAATGGTATCTGCAGACTCGAGACAATGCTTACCCTTGCTCTTGAGCCAGAAAATGGAAGCGAACGAGCCTGAGAAGAAGATACCCTCGACGGCAGCGAATGCAACCAGTCGCTGAGCGAATGTGGACTCATGGTCACAGATCCATTTCAAGGCCCAGTCAGCCTTCTTGCGGATGCAAGGGATAGTGTCGATGGCATCAAAGAGATAAGTCTTCTGCTTGTTGTCTTTGATGTAGGTGTCGATCAGCAGAGAGTACATTTCGGAGTGGATGTTCTCAATCATAATTTGGAATCTGGCAAAGCGTTAGATAAGCACAACAATGATGTTCAAGGTTGACCTACCCATAGAAGCAGCGAGCTTCGGGGATCTGGACTTCACCGCTGAAGCGCTCAAGCAGGTTTTCGTTGACAATGCCATCAGAGGCAGCAAAGAAAGCCAAAACGTGAGAGATGAAGTATCGTTCGTCGTCATTCAGACGGTTGTGCCAGTCATGCAAATCCTTGGACAGGTCGACTTCTTCCGCAGTCCAGAAGCTAGCTTCAGCCTTCTTGTACATGTTCCACTGCATAACCATAGTGTTAGATACCTTGTATAGATGTCATGGTGGAGAGCTGTGTCACGTCCGCGTCGCGGTCACGAACGCGTTAATGGGATCCACTTACAATCTCGTGGTACTTGATAGGGAACAACACAAAGCGATGAGGGTTCTCTTGAAGAATGGGCTCATCCGCTTCCAGCTCTTTGATAGTAGGTGCGACTTTAGGTCCTTCCGCAGGTGCGTTGACTTCAGAGACGGTGGGCTTTTCGACTTCTGTCTGGGGCTTGACGACCGCATCGTGGGCGACGGGCATGTTTTCTTTGTTCTCAACACCGAAGTCCAGTTTCTTGACAGGACTGCAGGTGTCCTTCATCTTGAGGTTCTCAAGGCTTGCAGCCGCCTGCGCGTTGTTGTCAGTAATTTGTACTTTGACCGTCCAGTTGATGATGCAAGTGGCAAAGCGTACCTGCTTTGACGGCGTAACTTGAGTGGCCATTGTGTGAGGCTATGAGAGATGTGTATCTGAACAAAGAAAGAGTGCAATTAGGTAGCAACAAGAGACTGAGCTGGTTTGTTGATGGACGCGAGGATGGAAGAGAAGTCAATGGGAAAAGTCGCGGATGCTGGCAGCATTTTATGCAAGGCACCACACGCTGGACACGCGCTAACGCGGTGCGCGTAGACCAGGCCTAGTGAAGACGGCGGGCTGGTGACTGAACCACTTTAACCTGGCAGCTTTCGCTCATCGATCCACTTCACATCAACAGACCACCGCGATACTGTACAGGGATCGGAACAGACTGCAGGCATGTGTGGATTCTGTTAGGAAATGCTGAGCAATCTACCACCACATCCCAGTTCCGCTGTGGTTCTCCCAGCATTGCTGCCTGCGGCTCGTCGAAGCTAGACGGACGATAATCGGAGGCCTCTGATCTAATCTAATTTTATCAGATCAATTCCTGTTGTTCCATGACATCACGCGACCATCGAGAACGCGTTCACGCGCGCTGTATGGCTCCAGCATCCTTCATTCTTCCTTCAATCTCCTGCCCATACACAAAGGCTCGCAGGGAGGTGCTCTTGGTACTTGACTGAGTGTAGGGAGCTCATCCATCTGAGTCCGGAACGAGGCTGCTGTCCAATTCTTGCAAGGAAAAGGTTGGGATGTGGTTGACTTGGAATTGCTTGATACTCTACACTGTACGTATCAATCCACTACCAGTGGCAGCAGCATTGCTCAACAGCTGCTGGGTGATACCTTGTCTAGACTGAGACACCAAGTCTGCCATAAGCTATATACGTTATCCGTAAGCTCAGAAGTGGATGTCAAGCGCAAGCAGCTCAACTACATCGGCGGCGAGCTGTACCTTTACCCTCATACACGCTGGCAGCGTACTGCTTATACGGACCTTAGCACGATATTAGCTGGCCACATTCCTACCCGAGCGACACATACCATTGCAGGTTCGTAGGCCGTTGAGCATTCAATTGAAGGTCCGTGAACACTATCCTAGGTCGAGATCTGTCCAATGTCTTGTAGTGTTCCAGGCAGTACTTCTGGCCATAACAACAGCGATGAGGCATTGCAGAACCGGATATCTCTGCAACTAGCCCCGTAAGGAATGTATGCTGTCTTCATTCTGCCACCTACATTCATCTGTTGCAGCATTGCTTGGGCTCACTGCGGGCTCATACTTTATAAGGGCAGCACCATAGGGGAGATAAGGACATAGTAACGATATTATGCTCTAGACTTTCGTAATGGAGACACGCAATTAGAAGCTGTCGTCGAATTGCGGACAAAAAGTCTTGCGTTAGAATATTTAAGAGTGGTTGCCCTGGTCCAACAGTCTAAGAATTGTTCTAGGACCGATACCGAAGCCTAGAACGACCACTCATCAAATCAACAGGTATATATAGCAGTCGTCCCCATACTATCAAGGCAGCATTTTGTTGGTGTAGGTCAGCTAGCCATCTGCCAGCGCAAAGGATGGCAGGCGAACATTCCAGCTATGACATGAGTAATAGTATGGCAATCCTGTCTAGTCCAGAACACCAACCGCTGTTTGGTAGATGGCACGCGAATTGCTGCATGCAACGCCCCTTGATGTATAAGTAGATACCCCTCCCCAGTCAGCCATGCTCTCGCTCTTCGCTGCTCAAAGCTTTTCTGTTATAGACTTCGGCAAAATCCTGGTCTCAACCCCCCGTATCAACTTGTTCGTCTGCTCTGCTAGAGTAAGGGTAAGGATAGTGTGGGGTAATATCCGAGCCAGATGAGCAGTAAATCCTTTGTAGACGCTGAGCACTCCTTCGGTCGAGATGGTCTTCCATAAGCAGTCAAAAATGCCGCTATACAGATTCCCGTGCTGGTTATACAATCTGGCCATCACAGTGTCCTGTATCAATGTTAGCAGTGGAGGTGCACGAAGGGTTCGGAGAGAATTACCGGAGGATGCATCACACAGCAGACAACGAAACCGCTAGCCGTTGAGCTCAAGAGATGTAACGCTGGCCCGTCTTCCATGCCAGCATGCCGTATCAATCTCCGCTTTGCGAAGAAATATGTGGGCAGCTGAACAGAGCTCCCGGCACCGGTCCTAACCATAGAAGCACCCATGCCTCGATATAAACCAGTGATGCCCTCTGACTTGTAGATCTGAGTCAGGCCGTCGATCGAATTTCGATACTTGTGCTGAGTCCCGACGGGGAGGAATGGCGAATATGATTGTAACCGAGTCTTGACCAGGAAGAAGGGAGAACCGGCCATGGCTCCAAGTATACCAGAGGCGGCTCCGGAAAAAATGTTCACGCCGAGTGACTGGACATTGGGATCTTTGAAGATCAGCTTCGTGCAAGCTGCTCTGAGCGGCTCGTAGAAGCCTAAACGGCAGCCATTCAAAAGAATCTGGTAGATATATGCGCTTCCGATGCCTCGGTATATTCCTCTCACGCCTTCATTTTTTAGAATGACTCCAACGCCGTGAAAAACCCCTCTGTAACTTTTGACTGCCACATCTTTGGATTGCAATTCTCCCTGGAGTTGCAGTCGAATCTTGACGGTCTCGAATGGGTGTGTCGCGGTCACGGCACCGCATGCTGCGAGGCCGCCCGCGATGAATGCGCCAGTGGTCGTAGCCATATCCGCGACAGAAGAGCCAATGCTCCTGCGTACTCTAACCTTCCCTTATGCTATGATGACCGCGAAACAGGGGAAACCATGGTAACGTAGGATGGATTTATCTGAAATATCGTCAGCAGTTGCAGGGCGGCATTCGTCGATGGGCTGGCATGTAACACCGGCGATTCAATCGGGGAGTATACAGGTGGAAAAGAAAAGCTCGGATATAAGGTTCGTAGCCAAAGGTGTTTTAACTGGAAATCGGGGAGTCTACCGCAGCCGTCGGTAACCGTGGGTAAATAATACAGTCGAAGGCATTGGCGCAAGAGTGCGCCTGCAAAACGGGAACCAGGGTACAGTTGGGTCCTAGTACGTACCTAAAGAAGGCCCTATAGTCGTCCAAGAACGCCGAAATACTGGATGAGTAAGAGGGCAGGCTGAAAGCAAAGAAGCCGAGAGTTGCGAGATCGGGGACCTTTGGAGGCCTCCGGCTCTCTCGGCCATTGCAAATCATCGAAAAGAGTCCGAGTCAAGCATTTTGCGAGCCGTCTGGAGATTGGCTGCTACCGACGCGTTCCTGACTTGCCTTCTCCGCGCGACGTACGTTGTATGCTCCCCACTACTATTACTGCACGAATTAATTTTTGGCGCAACAACATCCTGCATTGCAATAGTGGTATACAACACCTGAGCCCGTCTTCTCGCTTGGTACCTCAGCCACGATAGCATCTTCCTCTTGGAGTTTCAGACTTGATAGGTACAACCTCCGCTAGTCAATGCTCCTGTTTTAAGTTGTATCGAGCCCGTGGCCTGGACCCCAAATATGGCCGCCCTGCAGCAGCAGAAGGTGCATGATGTGGTCAAACACTACCGCCCGGCCAGGGTAAGCATTTCTTGCCTGTCATGCCGTATTTGACTAATGGGCGAGTAGCAATTCCCCGGTTCTGTGCGCTCGGATGGCGCCGAAAGCCGTATTACCTCCCTTGACTTTGACGACATGGGAGATTTCCTGGTTGCGGCATGCGATGACGAGACAATGCAAGTCTACGATGTGAAAGAAGGAAAGAGAACGAAGGTCATACCTAGCAAGAAGTACGGCATCCACCTGGCTCGATTCACCCACCATCCGCGCAATGTGCTCTTCGCCAGCACGAAACAAGACGACTCCCTTCGCCTTCTTGAACTGCACAACGAAAGTTTCGTTCGCTACTTTAGCGCCCATACGGCACAAGTCACTTGCATAGCGTTATCGCCAGGTAGCGATCAATTCCTGTCATGTGGGAAAGATGATATCGTTTGTTTATGGGATCTAAATTCGAGAAGCCCTCAGGGCAAGCTGAAACTAGTTACGCCATATCTTGCTGCATACGATCCTTCGGCGAACGTGATGGCCATCGCGTCGCAATCCACTTCGTCCGTGCTCATGTACGACGTCCGTAACTTCGACAAAGCACCGTTTGCCACGTTCGACATGGCCGAAGCAGAAGACAGACATACGCCAACCACCAAAGGCCGAGCGTGGACAAAGCTGGAGTTCTCCAACGACGGAAAGAGTATGCTCCTGGGGACAGATTACCATGGTCATTTTGTGCTGGACGCATTTGATGGAACGGTCAAATCATTCCTTGTTGGAAAAACAGCAGGTACTGGACGAGCGGCGCCTGTTTCGAGTTCGGGAAAGCCTTTGGGTCAGGGTGATGCATGCTTTACACAAGACGGCAGGTACATTATCGGTGGCACAGGAGAGCAAGATCTTTTGGTCTGGGACACCCAGGCATCTACTGGCGGGCGACAGGAGCCCACGGCGAGATTACCAAGCCGGGGCATCAAAAGTGCCATTGTGCAATGCAATCCACGCTACAACATGCTTGCAACGGCTGACACGAAGGTCTGCATGTGGCTCCCAGGGGATCAGATCAAGAATCCAGAGCTTTGAAGCGGAGGCAAGAGCACTTCGGCGAGAGGACCGCACCCACCAGGTGTCGAATCCGTCGGATCCTCCTGAGGCGGATGGGAGCTTGAAACTCTGTCTCCTGAAGACTTGATGCGCGGCACGGCGAGCAGTTTCCCCTCCAACTTGAAGTTGATCCCCGTTTGCCGTGTGCTTGGCATCGTCTTCAACTCCGCCAATCGGAGCATTCCCTGCTCCGCAATTGCAACCCATGCCAATGGGTGTCGGTCATCGCGTCTTCCAGACACTGCACTAAGTGCAGCATCTTCGCCTTTCTTGTCCGGCCACACGACCACCTGGTTGCAAAACCCACCATATTTTCTCACACATTGTCCAAGATGACCGACATACCGGCAGGATGCGGCCATGGCAATGGCGAGGAGGGCAACCATCCCGAACTTGCTGACCTGGTGGAAAAGTTGCAGAAACGCGCATGCACCCTACTCGATGAACTCCAAGCCTACCGAGCATGCCTTGAGTCGCGGAATAAAATACAAGCTGTTGAAATGAGAGTCTTCAAGCGCGGGGTAGAATCCGAAGTGAAGAGCTTGGAAAAAATAAAACAAACTCTTGCAATTTCTGGTGCACTCGAATGCACTGACTCAGAAAATGATGCCGGCCAAGAAGCACCACAGCTTCACGCCTTGAGAAGCTCTAACCTCCCCTTCTGGGAAGCAGTCTGGAGAATAGCAAAGTCTTGCCGCGGGATTTCTGCGCTGGGCAAGAGAGTGCACATCGAATCGAAGAAAGGGCGCAGACGGGGCACAAAAGATCAAGCCGAAGACCGGATTAACAGCTGTTCAACAGGCCCGAAAATATCTGACAAAGGAGTCCTTGTGGACATCGTAGCCGAGAATGGGCTCGAATGGATCAAAATCTCCACGATCACCGAGAAACGGCTTCTGTTCGAGATGGCTAAAGAAGGCTGGGAATCTTATGCCGATTTCAGCGATGAGAGTGAGGCGGATGACAGCAGTGCTGGGGCGACGAATAGGAATGGTAAACTAGAACTCATCCGGATCGCTGGGGATCTCAAGCTGGCCTCACGGACGGTAAGGGTACAATTTCAGCATCCACGCATCCGCTTCGTCTTGCCAAACATTCGCGAGGGTGTTCTATCCGACGTGGACGCCTTCATTGATGACTTGCGGGCAGCTGGTGTGGAGGTCCAATGCGGTCCGGGGTTGCAATTGCTCAGTGAACAGAGTCAAGAGATGGATATTGACCGGATGTTGCCTGCAGCAATAACTCCTCGTTTGACGAATACAATCAATATCGATTGTACCATTCTCCTCGCCCTTATATCTGATATCTCGCATTGTTCGCGCCAGCAACTACCTGCTCCCGGCGCCAGCACCTACCACAAGGCAATCCTCCGCCAAATTGAAGCTGAAGAATCGTCTCACCTCGTCTTCGATGAGCTCTACCCAGTTCTTGATGGACATGTGCTAGAATGCACCGCCCACGCTGCAGGAAGAATGCGGGAGATCGTTCAATGTATGGGCACGCCCAGCGAGACAAAACGCGCCGACATTATCCTCGGTGTGGGTACCGCACGAGGTCAGTCAGCATCCCAGCTCCGACAGGCGTGGAGTGAACACACAGTTCATCCTGTACCTTCGGAGCTTCAATTTCCCATCAGAATCGTAGATTTCGATGGTACACAGCTTCTGTCCTCCGACCGGAAAACAGCTCGATGCGCAAGCGGTGGGATCTTTCCTTCTCGGGTGGCGAACCGTGCAACTAACCTCATGAGCCTTTCCCCGATCAATATCTCTGTGTTCTTCTATGGATGGTCAAGGGAGATAGTCACATTCACCAGCAATCGGGTCGTGGCAACCGGTCTTCTCAAGACCATCAATGAGGTACTGGATGAGTGTGAACACAGTGATTCTGCTGGGGACGAGGTCGACAGCAACTTCATCGGTCCACAGATATATATCTGCGAGACAGCAAGGAGTCTGATTGGCAAGGCGAAAAGCAAAGGATGAAGAATGGTCAAGGCTGAAGTATGCTCTATGGGGCCTTGTCCTAGCTTCACACATTACCTACCTTATGCAACCTGGAATATATTCCGGGGTTCTTCAGTGCTATGACTATTGAGCTGTAGATCTTGGTCGGTCGTGCTGCCCACGACATCTTAACAAAGACTGGAATACAATAGTCTCTGAAGTAGAAATCATAATGTCCGCATCGCAGTAATAAAAACTTAGGTATTGACTGAGCAGTTACTTCTGCGTGATATTGGCAGAGTGGCTGGGAGGAGAAGGGAGACGTGTCTAAGCTTAGGGACCCAGTAGGAGTGAAGGACTGACGCGGCTGCGGTGCACCGGCCAAATGAAATCTGGGAGCCTTCGATGTTGGTTGCAATTGGGGTGTGTCCATATCTCCAACCGCAACATCATTAGTTCTCAACCCGATTGATCAGCCTCCGCGAACGAAGACGGGCGCTGAATCATAGCCGCTCTTATTACTGACATCGATCCTGCGTGTTCTTGACCGGCTGAGATTGGCATGAGTGCCAGAGACGGGGCCCTGAACTTTCGGCAGATCTCCCCAGCCAATTCACCTTAAACGACTCTCATCTGCGCCGGGTCACCACGGCACCGGAGGCATGAGGCGCTGGATCCCCTCGCTGGGACTCCTGGCGTACCTAGCAGCGTTGGTAGCTGGTAATGAAGTGCAACTTGTAAGCGGCCCCAAGCCGACAATCCGGTGCGAGCAATCCTGTGTGAACAATCCTGACAGCCTGCGCAGAAACAAGATGATGCCAACCGACAGCGATGTTCGGGCATGTACAGCAGGAAATCGTGGGGCGGGTCAATTGAGCCTTTTATACTCGTCAAATTCCTCCCCGACCATACCCAAGATGACAGCGACCCGATCGTGAGCCTGATCATATTCGAATGGCAAGATGAAGAGCTGATAGGAAGGATGCCGCCCGGGGGGCAAAGCTACCGCGACCTTGAAACCATATGTTCTGCCGATACCGTGGCCAAGGGCCTATGTGAAGAGAAGGACATTGGCGCCTTCATCCTGGCGCCGAATGCCACCGAGCTGGCGAAGAATCCCATCTACAACGAGGCCATCCACCTCAAGGACCCCAAAGCCGTCAACTATCCGGTTCGGAGGACAGGGTTCTATTGCGTGTCGACGTACGCCTTCTCCAACCACGAGTACGACGCTGTGGTGGAGTTCCGCAATGCTTACGGCGAGCTTCCCGCTGCGCAGATCGCGAAGCTTCCTTTCTACGGCGGCCTCGCCATCGTCTATGCGCTGATGGGCGTCTTCTGGGCTTTTCTCTATGTGCAGAACCGCTCCGACATCCTCCCTGTCCAGAACTACATCACGGCGACCATTATTTTCTTGATCGTCGAGCAGTTGATGACCTGGGGATTCTACGATTACCAGAACCGACATGGGAATAATGCCGTCAACAAGGCCCTGATGATCATCGTGTCAATCCTCAATGCGGCACGAAACTCGCTGTCGTTCTTCCTCCTGCTGATCGTCTGCATGGGCTACGGTGTGGTCAAGCCATCGCTGGGCAGGACGATGATCTATGTGCGCATCCTGGCAGCAGCACACTTTATCTTTGGTGTCATTTACGCCATAGCCTTCATGACCGTCACTCCCGAATCCGTGGGTCCTTTGATCCTATTTGTCGTTCTTCCATTATTCGGGACGATGACAGCATTCTACGTCTGGACGTTGTCCTCCCTCAACGTGACCATCAAGGATCTGGTCGAGCGTAGACAGAAGACCAAGGCCATGATGTACAAGAAACTGTCGTGGTGCATTCTCGGCTCCATCTTGGTCATTTTCGTCTTCTTCTTCGTTAACAGCTTTGCATTCGCCGGAAGCAGTGAAGCCGACTTCGTCCCGAAGCACTGGCAGACGAGATGGTTTGTCTTGGATGGCTGGCTCAATCTGGTCTACTTGTTCGACATTGCATTCATTGCGTATCTATGGCGGCCGACTGCGAACAACAGGCGCTTTGCCATGAGTGACGAGGTAAGTTCCGCCCTCAAAACTCCACATAAGAATGAGAGCTAATATAATGACAATACAGTTGGCACAAGAGGACGACGGCTTCGAAATCCGCAGCATTCGCGATTCCTTCTCCGATGATGAGGAGGCTGCCCGAAAAGACCGGGAACAAACGGCAAGCCCGGCCGGTGGAGCATCGTCATCGGTCACAGACGCCGTCAATGTCTCGCCCCTTAGCAACCAATCTCCTGCCGCAGCAGAGCAGAATAGCAAGAAAGAGGCCCCGCATCCACCGCGACCACGAGAATCTTTGGATGGGGAGACCATATTTGCCGTGGGCGACGATGGTGTCGAATGGAGTGACGGCGAGGAGGAAAGCGACGATGAACGGAAGAAGTTGACGGGCAAATGAGTGGAATAACTCGATGTATAAATTGTCCTCTATATCAAAAGTGCACAGCTCCAAGGAGGATCGTGGCTTGGCAACCCAGCTGCAGAATTAGGTTTCTTTGTGACCAGCAGCTACGGATGGCACTGTACGTCTGGAGTGGGAGTGAAGTAATGCGATTTCATGTAATCCTCGACTTTTCAAAAGAGGTCCTACTTCTGCAACCTCGCACGACGTTGCTTACATATCGTAAGTGTGATCTCTCCAGACAAACCACCTCCAGTGGCCTTGATAGTAAAGTTTTGGGAGCCTGTATCTCCCAACAACTTGAACCCTGCAACCAGGCCAGCCAGCTTTGAGTTGTCGAACTCAGGCTGTCTTAGGATACTGTATAAGCCGGTCTCGGACAACGAAGCTTGACGACCTGTTAGAGGCCATTCTCCACGCCGACAGCAGTCCTCGTTCTGTCTGAGATCCTGAAAGACTGAGATCTCCCCTAGCCGCCCAATTTCTTCGCTCGGTCAGACGCAATATCGCACATGGCCTGATATACCGTCAGTCAAAGCACGCAAGCTGGCAGGAAGTAAAACATGGGTCCATCCTGGCTCCTTTCACCCAGTAGGAATTCACTCCATAGCACATAGTATTGTCGCAGGGCAATGTGTGCCTGATGCCATCGATTCTCATTCTGATTCCATAGAGTCGTAGTACACGGCCAAAAGAAAAGCAAGTGGATGAATAGAAGGAAGTTCCTTACCTGGATGGCATCCAATTTCTCCTGCCTCAAGTCCCCTCGCTCGATCCGCCTCTGCATATCTTGCATGATGACGGGCCGGCTGCGTCCGTTGACAAAGACTCTGCACACCATATTGCGATTCAGCTATCAAGTCAACACAACAAGAAGCCAGATTACCCGAGACTCGAACACAAACAGACACAAATCATAGTAAGGTAACATCTTTCTGTCACAACGTGAGAGGGGCGTAGAGATTGCTCCTTCAACAAGTAGAAAAAAGCAGACTGATATCTTCAAGTACCGCTGAGCGGCATATAGATAAACAACGAGTTTCTTAGGGGCAGGGGTGTCATTGTTACAAATACCAAGGTACAGTAGTAGAATGAATAATCCAATAGAGCTTGCTGGGTGAGAAGAAAACGGGGAGTACACGGCATGGAACAAACATACACATATCTCAACCCGGGGAACGTCTCCTCATACTTCCTGTTCAGCTCGGCCAGTTTCTCGGCCTCGTTCGGGTCACCCTGGTTCAATTGAGCTTGCTCCTTGCGGCTCTGTTCGCTGTCGACTTTCTTCTCGCCCAGGCGAGGATGCGCCGAGAGGATGGAGTCGAGCCATTTGGCGTCGCTCTCGAGATCGGACTCGAACAGGCCCCGGAGTTGGTTTCCCACGGCATTGATGAGCTCGTCGTACGCGGAAAAGGTCTTTTCGCGCAGTAGGCTCACGGACAAGGTGTGCAGCTGTCGACAGGGTTCGAAGAGCGTGTCTAACACTCGGGCTCGCTCTTCAGTGTCCAATGATGGGAGGCTGGAAATGGGAGGAAGCGACGCCATGATGCAGGGTAGTACAGGCCGAGTAGTATCTTGATTGTGCAGAGATAACCGTTATGAAAGAAACTAGTCCTTTTATCTCAGTAGATACTGAGCAAAAGTCTGCTTTAGCTGTATAGATATTGTAACTCTCTACACTGCAGTATGCATGCTTATCACCCAGTTGTAGTTGGAATGAACAAACCAAACAGCATCGACGTCAGCGCACATGAGCCGGCGACCGGACGCACTGTAAGGTGGTCAAAACTGGTGATCACTGATGCCACAGGAAGCTGTCACATGTTTCCGCGTTTGTGAATGGAGTTTAAACGCCGTTATTTACTGGCTGTCAGTGTCATCGACCAAAGATGCTTTGACCAGTGGTGTGGCAGCATAAACAAATGCTTTGACAGTATAGTATATATACAATAGGCAGAGTAACAGCGATCCCAGGCGCGGGCGCGAACGCCCAACATAAATCCCCTCGAAAGAGGACAGTGAGAATATATAGAAAATGCTTCATGTTTGCTTTCCGTCGACAATAACCATTCTGTGGATTTGAAGCGTGCTTAAACCTGGATCCCGGCGCCTTGTATCACGCAGCAGCAAACGTGCTAGTTCTCCCCGGGGTTCCGCCGTCTGTACAAGGACAACACTTGTAACACAGAAGGCAAGGCCCGGAAGGCCCTAGGTCTGATGGGTGTCACAGTTCCTGGTGTCCGCTGCCAAACTCCCGATCCAAGCAACAAGCTCGGGAAATTGGCCCACGGCTCCAGGGAGTGTGCTGTACCTGGTTGATGTCAAACAAGGCTACCAGGCACAGACCTCCGTTCGGGGCGTTTCTTGAGGTCAAACCGAGTCCCACAGTTGCGCGCATGAGCGGCGACGTGGGCCACAGGCTATTCCATCCATGTCTAGGCTCGCTTGTTAGCTGGCGTACTTGTGGGTGTGGCTTGCAACAACAACCCCTGAAGGGCGCATAGCCTTTTGCACCGTACCTCAAGCAAGAGTGATGGTCCTTCATGCTGCAGCCCCTCAGAGGCGCATCTGCAGACTCCAGGTTGCAGGGCTTGAGCTTGTCCACAAATCCCCGAGAACTCGGTCATTGCCAGAGGTTACTGTCTCTTGGTTATATGTTAATCCTTCTCGAACAACGCGTGGGCTTCGAGCCTTCCCCTCATGAGGCTGAGAAATGTCCTTGAATGGCCTTGATGGAGTTGCGGTGGCCGAGGCGCACCAGGCTGCGTTGGCCGAAGCTGGAGGATGGTATGTTGCCAGAGGTGATCGTTGCTGGAGAATTGGCGTTAACGCGGTGGCCCAGGTTCCTGCTGAGATACATCAATCGTGACACGGTGGAATTGTTGCAACAGGGTGCAGGAGGAATTCAAGAAGTGAGGAGCGTGATAGAACAGTACGATGAGAAGTCACCGTTATATGGCCTGTTGCATTATCGGCGCAAGAAAGTCATCCTCAAATATGTGCCGGAGGGAACTTCGCGTCTGCTGCAAGGTCAGTACCGGTGCTGGCGGTGCCAGTGGTTCCAACACCACTTGGATCTCACCTCGTCGAGTTGGTGCGTGGCTAACCAACTTCACAGTGCGGCTTACCGTCCAATTCCAATCGGTCCTCGAATCCTTTTCACCACATGACACCGTCTTCACCCTCACTGCACCCTCCGAGCTTACCGACTCTGCTTTAGGCCTAAACATGATGCTGCCTCCCTCCGGAGCATCGCTCAAGTCGTCCAACTCGTCGTTGCGACGGCGCAGGCTGGACGAAATCAGCGAGGATACAGAGGAGGTTACATTGCCAGCCGAGGATCAGGTCAAAGAGTCTGCGCCGTTGGAGGAAATGTTGACACCGAGCTACGGAAGGCGCGAACTCGACGAACTGCCTGCGAGTGCTGTGCTGGCAAAGGCCCTTTTGGCGAAGCGAAAAGAGGAAGCAGACGGAGATGCAGCTAGTACGCATTCAAAGTCTCTACAAGGACAGACGCCTGAAGCCGCAGAGAAGGACAGTCCTGAGCCAGGAGCGCTGGCTTCTTCAAAGCCTCCATGTCTGGATAAGACTCTCCCTGCCACTCCCGATACGACGCAGCTTACAGCTACTCAAGATAAGGCTATTGAGGACAACGGGGTTGAAGTTACCAGCAACGTCCTGCAAGATCCCGCTGAACCGCTCTCCCTTGACCTCTCAAGTCATCATTTGTCCCCAGCCGAATCCGACAGCATCAGTCAATGGTCGAACAACGTTGTGGCCTCGTACACATCGATCGAACCGAAGAAGAAGAAGCTCGGCCCTCGACCACATATCGAGGCTGCCCATCGTCCAAAGACATCCGGCACCACTGATGGCGTTTTGGATGTGCGGCCAGTCGCCAACCTACCAAACAGAGTCCGTGTGAGCAATAAGCCAGTCCTGACCGCCTCGCTACGGCCAGGCTCCCAACATTCTACCAAGAGCGTTCCTGCTCGCTTCGCACCCGCTGGACATTCGATCAATGCTCCTCCACATCTCCCTTCGCCCACACGACTCCAACATCTGTACAAGCCGAGCGAGGGCCAGCCCTCTCTCTCGCGACCTGCCTCGGCCACGGCTGAAACGTCAGCAGCCACTCCAGAGAAATTGAGACTGATGAAGGCTTTGCAGTTGCGGAAACGAAACATGCTATTAGCTCAAAGAGCATCATCGCCAGCTCCACCTAGCCCATTGAACGCACATACACACAACGCCTCGGACTCTAGCATCAGCACAGATTCTTCGAACAGTCATCTGTCATCTGCGCCTAGTCAAGAACAACTCTCCAGCATAGACGAGGAGTCAAAGATAACACAGTCCTCCAGCACCACGTCGCCCACTTTCACAACGAACATTTCTGAGGACCCCTCCACAAAGGCGTCTTCATTTGCGGAACAAGATGATGTCTCACGTAAACGTCGGTCATTGTCCTCAGCCACCAGCTCGTCTATCACACCGACAGCGTCTTTACCTGCCGCGCAGCACCAAACGAATCCAGCTGTCGCCCCTGCCCCTGTTGATTCTACAGATATGGGGCAAATGGAGATATCCAGTCCGGCGGATGAGCAAGACCGACCTCCCACGGGGGCCGCCTTGGTGGGAACTCAAAAGCTCTCTGAGGAAGACGATCCAGCAACCTTACCGCGTGGAAATAATGCCACTGAGCATAAGGAGGAACATGTTGAAAGCTCTGCCATTAAACAGTGTCCACCAGAGTCGGAACGTGATGAGCTTGCGTTAGCACCAAGTTCACAGCCCACCCTCAAGACGAGGCAGCTTGCACCCAAGAAATCTTTGAGGATACTACCAAGCGGCGACACCTCTTCCTCGGACGTATCGGATGACGATTCGCTGATTGAGGAGCTTCACAATGCCACTGTACACGAGGCGAAGCCGGTATCCGTGGCACGTTCGCCCGTGACTCCAATAATGTCAATTGGAGGCGCAGACAAGCCACGCGAAGTGGTCAACAAGCCTTCAGCCCCGAGCTACCAATCAAGACGGAGTGCGTCGAGTACTCCGGATGGCAAGAGCTCTGGCAGCATTCGCAGTGTGTCTACAGCTCTCCCGCAATGGCCACCGGCACAGGTGGAATCGTCTCTAGTGCCCCTAACCAAAAAGCCCACCTTGGGAAGCGGCATTTCCAAGCGCATCAAGGCACTTGAGGTGCTCACGACGAGAGATGTCAATTCGCTCCCCGCTCCTCAACCAGTTCGAGAGGCCAGCGGCGGAAGAGCAGGCTTCACGGCTTTCTTGAAGCGTTCAGCATTTTTGCCGCACCAGCAAACACCTAACATGTCGACCGAGACGTCCCCTCCGAAGCAATTGCCTGCCTCAGCTCCTCAGTACGAACCAGATACCTCCAGTGCTGCGACAGGCGCGTTCAGGCGGCCCTCCAAAGATGGCCGCGGACCCGTACAGAAGGGCGATACTATCTCAGTTACTGCAAGGATAGTTCGCGATAACTCCCATAGACGCCCTCCCGTGGCGCCGAGCTCGAGCTATCATACTCCTCTCAACCTGTTCCGCAGCCCTCTAATTGTCGAACACGAGAAACACGAAGAATTGCCTCGCAATGAGTCCCTTGCATCTATGCATTCTATTTCCAAGAGTCCCAGCAAGTCTGACAAGGGCCGATTCTCTTTCTCTTCCCATCGATCTACTTCTCAGACCAACCTAGGTCATTCAGACTTTAATGCTAGCAAATTCTCCCTTCCAGGCACACATAAAAAGCGAGGTCCAGGATCGGCTAGCGATGCTGCTTCCTCTTACGAGGAAAAGCCCAAAGGCTCGCGGACGAGTCGACTGATGAAGCGAATGTCCAATCTCACATCACCCCGGAACAAAGGTCATTCATCAGCGAAAGAGCAGCCGCCTCCGCGCACCATAGAAGAACAGTCAGAATTGTCGCGGCAGAATTCGACTGCAGAGACCCTGATGCATGTGGTCAACATCGGCGACGTCAACGTGCAGTTTCCCGAATCCCTTCTGTGGAAGCGGCGCTACATGAGGGTCGATGATCAAGGGTATCTCATCTTTTCACCGCCTGCGACAGATGCAAACATGAGAAGCGTCAGTCGCAAATACCATCTCAGCGACTTCAACAGACCATCGCTACCAGATCTGGAACGTGAGGAAATGGCGTGGAGTATCCTTCTTGATCTTAAAGATGGACAATGTATACAGTGCGCTTGTGAGGGCCGAGTAGCGCGAGAACAAGTTCTGCAGAGTAAGTGCATGCTTTCTGGCTTTTGGGACCATGATCTAACATTACCATAGTGCTTGTTGACGCTCATGGTGCATATCATCAGCTATATGGCGACCGGGGGTAGTCATGGGGATCCAGTCCTAGGTGCAACGACCCTCACGACACAGGCGACTTGCGTGTATTCTGATTTACGAATGACGAGCGATTAGCGCAGGCGTATCTGGGGGTGGTGGGCGGTTGGTTGGTCTGTATCGTGCATTTTTGCAGGCCCTGGGTTCTGTTGAGCCGCCTTTGTGCTTCAGACTCGCTTGCTTCAGACTCGCTTAATCATCTTTGTTGTAACGTCTGCTGCCTTGGAAACTAGGTTTATTAGTGTCCAACCGTGGAGCTGTGCAGTGATATGAGTAAACATGCACGCTTTATGTTGGTGACTTTTGTAGGAACGCGCAGTTGTGCAGAGATGGACAAGGCTGAGGTAAGCTCAGGGGCCAAACGTGAACTGGCCCATGTGTCCTTTCGACTGCGGATGCGGTCACTAAGTAGTAGGAATACCTGCCGGAGACCCTTGACCCGCCCATCGACGTATGTACAGTTGTATAAAATCCTCTGACAGCGCCACATGAACGCCAAACATTCTTGGACACACTCTCTGTCCAACTTCTCCTACTCACTCAACCTATAGGCACTTGACCGAGCGATACTGGTGGTCACTGTTCACTTCACCCAACTCATCGCGCCGAATTTCCCGCATCAAAGCACCACGATGGTGCAGTTGCGATCATTCCTCTCGCTGGCAGCGCTGACCCTGCCCCTCGTTACAGCGGCTTCAGATGTCATCAATCTGATTCCTTCAAACTTCGACAAAGTCGTCTTCGAGTCCAACAAGCCCGCCTTGGTGGAGTTCTTTGCCCCATGGTGTGGACACTGCAAGAACCTTGCACCCGTTTATGAAGAGTTAGCCACAGCCTTCGCTAACAGTGGTAACAAAGTCACCATTGCAAATGTCGACGCCGATAAACACAAGGATCTTGGGAAGAGGTTCGGCGTTCAGGGGTTTCCTACGCTGAAGTGGTTCGACGGCAAGCCCGGAAGCGAACCAGAAGACTACAATGGCGGCCGCGATCTTGAGAGTTTGACCAAGTTTATCGTTGAGAAGACTGGGGTTAAGGTCAAAGGCCCAAAGAAGGCTCCAAGCAACGTGGAGATGTTGACCGATACCACGTTCAAGCAAGAGGTTGGCGGAGACAAGGATGTGTTGGTTGCGTTTACGGCACCTTGGTGTGGACGTAAGAATTCTCCCCTCCCGAAATTGTTTCAAAGCATGCTAATATCCCTGACTTGACAGACTGCAAATCCCTCGCTCCGACCTGGGAGAAACTCGCAGATGACTTCGCCGCCGAACCAAATGTCATTATTGCCAAGGTCGACGCCGAAGCTGAGAACTCCAAGGCCACCGCTCAATCCCAGGGCATTACTGGCTATCCTACCATCAAGTTCTTCCCCAAGGGCTCCACTGAGCCTGAACCATATACCGGCCCACGGACCGAAGAGGCTCTTGTCGACTTCATCAACTCCAAGGCCGGAACTTACCGTCTCCCGGGAGGAGGGCTCAACACGCAGGCAGGTACTGTGGAAGCCATCGATAACATCCTCGCCAAATATGTCACTTCTGGCGGCCTCAAGGATGTGGAGAAGGCAACTGAGGATATCAAGAAGGCTGCAAAGGACCTGAAGGACAAGTCGGTCGACTACTATCTACGAGCCCTTGGTAAATTGAGCTCGAACCCAGACTATGCTAGAAAGGAGCAGACCAGATTGGCTGGTCTCCTGAAGAAAGGAGGTCTGGCTCCAGAGAAGGTGGACGACCTTCAGAGACGTAGCAACGTCCTCTCCAGGTTTTTGGCTCAAGAAGATTCCAAGAGCGAGTTGTGAGAGTTTTCGGCAAAAGTACAAGCCTGGGATTTGAAATTAAACTTAAAATGTTCTGGTGGTGTCATTGGAAGATCGACTATCACTCCATAAAATCGATGCACTGATACTTACCGAATGTCTAATGGGATTCATGTATCGTCTCAAGATGATATCTTCGGGACACGGCTCGTGCCCTCTAGGTTTCTTTCCAATAGGGTCCGTCTCAGGACCTGTAGCCTTTTGGCTTCACATTCGCATAGTCGTCCGATGAAGGTTTCTAGAACAACGTTGTCGACCAATACGTTTAGCCGTGCTGAACGTCTCATATTGAGCGCCTTCTAGTTCGATTCGGTTGTCACCCCACCATGAGACTTTCCAATATTCTCCATTGCTCCAGCATCTCTGAGAAGCATTTCTTGCTCTAATCGGTCGCATCGCTCCGCCATATCGTCGACTGCCAATATGCCATAGGTATCCATGTCAGCCAACAACTCTTTTTCTTGTTCCAAGTAGTGGTTCGCGGGCAGCCGCCCGGGAAATGCAAACTCACGTTTCGTCAAGATTTCATCACTGATGCCCTTGAACTTCTTCTCCAAATCACCCAGGAAATCATCAATTGCTTCGGCGAGTTTCGTAGCCGCGTCGTTGGGCCCGGCCACATCGGGGTTGGAAGGGGAGGCAGGCTGCTCCGGGCCTCCTGGATTCAGAGGCGGCGTTGATCGGTCTTGTTCTGGGCCCGCGGGCGCGGACTGTGACTGCGCAAAGAGTCGTCAATGCGAAGCTCGATACTCGGAAGGGATGGGTCATCGGTGTCTGGGTTTGTACCCTGAAGTACATACCATCTCTCTTTTGTGTCTCTCGCGTTTCCCTTAAAAGGCTTCGACTTCACCGGAGCGGGAAAGGATGTCTGCTCAACGAACAGTGCCGAGGAGATTCGAGTTGTTCGTGCTCGGACGCCGCTACCGAGAATCATGCGGTTTCCATTGCCACTACTAGGCACATAGGCACTGTAAAGAAGCCGCGGACTCGATCCAGTAGCCGACGCAGGTGTGTATATGTGTACACATACAACCAGATGCGCCGACTGTGGAGTTAAGGGCTCCGACTCTCTCCACCACTGGCACTGCAAGGCGCGATTCGCACAAGTCGGTACTTATCAGCCGCGATAAGCGCCGGCAGCCCCGTACCAGGTGGACTGCACGCGCCTAAATTTTTTGCAGCAAAACTTCCCCAATTCTTCCACTTTGTAGGGCACGGTACAGTACAGTACAGTTTCCGACGTTTTCTAGTGGAGGGAATTTCTTTCTACTTCAATCAAGAAAACCCCTCCGTTTACTGCTTGCTCGCCCATTGTCTTCTTTTGCAGTCATGGCGAAGAAAAGCAAATTACTCGCAGCGCTTGATGCGTACAAAGGTCGAGACTACGAGGCCGAGAAGAGAGCGGCCAAGATCAAAGCGGCCGAGAAGCGGAAACGACAAAAGGCCGAAAAGGAAAAGTTAGAAAAGGGAGAGGATGCAACTGATGAAAACGATGAAAAGAAAAACACAACTTCTGCTGGTGCAGACCAACAGCCCCAGAGTGAGGGGGGAGAGGGAGACGAATTCGAGAGTTTCTCCGGAGGCAGTGACTCTGAAGACGAGGACGACGAGAAGGACAATAAAGATGGCATAATTCCACAACCAGCTCAACCCGCAGACGCATCTGCCTCTGAAGCCGAGAACGAGTCGGACGTTCCGCTGTCGGATCTCGAAGACGAAGACCTGGAAGACACGATCCCACATCAAAGACTAACCATCAATAACGGTCCTGCGCTGGTGGCCTCGCGCAATCGGGTCGCCGTGGTCAAGTCGTCCAAGACACCCTTCCATTACCACAACTCGTTGGTCGTCTCGACGCTCCCGCCGGCCGAGGAGGCCATTCCAGATCCCAATGACGATCTGACAAGGGAGCTCGAGTTCTACCGCATCGCGCGTGAAGGCGCCGTCGCCGGAAGGGCGCTGTTGAAGAAGGAAGGTGTCCCCTTCTCCCGGCCCAATGATTACTTTGCCGAAATGGTCAAGAGTGATGAACACATGGGCAAGGTCAAGAAGAAGATGTATGACGATGCTGCTGCCAAAAAGGCCGCCGAGGAGGCCAGGAAGTTGAGAGATGCAAAGAAGTTCGGCAAGCAAGTCCAGGTCGCCAAGGAGCAGGAGAGGGCAAAGGAGAAGCGGAATACCTTGGACAAGATCAAGGAGTTGAAGAGAAGTATGTCGCGTGTTCTTTGTTACCCTACACCTTTCCTCGGTCCCCCCTCTGTCTGTCATCTTCGCGTCTTCCTCGCGGAGCGCATCTCATCCTCTACGATTCATCGACTATTCCTGTTTTCCGGATTTTACTAACGTTATTTGACTACTAGAACGCAAGGGCCAAGATACGGGCAAAGTGACCGAAGATGACAATGACCTTTTCCAGAGCATCGACGTCGAGAATGGACCGGCCAAAGACAGAGCCGGGCGGGAACGTGGCCCGGGGCCGAATGCTAAGAGACAGAAACGCGACCAGAAATACGGGTTTGGAGGCAAGAAGCGGTTCTCCAAAAGCGGCGACGCTGTCAGCAGCGCAGATATCAGAGGCTTCTCGGCGGCCAAGATGAAGGGGAAAGCAAAGCCAAAGCGACCGGGGAAGAGCAGGAGAGCATCTACTAAATGATGAGGCTGAGGACTCTTGGAGAAAATAAACGTCTTTGTTCAAGGAACAAGCTCGGAAGCCTGGAATGAACTGGGTTCACTCCTTATTTTACATCAAGCGCAGGGGGTATCACAATAACAGACACAGAAAGCAAAGGTCCCACCTCCACAGTACGCCGCCCGTGGTCAGGTCCATCCACCGTCATGACCCGAGCAAATCACCCCACTGGCCCAGGAATGCCTGCAGGTGTGATGTCTGGTGTTGTCTCCCGACTCGCTTCGCCTCTTGAGTCACCAGGTCGAGCATCTCCTGCGTTTCTGGTGCAGGCGGTAGTTCGGGCAATGCGTCAGGGTCGGCCTCTGTATTCAGGTAACCATTGAGTTGCCGGCTCGGACTGTCTTCGCGGCTTCCCACCGACTCCGCGTCAACTTCTGCCAGTCGACTAGGAGATTGAGGGCCCTGGCGTCGAGCCATTGGAGATGTTACTGGGAGGTCGCTCATTTCTTCGTCTTCATCCAGTGAATCTGCTGCCCCTCTTGCGCGCTTGTGGGATTTGGTGGCGCCGCTTGGTCGGAGAACGGACTTCATGCGATGTCTCTGCTGTTTGGGCTTTCCCGGAGTTTTCATGACCTCGCCAGCCACTTCCTCCGCCAACGTGGCTTCCAGCTCGTCATATATCCTCCGAGTGGACCAATTAAACTTCTTTCGAAGCTTAGCCTCGTTCATTAATCTCAGTAGCTCTTCAGCGGACCGCTCAAAAGCCGCTACCGCATCCTCATGTGTCCCCTCAAAGGAAGGTAGCTTTTGTAGCTGACTTGCTGCTTCTTCGATACCGCAATGGCGCATATTGAAGTTTGCTGATTTTCGTAATACATTGAGCATATCCCATATCGTCTTCGTCCAATCAATAGGCTGTGGTTCGGGTTCTCGTTCAGATTCGGCCCCAGGCTCGGACCGGGAAATCGAGGCCGTAGCCGATGCGACTTCAGATGCTTTGTCAGAGTCGCTGGACCCTTGCGCATCTTCCTCTGATTCTGACGATGTGGCTGATGCTTCTTGTTCTTCCTCAGTCGAGTCTTCTGAGTCGGCCCCATTCTGCGTGACTCGGCCCAATGCTAACCGTAATTCTTCCACTTCATCTGCGTATGTCTCCGCCAAGTGCTTCCACAGATATGTCTGCGACCAATCGATACCCTCCCGTTCCTCGATCATCTGCCGGAGAAGGAAGCTGTGGTGTTTGTGAATCGTTTCCATGGCGTCGTCGTCGTCATCAATTCTGTACCCTGTGTGCTTTTGATAATCCCTCAGGAAAGGATCTATCATAAATCCGTATCTCTGTCGTTTCGGAGGCAGCTTCTGGTGCTTGTCGACCATAAAGTAGAACAGATCGATGGCCTCCAGTGTATCGTTGTAATGGCTGAGGTAACGATCTGAAGGTGAAATTTCGTACCATCCTGCCTTTCCTGCGGCCCAGATAACCGGCTTGCCGCTGTCATCCTGTCCGAAGCTGTAATTCGTCACGTTTTCAATCTTGATTCGGACGTAAAGCGGATCGTCAATCAATGCTGGGTATGGCCGTCAGTGGAGCCCCAGTAATATGAGCATTTGCAACATACCAAGGTGTTCTTGCTCATCATCTAAAGGCATTAACTCCCCAAGCACACACAAAGGCGTCTTCTCCGAAGCCTGCAATAAGTCTGCATATCGGCCTTTTCCCTGATGGAAGATCTTGGCTTCGCGCAAAGCAAAGTCCGGCCAGTCGTTAACATCTTCCGGTACGGGATCGAGAGGCTTGAGAACGCGTTCTTCAGGATAGGTGGACATGTCCAGGTACGTAGGGTTCGCAGTTCATGCTGTAATTCCAGCGTCGTTCAGAGTCACGTAAGTTGGTTGGCGATCCACAGCGTCGCAATCATCTCGGACAGGACATTAATTTGATCTTGTCCGGATGCTCTTTCGACAAAGCGCCCAGCAGGATAGGGTGAATACGCAATGTATTGCACTGGGGATGTTGAATGAAGAAACAATCATTATTGGGAGAAAGAGTCACAGTCAAGGCTGGGGGAGGCTGAAAAGCAAGTCCAGCAATTGCGCGTGCCTGGGCCCGCGCAAGGTGCCTGACAGTGAAGTGCCAGTGCTAAGGTAAGCAACGACGCGCTAATTAATTACTGGGTTCCATTATTGGTTCAAAAGTCTGGAGTGCATTGCACGTGACGCGATGACTATCCTGAGTCAGCATTCGTCACGCAGCATGCGTTCCTTGAGTCGTCTTTTCGGCAGAACGTCGCTGGCAACCCAATTTTATTTTCTCCGGTACAAGGAGCAACCCAACTCGACATCGCGTGGGCCGGCACCGGAGAGATTGCAAACATTTGCTCTGGTTTATGAACCCGCGACATCTGCTCAAGATGGCGCAGCCATCCGGAAAAGTCCTCGAGGGCGTCTTCGGTGAGGCCAATTCCTCTCCTGAGACATTTATATCCCTTTCATGAGACCTGACTCGTACTATTCTCATTGCAGCCGTGCACAAACCTCCGAATTTGTCATCCGCTCAGGTCCTTCGAGATCTTCAGCATAAGTTCGCCGAGTCGAAGACCTTCGAGCCATTACTCCAACGGACGAAAAATGCCCTGGAAGAGCAAGAGCGGCATCAGCCGAAACGGCGGAAGCGCGGCAATGATCAGATCTTCAAGATGGGCCACGGCGGTACCCTTGATCCCATGGCGACGGGTATTCTGATTGTGGGTATCGGCAGGGGCACCAAGTTTCTCCAGGACTTTTTAGGTTGCAAGAAGACGTACGAGACCGTTGTCTTGTTTGGTAAAAGCACGGATACATATGATACGACCGGTAAGGTTGTCGCGGAGGCACCCACTGATCACATCACAAAAGAACTGGTAGAGGAGAAGATTGAGAAGTTCCGTGGAAAGCAAAAGCAAATGCCACCACTCTTCAGCGCAATCAAAATCAATGGCATGAAGGCATACGAGTATGCAAGAACTGGGAAAGAGCTTCCTCGAGAGCTGGAAACTCGCGAGGTTGAAGTCTCTGAATGCACCCTTCTGGATTTCTATTTGCCAGGCGAGCACGACTTCCGTTGGCCGGCAGAGCAGGCTCCCGAGGAGGAAAAGGCCCTTGCCAGAAAACTACTGCCTGGAGCTCAGTCCTCTAAACAGGAGCCGGATGCACAAAGTTCTCAAGCTGCAGACACTAGCACGGAACGGCCGAAGGATGAGACTACAGTTGACCAGACGAAAGACGTCAAAATCAACGAGATCCCTTACGAGAAGAAAGCTGCAATGCACATCCACACCGCTACGCAGGAGGACGTTCCTGCACAGGCACCCGCAGCTCGTGTCCGCTTGACCGTCAGCAGCGGGTTCTACGTCAGGTCGTTTGCGTATGATCTCGGGATTGCCTGCGACTCTTATGGGTCAATGGCTTCTCTGGTCCGGAGTCAGCAGGGAAGTTACTCCACTTCCCAACCTCCTCCAGTGGGCTTTATTCCCACGCTCACATATGAGGACCTCGAAGCGGGCGAAGACGTTTGGGGTCCCAAGGTCTCGTCGGTGCTGGAACAGTGGATTGAAGAGCATCCAGAGACCACTACGCAGAACGACTTCGATCACCGGGACTCCTCACGGGGCCAGAAGACCTTCGGAGGTGGGAAGGGGTATCGCGGCCGAGGTGGAGGAAACAAGCGGTCCTGGAATGAGCGAAAAGGTAACGGTTCTCAGGGTCGACGACGCAACAGCTCGTCTCCTGAATCATAGTCGACGCAGACTTTACGGTATGCACATTCTGAAATCCGTTGTAATACATTCGTGGAATTACTGCACATAGAACCGTGGTACCGCCAGAATACTGCCGTCCCAACAGACTGGATTTGTGTTGATGGACCTGCGCAGGGAAAACAGGCGTTGACGTAGGCCAAGATGTGTCCCTTGCAGGTGTCTTTAGAGTTGACTTTTTGACGCGAACCGCCGCGAGACGGAAATAAAATGGCTTTTAGGCGGCGGCCGTTTGCCTCCCCCCACACACTGGCCGCCTGCGCCAGTGCCAGCCTGGTCACCTGGCTGCGCATCTTGCAGATTCACATCTTTCATCCCTTCCCTTGGCTCGCATATAGTACTACCTAAGTCAGATATCTCGTTTATAAGTGTCCCTCGTTCAAACACTCTTAAAACCCGCTTCGCATTTTTGCCAGCAATCCATTCCCGAGTTCTACATGCCAGCGGCTAGTGCTTAAGTCTCTGTCTCTTCTCACTTGACTTCTTAGCGAGGCCGCTTTTTTTCCGCACCTTCGCACCGTCAACATGGGGCCTTTATCCCCGCAGAACAAGCCCATGTCGTTTGCGGCGCTGAAGGCGAAGAAGGCGACTCCTAAGATCACCACCAAGATCGTCACCGTCAGTGCGACGCCGAAACCTAAGCCTCCGACAAGGCCACAACCCACTGCGCTGTCGTCTCGGTCACAACAACCCACACAAAAGTCATCTCTTTCCAACGGCAGCTCGCGCCATTCGAGCAGCACGCCTCACAAGTCGGCCACGCCGGCCTCGGTATCATCACGACAAGCGAGTCGAGAACCGATCGAGCGACTGAAGCAGCAGCGCCGCAACAACCAGTCCAAACGGGCGTCGCCTGCCGTCTCGACACCCAGACTGACCAGTTCGGACGAGGAAAGCGAGCACGATGAAGACAAGCCTAGAAAGCGGGCGCGGGTTGTTGGCCGCAAAGAAAGTATCGATGAGAAGCGCCAGGTGCGCGATCCCAAGGCTTTCTCCGAGGATGACGATGGCGTCTTCCCCATGGTGCATGCCGTGGACATTGCAAACAGCACAATCATAGAACAGGGCAGAGACAAGTACCAGCCGTTTTTCACCGCTCTGGAGGGAGACGAAGACGAGTGTCCGACCATCGAACTTCAGTACCCGAGTGCTGTGCAACGCGAGAAATATCAGCTGGTCAAGCCGACTGACCCATCGGACTTCAAGCCCCTCGACGAGATAGAGGCCAACATGAAGATCGTGGCCGAGTACTATCTCGACAGCGACTCGGCCAGCAAGGTCACCAGTGAAGAGGATGGTGCTGGCTTCGTCCAGCTGCTACACCGACAGGCCATGTTAGGCTTGAAGGGTCGGGTGGGCGCCCAGTCAAAGTACATCGACGTGGTTGAGAAATACAACGCTTTATTGGTGGAAAAGCGCAAGGACGGCACCATCGCCAAAATGTTGGATCAAATGAACCGTGTGGATTTGAAGCTCGTCGAACATATAATTAAGAATCAGGTCTACGCTCGCACTGTGTCCCCTCAGGTCAATCTGGTCCGACACTACGAGGGCTTTTCCGACAATGTCTATGGTGAACTCTTGCCCAAGTTCTTGAGTCGCATCTTCAAAGAGACAGGTCTCAAATCCGACCAGGTTTTCATCGACCTGGGGTCCGGTGTGGGCAACTGTGTGCTCCAAGCCGCGCTAGAAACTGGGTGTGAGTCTTGGGGTTGTGAAGTTATGGATAACCCCAATACCCTGGCCCAACTTCAGGCTAAGGAGTTCCCTGCCCGGTGTCATCTCTGGGGCATTAAACCCGGCGAGATTCACCTTATCCACGGCGACTTCCTTATGAACGAACAGGTCCGAGAGGTTCTCAAGCGTGCTGATGTTATTCTGGTCAACAATCAGGCCTTCACGGCGGAACTCAACGACAAGCTGAAATATGTTTTTCTGGATGTCAAAGAAGGAGCACACATTATTAGCCTCAAGCCATTTCGCAGCCCTACCCACAAGATCAAGGACTCCAATGTCAATGATCCCGTCAATGTGCTGTCGGTAAGCGAAGAGGATCGCTGGAGCGGGATGGTCAGCTGGACGGACGATCCCGGCAAATGGTATCACCAACGTAAGGACTCGAAGGAGTTGGAGGCCTTTGTTAAGAGCATGGAGGGCTCCAAATAGCCGTTCTTAACATCCATCTTCGTCCTTGACGCATGTTTGCAAGGTCTCGCGAACCACAGGCATGACGGCTAGGCCGCTGGCCGGCTGACGTTGATGATTGATTGATACCGCATAGCGCCGGGTTGAAAGCGAGCATTGCAGGGAGCACTGGGATTTTTATGATAGATGATTCTCCTGTCGTTGCAATCGAATTGGCATAATGCCGCCATTGCATAGCCTGCTTGAATCTGTCTCGGCCAGCAAATGATGTAGCAGACCTCGATAAAGTTCCAGACCGTCCAAGCTCACTTTGAAGGTTGAGTTTCCCGGAGATTCGGCCAGAGGTGGCGCAAAATCATCATGGTGACTAGGCCATGTACTCGGCCGCTCCTTCGAGGGTCTCGCTCGGGCACCTAGCTCCAGCCGAAGGAGGCAAGGCCTGTCTCTCAGCTAGAAGGTCCATGAAGGCTGGGTTTTGCCATGAAGCATTTTTGGGGCTGAAGAGTTTCGCCCAAGGAACAGCGGCATCAGCCGAACCTGTGCGCCTCGTTCATATGATCAGCTTCTTTGCCCATCCGGGCCATCCACCTGTCTATCAACTCCTTGTTCTCCTTCTTCAACTTCTCGGAGCGTTCCTCGGCCATGTTGAGTTGCAGGTTCAAGGTGACATTTTCGTCCTGAACATTCTCAATCAACTTGGCTCTACCTCGGAGTTCCTCGTCGCGGTCTCGCAGTTTGATGGTCAATTGCGCCAGATTGCTGTTCAGCTGAGCTATGCTCCTACTATCGGACCGTGTCTTTGCCTTCAGCCCGTCCAATTCACGTGACATTGAGTCGAGTCGAGACTGGAGTTCGGCTCGCTCCTGTTGGGCTTTGGCCAGATCTTGCCGGATCTGTGCAATAGTGGGCGAGTCGGGACGTAAAGCAGGCGATGCGACTCTCCTCAAGCCTATGCCCATGCCCATAATGGACGGCTGGGGGGATGTCGGCGGCTCTTCATCATCCGCCTGGGCCTGTACGGTGGCCTTCTTCTGCAAGTCGGCCTTTGCATCCGCGAGTTTTGTGCCTGGGACAAAGAACATATCAGGACTGAAAGGACTACGTGGGATCGCCTAAGTGCGCTTACAGTAGTCGTAGAGATCGAGGTTTGCCTTTTCCACTTGATCCCTTGCTCGCAAGGCGGCCAGATACTGTTCCGTCCAGCTTGCCATGGTCTTATGTCATTGACGGTATTTCATGATGACAATGATATTCCGAGGGCTCAACTAACAGATAGCCCAAAAGAAACAAGCAGTCTATAGCATAGCCATAGTACTACAATTAATGTACAATCATACAGGTGCTCGCGGTTGAAGGACAGGCATGATAGAAGGCGCTTCGGCTGACTTGCCGTCCTTACCACCACACTAGTGGATGGCATCTGCTAGCACTACTAGTGACGCTATCAGGACTGGCAGCTGACTGGCGTTACGGCTCCCCTGCCCAGCGGCTATTTACCGCTAACCTGCCCCCAGCTGCTGCTAGTCCTACGACGGCATACATGACGATCAGAGAAACCGCATGATCCAGTCCATCCCGTAGGAATCCCAAGATCCCATCTCACAATCTTCCTCATTTCCACGACGGCCACCAGAGGACTCTCCCTCTTCACAATAGAAGCATCATTCAACCCGAACAACGGGCGCACAACCCATCTCATCTACTAGAATCATCTGTACGAAACGCGTGATCAGCACAACCCAAGAGCGACCGGCGGGCCTTATCCGAGTCAAGCGTCGAGAAGGGAGCGGTCGGTTGATTTGCAAGAAAAATACACGGGGGAAGATATCAACGCCCCCGAAGAGGAGGTACCCTGGTTTAGACCATCAGATAAACAAACAGCCATGTCGTCCAGGAAGAAGGTGTTATTGAAGGTAGGATAGCATCCGCTCGCAAGGCCTAGTTTAAATCCTCCACCAAAGTGCGCGGCAACGTTCTAATACCGGAACGCTGAACAGGTTATCATCCTTGGAGACAGCGGCGTGGGCAAGACGAGTTTAATGAATCAATATGTGAGTCTTAGTCCTCCATCTCGATCTCGCAATTTGCGAGTGTGTATGCCATGAGACTGACCCGGGGGAAATCGTCATCCGTGTCTACCAGGTGAACAAGAAATTCTCGACCTCGTACAAAGCCACGATCGGCGCGGATTTCCTGACCAAAGAAGTCACGGTCGACGACAGAATCGTTACCCTTCAACTGTGGGACACGGCAGGCCAGGAGCGGTTCCAGTCGCTCGGGGTGGCCTTCTACCGCGGCGCCGACTGCTGCGTGCTAGTCTACGACGTCAATTCGGCCAAGTCGTTTGAGACGCTCGACTCGTGGCGCGACGAGTTCCTCATCCAAGCTAGCCCGCGCGACCCCGAAAGTTTCCCGTTTGTCGTCATTGGAAACAAGATCGACCTGGGTGAAGAGCGGCGAATGATATCGCAGAAGAGGGCGCTGGCCTATTGCCAGCAGCGCGGCCAGATGCCTTACTTTGAGACCAGTGCCAAGGAGAGCATCAATGTCGAACAGGCCTTTGAGGTCATTGCTCGGAACGCCTTGGCCCAGGAAGAGAGCGAGGAATATGGTGGCGACTTCTCGGACCCCATCAATATCAATCTTGACCAGGAGAGAGATGGGTGTGCTTGTTGAAGTCTTCATTGTCGAAAATTGGTTGCCCAAGGAAGGACATTTGCCCTCACCGTGGGGATCTCTGGGAAGATGCTCCTCCTCACCCCTGCTATTGAGTGTGACTGGGAGAGGCTAAGAGTGGCGGTGTTCCGTTTCTACTTGCTATGCTTGCTATACATGGCATGTTCAGGTCGGGCCCATTCAGCGGTCGGATGCACAGTAGCGCACTGTAGGTCATTAGGTACTCTGGGGATATCTTGTACTCCCATGTTTTAATCTGGCGTTTCGCTCTTGGGCTCGGGAATCAGGGCGTAAGCGACGGAAAGGCAGAGGCCACGGCAACGGCTGAGCAAACTGTACTCATAACAGGTCCAGGTAAATCCATAGTCTGTCTTCGACATATATAAGCATTGCGTTGTTGGTTTTCCCCGTTCGCTCTGTCAAATGAAACCCACCTCACGAAGGCCCGCAGATAGATGTCGTAGTAGGCCCTATGGCGACAACATCAAAGGTCGTCAGCGTGAGCGTGAGCGTACGAGTACACTCCTCCTTAGTAGACAGTCGAAAGCCGGCAGAAAGTCGTCCGGGAGCGGCGTTTGGCTTTCTTGTTTGTCAAACTCCCGTGCTGTACTAAAGATACGACACTCATCTACTATACCGCGCTGCAATGGTTGCAGTTTTCAGGGCTCTGAGATCTATAAAGCAGTAAGGTCCTGATGTGAATTCTCCTTATTTTTCTAAACTTCGCGCCGCTGTTCGCACGCTATTGAAAGGAAGCAAATAGACAGTTTCTTTTCCCGGGGATTTGGTACTCAAAATTGGCCAAGGGACGAGTAGGCCCGTTGAAAACCTGAAAACACTGCATGTCGCAATCAGGCCGTTAAACTTCAACTCCATCGCACCAGGCCTGGTCATCATAGTCGTCGAGGATAAAATAGAGGCTTTTGCCGGCACGCCCTGCAGCATGGCACAAGCGAACACCTCGCCGACAACAAGTAAGAAACAAAACCGACCGACCCCATAATAGCTTTATTCGTTCCAGCGGACCCGTTCGGGAAGGATTTTCCAGGACACGCTTTGGAGATGTGGGTGGTTGGGAAACGCAGCGCTCACGGGGTCTCAAGACCCTTGAACGCTGAAAAGTAGCTGCGATAAAGGGGGAACCTCTTTTTCACGCCGACTTCGAGGGGTTATGTAGCAGTCTGTCACCACTGAAGCAGTATACATCCCTGCCTTCAAGCGTCCAAGTTTTACCACGCCCAGATTTTGAGCTGCATCGTGTAAGCAAGTTGCCTTAGGAGTATAATGCTTGGAAAAAGACGTTTATGGCTTACCAATGAGTCCCATGATCCAGTACATAAGCTGATACCATCATTGCTGACACCAAGACAACTGACTCGGTTCTCGTGGCCACTTAGAGAGCCCACCTTATCACCACGCAGGGTGTCCCACACCTAGATGGAGTGTCAGTCATGTAACTGGGATGGCGAATAGACAGTAGGCACGAACCTTGCACTCAAAATCATCGTAGCCCGCGAAAAGGAGTCTGCCAGAGACTGAAAAGGCAACGGAAGTGATGCCGCAGAGGACTTGTTCATTCTATGAATCATGGTTAGTGACAATACCAAGTGCCGCAGGACCGGATCACGTACCTGGTAGGCCATCAGTTCTCGGTCTGCTCTGATATCGAACAGTCTGCAGGAGGCATCATCGGAGCCTGTCCCAAAAGCATTGCCGTCTGGGAAAAACTGGATGGCATTGATATCGGACTCGTGTCCAGCAAACGTTTGCACCGCCTTTCCGGTACGCACATCCCACAGCTTTGCAAAAGCATCACAGGCACCAGATACGAACACGTTCGCATTTGTCGGGTTGATGCTGATACTCATGACATCGCCGAGATGGTCTGCAAATTCGGTAACTTTGGAGCCGGTCTCAATATCCCATAACATACAGGTCATGTCTCCGGACGAGGTGATGATTTTTCGGTCGTTGACGAAACGGCAGCAGGACAAATATCCAGAGTGCCCCGATAATTCACGGGCAACACGCGTAGGGCCTTCCCTCGTGGAAAGATTGTAGATTGAGCAGATGTTGTCAAGACCGCCGCAGGCAACGTAGTTGCCGCTCGGGGCGTAGGCGCAAGTCATAACCCATGATGATCGAAGGGGAATAGCGTGGACCTTGTTCGTGGTGTACGCATCCCAGATAATCAGCTTTCCGTCTTGTGAGGCAGAGACCAGGTGCCGCCGATCCGTTGACCAATGCATGGCATAAATCTTCGCGAGATGGCCTTTCAGATTCCTCCTGGGTTTCATTCCTATCCGAGGCAGTGGTTCGGTGTGTTGAAGAGCAACTTGACGTACTAGAAGGGGGTCGGTGGTTAGCCATGTCCATTGGAATGAGCACAAGAATTGTCCATTGACGATGAAAAGGGAACTCACAGCTTGTATCGGCCAGTTCATCCTTCTTGCGTTTGATTCTGTCTTTTAGAGCTTCTGCTTCCCTCCTCGCGGCCGTGATTTTGGCCTGCATCTGCTCGCCCGTCATGTCGTTCGACATCTTGGCAACTGCAGCCTTCGCTGCCCGGACTGACTAAGGGAGTGTCTGCTTGTGCGATGGGCCTTGCCGATAGACCGGATTTAAAACTGCGCAAGAAGCCACTGAAGTTGTTGATGTTGCGACGACGTCGGGCCTTAGAAAGGCGCAGGAGCTTAGACGAAGCGGTTGTCAGGGATGGGCCAACTTGCCCGGTTCCACAAAGCCGCAATGGCAGTGTTCGGAGCGCCACAAAAGAAGGTAGGAAAAGGGCACAAGTGATGCCGTTGATATGAACACTGCCGAGAGGGCAGGGTTCTGGACTTGTTGAGAGATGAAGATGATGGATATGGGTGAAGTTGGATCAAGAAAGGCACCTGAGAAGCGTAGACACTCGACTGTAGAGGGCACGACGACGCAGTGGCAGGTCGGCTCTGCTGCCAGTGCGCAGAAAGCAGTGCCAGTCCAGTGCCAGTCAAGTGCAGGGAGCCCGGGCCAGAGCCAGAGGCGGTGGTGCTGCGGGCTGCTGGTTGGACCTTTGCCTGGGGTGGATCGTGTAGGTGATGCTGGCTTAACTCTGGTTAGCTGTAGCGCTATGCTAGGCTGTAGCCTTTAGACTTTAGGTAGCTCCAGTGCTGGGGTTCGTAGGCCTGGCGGGGCTGCTTGGGCGCGGAAGCAGCAAGCAGATCGCCCCGGTGGGTTTTAGGCTTCGTTTTATTCCCAGCTAACACTGGCAGGCCGCCAGTGGTTAATGAATGATGGCGAGCCAACCTCTGCCACGGCCAGCGCCACAGTGTCCACATTCACCAGTGGGCACTGCACCGTGGTAACTTTGGTCAGGTCAGATCAGGTCACTTTTCCAGGCTCCTAACGGTTGTACCGTTGTACACCTTGGGTAGGTTTTCCTGTTGAGGGCTTCGGTGTATGTGGGGACAGGAAGAATGATACAATATCAAGTCGTTTACCCAGAACCTCAGTTACATGCGATCCTGGACGAGAACTACAGTTCCTGCATCTGTTCAGGCGGTCACTCCCACATCGGTCCTGTCACAACAGGCGGCAAACAGCCAGCTGCGAAAGGCAGGTCGCAGCAGCTCTAGCCATCGGTGTTTGCACCTGTACTACTCTATTACCGAGCATGACCGTCCTTACATGAGCAGGGCTTACGATCCCAAGATGTGGTACCAAAAATGCCAAATCATGGGCGGAGATGATGAAGTTGCGCGCCAACGGCCATCCGAGTTGACCAGTCAGACAGTCTCCCAAAACTGAAGCCGAATGTGTTAAATGGAGCGGCACAAGGGGTGAAATGTCGGGGGCTTTCCAGCTGCGGGCACAATACATAGTAATGGGTCCAGCAAATAGAGGCTTGTCAGGATTTTGAATTGGCAGCCCAGGGTTGATTCCTAAACAGATGATAGTAGACAACAGGAGGCCTCCGCTCAATCGCCTCTAGTCATAGCTAGCGAGAAGCGAGTGTTACGCCCCCATTTGGCTCGACCACCGTCCCTCGGGACAGAACGACAAAAGGCGACTACTATCATGGTAAAAAGGGGCGTTACTACGAGAGACTCTCCAAGTTCTGGGTGAGCTGTTGACTTGCTTTTCGAGCCCCTTGTCATATAGAAAACAATTCAACTCCGCAACTACTCAGCGATGATATGATCTGCCTGGAGCGAAAGTTTATGCGGGACACAATAATAAATGATCAGACTGTGATGATCCACTTCCATCCCACTCTCCCGAAGTTGCACCTGGAGGTGGAGGGGCTTCTGACAGTCATTTGATGGCTCAGAAAACGCCGACGCTCCTCGGTCTTCGTTGACGAAAGCTCGCAATTTTACGTCGCCCTGTGCTAGCTGGATGCTTGGTCTATTTGGACAAGGCTACCGGCCTTAGGCCAATGTAGATTCACGTGGAAGCACGTTGTCATTATCATCTATCTCTTCGCTTCGCGGTCATCGAATTGCGCTCATGCTCTCATTGAGAAAAGCCCCAGTGTCGTGCCTAAGTTTTGGTGGATTCGCAGGGTAAAATCATGGGTTGTCCAGCTCGAGGAGCCCACCACAAAATTTGACGGCCGGAGTGCTTCGCGCTGTCAGATCCCACTTTCACAATGCTGACGAATCATAGCTCGTCCCAAACTATCTAGACAGAAGCTTTGACTGGCAGTAGTGTTCTGGGCCGATTGGAGGACTATGAACGACGTGTGCCAGTCCTGCTTCGTCCGACCTGAGACAAAAGAACAACTTGAACCTTAACCCTTGGGACACCAGCTCTGCTCGGCACAGTAGGTACCTGGGTACTAGCGATCTATGCTCCTTGAGCGCCAAGTCTACCGTAACTTTCGGAGCAACAGGACAACATATGGGCAGAACTTGAAGCGCACTGCAGTATGGGACTCGGAGGCCATCACTGCAGTGGCAGTTGCTTCCACCGCAGTCCCTACTCCTGTCACGTGACCAAGTAGGTGCCTTGCGGATCTTGTGCCTGATGAGATGGACTCGGAAAATCTAGCTTGGATGACCGTATCTATACTACGGACCAAGGGTTTTAAGCATATCAGAGCAATTAGGCCTATGGCCTGCGACGACTTGCAGGTACTGATACCTGTATTTGACCCTGATCGTCCCAGTTCGTTCGAGTCCGAAAACCGGGGGCAATGTTACAGCCAATTGTGACAAACAGGACAAACACCAGGGTCTCTGTTTCCAGCTCACCCACACTGGCATACAACAAGTACCAAGTTCCTATGAAATGCCAGAGCTATATTATACCGTGCTCTGTGAATCTGTTACACGACAGTGCTGATCAGAGAAGAGTTGACAATATCCCTATCCTGCCCCTCCATTTAGCGAACTCGTCATTATTCGCGGCCTCCCCCTGTTATTCAACATGTTTTGGACAATCGGTTGCATCTACGGTGCCTCTTCCGTCATGCTAGGGGCATTCGGAGCTCACGGCTTGAAGAAACGCATTGCCGATCCTTCTAAACTGGCAAACTGGCAGACTGCCGCTCATTATCAGGTACAGCCACACTACTACATAGCTATCTCTCTATCTCCTTGGTTGAATGGTCGAGGATATTGGGCCGGCTAACAGCATTACCTTCCTACAGATGATCCATAGCGGTGTCCTCCTGCTTGCTTCTGCAATAGCTCCAAAGAACAAAACGGCTGCGGTGTTGCTGACTGCTGGAATGACGATGTTCAGCGGCAGCTTGTACCTTCTCGTCCTCGACCCTCAACGGTTCAAAGCCCTGGGGCCAGTCACTCCGTTAGGCGGCTTGTGCTTGATCGCGGGATGGGGTGCACTCGCCTTTGGCAGTAGAGGAAGGCTGATCGCGTGAGGCCAACACCAATGGCATTCGAACTCCATTGTAATATAATAATTGTTTTATTGGGAATATCCTCCGGTAGGATTGGCGTGTACAGCTTCGATGGTATGGATTGCTTGGTTATATCTCTGCTCTGACACACACTGGCGTTCCCCCTGAAGGGGGAGCCCGCTTGATTGCTTCACGGACCAAACAAATCTGGACAATACTGAATGCCAAGGCGCCTTTGGGTATGAAAGCTGTGGTCAAATCTGTCGTTTAGGTCTTTTGCTAATCAAGGCGGACAGCAACACATTTGCTGAGGAGTACAGACAACCTGCCTTTACCAAGGCTGCGTTCTCAGGAACCCGGGGTAGTCGATGTCAAGATGCCACACAAAAAATATTGGCATCTACGAACGATGTCTATGGTGTCTCGATGATAAACCCCTTAATAGTACCAGTCATATCCTTCCCTAAGCCGTGGCAACAACTTGAAGCCCGTCTATTCAACCAAACAACCCAAGAATATCGTATGTACAAAATGGCTCATCCGCAAGTTATTGACAGGAATACTGCGGCGCCTCTCTAGTTGGATATGAAAGACCATTGCACCGTCTGAGGTGCAAAGGCTCTAGTCGAAGACCATATCACACATGTCCGCTGGTTGCGAGGCGATATTATCTGTTATTGGAATGCCTTCGAACTTTGTCGAACGTCCAAATAGTTCCGGCTTATTAAAGTATGAACTTACAACATTGTACAGTAGTAGGTATCTACAGTTGTAGGCGGGTACCCAAGCCAGCGAGGTCTTTCGGAGAGGGGCGTCAAGAGACGAAAAAGGTCGGTGTTAGTCCAATGGTTGAATGATGATTTGGCAATCAGACCTGGCAGAGGAATTGTGAACGGCAGTGCTGGTTGTTAAACCATGGACCAGTCCTTTGCTCTACTCATTTATAGAATGCATACCTACTTTACACGGCGCTTAGGAGGCTTTTTGCCTTGGTCGCGACGTACCTTGTAACCTATTGGTGGACCATGTCTCTCGATGACAGTAGTAAGTGATCAAGATAGCGGTCCGATCGCCGAACGTGGCACACTGGCATGAGGGCGTTTGCCAACAAAGCAGCATTAAACAATTGTGTTATTGATCCGATGGGTCCCTACCTGGTAGGATCTTGTGGCAATTAAGGTCATGCAATGGCGAGATCGCAGGTTATCACGCATTGAGCTCCCTTTACTTCTACAGTACCTGGTATCTACAGTATTATTAGCACCACCCGGCGTTAACATTCGCAAGAGGCAAAGGCCCAGAAGCTTCATCAGCCTACTAACTGGACCTTCGGGCTCTGGCTCCAAGCGGTCCCAGGGGCATCGGAGGCTAGTTGGTAGGCTAGGGGGGCCATAGACAGGCAATTCAAGTTAGGGGCTTGAGGGGCCCTCGGGGTACTCCTCGCCCAATTGCCATGGCCCATTCTTGCGAGTTCTAGGGCTTGGCCGGAAGAATTGAGCCTTGGAACCGCAGTTGGAGGGGGCTGGATCAGTCAAGCAGCAGTCAGTAGTGGACACCACTGGTTACAAGAGCCACAATTACCCTGGGTAGGGACCCCGATCGATCATCATTCACTTCCTGGGACACAACCAGTGCAACGGGAGAAGAACCAGAGGAAGCGATATACAACACAGTGGTAGTCGGGACCACGTTATATCATAGAAATTATATGGTTTGGGAACAGACCGCATTGCGGCTCATTTAATAGAGGCATTTTATTATTACGAGGCCTTGAGAGTGTCCCTGCGCAGGTGCTGCTGCTGCCAGCGAAATACCTCGAGCCGTCACTGGAACTTTCAGCCAGGGAGTCACCCAATCTCGAGACAGCCAAAACACCAGACCGCAGTCTGCAGTCCTGCTTAGCGAACTAAAAAGTCCACCACCACTACAGTGCGCCTCCTCACTCTCTTCTCAAGTTGCCATCATCTTCACTCCGCGTCGTTCAGACAGACACCAAAGATTCCATCTCTATCCGTTGTCCTCGTTTTTGATCAAGCGGTGTCTGTTCCTGCTTGTCCGGCTGCCTCTGTCCCTGTCCCTGTTGCTGTTTGTCGAGTCCTCGCCAGTTCCAGCAGGTTTTCGAGTCTCCGTTTCATCGCATCTCAACTCCGCCAGCCATCTCATCTCCGCAGTCTAGCTCCCTCGTGTCCTCGATTCGAACCGCCACACTCCTTACGAAGCGCTCTCTGTGTTTGTTTCGATTAATGATCTAACGAGGTATCGAGCTCAGCAAGTCTACCACTGCGCACCATCAATCAAAAGATCGTTCATCCAGGAAGTTGCACCCACTACTTCCCTCCGGGACCACTCTTGGCTACTCCTGTCCTCCGGATTTTGCTCTACACCTCGCCTGTTACTTCATGGACCATTGCCAATCCAGATACTGTACAGTCTAGCCATAAAGGCATAATCTGGACAAAGGAATTATTACCATATCGATCTGGAGTGGTCACGGATCCGTCTCGGAAACATTGAGTTAACACCTCGGAAGGGTTTCTACCCGTGCAGGGTGAAAGGAAGACACCAAGCTGGGTTGGCTGAACATTTATACGATCATATCTGGAGCCTCTCAATACAGGCAACATGAGAGAGGTCAATTTCAGCATTCCTAATGTCAACAAGGCCTCGGTCCATATTACGACAACTCTCTATGACCGCCGAGCCCTGGACTGTACTTCGACCCTCCCACTCATCAACTCCCTCAACCACTTAGCCTATCTGACCACTTCTTCGGCCCGTATACGAGACATTCTCACCGTCGATGGCGGTATCGAGCGGCTGGTCTGCATTTTGAAAGAAGGCCGGAGTAAAGATGAGATGCATATGTGGAAGTGGAACCTCGCATTCCAATGCATTGTCAATATTGGGGTTCGAGGCTCAGAAAATGTTCGGACGCGGGTAGTGGAAGCAGATATGGTCCCAGTCATCGCAACTATTTTGTACGACTATATTTTGGTGATCGAAATGGAAAAAGCCAAGGCCGACGCCGAACAGGAAAAGCGCCATGGTTCGAAACATTCTGGGAGTTCCAGAGCGTCCAAACTTTCACGGGAATTGACACAGGATTCCACCTCGAGAAGTTCCTTCTTGGAGCACCTCAACGCCACAGATCAGCGTTCGGCCCGTCGACAAGCCCCTCCCCCTTCACTGGATCTTCCCCAGTCCTTTTCCCAGTCCTTTACTGGCACAGATCCAGGTCCTTCAGAAGGAGTCCCCTCTTCCACAGTCCTCACCTCGCCTCCAGAACGAACCGTCTTTCCCCGACGCGACGTGCGTCATCATACGAGGGGCCATGAAAGCAGAGGGTCCTTCCACAGGTCTGAAAACCTGCAACCTCCAGCCACCGCTGTGCCCTCCACGGAGACCCCCGATGGCTTCCCGCTCCAACCTGTGCGTGAAGTGGACAGACTCCCGTCGATGTTACCATCGTTGAACACGGGTGTCACATCTCGCCCCGATTCACCAACCACGCCTTCTGCACCGATCTCCCGGGGAATACTTTCGCCAACTGGCCGTCGTCTTAGAAGGCCGTCTATCCGGCACCAAAACTCCACCACAGACGAACCTGATGATGATGTTGTCTTGGGGGATATTACTGCGGCTGAGGAAGACATCATTGGCCCCGAAGGTGCAACCGGAGGTCGAAGCAGAGGACAGTCCCGCGAACCCAGTCCTCAAGATCCAAGCGACGAGGCCGATAGACCCCAACCGCTGCTCCTCACCATTCCTCCTCAACAAGCCCGAGAGATAGACAATGTTGATATCGCTCAACAAACACCGATTGTCGCGGGCATGGCCAATCCTCTGGGGCCTACTGCACACGAGGCCATGGGTGTATCTCCTATCCCCACTGCACCTGCCACCGCCGCATCCCCTGCGATCCCGCTGAACGCTTACCCGAATTTTTTTCTGAGGAATGCTACTGCGACAGCGTCGACGACGGCTCTGATGCCCAGGGATGAGGATGTCTTGATGGGCCTTCAGTTACTCGCGTATATTTCAAAGTACTGTTACCTTCGCCAGTACTTCCAGAAGACCCATCTTGTCCCGAGACTGCGTATCGATCGAGAGGTTGAGCGTATTTACGGGCCCACAAGGGGTATACCTCTTCCAGAACCCACCGAAGATGATGAAGAGGAATTTCTACAACCAGACAACTATAACATATTTCCCCTGGTGGAAAAATTTACAGTCCGACACCATTCAAAAGACATGCAATACTGGGCATGCGTGGTGATGCGCAATCTGTGCAGAAAAGATGACGCGAGGGGGGGCATTCGCCAATGCGCCAATTACCAATGCGGAAAATGGGAGGAGTATACCCGGCAATTTGCGAAATGCAGACGTTGCCGGCGGACTAAGTATTGCAGCAAGGTATGTGCCGCTACCCCTGGTGTAGGTCGCACCAAACTGACTCTGTTCATAGGAATGCCAACGTGAATCATGGAGCATGCACAGGCACTGGTGTCATCTAGAAAATGTTTATTTAAGCAGGCGATCCAATGCATAAGCTGTTCTTGAGCAAAATCGCATATCCCTGGCGCATCATGGGAGGAGCATTGGCGTTTGTTTGTCGACTGGGGGCTTTTCAGCGGGAATGGTGTTATGATCAGTTCCCATCCATGACGATTCCCAAGAGTTGGTACCAGTGATTGTACAGCGAGGCGGCGCTTGTGGTCGAGGCGCGTGGAAACTTCTGGGCACATATTTACCTACCGACACCCGATGACAGGACGTGAACAGAACATAGCAGGAAAGGGCCTTGGGGTTGTCGGTTGACGTTGCGATGTATCTATTGACTGATGCAGCTGCTAACGCTTCACGAACTGTTTAGCGACTCTATGTGTAATATGATGACTTGATTGGCGCAAAATATGAACATCATGTTCTCCAGTATAAACTCCCTTCCTTCTTGTGCTTGTCGCTGGTATTGTTGCTTTTGTGATTGACAGGTTGCTTTGAGAGCCCATGTCTGTGGTTCAAGTCTGGCGTAGCAATCCTCAATCGCTAAGGCTGGATCAACGTAGAGCGCGGTCTCGGCCTGGTTCCACATGCGATAAGTCTGGGCTGGGCTGTGAGATTCCCGTGATACTCGGAGGTTACCGCTCAGAGAATCTTGACTGATCGGAGAGTGTGGAAGTAGGCAAGATATACCTCACCCTTTTTTAGGCAGTATAGCTCCCGAGGAACAGATGATGTGAGGGTCGATCCTGATCCATGCCCAATACACCTCTATAATCTATCAGTCGTATCGACTGCTGAGTTGCCAACGTGAAACCCTTAGTGCTCTTTCCCAGCGTCCCAGCACGTTACACAGTCCGCAAGTCTTCAAAATGGGATCTAGCCCGAAGAGCACCGGTAACCTTCAGCTGCCAGTGATCAATATCTCGGGGTTCTCTGCCGAGGTCGGCAGGCAGTTGCTCGATGCGGCCACCAGATATGGCTTCCTCTACATCGACACCCAAGGGACTGGCTTCACTGAGCGCATGGTCGACCGCGAATTTGAGCTGTCACGCCAGTTCTTTGCCCTCCCAGATGCGGCAAAGGAACAATGGCGCATTGACGAGACCAACCGTGGCTGGACGGGTATGCATGGAGAAATCCTCGACCCCAAAAAGCAAAGGAAAGGAGATTTCAAGGAAGCCTTCAACATGGGGGAGTTCCACGACGGAAAGCCACAGCAGCCGATGCCTGAAGTGCTCGAGACGGCCATCGACGAGCTGGCGGAGTTTGAGAAGACCTCTAAAAGAGTTTGCGATCGGATCCTTGACCTGCTCGGACTAGGACTCGAAGTCGAGGAGCCCGACTTCTTCTCATCACGACATACCCAGCCCAGTGGCAGTATCGTTCGATTTCTACACTACCCGTCGGTCCCGGCAGATGTGGACTACCAGCCAGAGGTTGACATTCGAGCGGGTGCTCATTCTGACTATGGAAGTATTACTCTCCTGTTCCAACGTCCATCACAACCTGGACTGGAGATACTGGCTGGCACGGATACGTGGGCTCCTGTCCCCGTCATACCAGAAGGTTACCACTCGGCGACCTTTCCTCCAATCCTGGTCAATATTGCCGATCTCTTGTCATATTGGACCAACGGCCTCCTGAAAAGCACGGTTCATCGCGTCATCTTTCCCAAAGACGCGAAGCGAGGCGGCGAGGATCGTTACTCGATAGTGTATTTCTGCCATCCTGGAAACGATGTAGAACTCGTCCCGGTGCCGAGCAAGTTAGTGGCCGCCCGTGTGTTGGAGGACGGGACACAGGTCGGGTACGGAGGAGGCGCTGCAACCAAGCGCGCGATCACTGCCAAGGAACATCTAGAAAATCGGCTGAGAGCGACGTATGATTTCAGGTTGAAGAAAAATAGGGAGGGTGCTGGGCATAGTAGTCCATGAGCAGTGACTGCGGATCCAAGGCGAGAGGTGCTTCAGAAGCGATCTAGTAATCCACACTGCGTCGGTGCCCTGAAGCCGGCTCAACGATACCCAGGTAGTAATGACCGTCCAGAAAATGAACTTAAACGGGCTGCCAGTGCAGTGTAGCACTGGCAGAATAGATCTCCGCTCATTCTGTCCTAGATGGCAAGGCTTCAGCCTCGTGGCAGTTGCAGCCAGTGGCACAGACATGAGGATTAGGCGGGACTCCACTGACAGGCGATCAACCGTTTGCTAGTCGGCGGTAGGTCCTCGTAGGCAATAGCTTAAAGGAACACGTACCACTGGCTACGACTTCTAGCGGGAGCACTGCCTGTGCCCTTAAACTGTGGATGCCCGCCGTGCCCGCGTCCCCTGCCAGTGCATCTCCAACATTATCTCACTTGGCTCCTGTTGTTCCTCGACATCTTTCCTGCGACTTCAAGTCTACGACTGTGCACCACCGCACGTACCTAGGGGTACACTTGATTTTCTTGCAACTTGCTTTCTGCTTGCGGAGCGAGACCTGGCTATCTGCGCTGTGGGTGTGAAAATTGCCGGTGTCGTCTCCTTCAAGTGACCCGCAACGCAGAGCGTCTGTTGTCCTTTTGCATTTCGTTTCGGTTGCTGGATGCTGCAGAATGTCCGGTATGTCTGACCTCAGTTGCCCGTTGATCTACCTAGCTGACACTGGCGCCAGTCCAGAGATTTGACCAGTGGGCAAGCAAACATGTCGACGTTTGCCAGTTACAGCTTCTGAAAGACGCAGTCATCGGCGTCGACGCATCCTACTACCTCGACCTGCGACTCAACGGCAACAATGAAGAGCCTCTCAAGCATGCCCTCGGCGGCCTTCCCTTCTGCTATAAGAAAGCCATAGAAGAAGACATCAATGTTCTGCGGCAACACGGTGTCACCCTCGTCTTCGTCTTCAACGGCCTCGACTATGTGAACAAAAGCCTTCCTGACTCGCATTCTGCAGACAGCAAACGAGTACAGGATGAAGCATGGCACCACTATCTGGGCGGGGATAGCAAGCGGACTGTGGCAGAGTTTGGGAAGGCCAAATACCCTATTGATGTGATGACCAGATCTTTTCAGAAGTTATTGGTTGAGAATAAGGTGGAATACATGGTTGCTCCATACAGTGCGACAGCACAGGTAATAGAGCCTCATCTCCCTCCACCGCACCAGATGCTGACATTGACAGTTGGCCTACCTCCTGAAGCTAGAAGACCAGTTCATCGACGCCGTCATGGGCACCACCGAGTGTTTCCTCTTTGGGGTGGACAGAGTGGTGACAGACTTCAACCTTCAAAAAGCAACTGTGAGCCTGGTTAACAGGGCAGTCTGCGAAGATATCTTGAAAGTCAACAGTGACACGCTTCGGGATGCTCAGCTCTTGCTCGGCACCTCTTTCACACCTACCTTTCCAGTCCTGGAAGGCATGATTACGACCAACAAGACAGTTACTATCATCGATGCTATCACATTACTCAACGGCGCTGGCAAATCTGTTCTGCAGCTCTGCAATTACCACCGCGATCACCCTCAGGTCCAAGCTTTGAAGTACACTGACCGGTATAAAAAGGCGACTATGACTATTCGACACCACGTCGTCATGGAGAAGAACGGCGTAGTCGCTCCGCTGAATTTCGATGAAGCGCCGGGCGACGTCCACGAATTTGTTGGCCAGAGACTCCCTGAGGAGTTGTTCTTCTACATCTCCAAAGGCTTACTCGCGCCCACCATCCCCAACTGGCTCACATCTGGCGAGATTGTGTTATCCCTCCCTGGTGGAGTCCTAGATTCGGAGCCCTACCGGAAGCTGGTGATAGAACTACTCAACCCTTACCGGACGGAGTCACTCAAGATTCTGGCCGAATCTCTGCATTATTATTACCAATCCAGAATCATCAAAGTGTCGTCCTGGGTACCTCAGGACACGAGCAACTTGACAATCGAACTGAGGAATACACCATCTTGGAAGGGAAAGCTGACACTATGGAGGGTTCGCGGGGCCGACATCGAGCCTATTGTTTCCAACGCCGGGGTAATGCACTCCTATATGCTATTAACTTCTAGTTGCTGACCAGAACAGAACCACGGCCTCTTCCTCCCATGCTTGCGGTGGCTGAAAGACTCTTCGAGCGCCGAGAAGACGATCACCAAGGGAAAGCTGGAGTACCCAGCGCTGAGGACGCCTGACGAAGTTTACGTGAACACGATCTATCGGTTCTTGCACGTCCGTGGGTACATCGACGACAAACACACCCTTACCACTTGGGGTAAAGCGCTAGAATCAGCGTTGACCGTATTTGACGACGAGATCACGGTCGTGGGCGTCGAAATGCTGAGATTGGGGCTGTTCACCGGAAACTTTGCAACAGGAACACCCGTAGCAAGAACTGGTGAGTTGCTTCTGCGTGGTTTGGAAAGTGGCTAATCTTCTGCAGATAAGGATTATGATCGCAAGGTCTATACGAATCTCATCTCGAAAACCGCCTGTCTGGGTAGACTCCGACACAAACCGATGGGATTCGTAGGCCCCCTCGATCGACAGTTGTTGACGTTCGCGTGGAAAACCACCGCCGTCCGTAGTTCGCTACGGGATCTCATTGAAACTGTCATGGCCAGCATGTTCTTGAATGGAGACGTGGAAAGGGATCGCGATGATTGGTTGACCCTGGCTCAACGGTGAGTATCCCCAGACCTCACAGGAGATAAAAGGTGGCTGACATGACACATCAGGCTACCTTTTGCCAGCGATAACGGCTCTGGCCTGGGTATCGCGGTCAAAACCTACTTGGATGCAGTCAACGAGGAGCCCGAGATCACCGATGCTTTTAAGACGAGTGTCAAACAACAGGAAGGGAAGTACTCCTGGTTTGGGCAACTCAAGGGCGGAACTCTGACAAAGAGTCTTGACCAAGCGTGGAAGATCTGGGATACCGTAAGTTACGCTGGACACGTATATCACAGTGGACGAGGACTGACTGTGTGCCAGATCTACACCGCGAGCCAGACGCCTGGCGTAGAAATCAAGGAAGCCAAACTGTTCACTGAAGCCAACGAATGGCTGTCATCCCGCCGATGAGGAATGTGGCAGCCAGAGAGGCGAGTCAGTGGATGCCGCTATTCCACGAAACTCTGCCATTGCAGGTCAGAGGCCTATCTCTCACCTCATCCTCTGGCAGAGGCGTTATACACATCGGAGCTGTCCATGTGCTGCAAGTATGATTACGGCAGTCTGATAGTCTCCTGGACCGAAGCTCAGCGTCTCCGGACAACAAGGGTACCACGCGAACTGCACTGTAGAAGCGCCCAGCCCTGGTTTGAGAACCTTGGGGGAACTGAAACGTCCACCGTGCGAAGTCTCCTCATTGAGGACTTCAATTGGACGGTCCCCGTCATGCAAACGGTCCATGAGCATGGGCAGCGGTAAAAAAGTCTCACAATATCTCGAACTGAGGCTCTATATGTGGGCCTCGAAATCTGTCCGTGACTGCATCGATAAGATCCTGATGAGCCAGATACAACGCCAATCGAGGAATATAGCCATGACAAAGGTGGTCGTGCTGCTATGGCAGTCCTGAAGCTCTACAATAATAATATAGGCACCTAGTAGGAGAATGATAGTAATGGCAACCCCTTTATTAATAATCCCTGCCCGTATTGCGATTCCTCGACTCGTGATCCGCTCCGCGTTCGGACAAGCCCGATCCTCACGCCGTCGTCTTGCCTCATCCGCCGGGGCCGCAACTTCAAAGTTGGTTACATATCGCCGCCTGGGTAGTGGTAGTCAAGCATAGTCAAGCACAATCAAGCACAATCAAGCACAATCAAGCACAACCAAGTTATTTTGTGGGACAAGAGGAAGTACATTCAAGTCTCGAGCCCGAAGGTTCATGGTTTGCATTCCTTGTTTGTTCAAGTCAGGAGTCGGAACGTCAGCAGATGGTCACCGGTCGTCACGCAGCATTCTGATCCCTGCCGTCTCCCCCAAGAGCAATGTTGTCGCGTGAGCCACGAACATGGTCGACACAAAAGCACACGGTTCCCTCCAGCCTGGCGTCCGGAGAGAGCAAATCGAGATGGACGACCCGGCCCTACCAAGGACGCCCTCGAGGCAGCGGCTGTTGACAAGTCAAGCCCGCAGTCTGAAGGAGGAAGAGGAGGCGCCGCCGCAGGCACGGCTGGTTGGCATGGCGCGACATACACTGGGATTGATCCTCCTGCTCTGCGTCGTCTTTCTCTGGACATTGTCCAATTTCCTGGGCAGTGTAAGTGGCATTGATTTACTATCTACAGATATCTGAATCCAAGGGCTGACGGTTGCTTGGGGCACCTTTGTCTCTGCTACAGAGTATATTCGCCGACAACACATATGCCAAACCGTTCTTCTTGACCTATCTCAATACCTCGATGTTCATGCTGGCCATGATCCCTACGCTTGTGAAATCCGTGTCCAGGAACCGGCGAAAGCACAGAAGCTTGTATAGGAACATCCGATCGGCATTGTCCAAGAAAGAAAGCTACACTCCACTACGCCTGAATCAACACAGCAACAGCGGTAGTGGAACCCCTCTAGACCTGGAAGATCCCGAATCGGAGCGGTTTCTCAAATCAAGACCCGATAGACGTGCGTTTGCCGGCCTACAAGGGGATCAGAGGCAAGAGCAAGACGATTCCCTGGAAGGGGACTTGGTACAGGAACCGGGAATAGAGATAGAAGAAGAAGTGGCCGAGAAGGACAAGGACTTGGGCATCGTCGCAACAGCCCGACTATCACTTGCATTCTGCTTCCTCTGGTTCGGAGCAAACTACTTCGCCATGGCATGCCTCCAACACACGACGGTGGCGTCGACGACCATTCTGACCTCCACCTCGAGTTTCTGGACATTGCTTATTGGGGCGCTGACAGGCATGGAGAGATTCACATGGCGGAAACTCTGCGGCGTGTTGGGCTCCTTGGTCGGCATCATTCTGATTTCACGAGTCGACCTGACCAAGAGCGCGAGCAACGCAACCACCATTCGTATCCGATCACCTGGTGATGACGAAGATCAGTTCCCGGACAAGCCACCGTCAGAGCTCGCCCTGGGTGACGCGCTGGCCTTGTTGTCCGCGATTATCTACGGCGTGTACACCATCACGCTGAAAAAGTCAACCATCAAGGCCCTGCCACGATCGCTCAACATGCCCCTTTTTTTCGGCCTAGTCGGCACATTCAATTTGGTGTTATTGTTTCCTTTGTTCCCGATCCTACATTATACGGGCCTGGAGCGTTTCGAATTGCCGCCCACGCCGCACGTGTGGACGATTTTACTCACCAACAGCATCAGCAGCCTTTTTAGTGATATCTGCTGGGCCTATGCCATGGTCTTGACCAGTCCGCTGTTGGTAACCGTCGGTCTCAGCCTGACCATCCCGCTCAGTCTGATTGGCGAAATGGTCCTGCAGGGTCACTATGAGGGTTGGCTGTATTGGGTCGGTGCCCTGGTCGTGGTCGGCAGTTTCGTCTTTGTCGATCATGAGGAAAGAGAGGAGGAAGCTGAACATGAACATGACCATCACAACGATCACTCTGCCGCGGGCTCCCTGCTTGGACATGGACATCCTGAGGCCGCTGATCCCAACAGGGGCCGCCGTCATGCCACTACTACTACTAATACTACTACTACTGGTAGCAATGGGATGTGGAGTGATGATGATGGTACTCTCGACGGAGTTGGTGGCATCGTGTCTGCAACCGACGCTACTACCGGTGCTGGCGGTGGCATGCCCAAGACAGATTCTCACGCACGATCGAACCATGGGAGTGCTTCGCAACAACACGCCATTACTGGTGCTTCTGATACTGCTGCTTCTACTTCCACTGCCCGTCCCAGCGAAAGCCATCATAAAAAGCAGAAGAAGCACAACGGTCGGACCAAATCTTGGAACCGGCTGCTCTCTGGCGGCGGTGCCGGCGGAGGCTGGGTGTCGAGTGATGATGATGACGGCGATGATTTCTTGCATAGTAGCGACTCGGACTGATTTTATATACGGTTTATACTACAAACCTACAGTATGTACATATATCTTGCTTGCTTGCTTGCTTGCTTGCTTGCTTGCTTGCTTGCTTGCTTGCTTGCTTGTTCGTTATTGTCAACTGCTTCGACGAACGCTTTGAAAACCAACACCAGCTGTTCTTTCCTTTTCCTTCTCCGTTGTTTATGAACCCATGAACCATTTGATTCGTTTCTAAGGCCCCATACCATTGATAATAGCAACTAAATTAGGCAGGGTATATCTTAGATACCTACGTTAGGCACTTCTTCCGAGGGCATTTTAAACCCATCGGACAGATATATATATTCGTCCTTAGCTACTAAAATTCGCGATCATTGGAACGGGCTCACGAGTCTGCAAAGTTAGTGTGATCTCGGAGTGCTCGTTATTCATGGATGCCATCTTGTGTCTATCGTGTTGTCGGGTTCTGTCTACATTGCAAGAATCGTAAGGACTCAATGACTTGCCGCGGCCGACAACATGTCTTGCTCTCCCTCATCCTTCTAGCTCATGGCTGTGATCGTCAATCTTCACATTATTGTCTGCATGTCTTTCATAGGAGGCCAACCAGGAACAGGAGGGCGCACACATTCACATTTCCCATATTTTCCGAGGCCTTTGTTGAGTACAGCTCTCCCCTATGCCGTTATTCCTCGAGACCTAACTCACGCATCGTGGGTACTCCATCTCTCCAGATCCTGGGCTCGCCTTCCCCAGGCATTTCATAGCCGTTCGGCAAGCGGACTTTGGGAAATCCATCCTTCTCCCACGCATAAACTTCTTCCAAACTCAGACTCTCAAATGCCCCAGGCATTGAGTGTGTGGTTTCGTCACCCTTCTGTCTATGGAATACCCATTTGCTGCGGATTTCATGTGCTTTCTCTTCGTCCACGAGCACCAGGGCTCCACTGTGCCAGCCCGCAGCGGCAATGGCAATGGGAAAATATGCACCGAGGTTTGCATAGTCATCCGCCTCTCGTGCACCATCTGTTTTGGGCACAGTTGTAGGTGGCGAGGTTGCAGGACCTTCATTCCAGTGGTTTCCCTCCTGCTCCACCCATTCGCTGAATGCCGCTTGCTTGACCGGATCATCGTCCCACGTATGGGAAGCTGGCCGCCCGTCAAGACTGAGGTGCGATTGATGAAGCTCGTTTTCCATCCACTGAAGCCAATCCTGCTTCTCAGGCTCGAACCAGACCCGGCGCCCACGCAAGTTGGCAATGGGTAACAGGACCGCATCACCTCGGAGCCCTGGTCGTTCTTGGCGAAGCCCGCGAAACCGGCCACCAGTTCCTGGTAGAGCCAGACCGAGTTGGCCGCAACACTGGGAGTCTACTCCGTACGAGGTGATCTTCCCATCGGCATGGAGGGCGTGGTAATGATAGTCGCCAAATGTTAGAGCAATGACGTTGGTGTGCTGTAAAGCGGGGATATCTTGGGGCCGCGAGACCAACAGTGTTGTCAAGGCGGACCAATCGCCGGACTGGAAGAGATCAGGCTGGCGCTCGAGTGTTTCCGCGCAGCGTCTCAGGTAGTCGACGTCGCCTGCAAGGACTTCCCCTGTTGCTGTGAACACTCCAAACCGTCGGAACTGGCCTTGGATATCCTTGAGTTCACGATCGGCAGCACCGAAGCCTGGAACCTCAAAAGGTGCCTTTTCAGGCTGATACGCGTCATCTTCGGCACTGAGGCAGCACGCATACAGCTTGGAATCTGTGGTGATCCACACGATGTAGTCTTCCAAAACAACATGCTTGGTAACTTCCACAACGCCTGTGTCGGCCACGTAGCAAGCAGTGCCCGGAATAACCTTCTCCTGGACGATGATTGCATCTAGCATGTCATCGTTTCTGTTCGGGGGCGGTCGCCAATAGATAATTCCTGTTTCCGGGACGTATGCAGAACTCTCCACCCATCCAGCGGCCACCCTGACCGGCTTGCCTCCGAAGGAACCATTGTTCCTCGAGAGTATGGTCACACCTTGGCGATAGATTTGGGTCCAGGAGATGATGCCACCATGGTCAGTGAGTGCTAGTATATGGGCTCTGCCCGAAGAGAACTGGCGGATGGCGGATGTGCTCTGAGTGATGTATTCAAGCTGAGTGAGGCGCTCGGTCATCCGAGTGTGTTGACTGATCTGTCCAGTGCTATATAGCTTCCCGTCTGATGCCAAGATTGTCGTTGACCAACCGCCACACTGAAGGTCCGCAATGGGGCCGACCTCGGGAGGTACGTCAATCTCCACTGGCCAGCCAGACCTGACCCTTGGGTGTAATGGTCGCTGTGGGATTCTAGGAAGTAGATTGGGCCGGGCAGGCACACGAGGTAGCACTCTGGCAGGCGATGGTTGTACAAGCCGCCGGGGTAAGGAAACGCTTCCTGGTGAGCCCGCAACGCCGAATATGCCCGAGCCCCAGGCATACAATTGAGTCTGCGTTTTCAGCCGTTTGTAAAGCCAATACCATCGTGGTCCGTCAGCAGCAAGCAAAGGGCTGATGGGCAGGCGGAAGGAATTGTAAGTTTCCGTGCGCCAATATAGAGGGTCTTGTCTCCATTCTGAATAAATTGATCTGGATGTCTGACAGAATGCAAGATAATCTCTCGGCCGGAGGAAAGAAAAGATGTCAGATAGGATATCTGGGGGCAAGTCTAGGAGCGGCATTTTGAAAGCGTGCCGAAGGCGGGGGACGCTCTCGACAGCCGCTGGCGAGGCTACGAGGAGGACAGGTCTGTAAGTAGCATCGCCAGGAGGGATTCGCAAATAGTTGAAGTCAGGCAGGCACCAGCTTTACAGTAGGTGGAATAAGGCTCAGCTGCGGTGCACAAACGTATCAACCCACCTACAGTCTCTGGTACTGTTCTTCGAGTTGGCGAGATGGTGGTTGAGTCAGTTCATGAATTGATGCAGGCAGCGTGGCAGTTGCAGTGTTGATAGTCAGGCAGGCACCTACAACTGTTACACACGGAAGTGGCAGTGACCGAGCCAGGTTCAAGTTGCCGGATGATGTCAGCGATTGCCATAGGAGAAAAAGGGGGAATCAGGCTGAACTTGACGCATTCCCGCAGATCACGAGGCACGAGGCTTGGCACGTCACGCTGCCACCGACAGTTCAAACGACGAAATGCTCCGTCGTAGTCCACTGCGCTAGTACCACTACCAGACTAGTGGCAGCATTAAAACGACATAATGCCATGCAATGCCAGTGACCTCAGCGGCCCGTTTCTGTTTAGATCAGTTAGCACGGTCCTAGTGAGGTAAGCAGCAGTCTGTGGGTTTCTGCGCCTGCGCCCATCAATCATCATCACTCTCCTACGTCCATAGTTCTACAACACAAACATTTCGTGTGGGGTCCGCCAACAAACGAGACGACCGACACTTTTCTACCCTTTATTCTTGTTCCCTGCTCTTGAACCACAACCACTGACTATCCATCCAGTCGAACGTTATTCTCGAGTTATCGTAATCTTAAGCACACTCATCACTCTAGCTATTCCGCCAACCATTCTGCAACCATGGCGGACGCAACCGAGCCCAAGCCAACTCCTTCCGCAACCCAGTCTGCGTCGTCCGAACCAAGACTGGCCGAACATGAGACCAACCTAGTCAAGAACCCCTTGGGGGACCCTTCGACCGAAGCCCCTGCGACTGATGCCAAATCAACATCTATTACCGAGGCCGCAGCCAATGCCGCCAACACTGCAGCAAATACCGCCACCGCAGCTGCTTCCGGTGTCAAGGACTCCGTCTTCTCCATGTTCGGAGGCGGTGCAAAGAAAGAGCGAAAGGCTGAGGAGGAAGATGACGATGCAAAGGACGAACCCAGTGGCAGTTCCAAGGTGAAGAAGGAGGATGATGATGTGAGTGACGTTCGCACCGGGCCCCGGCTTGAACGGTGAGCTGACCAAATTATGGCAACAGGACAAAGCCGACGAGGAAGAGGTTGAGGTTGAATTCGAGCCCGTCGTCCGCCTAACCGAAAAGGTCGATACAAAGACGAACGAGGAAATGGAAGAACAAGTATTCAAGATGCGAGCCAAGCTCTTCAAGTTCGACCGCGAGTCAAAGGAATGGAAGGAACGCGGCACCGGGGATGTTCGACTCCTCAAGCACAAGGAGAATGGCAAGACAAGACTTGTCATGAGACGTGATAAAACCCTCAAGGTCTGCGCGAACCATTACGGTAAGTCAAGTGGATGGATATGACATGACGATAGATGCTGATAGTTGGCCAGTCACTCCTGATATGAAACTTTCTCCCAATGTTGGCAGTGATCGCAGCTGGGTGTGGAATGTCGCTGCGGATGTTAGTGAAGGCGAGCCTGAAGCTCAAACATTGGCTATCCGATTTGGAAACAGCGAGAGTATGTTGACTTCTCAAACCGACGTGCAAGTTCCAATGCTGACGAATCACAGATGCCAACCTCTTCAAGGAAGCCTTCATCAAAGCTCAGCAGGAGAACGAGGCCTTGTTCAAGTCATAGGTTCGCGTGAGCGGGCGTCATCAAGCACCTGCCAGCATTGGGCCTACCAGCATTCGACTTTTCCCTTGACCATGTGGAACAAATCGTGGCATCGGTGTCGTTGCACATTGATTGGCCTGCTTTCTATGTCCTAACCCTGCCCATAGTCTACCCCGTCCCCCTTCCTAGATAGACATGCATCAAGCCTGTGCTCTCGGCACCAAATCAAACACCCATTGGCCCCAAGAACTGGTTTGCGCAATGTGGAAGGCCTCCGGCTATTGGCTCACCGGTACTCCCTGTATCATGATGGGAAGATCAGCGCTTGTTCGCTGTAAGTATTTCACATCGCCAACCAACAATAAATTTCTACTAGTAGGCATACTCTTCTGAATGGAAGACCTCTGGGGTAGGTTCTACTACATGCTCTCTCTAAAACAGGAAAGCCACCTGCCGTGGTCTCTAGGATGGGAGGGCTCTGGGCGTACGCTACCTAGATACCTACCCTGGCTCCCCCTCCGGCGTCACCTTATATATCACCTAATGTGTTTGAAAACGCAGTATCACGCTGGCAGCGAACGCTGACACTGGGCCCTTGTACGTCGTAGGCGCGATCTGCCGCTAACCCAATTCTCCCAAACGGCGCATGCTAGATTCGACGTCCTCTCGGCTCAGTTTCCTGATGAGGCACCGCCTACAACGCTTGCAGGGCTTAACCAGCATCACCGGATTCACCACCACATCCACATCCACACCCGCACCCACCAGGCACGATTCCCCCAGGGTATTTCTTTTGCGATCAGTATACCCTTTTGCTCTCTTCAGTTTCTTCTACTGCCACGACTATCTTTTGCCTTGCGTGCTGATACCTCACTGGCGCGTTACTTCTATTTCTCTTTCCTCCCTCTTTTCTTTCTTCCTTTCTCCCTTCACCTTTCTCCCCCCGTACCTTGATCATCTAGTCACACCAACTTCCTCTTGCCCGCGACAACCCATCAACAATCTGCTACAGTCAGACGCACGTTGCCCATTATGCCGGACGTGAGTCAACACGTGTATCTGTCTTATACATTTGGTATTAATAGTGTTAATAGGTCAAACGTTCGATCAAAATCATCACCGAACAGAAGCAAATGTACGTTAGGCCACAACCGACCTAAGCCTCAAGCCTGAACCGATCTGGCCCCGCTTGCGCCTTTCTCTCACACACACACTGCTACTTCTTTCTCTGCCGTGGAAGATGCCCTCCCACAAGGGTTCTATATATGATGGGCGCCAAAAAGACTGACTTGTCTGCTATAGTCCCGGTGCCGACAGCGGAGTCGCTGGTTTCCCTTTGCGCCACTGGTCGATGAAGATTGTTCTTCTCCATGCGGACACAAAGCAAGAGATTGATGCGGATGTCTTCGAGTCGGTCACCTATCTTCTGCACGAGTCGTTCGGTGACAAAGCAAAACAAAGTACGTTTGAACATTTACATGTGTTACGATATTGTCAGGAACTGGAGGAGAACTAATCTTGATACGCAGCCTTCAAGAAGCCACCATTCCGCGTCGCTGAAGATGGGTGGGGCGAATTCGAGCTGAAGATTGAGCTGAAGGATCTCAGCGGCAAGACTCATCACATCCTTCATGACCTCAACTTCAACAGTAGCCGCTACGAGACCAAACAGATCATCACCTTCAAGAATCCCAAAGGTGCGCTACTCGAAGCCCTTCGAAACTCCGGTCCCATTCCAGGTGAGGCGGCGACAAATGGAGCAGACGCCCCGAGCAAGAAACGTGCTAGTGAGGTCGGCGCTGGTGGTGCACCCAAGAAGAAGAAAGGTGCGGACAAGGGCGTCGACATGGACAAATTGGCCGAAGGTCTCCAGAAACTCGGCGAAGACGATCTCCTTCAGGTGGTGCAGATGGTCCACGACAACAAGAGCGAAGATTCATGGATGAGGAATGACATCGAGCGTAAGTGTCCAAGTCATTATCGCGTGGTTTGAATTGAACTGGTAGCTGACAAGCCGGCTACTACAGAGGGTGAGTTCCATGTCGATCTGTACACCTTGCCGGAGAACCTCATCAAGATGCTCTGGGACTTCACCAACGAGAAGAATGCCATATCCGCATCTGCATAGATAGTCCAGCCAAGGCATGCATGTCAGCCGTGACAGGCGCATGAACCGCTTTGATTGGCATTCCAGTCATCGCGTGGTAATGCCCGTGTCATTCCTCACCAAGCACTGCTATGCCGGCTCACCAGCAGCATTTCTTTGCTGCCGCGGACAGGGGGTGGTGAATATCCATTCGCACCTTTGTATCATCACCACGATTCATTGCGAGCAAAGGTCCATCATCGGCTTTTGAACCATCCTCCATGCGCTCAGCCGGTACCTTTGCAATCAACCGCTGAGATTTGTACCGATATATCCCCCCACTTGCTACTACCATATCATCACCGAGCTTTTTGGCGCCCTTTAAATCAGTCTAACCTTGCACCCTTTCCGCTTCGAATCTACGGAGCTATTGCTACACATACCACCTCATCCAACGACCGGGCTATTTTGATACCACACTACTTTACGATTGCTATTGCCATTGCTATCGCCAGTATGCGCTGGCTTACCTTCCGGAAGGGCAGTTTCAACCATTATCGCGCGTTGATGCATACATTCCGGCTGAACTTTTCAACCCTTCACCAATCTGTCACGCACTGACAGGACAGGACGACGCACGTGGTCGTCTGCTGTGCATTCAAAGAAAGCAGTGCGTGACTGTCTGGGGCGGATTCTACTGGAGTGAGCATGGGTGAACGGGCACATTGGCGCAGGCATATGAGCTTCCAACTTGAGCTTCAGACATGGACAAGGACAGGAAGACAAGGAATGAGTTGAGGTGCCTTAGCTTAGCCTAGCCCATGACTTTCCATGCCCATGATGGCGCCGAAAGTGGCAATCTCTGCTGCTCTAATAGATAGGATAGCTCTTTGCCTCTACCAGTAGGCCAGGCCCCTTACGTAGACATGAACAAATCTGCCCACGGCAAATCTAGGCTAGTTCAGAGCGTTCGATGTAGAAGCCATGCACCACAACGAACTTCCCGTACTGTTAAATTGCGTGTATGAGGCATAGCTGCATAGCAGGGAATACTAGCGTCAAGTCTTGGCCATTGGCATAATATCGTCTATAATACAATTGATTGACATGACCTATCTTTGTCAAGAATCCTGGACACCATTGAGCATTTTCGTTCATGTCAAACTTCTAACAAATGGGGCCATACGGAGCAGAGCAGAGACGTAAGGCCTGGTGTACCGGTACAGGCGGTGGTGCAAGGGCCAATACCAGCAGACACGATAACCAGATGGTGTCTCTCATGGCATACACAGCCTGGTGACTCGGACCGTTCCGTTTCAGATCAATCGTCTGCTCGTTTCATGCAGTGGTCCCATGATCCAAGATCCATCCCAACGTTTGCGACTCGGTGACAGCAATGGCAACAACAATCTGGCCCGGAGAGAGCCATCGAATGGGCGGCTGAACCAAAGGAGGACCACGACTGCCACCCATTCAGTGCGAATGGTCCGGCTCGCAGTTCAGTAGATGATAGATGCCAACATTCGATCTCATTGGTACAGAGGAAAGGTCCGAGTCATCGAACGCCATTTCGGTCAGGAGTGCAAAGTGAACTCTGTCATGGCAAGTGATGAATTGTCGTAGGGGCCGAGATTGTGCAGGATGGTGAGTCCGGCATAACCGGGCCGGGGACATGAGTACTCTGCTGACAGGATGCAATCGAGATGAGAAGCAGAGCTGTCCGCGGTAAGACTGTAAGACTGTACAAAAGTTGACTGTTTCATTGCAAGACACGGTTTCTGGTAAGGAGTCCATGTTAGTATATGCTCAGTAGGTGGTGGGCATGCCCGGCAAGAAAAGCAAGTATACGGGACATGTCAGTACCTTAATAAAACACCTTCTAAGCCTTCGGCCTTTGCGCCAGATATTGTGGCGAAAACATCCCCAGCCTTGTATGCCAGCAGGGCAGGGACCTCGATAGACTGCATCTCTGCAATCTCGTGATGTAACCGTACGAAGCGGGTCTTGTTATGCTTGTAGGCCAGCATGGAGAGTTCATCCTCGACTTCGGCACTAGCCGATGACGAGGGATCGTAGATCATGACGACCACAACAGTGTCCTCGGGCACCTTTTCCACGGCGTCAAGGTAGCCGTTGGCGTCGACCTCGACAAAGGTGCCCCAGGTCCGTCGACTAGGGGACTGTCGTCTCTGGGGAGCCTGTGACAAAGATGCCAGCTCTTGCAGGCGGCTCGCCCGCCACGTCTCCATGAACTGGGAGTCAGCGTCCTCATCAGAGAGGTCGGAGGACGTGGATTTTGGAGGTGATCCTGACAGAGTCTTTCTTTGTTCGGTCTTTTCTGTCACACTAGGAACTGTCATGCGTGAGGTCAGGTTGCCGGCAAAGCTGCTCATGCGTTTGCGAAAGGTGGACTGTTTGGCACGAGCATACGACTGAGCATCGGCAATGACGCCCTTGGGCCCAGTGTTGGCATAGTGTGTCTGGGCGGGGATATAGTAAGTATTCCGGGTGGAGGTCATAGTAGCCATATTGGTGTTGTGATGGTGGACGTCTTCGTCGTCTGTGCCCGGGTCTGAATGATAATAGTTGTCGTTGGCCGATTCAGGTTGATCATCCGATGAGTGTGTTGATCGATCGTCTTCGTCTTCTGGATGAGCAGATCTTTGGGGTCGAGAAGAGAAGTAACGGTCAGCTTCCTCGCGTGCGAGGTCAGCCATAGTGTTATGTATGGTTTTATTCTGAGGAACAGCCCCCCTTGGATGACGATTACCACCCACAATGCAGCGACCAGGTACAAGCTTGAAGCGCCCTAGGCAGTGAGGCGGGTACAGCTGGCTGTTGAACCACTCAATGACATACAACTCAGCAGGAGGTCTGGACGAAAGGTTGCTAGACCGTGTCCATACCGGCACGAGTCAGCCCGGTGAGATGGGTCAGAGGGCGATCACACTAGATACTCCGTAGTGTGACAGTGATTGACGTGTCGAAGGCCGTGTCGGTCGTTTTGAGAACAGATTTAGAAGAGCGGCGGATGGTGAGGAACTGTCGCAGAAAATGACCGAGGAGGAATGGCCTGAAACACACGCGACGTTGGGATCCTGGTCAGGCACTGGCAGGGCGTGAGTGTATGGGCGGGTGGACCAAGCGACAGAAGTCTAACAGTGGGCGTTAACTTGAAGGTGGCTTGAGGACGATGATGGATGTACTGTATAAGATTAGTGGCTTGACTCTGCTGATCCTAGGAATGAGCAATTGAAAGACTTTACAGAAGAGATCAAAATGCTTTTCGTAACAAGTGCTGCAAGGACTCCGGTGTCACCACAGCTTGGACTCGTGTTTGTTGATCACAGGCTGAACCGGAGACATGAATGGCAATTCTCAGGCTGTACAAGTTCTCCGTTTGGTCACAGCCTATGCAGCATTGAAGCACATAGAGATACCGCCCCTGCACGCCTAAAAAGTGCCTAGAGTTTAGCTTGTCGCTTCTTCTGCTTAGGCCTGGTTCGACATTGCAGATCTGAAAATCCCCGCCTATTTGCGCCCAAGCAGCCAGCTCAAGATGCCTGATGATCACCCCCCACGGCCCCTAGTGCCACGGGAAGCAACCTGCGACTCGGCCCAGTGCGTTTAGCTGTCGATCTCGGAACTGAACCACTGCAGCCGCTGGAAACGTTTACAAGAGAAGCAGGCGTTCAACTCACAGCACTTAGCCTTAAAGCTACCGCCATGGAGATATTGCCCCCTGTGTCGGTAGACTTCCAAGGTTCAATGGCGCCTGTACAGGCTGACCTTTGACTCGAGGATGGCATGTTCGTTGTTTGCTAGTGCTGAGCTTGAGTGCCAACGTACATAGAGGTAACCTTCCTGACAGCAAACAACGTGCATGTCTCCTGGCTCACCACGCTCTGTGCTTTCCGTGTCTCACTCTCAAAGTTCAAGGTGACATCTTGAAGACTCGGCCAGATTCATCAAGGCTTCTGATGCCGGTTTCACGCAGACCTTACTTGCGCCCTAGATTGATCAAGCAACGTCTAATTGTTGGATAAATAAGGTATCGCGTGGCATTTTCTATGCAAATTCCAGTAGGAGTGTCGCCATCCTTACATAGATTTCAACTGCCCAGGGCTTCCATCATGATGGATATTCAAAATTCCTTCAACCCGGGAGGACTTTTCTGCTTTTGCCTCGTCCGTCTTCCGGTGCCCCATCCAGCACTTGTGAGCAAGACGTCGTCACGAAGTTTGCGTTCCACTTTCGGCGGTGCTGCTTCCGCCTCGGGCTCGCCATTGTTGTCGTCGCGTTTGGATCTCTTTTGCCTCGATCCGACTAGCTTCTGTCGCAACAAGACGGCTTCTTCCGGGTCTTCGTAGCCCAATTGAGTCATGGGCGGCGCTTCCTCTGTATGGTGACTGCCGTGGGCAAGGTCGAGGTCATCTGGAATCACCGAATGAGCCTTGATCCCAGTCAAGGTGCTCTTTGCTCGGCCGGTAAAGCTGTAGTTTCCTCGTTCAGATGTCGCTACTCCCTCGCCGGTCGAATTCTCTGTATGTGTTTTGATCAGTTCGCTACCAAGCCCGTCAGTGTTGATGCTATCTACCGAGCTTGCTCTTGAGTTCCTCAGGCGGTCGGATGTTGCCGATGAATTGGACAGGTTGCTTAGAGCTCGACCGATGAGCCTGCTCTTCTTGACCGGCTCGTCGCCAGGGCCCTTCGACTCTGCTGGTTTCTGTTTCTTCCTGGTATGGCGCTCAAGAATATCTCTGATGGCCCCATTGATAGCTTGTATGCCTCTTGCTTTGGATGGCTCGGCGCTTTTTGTGCCTTGCATGCTGCTATTGCCATCAAAGGGTGGAATAGATTGTTTCTCCGAGGGCGCCAACCGGGCGCTTCTTCCTGAAGAATTGGACAATTCCTGCAGTGGAAGATCGTCTTGGGCGTGTGGGACTTCTTGCATGCCAATGTCCTCCTGTGGGCCAGCTGTGTGATCCGCCCCCTGTGGTTGCTCCTCCGCGGACTCGTCATGCACTTCGATGGGAAATTTCGTTGCTTTGCTTGCACTTCTTGTATGGCTCTCTGTGTCGGTTCGATTGGGAGCCACTTTTCCTCGCCCATGACTCTTTCGTTCCCGGGACTCTGGGTTTATGGGTATGGTGCTTACTTCAACGTATTGAGAGAGTGAATGTCGCTTTTGATCGGGACCGGTGGCATTACCAGAATGTTGTTGGATGACATAGCTTTCCACTGGTGCTTTTCGGCCATTTCTCATCGTGGACCACAACCACTTCTCGGAGACACAGGGGATACCGCTATGTTGCGCCAGGTCAAGCTTTGCTTGATTGAGCTTGCCCACCTTGCATAGCAGCACGGAAACCGAAGGTGTAAAGATTTCTGTATATTTGCCGCCAAGCAAAGCCACCATCTTCGAGATGTGTAATGTTTCGAGAGCATCAAATCCCGTTGCATTGATAGTAAGGCCGGAGAAGTCTTTTGTGCGTGGGCCTTGGACCAACAATCCCAATGGGTAGGCTTGAGGCGGGATGAACGTCCTCTGCAGCATACATCGTTCCAGCCAGAGTTCAGATACAATCTCGACATCTGTTCGTAAAAGTTGCGCTCCTGACTTATTGCGAGCAAAGTCGTGGGGCACTATTAAGAGTGTATCGCCTGCTTGACTGTCATGTTGATCATGTTCTCCTTCAATGACTTTGGCTCCGTTCTCGAGTAAAATCTTACGCAAAAGGTCGCCCTAACTCAATAAGTACTGTAGCGAAGGAACAATATAACGGAACTTACTCTCTTGCGGTCGAAGGACTCCACTATAAACAATCGCCCGGACAAAAAGCCCACAGTGGTGGGAGACGGCTCAGAAGCAACAGTTTTGGTGTTATTCTCGTCCTCAGACGTCGTCACAGCAAGACGTTCTGCTTGTCTCATTGCCGGCATGGATACTGATGGCTTGAGCGGAAGCCGCTCCGTTTGTTTCGTCTCAAATCCGGCACCTGCTACAATATCGGTCCACAGGTTCTGAGTTTGCCCACCTAGCTTCGCACTCGCAGTACGACGGAGTTTTCGGGACGGTTCAGCCGCTGGAGCATCATCTCGGGCTCTTTTCCCTAGTTGTACAGTGGGTTGCACTCGCCGATTCCAGGCACCAACCCCTTGCTGGTCAACAGGAATGGTAGGATGATAGAGACTCTCGTCCAGTTGCATGCCCCGATCAAGGCTATCCTTGTACCACTTCAGACTGACCACCTTGCTCTGCCATTGCATTCCGTATTCATACTTTTTGCCCTCTGGCTTTGCCGCAATGAGATGGGTCACATCCCGAGTCAGATCCCCAGTGTATTCTCCTCCGTTCTCCACAATGTTCTTTTGCAGTTGCGCGCGGAAGGAGAGGTCTTCGAAGCCCGTGATGCATATCCTCAAACCCGCAAGAGTCGGCAGCCGATATTCACGAGTCAGACCCTCAAGGTCTAGTGGTAGATCATTAATCCATAGTTCTCGAACTGCTTCAACCCACTCCGGCCGTAGCACTTTGATGTCCTCTCTCTCCCTAGCAACATATTGGTATTTCTCCGTGTCTGTGCTTCCCACGATAAGATGGGTGGTGTCGGAGGTCAGGTCGAGCTTGTGCTGGGCTCCCATCTGCACAGCGAGGTCGGCATATCGGGTCTGTCCATAGGTTCAGTGGGATAGGACACCAATTAGCGAGAATCGCACTCACCCTCTCTTCTGGCTTAAATGAGGTAAAGCACAGCACGACGCCTTGCAGTGGCCGCTCGGCGGAACCTTGCTTCGTTAGCTTCTCGACCACAGAACAGCAACTTGGTCATACCTCGAGTCTCTTTTTCCGCCATAGCATGGTGACAGGGTTATAATATCATGAGTGCTCGAAAGGGATATGTCCAATAATGAAGTGAGTAGTAAATCTGGCCCGATCCCCTTCCAGTGCGGTGGTGCAGTCAGTCACTATGTTGTAATGGGATTTTTGTGACCCAGGACGCGTCTCGACCGAACGACGCGCTCCGCAGCCCGTGTTGGTGGGTTCGGAGGGGAAGTTTATCCGAGAGTGGGGGAGTGATTGACGGCTGGCGGCACTTCATGTCAGTGCTGCGGTACGTATACCACTACAATCTCTTGGTTGCGGTGACCATTTTTCCATTCCTCCAAGATTTGGTGCCTCAAGTCTAACCTAATGTACAGTCTCCCGTCGAATAATCAGGATGCTCTGTCGTCACGAAAAGCCCATTGCCGGCCCATTTGCATTGAACTCTGAATTCTGAGGCACACAACAGCCAGCATCGACCAACACCTTTGGAAACGTGTGACACGACATGCATGATGACGGGAGGGAAAGAGTTCTTGCGGCGTTTCCCGCAGTATCGAACTTCAATGCCCTTCGACGCGATCAAGCGAATCAAGCTTTGCCGATAGCAGTAACAGCCCGGAAACGCCGCCAGCCATCGTGGCCCATTCCCGATCGAATTGACTCGATTGCGATTTGCTTCTGCCTTTAGATACCGAGGCACGGGTCTGAAAGAATCAGAACCTTGACGAATACGGGATGAGCACTGCGTGAAAGTTTCTGAAGGTCTCAGCCATGCAGACCGAGGTGGCCACACTTAGGCTTGCGAGTTAGGCATACAGAGTAAGCAAGGTACAATCGAGTAGAAGTCCAATTGTTCCAAATACAAGCGGAGAGATCCGACTGGCACATGAGGAACTATTATGATAGGGCTGTGTACGTGTTTGTAGAATCCCAAATCGAGCAGCAAGGATCTGCGCCTGGCAGAAGTAAGCAAGCAAAGAAGCCCATGCAGGTTTCTGCATAAGAACATCAAAGGAGTCGGTGCCGAGGAGGTACAGCCTCGAAGATCTGGTTCAGCAATAAGACAAATTACGCGTCGTCCTAACCTTGTTCCAGCATCGATGCTGACAAGTTGTGCAGCCGCGAGTTTCTACAAGCATGAAGCTTGCATAATAATACCTCAGAAGTCTGGAACGGATGGCATGGAAAGTCAGCAGGAATTATCCGAGTCGAAAAAGGATGCTCGCCGTGGTGGAGATCCGGTCACGAGTGACAGAAGAAGGTACAATACCTATGGAAGGCGAATGCGGGAGACTCGGCTCTGCTTGGTGGGGAATCAGGGCATCATCAGCATATTCTTATTAGTGTTCTGTGAGGCACTTGTGCCTCGGTGCATCAAAAAGTTTTCGCTGGAATGTTGGTGTCCAAATTTCAGCGTCAAGCATGTGGACACACACACTACTGCATTCAAGTTGTGAGAGCGCAGGGCTGCGGCCGTATTTGATTTAGGAAGCCATGTGCTTAGATGCTGTGGTCTGGGGAGGACACCTCTGCGCAGCAACCCAGAGCTAATACAGTGTCTTGAGATGCAGTGGCCATGTCCGGTCGCGAGTACCTAGGTAGGGTGGGAACTCAATGTTCAGGCTGTGTTCCATAGAACTCAGCTCAGCTCCGTCGACCCGACGGCCCTTATGAGGAGTATCCAAACTGTAGGAGATCGCGCTGTAATATTGTGAAGAGTTATGAACGGCCAGGAGTACCTACCAGGTGATGTACCACTGTATTAGGTCACCCACATACCTTACCTATAGGTATCAGGGCATGTTCCTGGCCGCGTACCTATTGTCACCATACACCGTAGAGCCGGGTATGGTTCTAGGTAGTAGGGGAACCTGGAGGTGTAGTAGTAGTTGTAACTGTGCAGCTGAATATGTCGGTGGTGGGCATCTCCCCACAAAAGCCGGCTTCCGCACATCACCACTAATCTGCACTACCAGAGCCACTAACTGCAGCGCCAGAGCCGAGAGCCAGTAGTGCCGGTGCATCTCGCGGGCCACCTCTTATATCATCGAGTGACGCTGTGGCCAGGAATTGATCAGTCTCGTCTCCGGCCCGGGCGCTGCGGTGTCAAGTTTTCAGTTACCGCCAATAATACATTGTACAGTCCAGGCGCTCTGTTCTGTTCGAGAATTCTCCTTCCAGCTCACCGATGACCCGGCTCCCTCTCTCCCTTGCGCTGGATCCGGATGCAAAAAGCCTGCGGCCGTCATCAGTCAACTTTTTGACCAGTTCTTGTGTTCTGTCATCTCTTCTCATCTCAGTTCAAATCTCATCGCATCTCCTCGCTCGACCACGGAACTACAACACCCAGACGCTACTACAGTAGTAGACTGCGCAAGCACCAATTGTCATGTGCATTTATTATACCCTGGCCCACGCCACGTCGTGAGCCGAACTATCACTCAACTCTCCGGACCATCGACTAATTAGTGACAGCCGGAACTGCCACTTTAGGTGAGTCTACGGCCAAGCCGACTGAGTCCAAACTGCGGAGTTACCAGTCGCAGTGCAGAGGCACGCCTGCTCGTTCTCTTTTCCCACTACACATACATGTCTATAGCCGTCGCTGCCTGAATCACTTGATGCCTTCTCTCGAGCTCTTCTCATTGCATACCCTTGTCAAATGCTGACGACGATCGTCTACAGTCAAGCACGGCGAACGAGCGCAATTCCGCAACCGTCATTCTGCCCGAAGTGACCATTGAAATACCTGGAGCACTCCAACGCCCATAATCATCCGCCGTTGCGAAACTGGCGCTCTCACGAGAAAACGCGAAAAGATTCTTCAGACTGAACCTCCCTTCTGTTCCTGCCCAGACCGTTCCTCTCTATCCTGTCCCAACTGGCCGGACCGATAGCAGGGATTTGGCGGAAGCCAGGGAAATGGTGTTCGCCGACGTTGGTCGACGTTCGCCGGATCGACGGGGCAGGAGTTCGAGTATTGTCGGTGGCCCGATCAGCGGTGCGCTACATCGGCCGCGACTTGATAGCAATGGTCGACATTCTTCCCGCCAATCCGCCAATGCCGAACCTGCTGTCAACACGACGCATATAGCAGACGAAAAGCCTGTTGCCTCTGGCAATGGTGTGTCGGTCTACATATCCCTGGCGGAACCCGTCCTGTTCCTGCAGGGCTTCGATCCCAATGATCCGTCTACGCACAGCACAACAATGCTCAGAGGGAGTCTGCTGTTACGGGTCCAGAAGCAAGCGAAGCTAAAGTCGATATCTCTGAACTTTCGAGGCAAATCAGAAACAGAGTGGCCGGAGGGCATTCCACCTAAGCGCGTCGAGTTCAAGGATACCACCACCATCATGAATCATACTTGGTCATTTTTTAATGCGCAAATTCCTTCCGCCGAGTACAGCTATGGTGCGGATATCGTCCAGCTACACAAAGGCCATTCTGCGGAGTCAAAAGATATCGGTGTGACGGTGTCTTCTTTTGATTTGTTCCAGCGCAGCGCTTCACCCGCCAAGGCTACAAGCTCCCGGGAAATCAAGAGGTTGTCCCTGCAGGCGAACCACTCCCGGAGTTTCGGAAAAGGTGATACCATCAATGGAGGACCCACCGTTGCTCAAAAGGGGTTCAAAGTGTTCCATCCTGGTGACTATATCTATAATTTTGAGTTGCCACTCGATTCAAGGCTGCCAGAGACCATCAATGTTGACCTCGGCCACGTCAAGTACGAACTAGAGGCCCTAGTCGAACGATCGGGCGCATTCCGCGCCAACTTGGTGGGCAACAAAGAACTTACTTTGATTAGGGCCCCTGCAGAAGGCTCTCTAGAGCAGGTGGAACCAATCGCCATATCCAGGAACTGGGAGGATCAGTTGCACTACGACATTGTTATCTCGGGGAAATCTTTCCCTTTGGGCTCTACTGTCCCGATTGCTTTCAAGTTGACCCCACTGGCAAAAGTGCAATGTCACCGGATCAAAGTTTTCGTCACGGAGAACATCCAGTATTTTACCAATAACAAAAAAGTCCACAGGCTGGAGCCGACGAGGAAAGTCCAGTTATTTGAAAAGCGCGCTGATGGCCACAGCGTATCCTCCTATCCAGGCAGTTCTATGCGTATCTTGGCTGGGGGTGGGGTCCCGTACGATTACCGGCAAGCTGCCGCGGCGGGTGAGGAAGACATTCCAAGGGATCAGACCAATTTGTTGGGCAATCTGGACAACGATGCTGGAAGCATTGGACCCACCGAGATGGAATTCAACGTCCAGCTGCCGAGTTGTCACCAGATGAAGGAGAAGTTGAGGAGTGAACGGCTTCATTTCGATACAACGTACTCCAACATCCAGGTGAATCACTGGATCAAGGTTTGTATCTCCTGCCCATGGATTTGTGACCCCTTCTAACCGTTCCAACGTAGATTGTGATGCGCTTATCTCGACCGGACGAGAACGACTCAACCAAGCGTCGGCATTTTGAAATTTCTATCGATTCACCCTTCAACATTCTCTCCTGTCGTGCCACTCAGGCCAACATCTCATTACCAGCCTACGACGCTGGTGGCGCTCCGCCTGCTCCGCTGGACGAGTACGAATGTGGCTGCCCAGGAGCAGCATTGAAAAGACGAAATACCCCTCCTGTGTTGCCCCGGATACCCGCCTTGAACGGGCCTGGGCAAAACACTGGTGTCCAACGAAGTTGGACCAATGATTCGGGCGGGTTAACATTACCTACTCAAGCTCATGTCCATAACGAAGCCAATATCTCCCAACCAAGACCCATGCATCTGCTCCGGAGTCCGTCCTTCAATCCCCCAGCTTTTGACGAGGACGAACCTCCGCCACCTCTCGTCACGCCACCTCCGTTATACGATAATGTCGTGGCCGGAGATTCAACGAGCGCACTAGCCGATTACTTTGCCCGTCTCGCAGATGAAACCTCGGACGAAGATGATCGCTTGGATCGGTCACGGATGGATTATCCCCTTACCCCGGGCGGCCGAGTCAACAGGAGTATGGATATCACGCGAACATGGCAACCCATCGGTGAAACATCCAATGGGGTACCTCACAACCCCTCAGGACTTGCAACCTCGACATCAGTTGCTCCATAGTAGCTGGGACGAGCAGTATAATGTATGTGTTACTTTGTATCACGGAGTGTCAGGGTCATGAATGATGAGCTTCACGACATGGTACGGGATTTTGCTGCAAAATACGGTGGCAGGTGGCATCTTGATTGAGACATTTCGGAATCTGAGCTGGCGCATGACATTGCAGGGGAGACTAAGACCCCAGACTTTGGACGGATAGGAGCAAATGTCATCTCTTCATAGCGAGCGATATTCCATGCTATAACACGTAGGTCGACTTCGATGAAACATTCCCCAGCCTTGAAACCGAGGCGGGACTCTTCTTGCCAGACAAAGTGCGATAGATCCACCAACAAGTACGGGATGCACTGCCAGATGCCGATGACAGTCAGGGTCATCTTTACCCAGTGCTTGGGTACGCTGCTGTCCACATATGGTTGTAGTAATAATGGTAGAAACTGCTCGCCGCTCACCCCGAATCGGAGCGGTGGAGCGCCGCCTTGTGCTCACCCCCGGCTCCTACTAAGATATCCTAGAATAATATCAAAAGTAGAGTATAGCTCTCTATGTTAGCAGCTCTAGAAGATCTGCCGCTACTACAGCTAAAAGGTCAGATAATCAAAAAGTATACCGAGTGAGGATAGAAACCAAACAGCCGTATGGTAAGTGCCGTATAAAAGAAGCCGAACGAGAAAGGATGAGAGAGAATAAAACGAACTTGGCATCTAACACCTAATTACCTGGTATACTATGTGGTCCCACAATGACGCGGAAAAGGTCTGGAATAATGATCAATAGATACCTACATAATCAATCAATCAATCATTCATTCATTCATTATTACCTATTTATCAAAAACCCCACCTAGCTGCCACCTGGGCAAGTTGCCACCTCCTCCCCCGGGAGTGCTCCCGGAGGATCACCTATCTGTGCTATCATCCCCCATGAAATCGTTGGGCCCCTCTCGGCTGGCCCTCCCGTTCTCGGGCCACTTTGAATCGCCGTTGGAGGAGAGGCGTTGGCGGACTGGACTGGACTGGTGTGCACCTGGAACGGCGAAAGAGCATGACTTCAACCACTTGATGTCTTGACTGCCACTACATGTTCGTCTCTTGACGACCCCGAACTTCCAGCGCCAACGACGTCGAGAGGAAATGAGAGAGGACCCTTGGACACCGAGTCTCATCATTCTGAATGCCTTCTGACTTTGCCGAACCCGTCGCGTGTCATCTCCATGCCTGGAACAGGCGTCGCACAAATAAGCCAACATCAGTCATGCCAGTCTGCAACTATCAACGGCGAGCAGCGACAGGATGGCTCTCAATCCAGGCGCCGTCAGCCTAAAAGTCGTGCTGGTACGCTAGGCTCTTACGTCGGCTTTCTACAACTTTGTTTGCTAAGAGATGTGCCCACTTATCAGGTTGCAACACCTGCAAGGCCAAGCGTATGAAATGTGATGGTGAGTGCTGGCCTGGATCAGAGACGATAGACGCGGTTTCTGCAACACCCATCACCGAAGAATTCTTCGCGTCATGCACAGCATTCCCACCCTCGACTCTGATCCCCTGCGTTGCAGATAACAATATGTTAACGAACCTGCCAACGACGTCCAGAAGCCAGACCATCTTGTTCGAAATGCATAGAACGGGGAGTCGAATGCGGAGGTTATGACAGGAATCTAAAGTGGAAGCTGGTGGGAGGACAGCCCAAGCAGCGGAAACGACCTGCAAGTACGCTCGCTTCATTATTGAGCCATCTCCAGTCCTTCGATCTGATCAGAAGGCCGCGATGCTGACTCATTCTCAGGAGGACAATCTCAAGGTTCGGAAACGATGTCCGTCGAAGGGACATCTCATCCCTTCAACGAGAATGCTATACCGGACGGCCAAAATACAATATCGCCTCGGCAACCGGACGCGAGCTTGACCCGGCGAATCGATACAGCTAATAATGTACCATTACCAAGAGTGCAGTCAGAGCATGATTGGTCTTTGTTGCTGCAAGACCAATTATGCGACTTTACGGACGGTGAGCTCAGTGCCGATTTCTTCGTTGGTGACGAGAACGTGCAGTTTGATATGCAGATCAACTTGGGTTCCCATGGCAGAAATGCATTAGGCCAAGTGGCGGAGGATAGTAGCAACCATGGATTTTCCTTGATGAATCCGGTACAATTCGATTCACAGAAGCAGAAGTCGCCCGACCTCTCTGACTTGACGTTTTCGCCAATCAGCACACTGCAGGGCTTCGAGGGGCTTGTGAATGCAGGAAATAACCGGCCTCAGACACCTGAACGGGCTCAAGGCGCAAATGCTTCTGCTCGTGGTCAATCGAGTCGGCGAGCTAATCAGCCCGGAAACCACAATGTCGCTTACCAGCAGCCATATTCGTTCATCGACAGCCCGGAGACGGTCAAGCAGCTTTTCGACGAGCACCTTTCTGATGTCATTTCCATCAAGGACGACCAACCCAAAGACCCATGGCGAGTGTATGTTTGGCCCATGGCTGACAGCTGTCCAGCACTTTACCATGCCCTTGCAGCTATGACCTATCTATACGCGAGCAACTCACGACCGCAACTCCGTGCAGCAGGTCTTGAGCACTTACGCGCCAGCCGGCAGGCTTTCACGCCGGGCGAAAACACGACCAGCATGTCCCTGCACGCCTCTCTGGCTGCTAGATTGGTTCTTAGCTTTGCGGAATCTTGGGGCGGCCAACCAGCTTCCTGTGCCACTGAGCATATCAGGATTGCCTCGGGCCTGCTTCGAGACGCGTTCGAAAAACATCAGAATACGCGGCTCCAAGGCGAGGAGCTGGGATGTCTGAGCTTCCTAGCACGTATTTGGATCTACAAGGATGTTATCAATCGTTTGACAACCTCATATAGAGACGAGCCGGTCGATGTGGATTCTATCACCGCCTATGTTCTGCTTGACCCTGTACCAGTGGAACAGCAGCTCCATCCACTTCTGGGTTGCGCAATCAAGCTATTCCCATTGCTCGGGCGCCTAACCGACGTGATCAAATCCGTTCAGAGGAGAAGTGAAAAGCATAATTCCCCATCGATGATTTCCAAAGCCGCATCATTGCGGCTGGCAATCGAAAGTTGGAGTCCATCCATTGATCCCGATCAGTCAGGAGGGTTGACATCCTACATTTCCGACTTCATCCAGACTGCAGAGGCGTATCGCTGGGCGGCGCTGCTGCTTCTTCGGCAAGCCGTTCCGGAACTGCCATGGATCCATTCATTTTGGGAATTGGCGGAAAAAGTTTCAATCTATCTCGCAACCACCCCTGTTACGTCTCAAACGACAATCATCCAGACATTCCCTCTCATGGTCATAGGCGGTGAAGCTTTTGACCAAGAAGATCGAAAATGGGTCTGTGAAAGATGGGATGCCATGTCCACGCAGGACCCGTACGAGGCTCCCAAATGCAAGCGAGTCACTCAGGAGGTGTGGAGGAGAAGGGACGAGTTCGAGGCAAAATGCGGAGTCTGCCCTTCCTGTGGCGCGTACCGTGTCAGCTTATTGGGATTCAGTCCCAGCGTGGACAATCCCACAACCACCGATGGACCATCTGTTACACCTGCGAACTCGTCCGACCAAGGAAGTCGCCGCTGTCGATGTAGTGCAGCCACGAGGATCACCGCGCAGGCGTCTAGATTTCCCGATTCCCTCGCTTTCAAAAAAGGAATCGACAACTTTACAAGGGCAGGCAACCTGCATTATACGGTCAGGGGGGATTTGCATTGGCTAGGAGTCCTGAAAGATTGGGACTGGGAAGGTGAGCTTCGGAACTTTTTTTTTCATTCATGATGGTTCTTATCCACAGGCGTGATTGTGTTACTGACCGTCTATAGTGCTGCTTGGATGAAGGAAACATCCCCACGCTCCGGCATCGAGCACTGAGCAGTGAACCCCCTGGCGTCGTTGGCCTCTTTCAGCGTATACCCAGGCAGAGAAATTGGCCATTCGCTGCAGTGCAGAATATGAGAACTTCTTAGTCTCCGACATTGCAACCGGATCGCCTCTGTCCACAGATGGGACACGAATTGGACATGAGCAGCTCTCTCGATAAACAGTGTGGAAAGTATCGGACTGAATAATAATATCTCGAGGCGCTGAGGCTCGACTGAGGTCCGGGTTTTTCACCAGGATGTCGATACATATCTAACGAGGTAGACACAGATCCCAAAAAAAATCTTGATCATTGGTACATGTTTATTGCAGGTGAGCTTTATGGTTGGCACAGGTTTCCTGTTTGAAGAGATTGATGTAAGAATACATGAGCGAACCCCTGGAAATAATGGAGTTATAAGTAATCAAAGCTTCGAAATGTCAAATCAGTTCAATTGTGCTGGCTAAAGACATCGAGTCATCACAAAAGTGTTTTCCAAAATGTCAGTCAGCTTGAAAAAGGAATCATCTCCTCAATGGCTTTGCTGGAATCTTTGGGCGACCGACAGACTTGGCCACGAAGAAGATAAGTATTTGTCAAAAGGGTATGAGAAAAGAGCACCCGACCAAAGTGGTCGTCCTCGGGCGTTTCCTGTCCATATTATGATGGTGATAGTCTGGACTCGGAGTGTCCAGCAACGTGGTGTGGTGACTACTGTTGAGCCAAAGACGCTGAAGACTGAAGTTACAAGTACAGCTAGCTGATGGTGCGCGCTCCTTGATTCTACATCCTGTCCTCATGATCAGAAAGACAGGGGCTCCAACTTCAACGCTGTCTACACTGCCGACGTTATTGTGGTTTCCGAGCGGTCTCTCAGGGGCGGGGCCTGAACCCGAGAGAAATCCGTCTGTTCAACTTCAGCCATAAAGCCTTGTGAAGACACTGGGCTTAGGAGAGATCAGAACGAGGGTCGGCGCGAGACAAAGTAAAAAAAAAAAAAGGAAAGAAGGAAACCCCCATCGGGCGTATTTATCATATATGGTAGGTCTGATAGATCGGTGATCGACTTGGTACCTCCTCGTAAGGAGTGGGCGAGAAAGTGCTTTACATATGTCTGCGCCGTCCATCCACCTCTCTCAGTTTCCTGCCTAGGTAGGTAGGTACCTGGGTTGCCGCATTTTGTGCGAATATGGAGAAAAAGTACGCCATTATACGAACCTACTGGGGCTAGGGTGGCTGATAGGTATGAACTGGGGACTTTTTCGCCTCTTTTGCAATTAAATCACTACAACGTTGTACACTGGCACTGATAAGTGCTGAACAATGAAATCTCCATCAAAGTTGGGCATTGCTCAGTTGTTATTCGAAAGACTAACTGTGCTGACCTATACAAGTGGCTTTTGTTTTCTTTCGAGAGGATTGAACAGAGATACTGACATGGCTCGAAAACAGAGACCAGTCAAATCTTGTTCTGGCGCGCAGACACGCAGGTATCAATCGAAGTTTCTCAGATATGGAGGTTGCTGGCATTGGCATTGGCAATGAATGAATCAGTTTCTTGAGCTATATTATATGTTATCTGATGCTGTAACGAATTGATACAAATTCAATCCCGTTGCGATTTCTTCCTGTCAAGAGTGTTCTGGACGTGGCTGTGACTACCTAGCGCTCGTAATCCCAGAGTCATCGGAAATGATTGACTAGAAGTACTATACTATCGGTAGATCTTTCACGTTCTCTCACCACGCCAAAACGGCTTGATTGGCTTGACAGGTTGCACCGGGGCAAAGCTCCATGTCCTCCTTGCTCACCGCAGCATCAGGCGGTAGAGTCTGTTGGGCAGGCCAGATCTCTCGCTTTGCGGCCTTCTCGCGCTCGACATGCTCTTTGATCGCCTGGCGCGCGCGCTGCTGGAAATACAAAGGACCTTTTTCGAGCCTGGGGTGCATCTGGCCATTCACAAACACCCCAGCGTTGAGATTCTTTTGGGAAAGTTCGCAGAGGACTTTGTCCTCCGAGACAACTTTGGCATAGAGCTTATGGATACGTTGGAAATCCTCTTCGGATGAATTTTTGTTCCGGAAAATCTGATAGTGCATCGAGGAGCTCTTGGGTCCATTGGGAAGGAAGCGTTGCAGCATAATAAAGTGTGGCCTGGAAATCTTTGTGTAAGTAGCCCGAACTTTTTTTTTTTTTTTCAAGGAATTTATGAACGCCACTCACAGGACTGAAATGGAAACATTGGGAAAGAAATAAGTACTGCCAATCGCCATCCCTAGCCTCTTTTGCTCTTCCGTAGGGACAGACTGATGTTTAATGTATCCGTCGACACCGGAGACATCGTGCGTCTCAATGTCTGCCAGTGTAGGTATGTCGGGATGAGCAGTAGGACAGTGATAGCATTCGTTGAAATTGTCGGCCAGAATCTTCCAATTGTATGCACCGTCGAGCTTGTACTCATGGTCGAGAACATAGTCGTCAAAGTTGTAGACCTTGTAGCGCTCTTGCGTGTCGACACCCTCAAAGTCTTCCTCCCATGGCACCTCTGGGGTCTCCTTGCCATCAAGGTTGACCCAAATAAATCCGCTGGCGTCGATGCGCACATGAATCGGGAATAAGCCGTTCTGAGACTTGTCGAAGCCTTCAAGCTCGTCGTACTTTGGCGCCTTTGCCAGCTTGCCGTCTAGACCATATGACCAGCCGTGATACTTGCAGGCAAAGATCTTGGCGGTTCCTTGCTGCCCTTGCACAACAGGGAATGCACGGTGACGGCAGACGTTGTGGAATCCGTGGATCTGATCCTTCCGGTCCCGGCACAGCACAAACTCGTACCCGGCAATTTCAAACTTGACGTAGTTCCCTGCTTGGTTGAATCTCGATCTGTGGGTGATGAGCATCCATCGCCTGGAGAAGATGGCGCGTCTCTCAAGTTGGTACATCTCCTCAGAGGTGTACCAGCTGGCTGGAAGTGCTCTCACAGGACTGGAATTGGATTCCGCTGTGGCCGCTGACGCTGAGCCTCCGAAACCGAGATAGTTGAGAAGAGCCATTGTTCTTGAAGGTGCAGGTTCGATCAAAGTTAGATGGAGCCACGGGAGGTGAGATGCTTCTTGTCAGTTGCAAGAGTTGTAGAAGAGGCTGAGACTATTTATCATTTGTATGGCATCATGAGGCCATCCCCCGGACATGACGGGTTTGGTCCTCTGGGAATCCATTGACATTCTCGGTCATCCATCACCTATGTCTGGAGACCAGCCTCCAGAAAGACCACTCCCCCAGAAACTTCCAGATGGGGACATTTCCCATCAGACTGTTCCTCACTGTGGTGTCGGCTCATGGGGTTTTTTCGCCCTAATTAGCAAGCGCTTGTGGGGCCCATCCCAGATTTACCCCTTTGGGATGGTACTTGAAATAGTATGGACTTGTGTTGGCAGGCGCACTGAAATTGATGAGTTCTATATTATAGGTAGTACTTTTATAAAGCCGTTAGCTTTTATATTAGCAAGAACTTATCTATCGTTCTAACCTGGCTCGTCGATCTAGTCACCGCGGGTGCCCTAATCAATTATTTAGTCATCGCAACTTGAATTACCTACCTCAACTTCTACCATGCGTACAAAGCGCAGGGTTTGGACCGCAGATCGCTCCCCTATTATGGCCGCTTCCAGCCATACAGTGCTTACATTGGCGTTGTTGCCATGACACTGATCTTGATCTTTGGATACGGCGCCTTTGTCCCTTGGAGTGTGACCGGCTTTTTCCAGAATTACACCATGCAAATTGTGGCACCTATTCTCTACTATGGTTGGAAATTGTTCAAGAGAACAAAGACTGTCAAACCGAGAGAACTCGACCTGATTTGGGAACGGCCCGTCATTGATGCCTACGAAGCCAGCTTCATCAGTCGTCCCATCGAGTTCTGGACCGAGATGGGCCAATTGGTCGGCATTAAGAGGCACCTGAGGGATGACGAACGGATCACGAATCCATGCACAGGGCGAAGTTGGGAACGAAGACGGCCAGGCACAAGAAACAGTGGTGTCTTGCCGTCATCTCCCGTGAACGGGAAGACTAATTTCGGCCGCACAGATTCCTACGGGTGGTTGTCGTTGTATCCTTCGATAGTACGTGCCGTCTAAGAGGTCATCTTCTGACAAGCATTGACTCAAGATGGGCCCCCATGATTTTGTCCACTCCGCTCTTGCTTTCAATCCTTCTAAGTGCTGTTCATAGCAGAATACAAAGTGAACAGAACGCTTGATACTCTCCGAGGACTGCCAATGCCACATTAGGTCGCCACAGGTTCAGAATATGTGAATTGGGAAAATGTGGAGGCATAAAGTCTAGATCACCATAGCATCGCAGGGTAAGCTCGGAACGCGGGCACTTGAGATGTTGACGCGTTCACCTATCGCATGGTTTCTGCTAGAACAGGAAGTTGCAGGTTTGAAATCGCCGCTACAGTAGGTAATTCATCAAACGACAGTATCTATGTGGGGGGAAGGGGGAGTTTTTGGCCAGATGGACGATAGTCTCGTCGACTCCTGGAGAGAGCCAACCGTTTGATATCGTCTGCTTCATCCCCAAAGACTCTCCTTTCCTCAACGAGCCTGCTTGCCAATGCAGTCCACTCGCCCTGGTGTATAATCCATGGAAAATAGGCGCGGGACTATTCTCGATCGATCTGCTTTGCGATACGTTCAGCGGTTCCCCTTGGCAGCGCAACCGGGAGAAAAAGGAGACAATGTCCAAAATGTTGGAACTCAAGATCGCCCGGGTCGACGTTTTCCGGGTCGATCTGCCCTACGTGGGAAAGGTTTACCGGCTCTCCGGTGGCCGTGAATACGCGAGTTTCGACGCCACCATCGTTCGGATAACAACACAGAACGGCATCGAGGGATGGGGAGAAAGCACCCCCTTCGGGTCCACCTGGGTAGCATCTCATGCGCTCGGAGTCCGGGCGGGAATCGCAGAAATTGCGCCCAAGCTGATTGGGCTCGACCCTCGGAGGGTTGATCGAGTCAACGAGGTCATGGATGCAGCACTTGTTGGCCATGAACACGCAAAGACCGCCCTGGATGTGGCGTGCTGGGACATTTTTGGTAAATGGGCGGGGCTTCCAGTCTGTGAACTTCTGGGGGGTCGCACGGGTATCCAGTTACCCCTGATATCGTCTATACCTGTGGATGAACCCGAAGTGATGCGTCAACACGTCGCCAAGTTTCGCGCAAAAGGGTATCTTGGACATTCGGTCAAGCTGGACGGGGTCCCCAAGAAGGACGCCGAACGGATCGCCGCCTGTCTTGCCGACAAGGAACCCGGGGAATTCTTCATTGTTGACGCCAACGGTGGCCTGACGGTCGAGACGGCTCTACGGACCCTGAGGTTGCTACCGGACGGATTGGACTTCGTCCTGGAAGCTCCTTGTGCTACATGGCGAGAACACCTTTCTCTCCGGCGCCGGACCAATGTCCCCATCTTTTTCGACGAACTTGCCACCGACGGCGCGTCCATCGCAAAACTGATTGCCGACGATGCGGCCGAAGGAATCGATCTCAAAATCTCAAAGGCCGGCGGCCTGACCCGGGCTCGTCGTCAACGTGATATTTGTTTGGCGGCTGGATATACCATAGGGGTGCAGGACACCGTTGGCTCAGACATCGCGTTTGCCGCCATTGTCCATATGGCCCAGACCATCCCGGAGCGCCATCTGCGCTGCATTCTGGAATCGCGCGACATGGTCGCGCTCAAGACGGCCGATGGCGACTATCAGGTCCACAACGGTCGTATCACAGCACCTACCACGCCCGGCCTGGGAATCACACCGAGACTGGACGTTTTGGGTGAAGCAGTCGCTACTTATACCTAGCTCAGGCTGTTCCAACAGAACTGCCGGTGCGCCGCGGGGCGAACTGGTGTCTCCCCTAGATCAAATACAACACTGGAGAGTTGAGCTTGGAGCTCTCTTGGTGACCGAATACGTCAATATTGCAGCTCACGAGTCAGTAGCGTTCATTGACAAAGGCCTGCACCAAACCTTGTAGATTTTTATGTTGTTTTTCTCTCAAGGGTAAGCAATCGGTAGCTTGAGACGAGGATGAGAAGTAGTACCAGATGCCACAGGGCCGAACAACTTTCGCATACGCATCCTTATCGCTGGGCTCAATGAACAAGCGGGCTATCAACAAGTGTTTGTGATGGAAGGGATCCAAAGGAAAAATTCCTCTTCCATCGGATCATCACGAGGAACTTTGCTGCTGGTGATGGCCTATGCATGGGATGCTCGCTTCGGCCTCCATCATATATGCCCCACCACGCACAGAGTACCTTGTTAATGTTGGTAGATGCGGCAAACCGCAGGCAATTCATCGTCCAGCTACTCACAGTAGCCTTGATGGAGGACTGAGTCACGGCAGAGTCACGGCGAGTTTATCCGCCTCAAAACAATCCTCGAATTAATTACCGTTTTTGGATAAAAGGACGTGGATCCCAGCCAACTCAGGTTATCAAAGAACAACAGTCAACCTCCTTCTACTCCTGCAATCTTGCCTAGGTTTGGGCAGTCCAAGAGTAGCGTTTACCCCTTTTTGAGGACCATTTCACGGTCTGGAACCTCGAACATCAAGTTCCCGGGCGACGACCGCAAACATCGTACTTGGTGATATACATTATTGAACATTGATCCGGAGTTCTCACGCACTGTAGAATCACAACTACAATATTTTGCTTCTTCATCTTCAACTTCACCCGGCCAAATTCCTCTCTCCCCCCACCTCCCCTCCCCTTCTTGCCCCATTCTCTTGCAGCATTTACGCCTGGGCGGCAACTTGTTCGAGAAGCACTGGAAGAAAGATGGCCAACGACCAGATCAAACAGCGTCAAGCCTGGCGCAGGACCGACGATTACACTCCGGGCACGCCCAAACTCAAGCTTGTCATTGAAGATCTACCTTTGCCCTTGGATCCCACCGCCGCTTTGATCAAGGTCCATGCCGTGTCTTTGAATTATCGAGACGCAAACATCTCGAATGGCGGCAATCCATGGCCCGTGACCCCGAACGGCATCATCTGCAACGATGCGGCCGGGGAAATCATCGCTGTAGGCGATAAGGTGAAACGCTTCAAGGTCGGAGACCGCGTGGCCCCAACCATTGATACCGCCTATATTACCCATCGGTCCACCGGACGGTCCTGGCTGGCAGCGAACGAAGACGGGGTCCTTGCCACGTACATTGTTTATGACGAAGAGGTCCTGGGAAAGCTACCTACCTACCTATCCTGGGAGTGCGCCTGTTTGATCCCTTGTGCGGGTGTAACGGCATGGGCCGCGCTGAGGGATGTCGGGATCGGTAAAAGCGTCTTGATTCAGGGTAAGTTCAAGACTGGCCACCTTCCAAGAAAGACGAAAGATATGCTGATCGGGGCCATTCTTCAGGGACGGGCGGCGTGAGTCATTGGGCCTTGAAACTTGCTCGAGCTGCAGGCCTGAAAGTCGTTTTGACTTCATCCGACGACAACAAACTGAGCAAGTTGAAGAAGCATTTTGGAGCTCCAGAAATCCTGACCATCAACTATTCCAAAACTCCCGAATGGCACGAGGAGGTGCTCAGACTCACAGATGGCATTGGAGTCGACCTTGTCCTTGAAATGGGTGGATCGTCGTCGTTGGTGAAGAGCCTCAGATGTACGCGAAGAGGTGGCATCGTTAGTCAGGTTGGCTATCTCGGTAGACAGAAACCAGAGGATCTCCATGAGTTGGTGCCGACAATCATCGATCGAAGAGTGATATTGAGGTTTGTTGTGGGTGATTCTTCTTCTGCAGCCAGGATTGCTAACCTTGTTGCGTCAGGGGCATCAACGCCGGTCCTGTATCTGACATGGAAGATCTCTGTGCCGCTTTGGAAGCTACGCAGATGAATCTTGACGACATCATTGACAAGGTCTACCCGTTTGACCAGGCAGAGGAAGCATTGCAGTCTCTGTGGGAGGGCAAGGTAATTGGGAAGCTGGTGCTTCGTCTGTAAGCTTGGATATGTCTCCCGTACGCTGGATTCTAAAGGGCGGGAAGGGGATAGCTGAGCCCGCATTACGAGGCCACGGGGATGCTCTCGGACCGACAACTTAAGATCAACGGAATCTGTTCTTGAGGACAATCCGTGACTAAACGGTCAGCGCCATTATCAACACGAATACTCTGCACTTCTTCGACGAGTCTCTGATTGAACTTGTCGTAGACTGCATATCTAAGAAGTATCTTGTTGTTACATACACACATCTGGACCATTACCTTAGATTTGCCGACTAGGCACTCGCTACAGCCGTTTCCAGCGGCGTCGTCAAAGACGATTGAAAAAGCGTTGCCGCCTAACTCGAGGCTGAGTTCCGTAAGTGTGTTACTCGATTGCTTCATCAGCAGCGTTCCGATTGTGGTAGAAGTTGAAGAGGATATCTCGTGGAGAGTATCGGATTCGCATAGCCGTAAGCCCAATTGTGGAGTATTGTCGAGAGCAGTCACGACACTAACAACGCCCTTCGGAACGGCTGCTCGCTTGGCCAAGTCTGCCCGAGCCGTCGAAGAAAAAGGAGTAAGCCCACCAGGCTTCACGACCATTGATCATCCTGCCGCAAGAGCTGCAGGTATCTCGTGGGATGCCATTGCCAAAGGAGAATTCCAAGGGATAACGAGTTCGGCATACTCCAATTGGCTCCTTCACAACTTGAAATTTTACGAGTCGGCACACTGTGAGGAATCGCATCTCATAGATCCGCGAAGCCTCTTTGGAAAACCGCTAGAAAAAAATGGCGGCGAACAAAACTCCGCCCGCGGCATCCCTCGAGCATTTTCGTTCTCTGCTGTGATGATCATCGCAAGGTCGTCCTTGGGCACGAGTGCCAGCTTGTAAATTCGCCCTCTCTGTCAGCGAATCTGCAACCTCCACAATGGTAAGGCGGTTTTCGCGGTTCGAACAGCGGTGTCGATGTCGTCTGTATTAAATTCAGGAGCTTCACCGATTTTTCTTTTCCACTTACCTATTTCGAACGTCGTGTACATCTGGCTGCCTATGAAATTTGATAATGACGTCGCGCGCGTGCAATGGGCTTCTAGAGCAATCAAGTCGTAGGACTCGACCAACCAATGAAGTACATCGTTCGACCCCAAGAGGCACTTGAATATGATCAACCAAAAAGCCACATCACCATCAAGGAGATAGGCGTAGAAGCGGCCCGTATTGCAACAGTTGCAGTGCCGAAATCATTTCCCTCGTTCACGAAGGAGGCTATAACACAGATGCGGGCAGAGATCATTGCAAAGTTCCGTGCGATGCAAAGTACTTGGCGCCTTGTAGGCGGTGGTGAATTTCGTCCACACTCCGGAAGTCGGCGCAGCAAACACGAGCAACAACGTCCATGGGTAGACAAGTACTTGCCAAGAAACTGAGGCCATTCAACTCGGCCCTGGTGAAGCTTGAATTGTGAGAGCATGCCTGTCGAATGAGGCCTTTCGCATGATTGATGTGGTCGATGCCAGACGACGAGTGCTGCCAGTCCCATTCTTCGGCGAGACCCAGGGCTGGTCTCGCGGCAGTGACCACATTGAGTGGTGGTCCGCCATCGTACTCGTCGTTGGCTAGTGCTCGCGTGCTATTCCTGAGGTGCCGGATCCCCGTAGCTCGAAAGTGAGGTCAACTTCTGGATGGAAATGAGTACGCCATTGCAGCAAGGGCATGATATAGGGCAGGACAGTTAGAGGCCGAAAGCCGATCAAGACATGCCATAGACTCTCCACTATATCGTCCTTGATGGAAGGAATGCTGTGCGCCAGGTTTCGGGGAGGAGAATGTGATATCAATATCATGACCGGAGCTCGAGGCTGCTCTTGAAAGGCGCAAGGCTGGGGGGAGTCGCACGTGATCTCCGAGCAGGTTTGGTCGTCTTTGGATGCCAAGCCAGAGGCCGAATCCCGTGATCCGAGTCCTGCAGCTGCGATTCGAGTTGAAGCGTGACAGCTCCAAAATGTTCGGAGCAGTGTGTTGGACTGCTGGATTGAAAAGCAAATTGTTCACTTGAGCCATTGGCATAGCCTTCTTACACCTAAACCACTCCGGAGTGCCAGAATGTGCTATTGATACGTTTCCCCAACAGGTCACAGAGCGGTCCGATCATACACTCCCACAATGGCCGCCGCGGCCGCAACCACACTGGCCCATCAGGTGCCTCCAATGTCCCTGCCTCCCATGCCTCGCGTTCGACCTCCGCGAATGCTCAAAGGCACGGTCAGCCCCAACACGAATCCGCAACCAGGTGGTGAATTCCCGGAGGGCCTGTTCTGGGTACAAGGCAAATGGCGCGCCAGGGGCTCGAATGCGGCCAAAAATAAGAGGGCCACGCAAACCCGGCAAGCTGCAAAGGCGCCGCGACACGAGACCCATGGATTGAATATTTATGCATACCGCCATATACGGACGAACCAAGTGATATACAGTTTGACCAGGACGCTCGAGGTAAGCACTGCGACTGAGTTTCATACCGTCTACTCTCTAGATCTACGTGGACCACTGACGTGCGGTGTGTTCTCTTAGAATAACAAGGTGTTGAGACAATTGGTCTTCCATGGGAAGAAGACGGTGCCTGCTTCAGTCCGTCGCGACATGTGGACGCCTTACTTCTCAATCCACTTCCCGCCCACGCCTGCGGGAGCGTTAGAAGGTCTTTTTGCGTTTCAAAAACTGCGCGAGCTCTCCTTGCAGCGGCAGCTCTCGCCCCCGGATGACCTGATCAGGGTCACCCAGCAAGACATCGACACTGTAAAGTCAAAGCTCGGATCACCGGCGGATTTGCAAGAGGCGGCTGTACGAGATGAACAGTTGGCTGCGAGGATACCCAAACGGGGCGAGCTCTTGCCGAAGAAGCTACAGGCGCAAAGGTTGATGGATCAGAAAGCCACCAGTGTTGCTGATGCAGCTTTTGTCCTGGACTGGATAAGTTCAGGCCCAAGCCCATTGGATAGAATGGTGGAAATTGAAATGAACCGGGTGGCTCGGCACAAGGACAGGACGAAGAAGGCGCGGAGGCGGATTCATGCGATTCGAGACGAAGAGGCCAAAAAGAAGGACGAGATTATCCGACGTGCATCTTTGGCCTTACAGGATTTGGACCCGGAGGACCGTAGTCGCCTGCCTCTCCCAGCTGGTGCGCTCCGCCAGCTCAGTATGGAGCATCATGGCCTGGTGGATGGTAGCAAACTCGTCGACATCGACCAAGTCGCGGAACTCAAGGACGCGATTAAGGAGTGGAAAGGCTTCATCAACATCGATCCCAACAATTTTGATGAGGAGGAATGGAACCGGAGGCAATATGTTGTTCGTGCAGCCGAGCGAGAGGCAATCAAGGAGTGGTTTGAGGAGCATGATACCCCCACGACAGAGTCAGATTCGGTTTGGAATCGAGTTTCGGCCAAGAGGGAGTCGGCGCTGAAGGAGTTCGAGGCCGACACAAAGGCTAGACAAGAGCAGCGTCACGCCAGCAGACGCGAAGAGGCATTAAAGCGTGCAGAGGAAGCGGCCACGAAAGAACATGAGAAGCGCACGGCTGCTGGCTCCAACGCTCCCTCTCTGGAACAAATGATTGGACAGTACAAGAAGGATGCTCTTGAGCAATTCGAGCAGCAGGAGAAACAACTGGCCGCAGAGGAGCAGCAGAAGTCCAGACCTGACTGGGCAGACACTCGCGAGATCAAGATGTTCTGGGCCGATCTGAATGACGGTCTGTTCGCGTCAGCATGGCCGCAGAATGTGATACATGGCCCGCTGGCACCGTATGGCGTGGCCAAGGCCTTGGTGCGTGAGACAGAAGATCGAGTCATCGAGGAACTCGACGATGAAGCCGATGCGGGAGAGCGAACGCCTCGCACGCTGGAGGTTGTGACATCCAAGAGCGTGCATGTCATTGGAAGCGGCCTGGAAGACGGTTGGCTGCCTTCGGAGCTCAATACTATCCACAAGGAGCCTGCGCCATGGTCGCCACGACCAGCTGACCAGGACGGAACGTTAGCACAGCAATCTGCCCCCGACGCCGCGACTGCAGAACCCGCCGCTGACCAGCAAGACTTCGGAGTGTATTACGAAGAACCTAAGAAAGGCATGTGGGCTCGTGTGCGTGGCATGTTTGGCCGGTAAAGCAAGCAAGAATCGGCGAACAGGTGAATGGATACCTTTCTTTGGCCCACGAATATGGGTCGAAGAAATAGATGTCAAACAGACCAGTCCGACGGCTTTGAAAAGTCGACGTTTGGTCTCCCTCATTCATTTCGACTCGATCGTCAAGCTCTCCGAGGAAGCCGTGGGTGGGCATACTATCGATCATCACGATCAGTGCAAGCAGGCAGAGACGAGTTGAAGAGTCGGTCCTCTTGTGTCTTCTCCGTGGTGCCTCAATGCTTGAGAGGCTTCATCCTTCAGCCGCACGGTGGACTTTTCAGCACGACCAAAGGCCCTCGCTTGCGGCTTGGGTGCAGCTGTGCTTTTGTTCCCAGAACAATATGAATCTCCCATATCATTCAACCTTGGTACGAACCATATAGCTACCTGGCTATCTCCTGGTCTACTTAATGTGTTCCCCGGTACGAGTGATTGAATATTACGGCATGGCTTGGGTTGAGTTGCGCTTGGCTGAAGCAGGACGACGAGAAAATTCTTAGACATGCGCTTTCACTGTACAACATGACGACTAAGGTCAGGTCTACAATTTAGAGGTGTCTTACCTGTGTATCTATGGACCCGGTACATGTACATGTATGTCTCAAAAATTATAACCAAAAACTGTCCATTCCCTACTACATACCTAGCGATTTCCCTACTACTAGGTGAATTTCTTTCGATTGATTCCAGGTCATCTCGACCTTACATCCATACTTATCAGTCTCCGGACGCCATCTCCAAAGGCGCATGGCTGCCATTGGAAAGAATAAAAACAAAACGACTGGCTTTCATTCAGAGCCAGCCGATGTTGCGAGTGTAGCAGCCCTCGGGTTCAAGTTTTCACCCTGTCTTTTACCTCGTTGTTTTGATTTTTTACATACATTAATACTACTCCGTAACTTCCTACTGCTCGTCGACGTCGTAACAAGTTCATTGCAAATCGTATCGGTACCCATTCTCATCACGCAAACACCGATTTGATGGATCATTCCTCGAAAAATCCCGGACAGGCTCAAATATACCAGACCCGAAAGGAATGGATAACCTTTGTCATCGTAGTGACAAGGCAGCCGTTGCATCAACGATGCTGTGCCCTCTGCCGTTGCCTTTGAAGGTTCCAGTGGCCTTGTCGGCCTCGTTCCGTCTGCTCAAGACACTTTTCAACGCACCCAGCCATTTGGCCAGGTCATCTTCCGTTGGCGCACAGAAGCGGTACGACTTATCGTCCATGATGACCTGGAAGCAAAACTTCTTGGACTTGCTGATGGGGTCGATTTCGGCGGCGTCGATGACGGAATCCATGGGGAAGACCTTGACGGCCGAATACTCCTGGTCGTCCTTGTAGAAAGCCATCGTCCGCGGCCGGAGAACAACCCAGATCCATTTCCAACCTTTGACACCCGTCTTGTGGGATTTGAGGACCTGCAAGTACCCGTGACGGATAACGCGTTCCGGGTCGACGGTTGTGGGATCATTGGGTGTTGCAGGAGGAGGCACAGGTGATTTGGGACCGATGGTCTGGGGTCCATTTTTGTAGAGTTGCTGGGACGATGCAATGGGCGTCAAGACAGGCGGTCTGTTATGCAATGAAAGTGCAGAAGTCCGAGGTAAAGAGGTTCCTAGGCCGTCTGAGAAATCAGAGTGGGAGGTTGTGAACTGCTCGTTTCCAGAATACTCCTGAAGCGTGGACGTCCGCCTCTGGTGCTGGTGAGATGTCACTTGCGACCCTTTCCTCGATGCGCCACCATGCACAGAAGATGCAGTCGTGTACCGTTCCGGAGAACGAGAAAAGGATGTGGCTTCGAGCGGCGGTGCCACTTCGTCCGCGGACAGGTCGGTCGACTCATAATTGCTGGTGTTGGGGAGCATCATGTCGGAATACGTTGTTTGAGAAGAGAATTGTGGAGCCAGTATATCAAAGTCGTCTTCGTCTTCTGTCCGCGCTTCAGCACGGATATGCGCAATCCAGTCTGCTGTATCTGCCGGGCTCAGACCTTGGAAATGGTAGTTCTTTGATGGAGAGAATACGCCAAACACATTTTCCATGTGCGCCTTCCGAACCGGTGCCACGGCGTTGACCTCGGACAACGTTATAGATGCTTTCAGATCGGTTTCGTCTGCATTCTGGTAGACAGATAGCAGGTTCGGACGGAGCACCAGGTAAGCGGGTTTCCACGAGGGTTTCCATGCTCCTTTGTTCTTGATCCGCCGGTTCACCCTCCCGCTCTTGATCACCCGATCGAAACAAAAACTGCCATTCTGGTCGACTGGGGAGAAGACGTCGAGGTGTCGGTGACCCGACTGGTATGAAGCTGGCGCAAACGCAGCGGGTATTCGATGAGGCGATAGGTGAGGGGGAGGTGCTGGCATGGCACCAGCCCGCGAAGGCGTCGAGGGACGAAGGGGCGAGGTTGCAGCCATGGAAAGGGCAGAAGTACGCACAAGTCCTCAGACGGCGACAGGCTTTAGTTATACCATACTGTAGGTGATCAAGGCCGTCTAGAGAACGCGAAGCAGCTCGGGTGCATATAGGACATGCGGATATGTTTGGCGCAGCGTGGTTTTTCAGCAGCAAGCAGGGGTGTAGCTGATGATCACTCGAGTTCAGAGCTGATCACTTCGGTTTCAGACAATAACCAGTGAGTCGATGTCTTTTGGTTCGCGGTGTAGAAGATCAGGACGGAGGCAGATGTTGTTCCAGATGACGTGGGTTTATGAGATGTTCAGTGGTTGGCATTGTCAACATTCATTGTTTGTCTGGCTATCGATTGGGCGCCGAGAGAGGCAGGCCAGAACGAGGCTGGTGGACCTGGTTGGCCCCTAAGCTCGCGGATACAAATAGTACCTACTGCTGCGCCTAAGGAGCCCGTAAGTGCCCCTGGAGACTGCGGCGTACCTGAGGTGGTTAGCAGGAACCACCTATAAAGCTGGGAAGTTTACCGTAGGCTCGAAAGGCAACGAGTACCGCGCAGCCTCACCCCCTAGACTGCCGCCCACCGCCAGTACTACCTAGGCATGTAGGTGCCACCTTAAGGCAAACCCGAAGGGTCTATACTAGCAGAAGAAACCCCTTCCAGAGTACAAATAGGGCGTGAAGGTCTTGCCACTATCACGAGCAAACCAGATTGGCCACAGAAAGCACGGCGGCAAACATGTCCCTCCTGTGGTGGCCAAATTATAAGCCAAAAAGAGGTTCATTTCGCTTCGATAGAATCCAGTGCTCTAGATTTTTCAAAGACAGCCCGTTGAGGTTCAACGGTGACGTCGACAGTTACACTTCTCTGTCTGCTTCGTGAATATCAACTTGTTCCTGCTGTAGCTCAGGCCGAGGGCGGTACCAGCTTCCTGGACCGAACACAACTTGATGAATGCCACCATGCTCTCATCACGGGCGATAATCCTGCTGATATTTTAACAGCAGCTAGTGGCAATAGCAAGCTAGGATCTCGCACTAACTTTGAGTGGTAGTCGCTAGCAGCTTAGCACGGCGAGTCAGCACTGCAGCAGATTTTATTTTGGGGTACTCTACCTGCGGCAAAAGGGGCACCGCAGGCAAATCTGCGCCATCCAACCTTGGCGTTTGCGTCGCGTTGCGTTGCGTTGCGGCGGAGCAAACCACTGCAACTCGCTACCACCAGCCTTTAGCGCAACTCTCCGTCTCAGACTCGCCGTCTGGGTCCTTTCAGGGATTCCAGAGTGGACACTCCAGCACCCAGCACCGACACCCAGCACCACTACTGGCACACTGCATCTTCAACTCGAACCACAGTCAGAAAGTCCTTCTTCCCCAGACATTACAGTAGATTCATGAACGAACATATCTGTCCTCATCCTCCCGGTATTCAACATTGCGAGCTCATAATGTCGCCTGCCCATCCGTCGAGATAATCAGTATTTTACCAAGTCCGACGATATCGAAGCTTTCTCCTCGTGCACGCCATCCCTATCACTTCCGCCGTCGCGTTTGTTGGGATTACTCTTCACCAGGTCCTAAGTCGCAACCAGCACTTTTCAGTCTTCTTCGACGCGAGCCTCGTTAGGGCTGTTGTACCACCTCGTTCGTCTGTTCCATGTTCGACCCGGCTTGCATGCTTGGCCGGTAATATTTTGAATCGACGCAGGAAAGTCCTCCATTGCTCGGACAGTCTGGCACCGTGGCTACAATGAAGGGCGTGGTGCAGCGCGTGCTCAAGCGCTTGCCTTCAGTACCATTGGGTCCATCCGCCGAGGAAGTCAAGAATGAAAAGTCCAGATCGAGGACACTGCCACAGTTATCTTTTTTCCGCAGGCGGATCAGGTTAAAAGGCAATTCGTCCATATCCATACCATTGGGATTTCTACTTCTCTTTCCGAGCTTGGTGGTACTTTTGATCCTTATACTTGTGTTGAAGCATCCAAGCTCCCCTGGGCGCATAATGATGCCTGCAGGCACACCCCCTTCCATAAGGTATGTTTGGAACAAGCCCAGGAGGGCCCAAGAATCACGATTCTAACTTGATGGCAGAAAAATTAGCGAAAAGTACGATCGCGTGTTTGCCACGGGATGTTTAAATCCAGAGGAGACCTCAAAGCAGCCTCGCGCAAATGCGGCGTTCGTGGTTTTGGCGCGAAACAAGGAGCTTGATGGAGTGATACAGTCGATTAAGAGCATCGAGCGACATTTCAACCGGTGGTTTCACTATCCATATGTGTTCCTGAACGACGGCGATTTCGAACAGTCCTTCAAAGATACCATTACAAATTACACCAGCGCCCCAGTCGAGTTTGGAAAGATCGATGCGACCATGTGGGGTTATCCTGACTGGGTTGATCATGAAGTCGCAAAAGAAGGAATTCGAAAACAGGGAGATGCGGCAATCATGTACGGTGGGATGGAGAGTTACCACCATATGTGCCGTTTCTATTCCGGGTTCTTCTACAAACATGAACTTCTGCAGAAGTACGAGTGGTATTGGCGGCTCGAACCTGAAATCAAGTATTTCTGCGACATCACTTACGACCCTTTCATCGAGATGGCTCGGGCGAATAAGACTTACGGGTTCACTATCGCGGTTAAAGAGCTGAAGGAAACAGTGCCAAACATTTTTCGGTACGCCTCAGCCTACAAGCGGAAGCATAACCTCAAGTCTAAAGGGCTCTGGGAAATGTTCGTCGAGAAACCCAAAGAAAAGGACGAAACGCCCCAAGACAAAAGGTTGAAGACGTTGCCCGATGAAATCCTGCAAACTGAGCCTGGACATCAAAACATCGAGACCATTGACCCAGAAGCCATGGAGGGCGAAAAGTACAACATGTGCCATTTCTGGAGTAACTTCGAGATTGCCCGGTTGGATTGGTTCCGCAGCAAGGAATATAACGACTTTTTCGAAATGATGGACCGTAGCGGAGGTTTTTGGATGGAGAGAGTAAGTGACAAATATCCTGGCCTCTCAATCTACAGGCGAGGATTTTGCTAACCGTTGACAGTGGGGTGACGCTCCCATTCATTCTCTCGCTGCTGGAGCCCTCTTATCACCTCGTGACATACATTATTTCCGTGATTTTGGCTATCGTCATACCACAATCCAACACTGTCCTGCGAACGCTCCAGCGAGACAACTTCCGCGCATTCCATGGCTTGAGAAGACGACCGAAGATGAGAAGGAACGCCAAGAAGAAGACGAATACTGGGCGACCCCGGATCCACCCAAGGAGAACGGAGTTGGATGTCGGTGCCGCTGTGACACTGACATCCGTGATGTTGAAGGCAAAGAGGGCAGTTGTCTTGCCCAGTGGGTCGAGGTTGCCGGTGGCTGGGCGTCACCTTGAGGACCTTTGTCCATGTTCCCAGGTCGGGAAAGAGCTGGAAAAAGCAGGATGTTTGGTTGCGCATGACGCTTCCGGCGTTGGGTGTTGTCCTTATTGTCTGAGGACATTGTTAGGCGTTCCAGCTGTATGAACCTGAACACGGTCGGAAGTGTGATGTGATTGGCTCCAAGGTGGAGGAGGGTTGGATGCTCCAAAGTCTGCTGTTCGGTCCCAATATACTCCGAGGAACTGGATTCGAGCTACAGATTCCGAAAGAATACTCGACCTGTCGTTGAGTCCTTGAATGGCATTGAACACTCCGTCCTCCAGGACTCCACGCGACTATTTCACATGGCTATATGACAAAGGGGCGGGAAGTTTGTTATTCAGCACCGGAGAACAAAATCGGCGCCAAAGCTGTGAGAAGGCAGATAGGCTTTGGCGATGAGCACAGCCAGGTCAATTGACGTGGACAGACGAAGAAAAGTCAGGGATGATTCTACAATAGCCTTTTTTGGGTGTTGAAGGGGGACGGCCATTCATATACAGCACTATGAAAGTGTGGCAGTCGGGATTGTGTCAATATTATAACACTACGAGAAGATATCGCCATACAGACATGTTCTTGTGTAATTGTTTATTGGTTGTACGTGGACCTCTCTGCCATGCTGTCCTTAGCTTGTGTCTCATCGGCTCAGAGTCAGCCACGTCGAACTGTATCCATCCGTGTATCAAAGGTACCTGGCAGGTCTGTACGGATGTAGCGCTGACATTGATTGGTGCACGATACATCCAATTGAAACACGCTTCATCTCAGTCATCATTATACTAGTTGCAAACTCTCCTTCACCTCTGACGAAATACTCTTCGCTATGCTCATGGAGAGTAGATAATGAAGTCTTCAACGCAGAGGGGCCACCATGATATTGGCCATCGGCAATAGAGCAACACGTATGATACTGTAGTAAACACTGGTACTGTATAGGTAAGGCAGCGATGGAAGTTGTGGTTCGGTACTAGTAGTAGTATGTACCCTCTACTACTAGTAGTAACAGCTTATCAGCTTATCTCCAGGCGGCGACGCGAGGGGCGTAAAGGCGCGTGAAACAACTGCGGGGTCTTAAGAGTCCTCCAGATTTGTCTGCCTTGTCCTCAACTGAACGACATCTATTGATCAATTCATGCCGTGGTGCTGCCTGCTCTGCATTCTGTCCATATCCCCCAGCTCTGCTGTGAATTTCTTACAAAGCTGCCTTTTGTCGCAGTAGCAGGCAGTCTCTCCTGGTGGGTTGACGCTCATCGTGCTTCACCCTTACGAGGCAGTGACATCGTGCAAATCCATGGTCAGCCTTCCTACACTGGCATGTCCTGAACCACCGATCTGGGTCCCAAACCGGCTGGAAGTTGCAACACTGTTTTAACCTCATCCGCAGCCCCCAGAAAGGGACTTTTAGGTTGGTGCCCAACGCAGTAGGTCTTCTCAGAACTTCCTTGCTTCTCTACATCGACTGGGCGGCTCATCGTCAACACCGCGCCCGCACTGCGTTGATGACTGTTACCTTACAACCATGGCTGACAAACCAGACTACAAGGGCAAGGACGAAGCTCAAGCCAGCATCACACCTGCACCTGCTGCTAACGAACGGCTCGACCTCGAGTACCCTCAGATCCCCCTCCATCTTTCACTTGAATCTCTGCTGGTTCATTCCTCCTCTTCCTCGCTTTCGATCTCTAATCCTAACATGTCGCTCCTTGAAGCGAACGCACCTGCTCTCGGCGACAGTTGGGCGTCTCTCACCGATGTCGAATCCTCGAATGAAGAAGATTTACGCTCGGAGATAACTGATGTCGGCTCTCTGCTGGATGTCCACACCTCGGATGATGTCCGCAGCATTACCGAAGAAGCAAATGTTGAGGAATCCACAAATGATGGCGGGCCTCTTCGGGGAGAGCCATGTGGAGAACTACCCTCCGAAGGAAATACACTCTCAGGATCGTCAGTCGTCGATGTCCACCGAGCCAACGGCGTCGGAGCAGGTTCTGAAGATGCCATGTCCCTCAATGCCGTAAGCCGCCATATTCTCGTCCGACCTCTCACAGAACCTGAAAATCAAAAATTGCGCCAATCATTCTCTGATGGCCTTTCGGACAAGTACTTGAGTATTATACACATGCCGTTGCTAACAACCGGACTGGGCCTGGACGCTCTCAATTACTTCAAAGTGCTCCTCTTAGGTCGACATGTAGAGCAGTTCAAGCCCGAGATTCAGAGAAAACTCGGCGATTCTCTGGTCTCGCAAAGAGACACAAATGCTGATACACGCCCAACCTCTCTGTCCAGGTTTCATCTCGTCCCGAGTTGCTTTGGGCCTGGCTCAGAACCAGAATTCGCCGATCTCGTCGCCATTGACAAGCAGATTGATTTTGAATGCTATGATGTTGTCGAGGCAGGAAGCTCTACTGTGCCATTATCTCTGAAGAATAGTCAGTCAGGTACAGAGGTGACCTCCGAATGGAATGGCCGTGGGTTCGCTGTGTCCACACCTCGCTGGATCCCGCCTGACATTGCGATTATCTGTGTACACATTGACGGCAACAACAATCTGGACAGAGACAGCCGCAATATGATTACATTCGCAGACCGGCACGGCATTCCCACCATTCTCATTCGTATGGACCGAGGATGGCAGGGCTACTATGGCCATGCGTTGACAACGAACCAGCTGTACGAGACCATCGAAAGTGACGGTGCGCTAACATCACTGGGAGCTCGGAAGCTAATGTCAAAATTTCCTGTTGATATGGCAGCTTTCTTGAACCTTGAACCTATTCTACTCAACAAACACGTGGCGTACCTCGTATCCTCATCGACAGCTTCTGGGTCTGACGACTCTTTCCTGTACAGCCTACAGGGCACGACCACCAGAAAGCCATCACGCTATTGGAGTCGACCTCAGGCCGTCCATGGCTCTCCACTGAGAAATATCCTTATCGTTCTTTGGGTTATTGGCGTTTATGCCTTTCTCTGCGCTCAGCTGTGGCCTCTGGCAACAGAAAGTCTGTCAAGTAAATCAGTCAACAAAACAATGGCATCTGAAACTTTGCTTTCTTCCCACACTCACATGCCCAGTCAGACATCCGAAGACGTCCATATCGGTGCTGGAAACCCACAGCCGACTGACCCCGCACCTGCCATCTATTCCACCAAATCACCGGTCCAAGTGCGTGACGATGCCATGCATTTCCAGGTTGCGGTCGTTTCCAACGGCAAGCTAATGGTCAACTTGCCCAAGGTGGCTTTGCGTCGCAAGAAGCGCTCTCCCCTGGCCGTTGTGCTGACCAAGGCAAACCGTATCCTTCCCACTGAGATCCACGAACTCTTCGACGGCGTGGTCAGTGTCCAGTTCGCGCCAGATGAGGCTTATGGAGACATTGAGGTCAACTTGACCATGATCAGACCGCCCTTGAGTGAGCTTCTGACCGTATCACTCGGAGCATCACCTGCCCGTGGCCGGAAGGCCTTTGGTTCTGTCGTGCAGGCATTCAACAGCACTCTAAGACAGGCAATGTCTCTCATTCCAACTTATCTACCCAGCGTTGAATTCAATTCTCCTCTTTCGAACCGTACTCGGGACCTCCAAAGCATACAAAGAGATCTGAAGCAGAGCATCAAGACACTCTGGACAAAGTCGAAGGATTCAGCCCAGAGTCGGGTTACAGTGGCCTGGGCAACATTCTTGAATAACACAACGAGTTCTTATTCTGGCCTGAAATGGATGAAAGGAGCTACCGCCGAGCAGGGGGCCAAAATTGTGAGGCAAGCTACAGGGGAGATCTACAATGCTCAGGCGATATTGCGGAAGCTGCTCAACTCTTTCCAAGCGTCTCAACTACCAGTGGATCTCAACTCTGATGCGGTTACGAAGAAATTGAGTGCTGCACAAACCAAAGCCCGGCACATTGTGTTTAATGCTGCTAAGAAGCTACAATCGCGTAGGGGCAGCCGATAAGCGGATGTGGAATTCAAAGTCGAGCATACGGGGAAAGGTGTTATCGGGCGGCTTAAACTTCAACCGGTGGGAAACCCGGGAATATGACTTATTACTATGACAGCTTTATGGCGTTGGCTAAGACGAATGGAAGACGGGTTTCTGGGCTAACGAGTCAATCTGGCTACGTTTGCTGAGCTGATATGAAGGCCGAGGCCTACCTCTGATGATGGAGTATCAACCAGATAATTAGCCGAGTAATGAAGATTGAGATGGTAAAGGGATGATGACCACTGCTCGGAATTACCTTTGGATATCGAAAGTGCCGGTCATAACATCGTAGACAGTCAATGTACAATGTTGTAGTGTACAATGTATCTAGGCTTGAGCTTGGTAGGAGGGACTTGGAGCGTGGTGCAGCCTTGCGCAGCCTCGCGTTGGTGTTCTATTTCAGGGGCACAATTTTAGTGCAGGGCAACGAGATGCACGCCAGTCCCGATCAAGATAAGCGGAGTCACGTGGTGGGGTGTGGCCAGTGGCTGCGCCTTTCAAGTTGCACGTAACACGGTAACTGCGGTTGCGGTACCTGGGCCCAGAAAAACATGGAACGTCCGCTCAGCCTGCAAGTGCCATTGCAGTGAATCTGTTTCACCACCCTCTCAACACCACTACACCACGAAACCATTCATTCGCTTCTTTCCTGTCGTCTCTCGCTATACCACACTCGTTCCGCCATCCGCCGAGTTCTTGCGTTGTCGCTCTTTTGCACTTACAACAGACACGGCGACTGCATCAGATACTGCGTTCCGACCCCATCCTTCCCGCGCCCCTTGCGGACGCCGTGAACCGCAGGCGGCTGGCAGCCCATAGCAACCACCGAGACTCTCTTTCGCCGACTTACCCTTCCTCTCAATCAATTCTGTCTGTCCTAGGAGCGGCCTTCCCAAGGCAGAAGTAGCCCAATATGGGCTTCGGCAATTTCGACTGGATCTGCGAGCGATCTGCTCTGCCGTTATGCTATGTGCTGGGCAATCCCACCGAGTTCACCTCAGCACATAATCCAGTCCTCCTTCCAGCATGCTCGGCCCGGTCGATCGAACTGGCAAACACCATCATCTTTCAAGCGGCCACGGACTTCGCCCACATTGCCGCTCTGGGCATGACAGCCATCATGATCTTCCATGTCCGGTCCAAGTTTACGGCTGTTGGACGAAAAGAGATCTTGACCTTCTTCTACATCTACACACTCTTGACCATCATCAGCCTGGTGCTCGACGCCGGTGTGATACATGCCACAAATACCACCGCATATCCCTGGTTCGTGGCGGTTCAGAACGGCCTTGCCAGTGCGCTGTGCACCAGCCTGTTGATCAATGGGTTCGTGGGATTTCAGCTCTATGAAGATGGCACAACGCTTTCCGTCTGGCTTCTGCGGCTCTGCAGTCTGGTCATGTTCATCATCAGCTTTGCTGTCAGCCTGCTCACCTTCAAGGGTTGGGCCGGTCTATCGCCAACCAACACCACAGGGCTGTTCGTCGTCCTGTACATCATCAACGCTGTTTTCCTGGCGATCTATTTTGTCATGCAAGTCATGCTGGTTCTTAATACCCTCCAAGACAGGTGGCCGTTGGGCGATCTTGCGTTTGCTGCATTTTTCTTCGTCATTGGCCAAGTTATCCTGTACGTGTTTGGGAAACAAATTTGCGAAGGAGCCAACCATTATCTGGATTCCTTGTTCTTCGCCACGGTCTGCAACCTACTGGCGGTGATGATGATTTACAAAGTAAGTAATGGTTCTAGAGCAGCTTGCCTTTACTCACTTTTTCGACTTATGCTGACATTTCTGGCCAGTACTGGGACAGTATCACGAAGGAAGATCTCGAGTTCAGCGTTGGCACCAAACAGGGTCACTGGGACGTCAAAGAACCTCTGATGGAGCCTAGCGAGGATTACCGAACCAGTATCTATGGAGGCCTGGGTGGTGGCCGAGAGAGCGTATACGACATGCATGGCATGGACTACCAGTCTCAATCTGCAGCGCTCCGAGCCCCCAGTCGAGATCGAGCTTCCATGTACGGCAACCTACCTGAGGGTAGGCAGAGTTACGGGGACATCAGGCGGCACACGGGAACCTTCGAGGATTATGAGCCTCAAGCGTCCAGGCAGAGGAGCCGCGAGAAGGATTATGGTTATTGACAGGGCGCAAGCAAATGACGGATACATTTTGGGTTTGGCGAAACATGGACGGCTGAGTGGCGCGGGATTGGCGGGAGACAGTGTGCTTTGTTCCTGCCCACAGGCCGCTGGCTTTACGGTTGTGTTGGTGAGGACCGTCTTACAATGGTAATTTGCTGGGTTGTGTGCTCATCTACAGGATGCCGAGGTGAGACCAGCGGCGTGAAATCTGAGCGTTAGCGTAGCATTGATATTCCACAATTTATAGGATATAGCGCACTGTGTTCAGTAGCGATATGAGCAAGATCGCGTTAGGGAAATCCATTTTGCTGACCGCGAACTATTATAATTTTGGAGGCTGGACCTGTAATAGATACAAAGTAATCGTCACCTATCGTTACCCTCTTTGAATACCCAGTCTGACAAAACGTGCTGCCACTGTTCAAAGAACCGTGTCGCCCACTGTCGATTTACCGTGCAAATCATCATCATACACAGCGTTATATAGACCATCACCGTGGCAGTCCACTCACTCATCACTCGTCATACTATTGTACACTTTGGAAACATGTTATATCGTCGCTCTCTACTCCCTCCACGGGACCTTTTCAGCCACCGAATCCCCTCTCCCACGACATTCCATGACGAGAAATCTCAGTTTGTCTCTGCGGAGGCTTAATCCTTGTGGTGTTCCCGTCACTTCCGAGTCCGTGACAATCAAGGATCTCGTACGTGGAACTGGAACTCGTCGCCTCGATCGAGGTAGACGACCTTGTCGTCAAGGCCGGCCTGGGACATTTCGGTCTTGAAGTCTTCTAGCGGGGAGAGGAAGACGTCGTAGTCGCTGGGTTTTGTAGTTGGTTAGTTACAATACCAATAGATGAATTTGGGAGAGGAAGGTAGGCAGGTTTTGTTTGGTATCTCTTTCTCATTGATCACTGCTCGAGCAGGGAAGGGGGCGGGGGGAACGACAAATTGAAAGAAGTTGTGCAAGGAAATCAAAGCAACTTAAACTTACTCGTAGTGTATGGGCACCGTGACATCAGGTCTTACCAGCTTGACCAGCTGGACACCCTGTTTGGCGTCCATGGTGACCATGATCAAGGGCATATGGGGCCCTGGAATGGTGGTGCCGCCGAGATGGATGAGCATCAGATCGATCGGCTTGCCCGCGTGGGTGTACAGTTCGGGAATCCGCTCCAGATCCTTGACGTACAGCGTGTCTCCCGAGATGTAGATGCGGTAACCGCAGTGGAAGGAAGATTGCTGGTTCGAGTCCTTGTCGGGAGAAGGAGAGGATAGGTCGTACCCGAGTTCCAGCATCCATCCGTTGGTCGGGGGCACGGCGCCCAGGATGTCGTTGGCTTTGGCCAGAAGACCGTCCCCGACGTGTTTGCCAGGCATGCCGGTGATGTGTATGCGAGGGCGGCGATGGCTGCTCGTCGAAACGGAACTCCCACCGCTCAAGGTCGTGACATTCTGAGCAATGTTGACGAACATGTGCTCCCAGGCATCCACGGCGTGCACCGCCGTGAACGACTCGCCCTCGCCCTTGGAGGTCAAATGCGCGTGCGCGTGGGGCGTGGTGATGATGGGAAGGTCCCGACGCAGCGACGCCTCGACTTCCTGGTCGAAGTGGTCCGCATGGTAATGGGACAGCAGGACGAGATCAACCGGCGGGAGGTCGTGTAAGTCCACTGCCGGGTTGGTTTGCCGTGTGCCTGTCACCCCGGGGCCCAGATGGACGTGATCCCCGGCATGGAGGAAGTTCGGGTCCGTCATTAGGCGAATCCCTTGCCATTCGAGGATCGTGGTCGCCGTGCCCACAAAGAACAGTTTGGCATTGTTGTCGCCGTGCGCCGCCTGCCTTGGATGTGCTTTGCTCGACTTGGCCGGTGGGAGATGTTCCTTTACCGTCGTCGGCGATGATAGCCCATCTCGCGTCGGAGGCTGCGGGCGGGAAGGGTCAATGGTGATACTGGGCTTTGCTGCCATGGTCAAGTATGGGGTTGAGATACTGCCAGTGGACGTTGACGTGTCACACTCAACCAGAGCGCATTGTGGACGAGGGCGCTTTTGGTCGTCCACAGGATTGTCGTTAGGCTGTGGTCGTATTGCTGGGTCAGGTTTCAGGACGGTGCCATTGTGTGGTGTTTATTTCCGCTTGAAGTTGTTCAACGCATCGAGCGATTCGGAGAGAGATGCAAATGACGCCTGCATGACGACATACGAAGGAAATGCTCCTCAGGCTTAACTTGCACTGCAGTGCCTGTACCGCTCTGGAACTGACTTCCGGGACTGTGACAGTCTGCTTCTACTAGTAATAGTAGTGGTACTTATTAGCAGCGGCGGCGGCCGTAGTCGCTGTAGTGGTGGCAGCTTACTTGTATCCCGTAAAATATGCAGATGTGTCGTGTGTGGGTATCGGACCGTATCATGATGGGTCTACGAGCGTCCTTACCTAGACATGGCCATGTTCTGTGGGTTTGGCATTACAAGCGTTGCTGACATTGCATGACAACAAAGCAGAGCGACCGTGCTGCCTCTGAACCAACTCGACTTCTTAGCCTCCTTTGTTTGGCCGGGCAGTGTGGGGGTGAACATCTGACGGTGGACGAGTCAAGGTGTATACCCGTTCTAGCTTTCACGCCTCCATCGTTGACAATCTTGGTCCATACACCTGAGCATCATGGTCAGACGCGCGAGCTCCCTTACCCGTGCCCAAGGGGCGCTTGCTGCGTTGAGACAAAATAGCACAACAATAAATAACAAGATTGCCCGTTGGCTACCTACCTTGACTTGGGCGATGAACCTGCGATTCAATTATCGGCTTGCAAAGCCAACAGCAGGCAATTCAATTGTAATTCAGAGACTTGTGCGCCTTTGAGCTCGGTGCTGTGTAGCCGAAGCAACACCAACTGGGCACTCTTAGGCACCCGGCTGCCACTTCTGAAGCTTCGTCAAGACTCACACTGTCTGCAGAATCCCGGAAGGTAGAAGTGTGCACACGCTGATCAGGTGTCTACCGGCGAAGTAATGATCATGGAACGAAGTAATAGTGGTGCGATGAGCAAAATGAAGAGAGTCGGATAAGCAGGTTGAAAGTGTCCGACATCAAAGATTGGAACACGGAGGCGTATGCTGCAGAAGTCAATCAAGGCTGCGAGGCCAGCAGTAACGCAGACGCGCCATCTTGAAGTGATGAGTGAGTAGTTGTGTCGTTCGAAGGCCCCTATTGAATGTAAATGCTGCTGGTGTAATGCTCCCGCGTTGGATGCATCTCGTTGTGGTAAAGGCGGCTATGGAGAGCTTCAAGCGGTAAGATGCGATAGAACAACCAGAAACGTAGCGCAGGGAACCATCAAGTCATGGTGGTTGCAAAGTTGGAATGCATGCGGTTTGCTGCAGTCTTGCAAGAGGAGAATCTGTCCACGGCAGAGCGGGAACAGCGAGCACACACTGGATCAGCAGCTGACAGTTCAGCATTCCCACTATAGCTCATAACAGAGAACCAACGCATCACGAGTTAGGGAGCAATGCTGGGTGTTCGTATCTGATTGATGGCTTCCGGGTGCAATATGGCGGGTGAACCATTACTGAGTCCAACCTCCTTTCCTGGTAGACTCGGATTCCAAGACATGGTTTAGGCCCAATGTCGAACTGTCGGGACCGATGTACGGTATCGAGCTGCATTTTCAACATACCGTACTGATCGACACTCATTCAGTGGAAGGGAGGGACCGTCACATTGCAGCGACTGGAGTGCTGCCAACCGCAGACACGTCTGCTTTGTTAAGTTCGGATCCCTTGTACACGTCCGGCTTCTGGCCATTTCAAGTTTGACGTGATTTCATGTCTAAAAGGCTTCCACCCACGTCGAACTCAGGCGCCACGTTCAAGTTGTACTGTATGACCAGCAGGACGTGAACAAGGGCAGAAACAGGAGGCGCACGCTGACATGTGCATCAAGGATGCCTGAGAAGTCCTCAAATCAAATAAGACGGCATGCGAGGTGGCCATGGACCGATCTGCCGCTGAGGCTTTGGACTCCGGCAACAATCGCTCTCAACCGTACTTCGGATGCGAGAAACCTGGTTGCCAACCTACAGGAGATACTCTGGCATACATACCTGCTGCACACAACCCCCTTGCCAAATGACCTCCACTTGCACCCCGTGATCACGGACTAGCACACGGTCATGGGGGCCATGGAACTCGACTGGAGATTACCAGGCGGTAGGAGGACTTGTAATCAGCGAATTTGAAGCCCTGCTGACACAGCGCCCGGTGCAGCCGGCAAGGATAGGCATAGATTTTGTTCCAGTCGTCAGTCAGGTAATAATCCTTGACCGGTCAACGAGTGCTCCGTTGCCTCCTTGTCATTATCCGTGAAAGGCGAGAAACGAATCACAGGTGTAGCATTGCATATTTCGTCATTGGCTGGACAGGGCAGGGAATCTCCTTTGCCAGTTGGCTGGCGGGACAGTAGAAGACAGATACTACTACCCGACCGCCGACGCAACAACTCTCGACCTGTCGCAGCCCAGCACATGATAATACAGGATGCGCATTTCGAGGGCGTTTGATGCAAAGGTGAGGTATCCGAGAGTGAAACCTGGCTTGTGACTCCGAGTTATTAGCACCTCGTTTGGCGTGAACTGATGACAGGGTGTTAAAGGCCTCGAGGATCCGCCTTCTCGTATCAATCAATAATATCCCCTTTAGCCTCACGTCCTTGGGCTGAGATTCTGAAATCTCAGGGACCCTACCTGCAGTCAAGCGAGGAGATGCTGAGACATGTGGAATCTCCCCTACGACGTGTGATGTTGCTTGCCAACAGGCATCGGCTAGGCTGACTTGAAAGACGCGGGTTGTGACTGTATCTCTAGCCGTGAATTGGTGCTCATCTGCTGCATATCCTGGGGGTCATGCAGCACCAACCACCCCTGGCTGCTGCGGGTTTTGCTGAGACCGAGTTGAACGAGCATGGCGACTCTGGAATATTTCCGTGCTGCGGCCATAAAGTAGAAAGGAGGCTGACCTTGCCGTGGAGACTGCCCCGACAGCTGTCCTTCGGTGGCTGGATCAATGTTGTCTACGTAAGTAATTGGGTGTGATCCAGAAGAGCGACCACTTCCTACATACCTACTGACGCCTCGTACGCCGCACATTGGCCGGGTCACGAAAACCTGACAGAGGTGTCAAGGCTCACCATTTGGGCCGCCACACTGGGTTGGTAGGGTCTGTCAATGTTTGGAAACCCGCGGCCCAGATGCAAAGCTTCCATGGCTCGCTTCTGGGCTCGCTTCAGTGGCACTGGTCAGTTAGTCATAAGGCAGGAGGATGCCATCAGCTGCCTTGCACCATTATTGGCGCTACAGGGTTATACTATCAGCACCGGAAAATTCGACTTCTATGGTGAACCTTAAACCCACGGAGACTGGATGCACCGTTACGAGCACAGTTGTCGGGGGTTGTGTAGTGGTGGAACGAGATACGGATATTACGTTCGAAGAGCGGGCCCAAGATCAGCTTCAGGTGTTTAGAAACTTGAAGTGGACACTTTGATGCTTGCACAATGTTGTAGTAGCTGGAAGTGAGCACCTGATTAGAGATATCGAGGTCCCGCAGGTAAGGATGATACCTTGCTCGTGGCGCCAGTTTCTTGTGCCTGGCGGTGTGTCGGTACGGGTAGCGGATGGTTTGGTCGTTCGATCCGATCAAGAATGCTCTCAACATTTTGACCGGCTTCGAGTTCAAGTTGTCAAGGTCACGTCAGAGGTTGGCCCGACGGCAAGGTTGGACACTCTATAATCCTGGGTGCCTGGTGGCTATCCGGTGCAGTGATCCAAACTCTGTGTGTATGTAATTTCTCGACGTAAGATGTACATTGCAAAAAGTGTAAAGTCGATTGAGATTCGAAAGGATCTTGATTGCGATCCGGCATTCTCCTTCCGCACCTCCTCCTCTAGGTACCAATAATGCACAGCCGTGTACTTCCGGGAAATACCTAAAAGTACTAGTCGACCTGGAATGGCTTGATGATGGACGGTGTCATGGTACGAGATTTGGAGTGGTCCTAGGGCCTTGGGTTGGACGGTCCACAACTCGACCACGCGCCTGGATAGAACGCACGACGGACTCCATTTTATTTGGTGCAAGAAAGTTGCGGTAGGCTTTGACGCACTTGTCAATCGCACGAGCATTTTCCGTGATCTGCCTCTGAGTACACTTGTAGTCAGCATCCATTCAAATTTTTGAGCATGGTTGCCTCTTGCCATCCTCAGGTGTTCCCATGCAGCATGTTCCCTGGCCGCTGTGACGCCGTAGGATCAGCTCCCGCGGCTTCATCCACCACAATCCAATCATAAGTCGGCGGCAACGCTGCCTGGTCGTGTCACTATGGCCCGATCAGCGTGGCTAGCGATGAGTGACCGTGCCGCTTCTTGCTGAATGCCTAGACTCAGGGTTTGCGTTGCTTCCGGTGAAACCGTAATTGACCTGGCTGTGCTCCGGGCTCCTCTTGGGCCTCGTAAGCGAAGCGGGCAACCCACCATCAACTCGTCTCTGATGGTGACACCACTTGACGACAATAGCAACCGCGTACGAGTTCTAGACGGACAACAAACCAATCTATCACTGGCCGGCGACAGTCAAACGACGTGAAGTTCGCTTCAGGAAAAGTTAAGACCATAGCTTACGGCTGGAAAAGCTCCACTCACCTCAGCAGGCTTGGGACGTGGCCAGTCGTGACCACTATTATTATTACCTACTGCCGGTGTAGCAGTAGTAGTACCTAGCGTGTGTCGAGTTTCGCTGCCTCTGCAACGGAGAACTCTGTCCTAGGGCAGCGACTATCGGTGGGTGACCTTGTCAAAGATGGCGGGTAAAACGCCTGTGGGTGCAGCACTGAAAGTTAGGTCCCCGGTCTGCAACTGCAATGTGTTGCGGATAGGCGGGCAGTTGCTGGCCCATCAACGAGTAGCCAAGACGCTTTGAGCATGCCATGCAGTCTGAGATTCAGCCTACTGCCCAGGATTGAAGGTTGGCATGCGGCCTCCTTGATTCACGGCGCCGTAACATGCTTCAAGGTACTCCGTAGCTCTGCCTGGCAGGGACAGTAACCGTGCACTCCGTCAGCACTCGTCGGTTGTTCCCCCCACCGAGTGCACCACAGCGATACGATCGTCCACAGCGATACGATCGTATATCTGTAAATTCTATACACTCTTTATTCAACGCGTATATACACCACCAACAATGCCTACTAACGCTCAATTAATAGAGGAGAAGGTCCTTAACGCCTACGACGCGTATAATCGCGGCGATTATCCCAATATAAAGGCCGCCGCCGACGCATTCGCCGCCCCCGTTCAACGCGTACGCAGACGACTACGAGGTATACTAGGCGCTAGTATAAGAGGAGGATATAATAAGAGGCTCTCTAACGAGTAGAAGAGGGCTCTCTATACGCTTATAAAGCGCTACGACGAACTCGGCCTATCCCTAAGGCCTTCGATAATTACTTAAATGGCAAACCGAATACTATAACTCGCGTAGGACGTATACGATAACGACGATAGTTAATCCCGTATATCTTACGAATAGACGCGGCGCTTTCTTAATAGATACCCTAAGTTTATAGTTAAGAAGCGAAAGCCTATTAACGTTTATTAATAGTCTATAGAAACCGAGTACTACGCCTTAATCGTCGAGTACTTTTATCGCTTCTAGGCTATTAAAGAGTAATACGCTATTATCGACGACGATATATAGAATATAGACGAGATAGGCTTCTCTATTAGCGTTGGTAGAGCGTACTACGTTATTACTTAGCGTTAAAATAAGAATAAGCGTCTATATCTTCCTAATCTCGAAAATCGAGAGTATTATACGCTAATTAAGTCTATTAACGCCGTCGGCGACTTTATCGATCTATTCGTTATCCTTAAAGGCGATATAATTAGCGAGCGCTCTATAACCCTAAGCCTATCTAACGGATACGCGTTAGTCTCCTCTAAGTCGGGTTACTTAAACGACGCTATACTACTTAAGTAGATATATTATTTTAATAGGAGAATAAAAGAGCGTATAAAAGGGCGCTATAGGATATTAATAAGCGACGGCTTTAACTTTTATATCGAGTATAGCTTTATTAAATACTACTAGGACGAGAGAATTATACTCTTTTACTTACCGCCGTACTCGACGTATCTCCTATAACCTCTCGACGTCGTGGTATTCTAACCGTTAAAGCACTATTACGCGGAGTTGATAGATAGCGCTATACGGTACGGAGATCTTACGTTTTAGCGTTATAAGTTCTTAGAGGGTCTTTATACGATTCGTACGAAGGCGCTTTACTCGTTAACGATTCGCTCGTCGTTTAAGAAGATAGGGTTAGTGCCGTTTAATCCGAAGTAAGTACTCAATAGCCTTACTATCGAGAATAGCTCTAACGAGAGCGACGACGACGACGACGATCTATACGTTGATAGTACGCCGCGGAAGAGTATACGTACGCCAATATAATATTAGAGAACGTACGAGACGTAGGTCCGCAAATAGCTACGCTATTTAGTAAGTTTCGCCGCGCCGTAATGGAGCGTGCGTATATTAGCTAGGAGGCGCTTTACTAACTCGGCGAGACTAAGGCTGCTAAACGTGCGCGTACGTTACGAGAGAATCGACGTCGTTAACGTATCGAAATCTCCTTAATTGACGTTATATACGTCGAGACGGCACGTCGACGCCTTTAGGCTCGTAACGACGCTAAGATATTGGACTATTATAAGAGGCGCCGACTAGCAAAGAGACTACAAAAGCGACTCGTCGACGCGGCTCTCGATACAGCGTAAGAGGCAGAGCGACGTCGACGTACGCCAGAGGTAACTTAACGACGTCAAGATACGCTCGATAGGCTCGATATATAGGTTACTGCCTCTATAAGGCTATTATATCAAGAGTTGTGCGCCGAGGCAACGATAACGAGGTCTTTATAGGATACTATATACTCGCGTATATAAGTTGCTATAGTACTATACTATCGCTATATAACGTCGATATACGTTCTTAACCGATATTATATCGACGGCAGTTGTTATATATTTAGCACTTTTATATTCTAAGTCGACTACGTACGGTAACTTTAAGAGTACGTTAACCACGATCTCTCGGATGGCAGGTTTTTATATTCGATACGATTATAGTACTAATTTACTAGGCTTAGCTATCGCTTATATTATAAAACCATCGTTGTGGCGGCTATAAACAGAATATATCCTAACCGCGTGCAGAAAAACGATCGTATCGCTGTGGTGCACTCGGTGGGGGGAACAACCGACGAGTGCTGACGGAGTGCACGGTTACCTGCAATATGGTAAGAGGCCGCAGTAGGGGGAGCTTACTCGTAGTGCCTGCAATGTCTCCCAGAGCTAGTACGGACGCCTGCCCAGCTGCTGCCAGTAGCGTCCCTCCTGGACTGTTAGCGGCAGTTACGCGTACTCCTGCAGTGTCTGCTTGTACCTCAGGCTAATATTCATGCCTCCAACTTCGGAGTCGGAGTTTCGTGCGCCACCCAGCGGGAAGCTCGAGACGCAGGTCACTACTAGCTTCGCTTCAAGACATGAAAAGTTGGACATCATTATTTGCCTGGACTCACCTGCCCGACGCTGCAGAACTTTTTAACATGCCACTGACACGCTGAAATAGTACTGTAGTACTGCAACGGCAGTAATGGTAAGCGCTCCAAAAGGTTGTGCAATGCTTTTCTCTCTCCGTTTTCCAATGCCCTCCAGGATTTCATATGGTGCACAGTAAAATCCAGCAGTCGCCCCAGCACTGCGGATTAATAGTAGACGATGACAATGATGATGTCTGGTCTCGCTCTGCAGCTGGCATCGATGCACCAACACTCATTTGTCCAACATAACTTTGATGATTTGATGATCGCCAATTGGCGAATACCCACCCCGGTACAAGGTAGGCAATAATGAATCGTGACACTGTATATGCTCTTCGACAGGTACCGAGCTCTCCACCAGCATCCCGAATGCTAATAACTAGGAGCGACTTGGCTCTGTGGGGAGGCCAGAGCGAGAGCCACAGGCAACAAGGCACTGTAGCAAGCCACAGTCGCCGGATAGTCAGCGCCCGGCCTACTACAGTACAGCACCAGTAATGTCCTTGTCTCAGGCTATCCAGCGTAGGTAGGGGAGACACAGGCGCCGCGCTCCTACTGCTGTACACGTAGTCGACTCGCATTCCGTGGCGAGACACGGCGACCGAAGGGCAGTATTGATTATGAATTCATCGGCGCAGTCAGGCTGGAGACATTCGGTGCAAGCTGATATTTTCGCCAATAATAATCATATCTCAGCCCCAGTCCTGCTATCCATTTTGAGCGACCGGCCCATCGCTCCAAGGTGTAAGCCAAAAACACTGGCGGATTGTTGGCCTCCTTGCAGGTCAGAAATTCAAGTCCCAGGACAGTGACGATCCCAGTGTGCCGGTGCTCTTCAAGTTCAGCTTGCGCCCCATGTCTAAATAAAACACACGGACAGCAGAATCGGCAAGGGATGGAGATATGCTCCGCGCCAGGCCGTGCGTTGCTCAGGCCGCAAAAGTCTCGCTCCCCATCGAGCCCATCACGCAGTAGTCGTGACCCCATCAAGTCAAGTAATTTTTAGCGCTGTGCTGTCGTCCGGACCGATGCCCACACAGTCTCGTACTGGCACTGCACGTCGCTTGGGTCACTTGAAGGGCAAAAACTGCAAAATTGCCCTCGATCCAGGAGTCCGCAGACCCAGTAGTTGCGTCCTGAGACTCCGTGCTAGTCCACTTCGGCGCTCTGCCTGGTTGGGTTTGCTGGTGTTGCTGCTGCATCCGCGGAGCACTGGCAGTGAGTGGTTCTTTTACCTTTAGGATCATTTCACTTCGACTCGTCTGGCATCTCAGGCTTACGAGGATCGCCAGTGGTGGCAGTGGCAGTGACATGGTTGTTTTGCTGTTGATGCCCTTGCGCCCCTGCTGCTACTACTACTCCTACCACAGCTACTACCGCAGCGCCTTTGTCACCCCTTGTCTGTGCTCTATGCTGCATTCCATTCTTGCATTGCAGCCTAGGCAACATTAGTCGCACTCTGGCTTTGACGCTGGTCAGTCGACTATTATTATGGGACGCCTCTCTGCAATGTGCGAGACACTGCGCCAACAGCGGAGGCGATGACCTGGATCTATCAGACTCAATCATCATCATCGTCGCCTTCTCCTCCTGATCCTCCTACTCCTGCGAAACCCACGGCCCATCCACTCCGAGCCTCCCACGCCAATCATGTCGCATCTCCTCGACCTTAGCAGCCTCTCGGTTTCCTCTTGTTGCCCCCCCTTCTCAGCCTCTATGCTTCCAACAAGCCCCAAGTCCGAGTCGAGTCAGTGTCAGTACGGAGTTACAATGTCGTAGTTGCACTGCCAATGCTAGTCGTGGTAACAGTAGTCGTCAAGTGCTCCAGACGACGATGGAAATAATAATGGCTCACCAGGATCCTGCAGCACTGCACACTGCATTTTGCTGGGCTAGTTGGAGTCGTCCAAGCACCACGTCGCCGCCAGTCCGCCACATCCTTGGTGTCTCCAGTTGCAAAACGCTAACCACCACCACTATCACCGCTACTAGTACTGGCCTGACCGTCACCACCACCCTCACCCGCCAATGCTCGACTAGCACCACTGGGTAATATGTCTCGATGATACGACGCCTGCCCGAGCTTGATGCGGTCGGTGCGCTGCCTATCCATCCACGGCCCATGAGACCATGGCGTCGCCTCGCCATACCCATATCCATACCTAGGTACCCATACACCGGGTTTCCATACCGCCCTCATCGCCGTCTGCTGCTGTCACCACTCGCTTCCACCCCGTTTTGACTCCGTTTCCCGTCCGTTCGTGTTCTTTTCTTTTTGCTTCCGACATCCATCGATCCTAGCAATCCTTTCTTTTCCACAACATCCCATCACCTTCCCCCTTCCGCCAGGCCGTCTTTAGTCCACTTTGGCAATCATTGCGCCAGTGTGTCTTTCAATCTTGTTGCTCCATTCTCGTCCCTGTTCGCCCCCTTGCCATCCATTATTGGTTCGTCCAAGTGTCTCCAGTCGTAGCTCGTCTTTTCTGCGCCCTGCCCGTCTCCCTTTGACTTCTCTCTTGTTGCGTCGGTCTCATCGGTCTCCTGCTCACTCGGGCTCATCAATGGGGCCCTGACATCAAAGGCCGAGCCTCGAACCGCCCTCCATCCAAGACAAGGCCGTGTGGGTGTTAATGAAATACAGGATCGGCCGTGGTTGCTCCAACTGTCTGGTGCAGCCACAGACTATCCGTTCGGCTGACTGCGTTCCTTTCTTGCTACTAGTTCTTCGCCACGCTCCATCGTGCTGCTCGTCATTATTATTTGTTCGTGCTTGCTTCAGAGGGCCTACGTTGATCCTGGCTTGGACCTTGCGGCGTACGTATCTCCCACAGTCACTGTCAGAAGGACGTTTGGAGGTGAAGCGCCTTTGTCCATCTCTGTCGGTTGCTCTGGGTCCCACCTTTTCGATACTTCCTTCATTCCAAACTCCCAATTCAGTCAAAAGCTCCAAAACATCCTGTATGGTATTCACTTCTTGAACACTTCTGTTCCAGTCCTATTATTGTCATGTTCTCTCGGGGTGCATACTATTGTCCCTCCTTTTCTTTCGTTGCCAGTGGTGAAGGCAGGCGAAGCTCCATCTTTGTGTCGTCACCGAACCCTCCAAGCCTTCCACCATTCAACCAACCTTCAACGTCTGAGAATCCTCCGAAAGACCACTCTATTTTCCTTTAATCCGTGTCCGAACGACCTTCGAGCCCATGTCTTCCTTAGCAGCCATCCACCGCAGCGTTGAAAGCCTGGACTGGTCGAAGCCGCATTCAAAAGCATCCTACGACAATTGGACTGCATATGGGCCCGAATCTAAGAGGTGGAACAGCAGCAACTCTTACTTCACCAGTGGCTTGCCCACTCCTCCAGGGTCCAAGGCCATGCCGGGACTGATCTTAAACAACGCCTATAACAACGACTTCAGCGGTGAAGGGTACCGGCAGCAAGAAGCCTTGCTCCAAGACAGACCTGACACGAGCCAGCAGCACAGACAGTCGTCGACAGCCACAAATGGCATGAACTACAGTTTAGTGCCCTTGTCCTCAAATAATGTTCTTGGCCCCAACAGCCAGCGAGGAACTGGTCAGGATAAGGGTGATGCTATTGCACCACATCTTCAAATACCAGAGTCTGTGAACAAGAGCAAGGGCAGTTTGGCAGAATTCACCGCGGAGATTACATGTTTGTTCTGGTTTGAGACGGCCAGCACTCTACAATATGCGGAGGACTTGCCGGTTGACGCTCCCGTAGACAGGGGACTGTCGCCTGATGCCGTCCCGACCATTGGATTTCGCAAGTGGGTGACCACGATCATCAGCACCACCCAGGTGGGAAGAAATGTGATCTTGCTTGCCTTGATGTTCATCTACCGGCTCAAGCGCTTCAATCCAGCCGTTAGTGGCAAGCGTGGGAGCGAGTTTCGCCTCCTGACTATTGCTCTGATGTTGGGCAACAAATTTCTGGACGACAACACTTACACCAACAAGACGTGGGCCGAGGTGTCCGGGATCTCTGTCAACGAAATCCACGTTATGGAGGTGGAGTTCTTGAGCAATATGAGATACGACCTCTATGCTTCGGCGGAGGAATGGAGTGAGTGGAAGGCCAAACTAGGGAGGTTAGGCGCCTTCTATAACAAGGCTTCCCGAATGCCCCCTACAGAAAGCAGTCCAGGTCCTGCCCCGGTTACACCAACCTCGCAGAAATTCGTCTACAAACTGCCGTCCCCGCCGTCCACTCATCACAGTGTCAGTCCCTACACCTCCTCAGCGTCTCTGAATGGCCAATATCCCAGGCTACCACATCCGGTACCTACCACCACCTCCGCCTCCAGCTCTCCTCTATACCCTCAACAGCACACATCAACCATTCCGCAGCAAGGGCGCAAAAGAATTCTGGACACGTCTGCCGACCTCCCATCCGCCAAGCGAGCCCACTACTCTACTGGGCAGCCTACGGTACCCTCGAGCCGAGCTCCAAATTTTCTAAATCCTGCACCTTATCCGTGCGATGTCAATATCGGCATGTCACCCCACAACGCCAACTTGATGGCTTCTGCACCAGCTTCTGGTGCGTTGGACGTTCCGAGACTGGACCTCCCTAGAATGCAGAGCTCACAGGGCCGGGGTCCGGCTCAACTCGCTCCATTGTCGGTCCCGGCCAGCCGAGCAATGTCGAGTGTCTATCCGAATGCCACCACAGTCTACTCGCAGCCGGTTACGCCTGTGTCTGCAGTAACTCAAAACCTCTTCCAAAACCCCATACCGAGTCTTGGCGACGGCAGCCGCTCCTTGGGCACACATCCATCTGCTCAATCATCGCCGTCCGTCGGGTTCAACCCGGCGAATCCCACTCCTACGGGACTCTCACCTTCATATTTCTTGTCCAACCGGGCATCCCCTTACAGACCCGTTCGGAACGTCAACACGCTCCTCATACCTCCTCCCTCCGCCGCCCTTCAACTTCCTGTCCGACACATCCCTTCAGATCAGATTCATTATCAGCCGTTGAGTAAAGCTGCCACGGAACCACGCTCTGGTCCCGTACCATATATGCAGATTGACCCGTGGCAACACAGCAACATTTCTGCACCGTTTGGTCAGCAACAGTATGCACTGTGACGTGCAGCCATCGGGTGCGGGGGGCGTGGTTCTTTTCATTTTCTCAGCGATGTTTTCAGCATAGCGTGGAGGGTATCGTCTTGATGAGTCGAGAAAGCATTCATATTTGGCGACATGCATTTCCTGGCGTTTTGGGGATAAAGGGCAAAATGGCGAGGCTGAACGTCTTGCCGCAGACTGTACAGTGTAGATAGAACTAGACGAAGTGTTCGAGCTCGATCCATTGTTATCTGGAGTCTTGAGCGTCAAAAAGAGATTACTCTAGAACTTCAAATGCCACTGTCTTCATATACCTACTATTGTCAGATATGTTTGAGTTCCGCTTTTAGTATCCTACAGAGAAATCACGTGATGATGCTCGGCTTTCACGTGCCTACTAAGGAACGGACAGTGACCCAATCAGAACAGCGGAATGACGGAAGCGACAGATAAGCTTTATGATTGGTGCTACATCCAGACATGCCCGTGTCTTGCCATGTTACTGTACGTAGTTCAGTCCAACCTCACAGTCTCCATGTGGACGACCGTCGCAAATGACACATAACCGTTGCCGCAGACGATGAGGCATCGGTGTGACCTTCGCAGCCACAAGGATGCGGAAAACCTTGCTTCTTGTCTTTATCCACGGCTTCAAGGTACGTGAGAGTTCACACCACTTCCAGTGAGTGGCTGGATATGCCAGTCAGATGCGACGGATCCTGCTCCCCTCCGTACCCCGTCGAGGAATCTAAGCGCTTCTGACATACGACCTCCAGGGCGGTGACGATACCTTTGGCTCGTTCCCGGAGCACCTGCGGACTCTTCTCAGCCATGCGCTGCCCGACGTTGACGTTGTCAGCGTGACATATCCCAAGTTCGAGACTCGGGGTGACTTGAAAGACTGCGTGGCACGTTTTCGAGAATGGTACGTTATTTATACATCGTTGGTGAAGTATTCGCCCTCCAAGGCCCCTGCTGACAATGCAAACTGTGTAGGCTTCAGAACAAGGTGATCGACTTGGAGGTGGCTCGGTCGACGCCATCCCCGACCGTCGACCCTTCGGTGCATGTGATGTTACTTGGACATTCCATGGGCGGGATTGTCGCGGCAGAAACGTATCTCGTTCTGGCAAACGAACAACCGTTGCCAAACGTTGACCAGCGGCAGAATGCCACGAACTCCACTTCACACCCAACCAAATCTCAACACCGTGATTTTCTTCCCACCCACAGCTTCATGTTCCCACATATCCAAGGTGTCCTGGCTTTTGACACACCCTTCCTCGGACTGGCGCCGGGAATGGTGGCCCATGGATTGGAAGGAGGCCACAAGTTCGTTTCCAATGCCTTCAGCACGTACAACGAAGTGGCCTCGATGTTCGGCTGGGGCTCCAAGTCTGAACCCAATATCGCCACGTCAAGGGCGTCGAGCTCTAGGGCACTCCCGGCGCCAAGTTCCGCTACAGTGGACGCGGCAGCCGCTCCGCGATGGCAGTCGTGGGGCAAATACGCCATGTTTGCCGGGGCGGCCGGCGCGGTCGTTGCTGGCGGCGCAGCGGCGTTGTATTCCCATCGCGAGAAACTGAGCGCCGGATGGCAATGGGCATCCGACCATCTTTTGTTTGTGGGCGAGTTGTTTAAGCCGGAGTTTTTGCGCAAGAGGGTGGAAAACCTAGAACAGGGATTCAAGGAACGAGGCGGTGGATGTGCGAACCTCTACACCAATCTCGGCAAAGGCGCACGCGAAGGCTATGGGATCACGGCCTCCGTGGCTGGCAAGGAAAGGACGTTTTGCAATTTGCCTGTGTATATCGGCAAAGATGGCAAGCAGATGACACGCAACGATAAGACAGATGGAGAACGACGACCAGGTATGGAGTGGGTGAAAGCCGTCAATGAGAAAGCCGGCGATGAGACCGTGGCCCATGTGTCCATGTTTTCACCGCGGGACAATCCAGGCTACTATGCCCTGGGTGAGCGAGCCAAGGAGTTCCTTGCAGGCTGGGTTGATCAAGGATGGTATCGTGCCAGCAGCGGACCAACAGCCCTGGGTAAGGACCATGGGATCAACTATGGTGAAGTCGGTGATGGTTGGGAGAAACCGGACTATGATGCGGAAGATGTTCGAGCGAAAGAACGGGAACGAGACCGTCAGGACGATCGACCCACAACCGAAGCGGATATGGATGTTACTCTAACCCGGGAGTGGGATTCGGTTGAAATGAGAAGACGCAGTCTAGACGATCCCGATGATGATGACGAGGTCACAATGCGGGACGATGATCATGAGGATGAGGATCTTGAGGCCAGCGTCATTGTTGAGAAGGCCGCCAATGGAGACGTTGCGCTCCCAACGCCAAAAGGGGCCACTGGGCTATGAATACCACATTGGAGATTACTTTTTTCTCTGTTGCAACTTTCAGGGGCGTGAGTCAGGTCCATTCCTTTATTCCTTAAGGAGAATGGGTCGCAATGGTACACAAGAAGCACTGCGCCAAGAGAATGAGTGGACTGTGATATCGATATCAGGGCCTACTGGAAGAAGATGAAGCACGAAGGATCTGACCTGGAGTGCCGCACAGCCAAAGGGAAGTAGGGAAGATCACCTTCTCCACACTCTATCGGACGACCTCCCAAGAATTGGCCGAACCGGTCAGTCAACTTCGAAGAGACAGTCGAGTGGTTGAGGTTTTCCTGTAAGCGCCTCTTTTATCACCAAGGGAGCGAGGTCAGGTCCCATAGACGACTGACGTTCTTGCAGCTGCCCCGAGACATGAGGCCAAGGATAGCGCTTAGCGCTTTAAACTCGAGGGCGAATGACGCATGCCACAACATGACCACAGACACAAATTCGAACTAGGGAAGGACATGCTGGACGAGGAAGGGAAACCAAGGCACAGGAATGGTCCTGGAAGTTCAGCGTTGGTCCCTCCAACTGACTGTGGCATGGTAATATCCATATCGTTGATGTATTCAATCATCATTCAAGCTCGACCTTTATCGCAAGGACAAAGGAGCAAACGTGGATTTATGATCCCGAAATCTTTCAACCTGTCCCACTCTGCTCTTCACTGCCTCTCTTTTCAGGAATCCGCTGCTGCCCTTCTTCCACCATGCCCTCGCACCCCGTGAGTTTGCCCGCGGCGTTTTCGACCGTGCCGAGCAGCGTCGACTGCATCGGTTGGCCACTGCTGTTCGACTGCGCTTTGGCGTCTTTCATCTCCTGCACGGCTTCGGATTTGGTCTGTTGGCCCGTTTCGTAACCGAGGGCGGACGAGACGGCGCCTTGGACGTACTAGTATGGCTGGTTAGTTGAGTGATTTTGACTTGGGTAGTGATTGTGTCTGTTGTGTTGTTCGTTGTGGCTGGCTCGACTTACCTTGACGTGCCCTCCCACCATGGACGGTTCGTGGGAGTCGGACGATGAGGATTGGGATTGGGATTGATCGGACGACATTGTGTTGTATGGGGATGGGAGACGGGGCGGGTGTGTTTCTTTTTTCTCGTTTTTGGGTTTCAGTAGCCTGGGCACGGGTTTGTGTCTTCAGTGATTGCTTTAAATGAATGAAAGGGACGTTGCTTGTTGCTGGCAAACGGACACTGTACTCACCAGGTGTTTGTTGAGAAAATGCAATGATGTCATCGATTTCACGGCGTCGCCCTGCCCGTGCTCCGGCAGGGCATGTGACTCAGGTTTACAACTGGATTTCTTTATCCCGTGACCAAAGGCAAGACTGTGTAGCTGCCCTGAATGGACTTATGCTTCGACGGATTGAAGCTGTACGGTGAACCGGGAGTTTACATTCCCGCTCGTTGAATCTCCTCGGTATCTTGAACACAGTTGTTGGCGGGGCTCAAGCAATATAGGCTTGCGATCTTTGTGTTTATCGATGGTGCTTACAGTGCTTCAATCTGTAACTTGCGCAAAGGCAGGTTGCTGCGTGTTCCAGGACTACACTCTGCGAAATTTCCCACAGCAGTCGGGAAGGAGGATCGGGCTTATCGCTGCAGTGGTTTATAATTTTTATATTCATTATTACGGCAACATCGTGCTTATCTGTATTTAAATCTGGGATCGCTGCCGTCAATCTGTCCTTTCATTAACCACTGCAATCAATAATACTTTCGTTCGTGTCTTCAAAGCATTGGAAGTCGCTCGCATTTGACGACGGAGTTACGCCCGTCGGCCTCTCTACTCTTGGGCCATCATTGTGGTTGTTTATTTTCAACGATTTCCCTTTTGCCGGCCTAGACGCCCTCCAAGTTATTTGAGGTTTCTAGCACATCACAATGGGCATCGAGATCCGCCCCATCCAACCCGAGGACATCCCGTCTGTGGTGGAATGCATCCAGCTCGCATTCGCCGATGACCCGTACCATCAATGGGCATTCGACACACGACCGGGCCAGTTCAACAAAGAGCGCAATTTCGCCAGTCTCAAGGCGAAATGCGAATGGGGGATGCGCAACGCTCTGTTCTACGTGGCCAAGGACACGGAAGATGCCAACGGCCCGGTGTTGGGGGTGAGTATGTGGATGAAACCAAGGAGGGCGGATGAGAAGCAAACGTGGACCGAATGGCTGGACGACTACGTCTTGTGGATCAAACAAGGTTGGAATCTGGTCCGGTTCCGGGGCCGCGGAGGGCTCAACACGAAACGGTACTGGATCTGGAAGCGCGAGCAGGCCGTGGCACAGTCGGAAATCTGGACCGATCCCAACGGATATTATTTTTGCAACATTGTCACCGTGAGGCCCGGTCTTCAGGGTAGAGGAATCGGTCGGCAGTTGTTTGAGGTGGTGACGAAAATGGCCGATGAAGAAGGGAGAAGGTGTTATCTGGAAAGCTCAAAGGAGGTGCCCAACATTGCCATCTACGAAAAGATGGGGTTTAGGCTCGCGCGCAAAATGGTCTGTGAGGATGATGGTGATGTCTGTGACCTCTTTTGCATGGTCAGAGATCCTCAGCCGACCGACACAAAGCCTTAGTACGCAAAGAACGGTTGGTGGTTATTGGACATTGATACCTCACTGTCCGTGGACATCGAGGCAAGTGAGGTAACTGGCCTGCTGCTGGCAAGAAGTCGCCCGGGGTATCTGATCGTGTCTCCGTGTGAACGTCGCAACTGGCTTTTGGGACGACTGTGGCGTGTCGATGCGGCCTCGCTTCCTCCCATCCTTTCAGCTTTCATAGGAAGGTGACATACCTGAGGTGCTTGACGTGTCTATCGAGGCGTCGACGGATGCATGGGAGCTTGTTCCCAGACGGTACTCAGGTTCTCGCCGGATCTGTCTCGGAGAGATACAGAGAATGTGTTCCGGGCCGGGCGCTGCTGCGTCTTCATAAGGGATTTTGGCTCAGCATTGCGGGG